AGGCTTGCCATGAATAACAATTTGTTTGAACCCAGTTAGAAACTTCCAGGCTTTGATTGATAAGGCTCCTTCCCTGAGGAACAGCTGTTTTGTTCCATTCCATTCCCACAAAGGTAGACTTTCCCACTCCATGAAAGCGTCAAATTCCTTCAGGGAGCTCAGTGCAATGTTAAAATAAAGGCAGTCTTAGTCTTGAGAACAAAAATGAAAGCAATCAAAAAGCTATGCCGCTCTCACATGTGAAATACTCTATCTCTGTGTGTCTGCTGCCATTACAAAAATTGCTCCAAAAATCGCATTGCAAAAATTGTATTAAAAATGGCAGCTAAGGCAGCAATCATATATATGCTTGCCTGAGAGTAAGCCCCACTGAGTGCAATGGTGCAATCCCATACATATCGACTCAAAAGTGAGTCCCTTTGAGTTCACTGAGGTTTTACTTCAGTCCCAGGGCAGCCTCAGCTGCTTATACGATGGCTGGTTTTATAAGTTATTAGTCTGAACATTCTAGCTCATCTTCCTGTACAATGGGAAAGATGTTTGTTTTGTACTTTCAAGCTGTTAACACACCAGTTGAAGTTATCTTTGACTATTAAGAGCTTGGGCGTATGAAAGAACAAGCTGCCTTCCCATTTACAAACACTTCCCAAAGCGGGTTGCCTACAGTATGTTTCTATATACAAGCAAATATACAAGCAGCATTGTTTTTGACATCTCCTTTTCACTGAAATTGATCAGAGTGAATTGCATAATTAGTTACCAAAGATTTGGTCATAACAGATAGCAATATGAATATCGTTGTTTCTAGCAGAAGCAAAACTGTAGCAAAACAGAAACAGCGCCAATTGTGACAAACTCAGAACAGATTGTAATGCACTTTTGTGTGTTCTTTTCATGTGTTTTTACACACGCTTTAACCCCTGGCATGTGCATATATATATTTTACATGTCACTTGACTGGAGAACTGTATTGCAAAATTCAGATAAGGACAACTTTTTGACGGATGGCTGTGATTTTTCTTCACATGTTTCTAACAGTATGAATTTGATAGATCTGCCTTTCAATGCAAACTGAATCAAACTTCTTCTCCCTTTTGTCCATATTAATATACTTTGTTCCTTCTGTGCCTGCCTATATATATATATATATATATATATATATATATATATTCCATGCATCAACATTCAAGGTGGTGGAACTGGACCAGACCAAGGAAAGAGAGTAGGTGGCAATTAATGGGCTATTATACCATAAATCAGAACCTCTTCTCTCTCTCAGTAGGAATTCTATAGTCTTCTTCAGCCCTGCAATATTCATGCTGGACATTCACTTCCTCCTTCTGTTACCCTGGACCACTCCCAAGACCCTCAGTGAACCCAGATGACAAACTTCTGGCAAAAGCAATTACAAAGATGCCAGTTTACTATCTTACAGGAATCTTTGGGGGGCAACAACAGCAACAACGCAAGTCTTGTTTTATCACAGCTTCGAAGAGCAGATATGTAAAAAGTTCTATAAGCAAAACTCCCCAGAAGTCAAAGGTCAGCTGCAGGATTTTCTGATGGGTTCCTCACTACCCAGGCAGCACAGTTCCACTAAGAATTTGCAATAAGCTTGCCTATAGATAGTTTTGGTAATTGCTGCTGTCATTTTCTTGGCAGAAGTGTCGATAATTACTGTCGCCTGCTGCTTTGCATTGTGTTTGTTTGATTTTTTAATTTTATTTTATTTTTGGTTACAGCTTTTTTGTTACGGCTTTTAAAATCATTGCTATCTATCCTGAGATTGTGGAAGTGATGAAGGTTGAAATGTAAATGCAAGCAAATAAACAGTTACGTGCCTGGGTACAGTACATGAAAGTTAGAAAGGACTTTGTTGACTTTCCGTAACAGAAACCTTATTTGTATGTTGTAGGAAAAGTAGCCCAGTCTTCCCCTGTATCCTAAAAGCCCTCCTTAAAAAATCCTCAATAATAATAATAATAATAATAATAATAATAATAATTTATTATTTATACTCTGCCCATCTAGCTGAGTATCCCCAGCCACTCTGGGTGCCTGCCAATCGAGTGTTAAAAACAATACAGCATTAAATATTAAAAACAGGGCTGCCTTCAGATGTCTTTTAAAAATAAGATAGCTGCTTATTTCCTTGACATCTGATGGGAGGGCATTCCACAGGGCGGGCGCCACTACTGAGAAGGCCCTCTGTCTGGTTCCCTATAACTTCACTTCTTGCAATGAGGGAACCACCAGAAGGACCTTGGAGTTGGACCTCAGTGTCTGGGTTGAACGATTGGGGTGGAGACGCTCCTTCAGGTATACAGGACCGAGGCCGTTTAGGGCTTTAAAGGTCAGTACCAACACTTTGAATTGTGCTCAGAAACCTACTGGGAGCCAATGCAGATCTCTCAGGACTGGTGTTATGTGGTCCCGGCAGCCACTCCCATTGACCAGTCTTGCTGCCGCATTCTGGATTAATTGCAGTTTCCGGGTCACCTTCAAAGGTAGCCCCAGGTAGAGCACATTGCAGTAGTCCAAGCGGGAGATAACTAGAGCACGCACCACTCTGGCTAAGGAGGAGCCTGATTGCTGGACCGTTACACCCAGGCATTTTGATGAATCATAGAAGAGTTGGAAGGGACCACAAGGATAATCTAGTCCAACCCCCTGCAATGCAGAAATCATTCGCCCCATGTGGGGCTAGAACCCATGACCTTCAGATTAAGAGACTCCAGAGGCAGAAAATCTAAATCTGGGAACCTTTTCCCATCTCATAGCTGCATTCCTTTTTGGCCAAACTTCCAGAGGTCAGAGGCCAAAGTGGGCAGAGTACAAAAGGTTCGTTTCTGCACTTGCTCACACATTTGCTGCTCTCCTCCATTCAGGGAAGCAAGAGGTCTTATCAGAGTTCAAGGACACACCACCCTAAGCAGCAGCGGGGGAACTTTTCCAGTCTGAGGGACACATTCCTTTCTGGGCAACCTTCTGAGGGCCACATAACCAGTAGTGGGTGAGGCCAGAGGCAAACATGGGTGGAGCAACAGAGGCAAATTTTACATTTGTACAGTAGGCTACTTTCTGCACCCACTCACTCACCTCAACCGGTCCCCCTCCTGGGGTGCAAAAGTTAAAGGACACAACCAAGATTGGCAGTTACACTCAAGGAAGGTGCAAAGCAGGGACAGTGGCTAGGGAAGTGGGGAGCCCCCTGGAATCGTGAGGGATGGAAAGAGGGGTTTAGAGGTTTCTCACTCTTGATCTAAATGGCCCCCTCAGTTGGAATCCACAGTGCAATCCCCTCCCACTCTCTTGCACAGCTCCTGTTTATTTTAGTAGGAACTGTGCGGAAGCAGAACTGCCCGGTTCTCTGTAGGGCCAGATCTATCTAGCTGTCAAACTGCGCTGCTTTTTAGGGTAACCCATCACCCACCGCCTGAGCCAGTGCATGGCTGCCTATGTGGCCCTGAAGCTCCCCTGCTCCCGCCCGTATTTCTCGTGCTCGGTTTTGTACGTGTGCGCATTGTGGTTGGGTGGGAGGTGGGATTTGCCAGCAGCAGATCTGCACAATGACTCCAAGGGCCGGCAGCATCTCCTGAAGTGAGGAGGCCGTGCTTCTCACTCCATTAGCACATGAATAAGGAGGGAAGGGGGGTGGTTGGGTGGGAGCAGAAGGGACAAGCCCCCACTGTCCACTCAAGCAAACAATTTGGCTAGTAAATTGACATAATTACAAGGGGGGAGCGAGAGAGAAGGGGGAAAGGACCCCCTTCTTCTGTGCTCTAGAGGGCCTGACCCCTACTGAGTTACTTAGACCCTTTGTGAGCCATGGTGCTAGGTACTGATTAGAAAGCATATGTCCTTTTCAAGGGCTCTAAGTGATTGGCTGCCTTAATCTGATTACACTTTTTTTTAGCAGAGCTTCTTCTGAAAAGGCCTGGAGAGTTTTGCAGACACACTGCTGGGGGAGGCTCAGCAAGAGGTGGACACACGGGCAAGGGCCCATGCAGAGATGCAAAGCCGAGCACACACACACACACATATGAAGGAACATGGCAATTGACATAGAATCATAGAAGAGTTGGAAGGGACCACGAGGATCATCTAGTCCAAGCCCTTGAAAAGCAGAAATATTTTGCCCAAAGTGGGGCTCAAACCAGCAACCCTGAGATTAAGGGTCTCATGCTCTATCAACCAAGCATGTGCATGTACGCCCATGTATTCAGACCCAGATGTAAGTAAGGTAAAGGGACCCCTGACCATTAGGTCCAGTCGTGACTGACTCTGGGGTTGCGGCGCTCATCTTGCTTTATTGGCCGAAGGAGCTGGTGTACAGCTTCCGGGTCATGTGGCCAGCAGGACTAATCCGCTTCTGGTGATCCATAGCAGCACACGGAAACGCCATTTACCTTCCTGCCAGAGCGGTACCTATTTATCTACTTGCACTTTGACGTGCTTTCAAACTGCTAGGTGGGCAGGAGCTGGGACCGAGCAACGGGAGCTCACCCCGTCGTGGGGATTCGAACCGCCGACCTTCTGATCGGCAAGTCCTAGGCTCTGTGGTTTTACCCACAGTGCCACCTGCGTCCCTAGACCCACATGTACATTTATGCATATACACACCTGCAGTTGTGCACACAAAAAGAGGTATGAACGCAAGCCCAAGGCAACTGTCATGTGCACGCCTACACATAAGTTAAGCATGTGCATACATGCAGTCGTATGCCCACCCAGACACAAGAGACAGAGAGAGCTTGCCGTATACGTAAATCAACACCTGGTACAAAGAGATGGAGGCAAAAAGAGATCAACATTCAAAGTTCTATAGCAAAATCTACATAAACATTACACAAGAATGATATTGTGGACCACACACCTAAACAGGTGCTAATGTGCACTCAGAAGCACATGCAAAAACTAGACATGCCCCCTTCATTATGCACATAAATTGAAGGAGAGTTGCAGCATAGATCTATTGACATATATGCACATTATCACTGGGCCCGTAACTTAGTGGTAGTGCATTTGCTTTGCATTCAAAAGCTCCCTGGTTCAATCCCGGGCATTGCCAGGTAGGGCTGGGATAAATGCCTACCTGAAACCCTGGAAAGCTGCTGCCAGTCAGTGTGGACAGCACTGAGCTTGATGGATCAATGGTCTGATGCAGTATAAGGCAGTGCCTTATGTTCCTAAGAAACTCACTCAGACATGTAAAAAAGGTAAAAGGTAAAGGACCCCTGGACGGTTAAGTCCAGCCAAAGGCGACTATGGGGCTGTGGCGCTCATCTCACTTTCAGACCAAGGGAGCTGACGTTTGTGCACAGACAGCTTTCTGGGTCATGTGGCCAGCATGACTAAACCACTTCTGCCGCAATGGAACATCGTTACAGAAGCCAGAGTGCACGGAAATGCCATTTACCTTCCTGCCGCAGTGGTACCTATTTATCTACTTGCACTGGTGTGCTTTCGACTGCTGGGTTGGCAGAAGCTGAGGCAGAGCAACGGGAGCTCACCCCGTCATGCGGATTTGAACCATCGACCTTCTGATCAGCAAGCCCAAGAGGCTCAGTGGTTTAGACCACAACGCCACCCGCATCCCTCACCACGTACCTGTGTACTCACCACATAGATACCCCATACATGCCATATATTCGACCTCACATAGAACAAATGAAGATGCATGAAAACTCATCAGTGTATAATGACATTTTGTCATGCAGGAAAATAATAAAAGGCATTTCACAATGAAAAAAATCACATACTAGCTGCGGGGTCCTATATATGTCTAGTCAAAGGGGCGTTACAATAAATTTGATGGGGTTTACTACCAGGTAAGTGGATATAGGATTGAATCCTAAGGTGGTAGTCAAAAGTCTTTGAAATTATTCTCCCACGCCATGGAAGCCCTGAGTTTTAATAGAATGCAGAATGTTGGGGGCAGATGGACAACAGCATGTAACACATCTGCTAAAATATCTAAACTGGCTGCCCATATCCTACTGAGCCAGGCTCAAGGCCCTTGGGTTGATACACAAAGCCCTGAACAACTTGGGTCCAGGAGACCTTAAGGAGCATCTGGGCCCAGGGTGAATAAAATATTGTGGGGCCCCAGGTAAGCCCCACCCCACACAATTGAGCACATAACGTGGTGCACACACACCGTTTGAATTTGAATGCCCATCACCTTTGTGGGGGTGCGCCCCCCTCAAATAAATTATCTGGGCCCTTCTATCTGCAGAGGAGCACTATTAGATGTCTCCCATGTTACAGAGGTCCGAATGGCCTCAACCAGAAATTGGGCATTTTATGTTGTTTGTCCAGTGCTGTGGAACCCTCTTCAAGCAGGCATCCTTGCTTGTGATTTGCAGTTGTCTCTTGAATACAATTTTTTATGCTGACAGGTTTATGTAGTTTTAAAACTTCCCTAAGTAGCCTGTCATTTTAATGATGGCTTTGTATTGCTTTTAAAGGTTTCTATGTTGTTGATGTTTCGTGAGTGGGTGGTATGTAAACACACATACATCTATCTATCATCTATCCTCTATCTATCTTTTAATGGCTACTTACTGATTTTTTTTAATTGCCTCTTTTGATTTTGTACTTGTAGTTGCTTATTTCATCATTCACTGCCCTGTGAACCAAACCTATTGAAGGGTTCTATGCGGATTTATAAGCATCAATAAAGCAAATAAGGAAGGACTGGTCAAACTTGACCTAGGTGTGTTCAGCTACTTGAGGACTGTGCAGGACACAACTTTGACTTCCATGTGTGAAAGAGCCATCACAGATCAAGTACCAATGGCTGCCAGCTCAGATCACCTCCTCAAATGCAGTGGGGGTCATTTGCACATTCAGCCCTGAAGTAGTCCCAAGCAACATGCATATCTTAGTGGAGGGTGGTTCATTAGGACATACCTGATAGCCTTATTTGCATCCAATCCAGTGGGTGGCGAGGGATGTGAAAATATACCCATTTCAGTTTCTCTCTGTTTCTCATTTTTTCCCCAATCTTAAATTTGATTCTTCACATTGGTTTGTATATATTTATTTTTTTTAGATAAACGTCCTCGTGAAAATTCATCAACATTTCAGTGCGAATTCCTCCTAATACACATTTTTCAGATGCAATTTTGCCTAAAATTTCTGCAAAGCAAAATACAATGCATTTTTGCATGTTATTTTCACTAAAGCGGGCAATTATCTGCACGCTTTATGCATTTTTGTACACATTACTTGATTAGAGAATGGCACTGCAAAATTCTAAGAAGCACACATTCTGAAGGACGCCCACGTTTCGATTTGCGTATTGTTCGGGAGGCTGCTAATTAAGCAGGTTCAGTTTTAGATGTGAACTGAACTGAACCTCTCCCCCATCTCTAAGGGTGACACTAGCTATGAGCTTCCTCCTCCTCCTCCTTAGTCCTGGTGTTGCCCTTATCAGAACTTAGCAGGGAGGAGGATGGGGGCAAAACGAAGACTTGGTGGTTCTGCCTGCCGTCAGCTCTGGCTCCCCCTACTGTTGGACTCCCTGCCTTGCGCCCAACCAGCCCCAATGGGCGCCAGCCTCCACTTGCAAACATGTGTGAATATCTGACCCGTTACTCTCATGCCTACAGGGATAAATGCAGCGACACTTCCCCCATAGCTCAGTCCTTGTTCTTAAAGGGAGGCTACTGATCTGAATGAGGGCCTCCTCTGTCTAAGTAGCTCTGCAGGGATTGGATCATGATCTAAGCCCACCCGCCTGCCTACTAACCATAGGATTAAGGGCTGCTGTTCTCTGGCCCGCCTCTTTCCCCGTTCCTCTGCTAACTAACATCATCCCCTGGGGTAAGCTACCATCTTTACATGATAATTTTTTTAACCTCATTTCTGCTTCTTGGCCTGCCGCTCTCAGGGGATTAGCTGCTAGGCTGGGCCCGAGAGCCTCCTTGAACGTGGCTTGCTTCAGCCACCCTCCACACCCCCCCATGGGAACCTGTCTCAGGCCAGCTTCGGTCAATGGCTTCATCCCTTTGCATTCAATTTGTACCTCCTAATCCCCCACAAAGACTTAGGCCTCAAGGTTTCAATGGCTCCTTTTCCCACATGCCTTTGGTCTCCCCCCGTCCCCTCCCCGCATGCACTTTGCCCTCCAAAACAGGATAGACTTTTGCTCTGTACAACCCTCAACGGGGAGGATACTTGCTTTTCCACTTAGGCTCATGACTGGCATTTGCTAGGGAAGAGGGGGAAGGTTGGTGGGGGAGCGCCAAAAGTAGACTGAAGCCTCAACAAATGGAACTCCACGGTCAGCTCAGCGCGAAAACACCTTGACTATTGAGGGATAAATTCCTTCCTCCGCCAGGGTCAAGGGAACCCTTCATGGCAAGAACTAGTGGAGGCTGACTTCATAATTACGCACATTCATCAAATGTTTCCTGTGACTTGAGAGCCTGGGCACTTCCCACCCTCGACGAAATATTAAAATGGCTTCTCTTAGACCCAGCGGCTCCCAAATTCTTTGCTGGGTCACACTGGTCAGTTATGCGAGGAGCTGCTGACAAAGCAGTCGTGTGTCCAGTTTTGCAGGGGAGGGTCTTCTGGCAGCTTGGGATGGGTTCATCTGTCCCGCTTTACAACCTTAAATTTAGTTCTCCACATTTGCACATCAGCTTGTGAATCACAGTCATACCTTGGTTCTCAAACAGAGTGCGTTCTGGAAGTCTGTTCGACTCCTGGAACCCTTCAAAAACCAAGGCGTGGCTCCCAATTGGCTGCAGGAGCGTCCTGCAGCCAATCCGAAGCCGCGGAAGGCAAGCTGGACGTTCGGCGTCCGAAAATTGTTCAAAAACCAGAACACTCACTTCCGGTTTTCTATCATTCAGGAGCCGAAACATACAAGTACCAAGGCATTTTGGCAACAAGGTATGACTGTATTTAAAAACAAGTCCTTGTGAAAATGGATCAACCTTTTAGTGCAAATTTTTCCCGACATACACATTTTTGTATGCTATTTTCACTAATCTATGCATTCCTACGCACACTTTACCCCCAACACACCTATTTTTGTGCACATTACAGTGGTACCTTGGTTCTCAAACTTAATCCATTCTGGGAGTCCGTTCGACTCCCAAAACCATTCAAAAACCAAGACGCGCCTTCCGATTGGCTGCAGGAGCTTCCTGCACTCAAGCAGGAGCCGCGTTGGACATTCAGCTTCCGAAAAACATTCGCAAACCGTAACACTTACTTCCAGGTTTGCGGCGTTTGGGAGCTGATTTGTTTGGCAACGAAGCCGTTCGGCAAGAAAGGTTTGACTGTACTTTGCCAGAGACCTGCATTGCAGAATTTGTAGAAATACAAGATTGTATGGGTGGCTGTGTTTTGGTTTGTGTATTGTTTTGTAAAGTGCAAATTAGGTGATTTGCCTTTAAATGTAAAACTGAAACATATTTCTACCTTACTGGCACAGCCACCTAGTTCAGGGATGGGCAGAAGGTAGATCAGGATCTGCAAGCAGATCTCAGAGTGATTTGAAGCTGATCAGCAAGGATCTGTGAATCCCCCTTGTTGAACAACAGCAAGAACAACGCATGTCTTGTATTGGAAGGGCTGTCCAGTTCAAGTCAAGTTTTAAGATAGAAACCAGAAGAAGGGAGGGTGACCAGCTGGGAACAGGGCCTGAAGTTGCCCTTTAGCAGGGAGCAGACTGGATTGCAGACTGAGCAGGTATAAAGGTCCATTGGTTGCAATCTTCCCCACTAAGGTGTGATGTGCTACAGTTTTATTTGAATTATAGTTATTACTTCTATAAGGATGCATATAAATTAGCATGTGCAAATTATAAATCTGTGCCCTCCTTTGTTTCTAATACACATTCTTCTATGCTGTTATCACAACTATGTACAATTAAAAGCACACTTTCCCCTCACGTACACATTTTTGTACACATCATTTGGTTGAAGAACTGCATTGTGAAAAGTGAGAACTTCAAAGGATAGGGTCACCTCGGCTCATGCATTGTTTCAGGACGTGTGAGTTCAGGAGTTTTGCATTAAAATGCAAGCTGAACCAAATTGCTCCCGCATTCCTAGCTGGAATTATATTTCTGAATGCTTTCTTCTTTCAAAAATAATAATAATGCTTCCATGCAAGCAGAAAATTAGCACAGCAGAACCTTCTCCCTACCCCCCTTTTTTTTACTTCCAGGGAATTTTACACTTCAAAAATGGCATTTTGCACCTGCCATCTGAATTAGCACACAGTCCCCTCTGTTCCCTCAGGATTCTGCAGCCTCGTTTGATGGCACTTGCAGGCTAGATAAGAGACTCTTCGTTGGCGTCTTGTCTGCGTCTGATCTCACTTTGCCCAGGTCTGACATGCAGCTGCCCAGATTGTGGATCAGAACAGAAAATAGTAGTGCTTTTTTTGTCTTTCTCTCTTACACACAGACAGACAGACAGACAGAGAGCATGTGCAGAGGGCATGATGGGTTCATAATAAAACCTCTGCTCTAATGTCTTCCCCTTGATGAGAAACAACTCAGCAACATTGTTAAACCAACGTGGCTTGTCCAACCTTTTGACAACTGACCTCCCCTGGCCTTTGAGTAGGCCAGCTGATAAAATCCTTTAAAAGCAAACAGGGCATAATGTTGTTTGTGGGGGGAAAGGAAGCAGAGGAGAGGCAGGTTTGAACCAAATTTACATGCTAAACCCTGTTAAGGGCAGCAATCAAATTACAGATGGAAATGAGGCAGAAAGAGCAGAAAGGGAAATAGAGTTCATTGTGAAAACAGTATTGCTGTATTAGGAAGATGTTGGGAACCTGTGGCCTTCAGGATGTTGCTGGACTGCCACTCCCATCATCTCTGACCTTTGGCCATGCTAGCCAGGGCTGATGGGAGTTGGAGTTCAACAATATTCTGGAGCGCAAGTCGCCCATCCTTGCTTTATTGGAGCCACTGTCAAAGAAAAAATGGGATGTCCCGGTTATCCTGGGACAGTTGAGGGGTATGCAGTAAGTGCTATTTAACACCAGTCCTACTCAGAGTAGACCCATTGAAATTAAAGGCCCCAGTAGCACTATATATCCCAAGCAGTATCATACCACTTTAAACAGTCATGGCTTCCCCCAAAGAATCTTGGGAACTGTAGTTTGTTAAGAGTGCTGAAATTTGTTAAGAAGCCCCTCTTCCCTGGGAAAAGGGATTGGTTGTTAAACCTCTCTGATAATTGTAGCTCTCTGAGGGGAACAGGGGTCTCTTAACAAATCTCAGCACCATTAACACACTGCAGTTCCTGGAATATTGGGGGGGGCGTGCCCTGACTGCTAAAAGTGGTATAATAGGGCTTTAAATATGTGCATATATGGCTTAACACTCTATTTTCTCTGTGTTAGTTTCCTCGCTGATAGTGGGCACACAGAGGGGTTCATGAGCTCCCTGGTGTGGAGGGGGCTAGTTCCTTGGCTAGTAATATTTTAGAATAAATTGGCTGGCCCTTTCTTGCCTGAGCAGAGTCCAGATCCAAGGCCACATTCATGCATCCACATTCTGAGGTTTTGTTAACTGAGAAATGTGAGGGCAACCCAAAACTGATTAAGAATGTGTTGTTGAATTGCCTGGCATTCATCCTCCAGAGATGACAGAGGTAAAGCCCCCAATTAGCTGGAGGCACATTTTCTAACTGAAAAAATCACTAGGCACTGATTTGCTCCTCAATTCAGTAAGCAAAGCTGAGAGCTTATCCACGCATCCCTTTCCAGGCACAGATCTGCGCTTAAAAGCTCAGTGTCCTGTCCAGGCCCCAGAGCTTTCTCCATGAAAACCTGCTCTTTAGTGCTCAATGAGAGCAAATGTCGATTCAGGTTTTTGCTGTTTGCTCCAACTGAGCTTTAAAGAGCAGGTTTTTCATGGAGAAAGCTCTGGAGGAAACAAAAAGGCACTTGGACACAGAACTTTAAAGCACCAACCACGCCTGGAAAGAGTGGAGGAAAGATACCCTTTTGTGTAAGGTAGAGCCAATATTCCCTCCCCAGTTACCCAAAGTATGGTCACCACCTGCAAAAGAAACAGGGACCAACTTTCATTCTTGGGGAAGTGGAGGCATTCATTTTGATCTGTGTGGAGGAGGTGGTTGCTATTTATGAGGAAGTCCAGCCTGTGTAAATAGTCTCACTCTGCCCATACTTCCCAGAATGCCTCTGGGAAAGATGTGACGTTGCTTTTTTATTGCGCAGTTTTTGCCAATGCGCACTTTATTTTTGCAAGCGGCTTCTCCTGATAAATGCACTCTGGTAAACATCATTTGGTTGGAGAACAGCATCGCAAAATTCAGATAAGACTTAAGAGCCAAGCAACCAACTTTGATACCTGAGGGCAAGCAGGTCAGCAAGCATCCCTTGATTCTATTCCCTTATAACTACACTACCCAGGGTTCTTTGGGGGAAGCTATGACTTTCTAAGGGGACGTGGGTGGCACTGTGGGTTAAACCACAGAGCCTAGGACTTGCCGATCAGAAGGTCGGTGGTTCGAATCCCCAGGACGGGGTGAACTCCCGTTGCTCGGTCCCAGCTCCTGCCAACCTAGCAGTTCGAAAGCACGTCAAAGTGCAAGTAGATAAATAGGTACCGCTCCGGCAGGAAGGTAAACGGCGTTTCCATGTGCTGCTCTGGTTCGCCAGAAACGGCTTAGTCATGCTGGCCACATGACCCAGAAGCTGTACACTGGCTCCCTCAGCCAATAAAGCAAGATGAGCGCCGCAACCCCAGAGTCGGTCACGACTGGACCTAATGGTCAGGGGTCCCTTTACCTTTATGACTTTCTAAAGTGGCATTATATGGCTTTTAAATGTATAGTGCAGACGGGGCCTTATGGCATCTCTTCCATGCTATAGCCGCCATGCAGCCAAAATTAACTGCCAGCCAGGGATGTAGGCAGTTTCTTGACTGTTGCACCCTTAAAGAAAAGTTACCTCAGGTCAACTGAAGCCAGACCGTCCTGGCTGATCACAGCATGCCGGATCACCTTCATCTCCAATTCCCATGCCGTGCGGTGGGAACTTGTCGCCTTTGCCACCACCTCCCCTCCCCATCCTCACAAAGCAAACTGTCCAATTAGAACAAGGTCTCTTTGCTTCCATCTTTGCCGACAGTTAATTAAGATGCAGTTGCTGGCAGCAGTTGACAAATCCCAGGACCGTGTTGTAAAGAGGTGTGTGTGTGTGTGGCTTTATCCAGCACGAGAAATCAGGGTGTTGTATCCTAAGGGGACATGCACAGCTGACGTTCAACTCCCTCTCTCTCTCCTCAGGTGTGAGAAGTACATGCAGACGCAGCAAAGAACAGCCACTTTCCCCTCTCTCTTTTGCATCTGGTCTCCTTTCCCACTCCACTTCTTATAAGCATCGCCTCCCGTGCCTGTTTCCTTGCTCCAAACGCTCCCTTGTCTGTTGCCCCAGATCCACCTTACTGGAAACAGCCTGCGAAATAAGTCTATGTAGTGATAACTGAAGTCACATTACTAAAACACTTCTGATTCCTCTATCTCAAGATCATCCTCACTATTTTGCCAGGATGGCAACAGTTTCTCTCAAGTATCACGTATACTTTTCAAGATTGCGATCACCTACGAATAAGGTGTTGTTAGGGCTGGACTAGTGGGTGCCAGTCTGGGGCCCCATCCATCCCAGAGGAACCCACCTAGGCCAGGGAGCTCCCAAAATCCAAGCAGCACCATGGCCAAGTGGCCTTTATTTTTCTTTTGAGTGTTATGCTTCCTTCAGCAGCACAGAGCTCTGGTGGTGGCTTCCAACTCGGCAGCCGTTCCTGAGACACCTGGCATTGTGTAGTCATCAATGAGTTTCCTCCTCCCTCCCAATCCCTTTTCCTTTTGTGTTATGTCTGTTATATTTAAACCTGATGGAAGGAGCTGTCATAAAAGAATCATCTCTGCAAGCTGCTCTGGGTGCCTCTTTTTGTAGCTAAAGAGCAGGGTAGCAATGTGTGATATCCAATATAGACCCATTGAAATTAGGAACTTGCATTCATTAATTTCAGTGGGAATACTCTGAATAGGACTAGCATTGGCTTAGAAACAAATATAGTTCAATGAACTCCATGCTCTCTCTAACATACTGTGCTAAAGTTCCCCCAATGTGACACTCCCTGCCTTTCTATAGAGCTTGGAACCAGGAAAAAACCTTCCAGTGGTTCTCTCCATACCATCAGGTTTCTCCTGTGTCCACTACATCTATGTTCTTAGTTTACAGTAAAGCACTCCATTTCCCCCCATCTTGGCTCAGAGGCTTCAAGAATTAGTAAATAAACAGCTATACATTGTCCCCTTTTCCAAAGATCTCTGGCAGATGAATTCCATCCTGCGGCTCTATGCAGGGATTCAAGCAAGGTTCTCTCCCAACCATAAGGACATAAGAAGAACCCGCTGGATCAGGCCAATGGCCCATCTAGTTCAGCATCCTAGCAGGACCCAAGCGCATAAAAACCTCTCTGCTCCTGTGGCTTCCAGCAACTGGCATTCAGAAGCATTTATGCCTCTGACTGCGCGTTGGCTGACCTATTTGGAGAAGCCATTGCAAACTGAACCTGCAACCATCTGCGCACAAGGCAGATGCTGTGCCACTGAGCTAAAGGTAGTGCCTTTGCTGGTTATTAGAAGGAAAAGAAGGAAAAACAAATTTGAGGGTACAGTCTAGCATTAAGCGCTTTTAATATCCACTGATTCCAACAGGAGGGATTTCGACAGCACGCGTTTCAAGTCTCCCCTTCTCCAGCTGCGTTATCACAGATCTTTCAGCACGCTAATCACATGCTGGCTTTCGGAGCCTTGAGCATTTTGGTCTTCCTGACCCCAGACGCTGCCACCACGAGTGGGTCCACCGCGCACTTAGAGATGAGAGGGCATTCAAAAGCTCTCTTCCAGATTGCCTCTGGCTGAGAAGTTTCCTAGGGGGCGGGGGATGGAAGCAGAGAATCTCAGACCAATCTGAGGAATATGAAGGGGCCGAAACACAGCATTGCAAGCTCTTCTCAGATCAGCTCCAGCTTGGGAATTTCCCAGAAAAGGGGGCAGGGGAAAATCAGAGGGGACATCCCAAGCCCATCTGATAGTTCGGGAAAATGTATTACAAGCCACTTTTAGGATAGCTACATATTCCATCATTTTTCAAGCTTTGCTGCCTAACGATGCAGAATGCCTGGATGGAGGGAAAGAAGGAAAGGACAATATTATTCCCCTCTTCTTTCTTCTGCTCATACCATTTCTGCTCTAGGCACCTTTGGATGAGGCTAGTCAGGGGAGCTGTTGTGGACATGCAGGGGAGGCCAGTAATTCTCCGGCTGAGATTTCAAACTGAGACGGTGAATACATTTGGGGCTTGCAAAGCTCACTTTTTCTTTTTTAGGTGATCTTTCACATGCTCTGCAGCTCGTATCCAAGTCCTGAACTTGGGGGAACTTTGCTGCCGCTTCTAACCACATGATATTATAGATTTCCACTTGTCTTTGCAGGCAGCAGGAGGATGTAAACACTCTTTCTTCCAGGCTAACCTCACAATGGTGCAAGATGCAGGAAGAGAAATAATAATAATAATAATAAGGGCACAATCTATTCCATGAAGAATCTTTGCATCCGGACAAATGATGGTAGCAAATGTTACAGCTTCCAGAAAACCACAAACTTCTTGTGTACTTGAGAGTGTAGGAGGTTAAACAAAACAAAACAAAAATCACTCAAGGAATTCCAAAAAGAGAGGCTGATTATACTGATCTGGTTGTCTGCATTGTCCTATAAGAAAAGAAAAAGAGAGGCTCATGTGTAAAGACAGGGGAGAAATTCCACTACGTTTGCATTTATCATTCACTCTTTCCAAAACAATACAAAAACAGAAACACAGCCATCCTTTGAAATTCTCTGAATTTTTCAAGGCAGATCTCAAAGTAATTTGTACAGAAAGGCATAAAAATGCTGACCATTGGCTTGAAGAACAAGGGTTTAATTTGATTTGCATATACTAGGGTGAAGTATGCATGGAAATGCATTATATTAGGGAAAACCAGTGGGGGGTTTTCTGGGGGGACACAGGTGTACGCATACCCCTAAGCATTTTGTGAATCAAAAGTTTGGCCTCATTGAGGGGCAGTATTTCAATATGAATAGGAAAATGAGAGTACCCCTAAACATTTTTTTTAGGAAAAAGCACCGGGGGAAACTGATTTGCAAAAATGAGTCCATTAGGCAAAATTGCATCCAAAAAAGTGTGCATTAGGAGAAATTCACACAGTTATAAAGAACTAATTAAAACCTTTTTAAAACAATTAAAACCAACGATAAGCTAAAAAGTCAAACTAGAACACATGTCAATGTTCTCCATGCCTAGACACACTTGCCTAAAGAAAAATGGTTTTTAGCAGTCACCAAAGAGAGCACATTGAAGGCACTTCCGAAGTGTGGGTTCTGTCACACTAAAATATCAGTTTACTACAAATGAGGGGAAAGCATTATGTGGCACTTGTAATGGTGTCAGTTCTGCAGATTGAAGGGGCTGAGTGAGTATAGATGGGTAAGGTGAACTTTCATGTAAATTGGCCCCAGACTGTTAGATGAGATCAGGTGAGATTGTGTGTGCAAGGTGGGACTAGGTGAGATCATGTACAGGTTATGTATACTAGGAGAAACCTGGATGAAAACACACACATAAAATTTCCTGCAGGTGAACTGAACTCAAGTCTCGAAAAATCTGAAATTGTCAAGATTCATTTGTCCCGAAATAGGGGTCCAATTTTACCATTGGCATGGACTCCAGTGGATTAAGGGTCTGTCACAGGCTTTGCGTTTGAGTCGTTCATACAATACAGGCTGCTCTCTTCATCCCCAGGTACCTGATAAGGCGAAAACATCTGTTAGGTCCCAACTTATTTATTTATCACGGTTATCTGTAGCTTTTATGGCTCTGGAGAAAGGAGAGGCCCAGAAGACGCACAAAGAGGGAAAACAAAACAAAACTGTTATACAATGAAGTCCTCATGTGACAGGGAACAGCACCATCTCGTGGCTTAAAAAGGCTTGTTTTACTTTCCTCACCATAGAGTCCACACAAGGCTTAGATGTCTCAGACTACAACTCCCATCAGTCCTAGTCAGCATAACCGAGGGTGATGGGAGTTGTAGTCCTAAAAACATCTGCAGGGCAAAAGCTTGCGAAAAGGCTGGTCCACACCAATATGGTCTGTCTACAAGTGTAGTTGTTATTAGTATGGATAAGAATAGAGAATATGAATGACAATCTACATATTTATTCAGTTTTGTTTACTGGATAGCCTGCAATATGGACTGAGTTTGGTCATATTTTTGGTAAAGGGAGAATTTTGTATCGGAGCAAATTTATTTTGTTCTTATCCCACTGTTTAAGCACAAATGGCTCCCAGAGTGGCTTACGTATAATGAAAGCAAGACAGTCCCTACCACAACACACAAAGAAAAAGGAACAGGGAGGGAAGAGGAGAATTAAAATTCAGCCACCAATTTCAAGACAGTTGTTCTTATAATAACCAGCTGGCCCAGTTTAGGGGCAGAGGTTTAGCAGGAGCACGTGCTAAATCTGTCTGTTGCATAATATAGCATTGCTCCAGATAATATTTGACTTTCATTACATCAAAGATGGGGACCTGTGGGCCTCCAGATTTTGTTGGACTACAAATTCCATTATCCCTGGTTATCGGCCAGGCTGGCTGGGACTGATGGGAGTTTGAATCCAACAACATCTGGAGAGTTACAGCTTTCCCCATCCTGTGCTAGATGCCCCATGTTCCAAATACTCGGCAAGACAAAAGATTATTCCACACTTTAGAGCTGTGGATCAAGTCAGCTGAATCAAACTCTGTAAAGACAGAATCCTTCAGCTGTCTGAACCTAGAGGTCTAAATCACTTACTTCCCAGTAAACATTATCCTCAAAGCAGTTTTCATCTGTGGGGTCTCCAAAGAAAGGCAGTTTCAAAATGCCACCTGAAGGAAAAATAACAGAGCACGGAGTTCATGCTATTGTTTTTATTTTTTATTTAATTTATGTACCGCTTCTGTGCCAAAATGGCTTCTAAGTTGTTAGCAACTGTGTAATTAGATTATGAAAACAGCTTTAATTAAAAAATAAAAGAGAGACCCAGTTAAAAAGCTGTGCAATTAGAGCAGTTAAAAATCATTAAAGCAATATGTCACGCACCTCAGGGCAATATGGTTTTTCATTAGGCCCCTGGCTGCAGTTTGGTGGGACAGGCCAACTAGGAATCAGGGATGCAGCAGAAATTTGATTCAGTTTGATTGTTGTTTCATTTAAAGGCACACCTGAGTTGAAATGCAGCCACCCTTCAGGATTTGCAGTTACCTGAATTTGGCAGTGCAGTTTTTCAATTAATGTTTACAAACATATAAAATATACTACGGGAATAGATAGAACTGAATAATAGGAGTGAAAATAAAATGTATTTTATTAGGGGATATACTGCGTGCCAAAATGTGTCTATCTGTTAAAACTGCAAAAAAACAACAACCAAAAAGTGATCATGAGAAACTCCTCAAGAAACTAATTTTGGGCCCAAGACTGTTTGATGTGTGCCAGGTAACAGTAAACTGAATTATTGGAAACGTTGCAAATAGGTTGTTTTTAAAAAAACAACCAAAAAAACCCATAGCCCAACATGCCACAAGATGGCGGTAGTGAAACACCACAAAGCACCATGAGGCTAAAATTGTAGGCAGTTGCTGGGAAAAGACAGTAAAGAACTCAGGATGGTGGCGCAGGCTGGACTTTGAATACCAAGGAAGCAGAAGGACATTTGCCATTGTAGGCCCAGATCAAAGCCTGATCTGACTTAACACAACCTGGGCTCCCTGGGTCAGTCATATAAAACAAAGACCATATAACACCGGTCCTGAAAGACCTACATTGGCTCCCAATACTTTTCTGAGCACAATTCAAAGTGTTGGTGCTGACCTTTAAAGCCCTAAACGGCCTCGGCCCAGTATACCTGTCGTTCAGCCCAGACACTGAGGTCCAGTCCTGAGGGCCTTCTGGCGGTTCCCTCATTGCGAGAAGTGAAATTACAGGGAACCAGGCAGAGGGCCTTCTCGGTAGTGGCGCCCACCCTGTGGAACGCCTTCCCACCAGATGTCAAGGAAATAAACAAATATCTGACTTTTAGAAAACATCTGAAGGCAGCCCTGTTTAGGGAGGTTTTTAATGTTTGATGTTTTATTGTGCTTTTAATATTCTGCTGGGAGCCGCCCAGTGTGGCTGAGGAGTAATCAATAATAATAATAATAATAATAATAATAATAATACAGGTAGCATTCCTGTTTGTCAGATCAGAAAGGGACAAAAAGACTAATGTGACACGCAGCCTGAATTCTGAGTCAAAATGGAAAGGCACATTTGGACTTAGTCATGACTGGCATTCTCCAGAGTCTTAGGCAGAGGGGTCCTTCCCATCGCTTGCTTCCTGATTCTTCTCATTGCAGATGTCAAGGATTGAACACTGGGCCGTCAGCATGCAAAGCTGTGGTTCTACCACGCACCTACGATGGCCCCTCCTGCCAAAGCCATGCCCAATGATACAGCGATGCCAGCTGCCTGGAAGCCGCCTTGGACGCTGGGCGTTCTGTGGCTGAAGTCTCCCGTGAAGTCAAAAGCGCGGATGAGCCTGCATGGAAGGGAAGCAACAGGGGAAAGGGAGGGGAGTCAGGCTTTCCCACATGGTCAGAGAGAGCAACCCAAAGTCCTTTCAGAAGCGTCGCTGTTTTGCCAAAGCAAAGCCCATACTTTCCTCAGAATTGTGAGCTTTTCTTTAATACACAACGATACGGTTACACTTCAATCAGGGCTTGGAAATCCCTTTGGCCTTTTTGTCTGGCCCTTGTGCCACGCCCCATACCAGCCCTGTTTTGCACCCAGAATGTTTCGACTTCGTTGAACTGCACCCTTGAACTCTGATGATGATGATGATGATAATAATTTAAAAAAAAAAATTATACCCCGCCCTCCCCAGCCAAGGGGACATGGGTGGCGCTGTGGGTTAAACCACAGACCCTAGGACTTGCCGATCAGAAGGTCAGCGGTTCGAATCCCCGCGATGGGGTGAGCTCCTGTTGCTCGGTCCCTGCTCCTGCCAACCTAGCAGTTCAAAAGCACATCAAAGTGCATGTAGATAAATAGGTACCGCTCCAGTGGGAAGGTAAACGGCGTTTCCGTGCGCTGCTCTGGTTTGCCAGAAGCGGCTTAGTCATGCTGGCCACATGACCCGGAAGCTGTATGCCGGCTCCCTCAGCCAATAAAGCGAGATGAGCACTGGAACCCCAGAGTCGGCCACGACTGGACCTAATGGTCAGGGGTCCCTTTACCTTTACCTTACCCCAGCCAAGACCGGGCTCAGGGTGGCTAACACCAGGTATAAAAACAATTGATTAAAATACAACTTAAAAACAAGATTAAAATACAACATTAAAATGCAGCCTCATTTCAGTAGAAACTCAAATCAAAAACTTTTTGGGGGATGAAAACATCAAGTCTTCACCAAGGCCAACTATCCAAACAGGTCCTGTGTGGGCCAGAAAAAAGCCAGGGAAGTCGCCAAATAGGAGTTCCATCACAGAAGGAGAAAGGAAAAAGGAAAGAGGGGGAGGGGATCAAGTTGATTCCAAGTCAAAGGCCAGGCGGAACAACTGAACAATAATGCCTCTTTGCATCTAAGGAGGGGGGAATAAGAGAGGTGAGTGTGCGTCGAAAAGTAGCCTGCTGTACTAGGGTGAAATTTGCATTTGTTACCCCGCCCACATTTGCCTCTGGCCCCGCCCACCACTAGGAAGATTACCCTGAATGGAATGTGGCTCTTGAGTTGAAAAAGGTCTTCCAGCTTCTGCTAAGTAACAGGCATTAAAATAAAAATTAAAATGCAGGTGAATTGCCGCCATAGAGTCAAGTTCTATATCTCCTTCATCCCCCACCCCAAACAAAACACACCACCCTTCAGAGATGCTCACCCTTCCTTCCCGTAGACTCCTTCAGTCGCAGCGGCAGCCGTGACAGCCCCCACAATTCCTCCTATCAGTCCTGGCATCCCATGTAGGTTGTGGATACCGCATGTGTCTTGAATACGCAGTTTGGACTCCAGGAAAGGCTGGCAGGCATGAGGGGAGAACAAGGCATTTAGAAGCAGAACCCGAAACACAGTGTTGCAACGCGGGGTGCTCCTGTTCAGCCATGACCCACTTCTAGAATACTCCATTCCATGGCCACCGCCACACACTGGTTTTCTGTTCCCAAATAGTCAGCCAGTCACTGCTCAGTCAGCTGTTTCAAGGTTCCCTCTCCCTCAGGATGCTTGTCTTTTTTATAAAAAAAAATAATACAGTGGTACCTCGGGTTACAGACGCTTCAGGTTACAGACTCCGCTAACCCAGAAATAGGAACGCGGGTGGTTAAACCACAGACCCTAGGACTTGCCGATCAGAAGGTCGGCGGTTCAAATCCCTGTGATGGGGTGAGCTCCGGTTGCTCGGTCCCTGCTCCTGCCCACCTAGCAGTTCGAAAGCACGGCAAAGTGCAAGTAGATAAATAGGTACCGCTCTGGCGGGAAGGTAAACGGTGTTTCCATGCACTGCTCTGGTTCGCCAGAAGCAGCTTAGTCATGCTGGCAACATGACCTGGAAGATGTACGCCGGCTCCCTTGACCAATAAAGCAAGATGAGCGCCGCAACCCCATAGTCGGTCACGACTGGACCTAATGGTCAGGGGTCCCTTTACCTTTACCTTAACCCAGAAATAGTACCTCGGGTTAAGAACTTTGCTTCAGGATGAGAACAGAAATTGCACTGTGGTGGCATGGCAGCAGCGGGAGGCCCCATTAGCTAAAGTGGTGCTTCAGGTTAAGAACAGTTTCAGGTTAAGAACGGACCTCCGGAAAAAATTAAGTACGTAACCAGAGGTACCACTGTAATGTTGTGCTTCAGCAAACCTCGAGGGTCCCTCAAGCCTACCAGTACCACCTGCTTGTGGTGAAGGTGCTGTTCTGGCTACATAGGGAGCCGTACCTGTCGTTCCTCCCCCCCAGCTGTTATTGGACTGCAGCTCCCATCATCCTTCACCATTGGTCATTCTGGCCAGGACTGATGGGAGATGTAGTCCAACGACATCTGGGTTCTCCGTGCCTAGTGCAGGGTAGAGGTTAGGCACTAGGAAACCCAGGTTCAGATCTCCACTTGGCGAAGTAGCTCACCGCGGGACTTGGGATCTCTCAGCCTAACCAACTTCGCAGGCTTGTTGTGAGAATCAAATGGAGGGGGAGGAGAGCCATGTATTCTGCCTTGAGCTCCAAGAAAGGAAGCCAAGATATAAACATAGTGGAGGGAGAAATAGGCCCCATCTGATTGGTCCTAGAACAATAGGATTCAGAATGAAGGAGTCTGATTGGTCCTAGAACAATGCAGCAGTATGATTGGTCCGCAGGAGCCACCCAATCCAGTTCTAGGTGGAAGTGAATCCACAACCTGATTGGTCTACAGGAGAATCCCGGAATTAGCCAATCACGTGCAGCCCATTGTGTAAATAATGTATATAAAGCAGATATTTTGGGGGAACTTTCATTCCTCCTTACCACTATGAGCTGAATAAAGAGCATGAAATCCACTCTTGATTCCGAGTATATTTCACATGCATTGCCGAGGACTCTGGTACATATTATAGATCTACGGAGGGCAGAATATTGGAGATTCCCAATCCACAAGTACAGTTGAAAAGCTGCCATAAAGCATGTAGGACCAAAGGATCGTGTCACTTGTGGGACATCTCACAATATAGTGGCATATTCGGAAGTACAGGGTCCTTTCATGATAGTCACAGCTATGCCCCTCAATGCCACACCCCTTCTACAATTAATATTTGAAATTTGAAATACTTTATTGTCACTTGTACAACTTGTATACAGCGAGATTACACGAGCACCCCCCACTCAGCTCTCTTAGTCTTAATTCCCCTTGTTTACTGACACCCACCCACCAAACCCGAAAGTCAGTTGCCCTGTTGTTATCTTTTCATTCAGCAGCCTAACAGCCCATGGATAGAAGCTGTTCTTTACCCTGTTGGTGCGACTAATCATGCTTCTATATCTTCTGCCTGAAGGCAGGATATCAAGAAAGTGCCGGCCACACAAGCTTCTAAACATATAAAATAATCTGAAAATTGTGCAATAATAATAAGGGGTGCATTGCAACATTGGAGCCGATTTGTAGGGGCCGAGGTAGTTTCCCCCCCAATGCATTTTTGAGGGGGCCAGGCCCCCTCAATTTTCAGAGGACATTTGGCTCCGCCTTAGCTGTTCGAGAAATTGTATTGCACCCCCTCAACCAGCTGGAGAAGCTGGCGCTTCCTCATTGCAATGATCAATGCAGATCTCCATGTGTTGCCTTGAAGCTAGATCTAATATTTTCTAAAAAGAGGTGCCCTTACCGTGAAGTAGACAAACCCAATGGTAGACACAATGCCACAGATAAACCCAACAATGAGGGAGCCATATGCGGTTAGCATCATTTCTGCCGCAGTCCCCACAGCAACGCCCCCTGCCAGGGTGGCATTCTGGATGTGGACCTGCACAAAACAACAAATTCAGTATTTAATAATAATAATAATAATTTTATTATTTGTACCCTGACCGTCTAGCTGTGTTCACGGAAGAACCTTAAGGACCACCAGGCTTCCTGTTTACTGAGGTGCAGTTAGGCCAGGAGTGGTGCCCTTCACACATTTTGGACCATAACTCCCATCATTCCTGATGGTTGTCCACTGCTGGCTGGGGCTGACGGGAGCTGGAGTCCAGCAACATCTAGAAGACCATGGGTTCCCCATCTCTGTTTTACAAAGGATGGAAGTGAAACTCACATCCCTTATCTCTCACATGCTGGTCCATACAATCTTAGGCTGTGTACATTTATACTTCTGAAGTACAATCAGAGCACCTTTTACCCCTCAGAGAATCCTGGGCCCTGTACTTTACCCCTCGTAGGTACAATTCCTGGCAATTAAAAAGAAAATTACAAGGCCCAGAATTCTTTGAGGGAAGGAACATGCTTTAAAGTAGGCATAGCCAAACTTGGCCCTCCAGATGTTTTGGGACTATAACTCCCATCACCCCTAGCTAACAGGACCAGGGGTCAGGGATGATGGGAACTGTAGTCCCAAAACATCTGGAGGGCCAAGTTTGGCTTTAAAGTGTGTGTACTTTGCCTTATTCTCCTTCTGTCGTCACCCTTTCTGGAGTCCTGTGGTGATGTCTTCTTCCATCACTCTTCTATAAACTGTTGGAAGCCAACCAAACCTTCCCAGCTCATTTGTCAAGCCTCTGCCCTTCTCCTTTCATGGCATCTACCTCCTCTACGCCCCTGCTGTTTGCTAGCCCTTTGCTCCTGGACATTTGCAGGTTATCTTCAACTCATTTTTACTCAAAACAGACCCCCCTTAAATTAATGGGCCTACATTAGGCCATTAATTTCAATGGGTCTACCCTGACTAAAATTTAATTAGCTATAACCCTATGTTTACTTATGATTGCACATATTGTTTGTTTTGTACTCATTGCAGCTGAGATTGGAGCCTTCGCAGCCCATGGATCTTCGACAGCGATCTTCACTGAATTGTTTTCGGTGCCTGCTAAAATGCTGGTGTGTAATATGAAGTCTGGACATGTGGTTTTAATTAGGATAAGTGTTTTATTAGAGCATGGTGTGGGTAACGGCAAGGTTGCAGGTTCGATCCCCATATGGGACGGCTGCATTTTCCTGCATTGCAGGTGTTCGGACTAGACGATCCTCAGGGTCCCTTCTATCTTTACAATTCTATGATAATGGTTTCATTTTATATTTTAATTTCTTTTATATAACTTGATTTCTTACGTTTGTTTTTATGTTTTTAAAAATTGCCATTTTAGATCGTATTTTGTAAATCCCTGGGAGGTATCCCTGTTCTAGTAAGTGACACATAAATGTTAAATAGAATAAATAAATAAACTGAGGTGTGCCCAGACTGTCAGTAGGGGGTGGGTTCAAGTGCACACTGAGAAACTGAGCTTTGTGCAGTTAAAGTGGATTAAAGTGCTTTGGTGACCTCAAGAAAATCACTTAACGGCAGCAACAACAACTTTTGTGGTTAGGAAAGTGTTGGGGGAACGCGTTGAAAAGTGTATGATGAACCAATGATTCACAGGATATAAACACTGCAGAAGCAAAGGGGGATGAATGGTCATTGTCATATATAGGCTACCAGGAAATGAATAAGAATGAAAGCTCAGTCAACACCAGATATGATAATCTCACCCCATGAGCTTTCTTCAAGCAAATCAGGATGACTGCTCAATGAGCATGTCATACAGATAAGTAGCAGAATTCCAAGCCTTGCATCAGGGCTAGCCAACTCCCATCAGACCCAGCCAGTATAGTCAAGGATCGGGGATGATGGAGGTTGCAGTTGGAACAATATCTGGAGGGAGACCACCTTGGCTACCCAAGGAATGTGAGAAGGGCTGTAGCTCAAAGGCAGAGCACACGTTTGTTCTCCAACTTTGTAGAGTTCAGTTCCCTATCAGGCATTAGAATCAAAGTCACAGAATCAAATAATTGTAGAGTTGGAAGGGACCAATATGCTGCCCCTACCGCTTATGGCTGCGGGATGTAGTCCATTGGAGCAGTCAAATGCAACATTCCTTGTTTACCTAGAGTGGACACAGACAGGGGGATGTTGAACCAGCCAGCTGAACTTCCTGTCCCACCTGGTCTGGAGCATCCTCCCCCTGCATGTTACCAGGGAGGTGGGCGTGACCCTTGCAGACCCCACAAAAGGTCCAGCCACGCAGCCATCCTCCTCTTTTGATGCCTTTTCTTCTCTTGGACTGCAATGCTGGCTCCCTGCCAGCAGCACAGGGTCTCATCCTTACAAGGATGTAAGCCACACTGTATCTGTAACTATAAGCTAAAGCCTGCCTTCAGGGATCCAACTGTGAACTGAATGTGAGTAAACCTCTTACTACTTTTAAAAGAAGCTTCTTGTGTCTTTATTCTTTTTAGGAGGGAGAAAAGGGGACTCACCAGGAACAGAACCCAATCTGAACAATGCCAGATTGGATTGCTTAAGTAAAGAGGTTCAAACGAATTTACCAACTACCTTCCTGCTATATATTGGGGAATGTCGCTCTGCTGCTGACTCACAAGCATGAGTTAGGAACGATACTATGAAATCAATAAATCTTCTTGTAGTATCTACAACATTCCAACAATAGCACCCATGAAAGGTCTCAATAAATATTTTTCAATAAATATGAGAGGTTGTTTGCTCCTCCTGCTCAGTTCCTGCTTGCACTGACACAGCCCCTCCTAGGCTGAACACGCCTCCTCAGAAATATCCAGATTTCATTGGATACTAGGATTAGGCACCTACCTGCCCTCACTTCCTTTCTGAAAAGAGGAGACATGCAAAGAGGTTCTCTCTGTGTACAAACATGGTAGTGACTGGTGCCCATGGGATTTGTTCCACCAGCTTCAAAAGCTTGGTGATCTTGCCCTACATCTGCACTCAAATAATCTCAAGATTAGAAAGACCTCTCTCTGGATCCTGGGAGAGTTGTTGACAGTCTGAGCAGACAATAGTGGACTATAGACAGTCTCAGTATAATGGAGTTTCCTGCATTCAGTAGGCTATACTCTTATCAAGGGAAAGTGACGCTCCTCCTCTTGCTCTCCAGAACCCAATTCTGTCTACTTGGTTCCACTGATTATCCTTCCGTTCTTTATTTTCCACTGGTGCCAGCTGCACGGCTGAAGAGATAAGCCTTCTCAGTTAAAAGGCACACTGAATAGTGGCTTGCCTCTTCAACATTTAGCGGAAAACGTTAACATTTTTTCCTCCCTTGCTCTTCCATAATGACCATTGGCGGTCCTTGGAAAAGTGGTTTGAAACCACTACACCCAAGAATTTTGGAAACCTTTAATTTCTCTGCAACTCCCCCCAAAATAATTGCTTGCCAGAGGCGTGTGTGGATGTGTATCTCCCTACAGTTCCTATGAGCCCACAAAACACAAGGAGCAAAGAAGGGAGTGTGCTTATGTACCCCATGCTAGTGGTGGCAATGTGAAGATCGTCAGTCTTTGCTCACCATGTTCAGCTTGCCTTTCTTCTGCAACAAGCTCGAGAAGGCCACAGTCGTGAGGACACAGGCCGCCAGAGAGCAATAGGTGTTGATGGCAGCCCGGTGTTGGGCATCTCCATGATCAGAAATGGCAGAGTTGAAACTGGGCCAGTACATCCATAGAAATAAGGTGCCTGGAGGAGGAGGAAGGATGAACTAACTTGCAACATCAGATTAACAGAAGCATCTAGATCAGTGGTTCCCAACCTTTTCGGTATGTCAACCCACAAATCCAATTTTACTTGGGTTCACGACCCATTCATTCGTTGTAACATGAATTTGGGGCTGTAGTTCTTCTTTGCCACCAGCGAGTGGTCCCCAAGAGTTAAAATATAAGGCTCAAGCCCTGCCAGTAACCATTATCAGGAATCCTGGCAGACAGGATTTCTGCTGTAGACCGATTCCTGTGATGTACGGTATTTCTGCTGTAGACCACCTCCTTTTATGATGTACGTATGATGTTTTGGGGGTTGGTCTTGGGCTACAGGGTGGGAAATTCCAAAAGTCTATATAAGGGGTTGCACACCATTGTTCAAGGTTCTCCCTCCAGCGTGTGGGGAGTGGGGACCCTGTTGCAACAGTTAATAAAAATCAGGCTTACTAGCCGCTTTGCTTCTCAATACCCTCTGGTTGGCCTCTGTTATTTTCTCCTACTGATGGGGGACCCACTTAAGGACTCTATACGGGCTCTTGGATACCCCATAAGGGAAAAGGAGCAGTTTTTTTCTATAACACACCGCTGATGTAGAACAGGCTGACACTGAGCCTTGTGAGCTGACAAAGAAGCACGCTGTCATCTGCAGACCATTTCATTGTTCAATCTGTCTCTGAGCTACTTTGGCAGGATTAAGGATGGAGAGAAGAGACATTCTTCTCATTAGCAAACTGGGGCCGATCTTCCCTAAGCCTGGCCACCCTGCAAGCTGAAGGCAGAAAGCATCAAAAACCAAAGGCAAATCTTACCAATCATAGAGAAGAGATCTGAGTGGTAGACAGAACCCTGCTTATCTTTGGTCTGCTCCAAGTTGGGCCGATACAAAATGGCGGTCACCACTAGTCCAAAGTAAGCGCCAAATGTGTGAATGGTCATGGATCCACCAGCATCTTTAACCTGCAGTGATGGGAGAGAACAGGGGTCAGTCTTGGGAAGGAACGGGAGGGTCTCCATGACTGTCCCAGAAGCAGCTAGACCACAATGAGAAAATCCCCTCACAGAGCAACAATTCTCAGAGCGGTCTTACAATCCAATCCCTCTTCACAGAGAACTCTGGGAATTATAGTTCTGTGAGGGGAATAAGGGCCTCCTAACAACTCTCAGAACCCTTACCAAACTACAGCTCCCAGGATTATTTGGGAGAATCCATGACTGTTAAAAGTGTTTTAAATGTGTGGTGTTTTAAATGCATGCCCTCCAACATGTTATGGCGAAAAACTGGGATGCGCATCTTCCAGGCTGCGCTCCCAGTGCGAGAGTACACAGCCAAAACACCTCACATTTTGGGGCTCCATGATCTCATGACATATCGCGATCTCACATGTTTTCAGGTACCATGCTCTCACGTGAGAGCAGAGCCCCAAAATGGGATGTTCCCATTTAATCGGGGCAGTTGAGTGGTATGTAAAACATATGGTGTGAATGTGGCGAATCTTGGCAACAGTGGAAGCTTTCTCCAATGTAGTCAACGAACCCTCCCCAAGCTCAGGACCACAGCAGAAGTCAAAGGCTTAAAGCTCCCCAACACCCCAGATCTAGATTGAGGGAGGCTTGTGCTCACTCACCCTTTAAAATAGGGGTAGACAACCTAAGGCCTGTGGGCCGGATGCGGCCCAATCACCTTCTCAATCCGGCCCGTGGACGGTCCGGGAATCAGCATGTTTTTACATGAGTAGAATGTGTCCTTTTATTTAAAATGCATCCCTGGGTTATTTGTGGGGCATAGGAATTCGTTCATCCCCCCCACCCAAAAAAAAATATATATAGTCCGGCCCACCACATGGTCTGAGGGAAGGTAGACCGGCCCACGGCTGAAAAAGGTTGCTGACCCCTGCTTTAAAGCAACTACTATTTGTGCAATTGCTAATCCCATGAGTGGTGTTCTGTCCAGTTTGGTTCTGAGCTTGGCACACAAAAACAGCCTTTTGGAGCTGATAAAAGAAGAATGTTATGTGGGAAAATATAGGAAACTAATCTGGCTTTCCATTTATGGAGTGAATTCATTGTAATATTATTTGGTGCAACTGACATGAATTTGGCAAACAAGTAATATTTCCCAGCGCTTGCAACATTGGTGAGTGAAGCCCAAGGCTGTCCTTGCATCCCACACAGTGACCAAAAAAATATATATTTTTGAGCTTGCCTCCCTCAGGGCACAGTCCAATTCCTCTATCTGATGGTCTGAGGAATGTCTTCCTCTGGGGGCCTTTACACACCATTGCACTACTTGTGCAATCACATTCCACAAGGCCAGGACTAACTCCAGGTTTTTGTGTGCTTTGGAAAAGAGACCTGCGCTGGGCAGGTCTTAAAGCTTAAAGCTCACCAACACCCCCTCCCCCATTTTTATTTTTATTTTTTGCCAGAGTCCTGATCTAGATTGGGGAAGGCCTGTGCCGACTCACCCTTTAAAACAACTACTATTTGTGCAATTGCTAATCCCATGAGTGGTGTTCTGTTCAGTTTGGTTCTGTCCCTCAAGCAGTTTTCCTTTCGTCCCTCCCCTTCCCACACAGGTAGGAATTCGCTCTGCTCCATCTGCACTATACATTTAAAGCAGTATCATACACAGTCATAGCTTCCCCCAAAGAATCCTGGGAAATGTAGCTGGTTAAGGGTGCTGAGAGTTGGAAGGAAATCCCCTATTGTCAGGATGCTGTCAGCGGCTCCTGGCTGGTTGCCAAGGAAAGTATAAAAACAAGGAAACATTTCAGACAGTCCTTTTTTATTCCATACTTTACAGAACCCAGCCTCTTGGATAATGGCATGGTCCTGAGTAAATCTCCACTCCCCTTCTCTCCCACTTCTTCATTAGTCATCTCTTCTATGGGTGCTGATAAATGCCCTCTGTCTTTGAGCTCTTTGCTCTCCTACTTCTAAGTCTCGCCAGGTTCTGGGAGATGGTGGGTCTGGAATGCTTTCTAGTGATAACATGTCAGCCCGCTGCTGCTCCGGCCCTGCCTGCTCCTTCACTCCCCTGATTTCCCAACTTTCCCCTTCATCTGCCTCTGAGCTACAACCTCCCTCACCCCCTTGTTGTAAAGCTGTACTGTCTTCCTCTTCCTCCTCCCTGGAAGGGTCAGGATGGGGAGGCAGTCTCCACCATTCATCCTCTGCCCAGACCCTGACACCTATTCTCCTTACAGAGCAGCAGAGGACTTTGGGCTTTCAGATTTCAGTGGCGCCCTATGCAATACCAAAATTTGGTGCCTCCCCCCTGGCCTCTCATCTTCCTTTGTTTGTCATTGTTACAACGTCCCTGCAGCACTCTCTAGGCTTGGCGCCCAGTGTGGGCGAAGCAGTCGCTCTGCCCTAAATCCACTTGTGTGCAGAGCTATATTCCCCAAAGTTTCCTGGGAAGGAGAATTAATTGTGAAACCACTTGGGCACTAGTAAGTGTCTGTGGACTCAGCTACATTGGCAAAGAAAAAGCGCCTCGTATGTGCTGTATATTCATTAAAACACTGTGACACCAGGTGGCGCTGTGGAGTTCCATTTTTGCCAACCCGATTTCTTATACAAAGTTTACGGCGCGTTTAACTGAAACACTTCTTGGGTGTGTCTAGATCCAGCGTGTGTGTGTGTGTGTGTGTGTGTGAGAGAGAGAGAGAGAGAGAGAGAGAGAGAGAGTTAAATAGCCTTACATGGAGCAGGTCCAGTAGGATGTATTCATTAACGGAGAAGAGAGTCACTTGAAACAGTGTCATGATCAGCAGCTGCACAGGACTGATTTTGCCCAGGACGGCGCCAAAGGCGATGCAGACAGAACCCACACAGAAATCTGCACCAATCATGCTGAGAGGAAGAGGAAGAGGAAGGTTAGAAATGAAGCACATTTATGTATATACAGTGGTACCTCAGGTTACAGACGATTCAGGTTATGTGTTTTCGGGTTGCGCACCGCGCCGAACCGGAACGGGTTATTACCGGGTTTCGGCGCTTGCGCATGCACAGAAGTGCTAAATTGCGCTTTGTGCATGCACAGAAGCACCGAATCACGACCCGTGCATGTGCAGATGTGGCGCTGCGGGTTGCGAACGCTGCGGGTTGCGAACATGCCTCCCTCACGGATCACGTTCGCAACCCGAGGTTCCACTGTATATCAAAACCTGTATAAACCAGTGTACTTCCACCTTAAGTCCCCAGACGTTGTTGGACCAGTAGCGGATCGTGTGTTGGGTGGCAAGCAGGTATGGTGCAAACAGACCTGCGGGAGCCCTGGATGAGCTGTGCTGCTGCACATCACCGCGTCATTTTCACCATACCACTGTCCTTCTGCCTCTAATTCCACCCATATGACTGACTGGAGATCAGGCAAGCACCACTGCCTCCCCATGCTACTCCCCATGCTCCCCAACGCTACTGCGTTGGATCACAACTCCCATCATCCTGACCATTAGCTAAGCTGGCTATGGTGATGATGGGAGTTGTAGTCCAACATCTAGGACCCAAGGATGAAGCAACGCTGGCATAAACTGAATCCCTTCCATATCAGGAGGCCCTCAAGATTCACAGGGAGGACAGAAACACCACGTGTGGATCTTCCATGTTTCCTGGTCTCCTTTGCCTCTCCTTTACTTTACTTTCCTGTTACAGTGGTACCTCAGGTTAAGTACTTAATTTGTTCTGGAGGTCCGTACTTAACCTGAAACTGTTCTTAACCTGAAGCACCACTTTAGCTAATGGGGCCTCCCACTGCCGCCGGAGCACGATTTTTGTTCTCATCCTGAAGCAAAGTTCTTAACCTGAGGTACTATTTCTGGGTTAGCAGAGTATGTAACCTGAAGTGTATGTAACCCGAGGTACCACTGTATTTGTTTTCTAAATGCCTGTTTTAAAGTGTACAGTGGTACCTCGGGTTACATACGCTTCAGGTTACAGACTCCGATAACCCAGAAATAGTACCTCGGGTTAAGAACTTTGCTTCAGGATGAGAACAGAAATCGTGCTCCGGTGGTGTGGCGGCAGCAGGAGGCCCCATTAGCTAAAGTGGTGCTTCAGGTTAAGAACAGTTTCAGGTTAAGAATGGACCTCCGGAACAAATTAAGTTCTTAACCCGAGGTACCACTGTAGATTCCTTGCAGCAGGGACCTGTATTTCTGACTTAACTGACCCTGTGGTGGTATGCTACAGAGATATAGTAAACAACAACTGGGCTATTGTCTTGATCCAACTGGCTCATCTTATATTCTTCTGCCTATTCAGACTCTTAATGCCATATTTTAATGCTCTAAGCATTCATTTTGTCCTATTAACAATTCTGTGAAACTCAAAAGTTTCCATATCTTTCTGATTCCCTATAGGGCAAATGGATTCTGTCTCACTCGCCAGCCCTCCTTCCCTGTTCGTATCTTTACATTTAAATACAGTGGTACCTCGGGTTGAGAACTTAATTCGTTCTGGAGGTCTGTTCTTAACCTGAAACTGTTCTTAACCTGAGGTACCACTTTAGCTAATGGGGCTTCCCGCTGCCGCCGTGCGATTTCTGTTCTCATCCTGAAGCAAAGTTCTTAACCCGAGGTACTATTTCTGGGTTAGCGGAGTCTGGAACCTGAACTGTCTGTAACCCGAGGTACCACTGTACAACACACTGGTTCTTTTCACCAGTGTATCACACTAACCTTATAGTCCAGCCAAGAAATACGGGACCCCCACCCACCCCAGCCAGGTTCCATATGGGCAAACTTACCTTTCCACTCCAATGAGTATCTTCCCATTCTCAAAGGTATGAAACCAGCCCTGAACCAGGAGAGCCCACTGGATTCCAAAGGCGGCAAGGAGGAAGTTGAACGCGACAGCCCCAAAACCGTAGCGTTGAAGAAATGTCATGAGGAACCCAAAGCCCACAAAAATCATCACATGAACATCTTGGAAAGCTGCGTTAAAGAAAGAAATTTCATTGACGTTGGTTCAAAAATGTGTGTTCAATAGAATAAGAAAACAAGAAGAACATAACGTTTAGAGAAGATTGGAAAGCGTTTATGGAATATATGGGAAATAACTGTGTACAGCTGAAAACGCTGGCAGCGTTAAGATAAATTCAAGAGTGTAAATTAGTTATGATGGATGTAATAATGGAATGGGACGCGGGTGGCGCTGTGGGTTAAACCGCAGAGCCTAGGACTTGCCGATCAGAAGGTCAGCAGTTCAAATCCCCACGACGGGGTGAGCTCCCGTTGCTCGGTCCCTGCTCCTGCCAACCTAGCAGTTCGAAAGCACGTCAAAGTGCAAGTACATAAATAGGTACTGCTCTGGCGGGAAGGTAAATGGCGTTTCCGTGTGCTGCTATGGTTCTCCAGAAGCGGCTTAGTCATGCTGGCCACATGACCCAGAAGCTGTACGCCGGTTCCCTCGGCCAATAAAGTGAGATGAGCGCCGCAACCCCAGAGTCAGCCACGGCTGGACCAAATGGTCAGGGGTTCCTTTACCTTTACTAATAATGGAATACTGAATGGTATAGTTTCTGTAAAATATGCAGGGATTATAACAAGAACCATGGAATGAGAAGAAGGGAAGTCACTGATATCTTAAGGATGTGAAAATGAGTACTTTAAATTGTAAAACAGAAAATTTAATAAAAATTATATATAAAAACGAAAGTATGTGTTCACCCCAACCCTCACCTCACTTTATCTGCATATCTAGCAACCATGCTCGCTTCCTGTTTTATTTTATTTCACTTTTAATTCCCACACCACCTTTCAATATTACTATGCACAAGGTGCTTTACAGCAACAGAATATGCAACAAAGAACACACACCAGATGATAATCTGATCCAATACAAAAAGTCATAATAAAACATAACTTTAAAATGGAACGGCTTAAATCAAACAAAGTAATATTCAATAATCTATTAGAATATAAGAGTACACAATAAAATCAACTCTCAAAATACCAGCAAATAATAATTAAACAGAAATTCACTCTTAACAATCACAGTAAATAATTGCTAAACTATGATCAATAAAAATAACTGCAAGTTGTGATGCATAAAATACCAAAACCATGTAAAAGGATCAAGTTGAGAAACAAAGATGCACAACTTATAAAACTATTTTTTTAAAAAAAATCCCAAATCTAAAAATCCCTAAAAATCTCTAAATGCTGCTGAGGACTCTCACACACAAGCGGCATCGAATGATGCCTTAAGAATACAAAAACATAAGTAGAGTTCTGCTGGATCAATGGAATATACTTAGGAAACTGCATCATACGAAGTCAGATCATTGGCCAATCTAGCATACTATTGTCCAATGACTTTCAAGAAGGAGCCTTTTCCTAGTCCAGCTGGAGATGCTGGGGACTGAACCTAGGAAGCAAAACCTCCTGCAAGCAAAACAGACGCTCAACCATTATAGTCTTTCCCTCTTAGTATCAGACCAGGGGACCACCTAATTGCGTTGGTTTTAAAATTTCATTTGTTGTTTTGGTTAGAGGGGAAATACTTTAGATATATTAAAAAGGAGAATTCCCTGGGTGTCTAGATCAAGGTTTGGGGTAAGTACTCTTTGATGAGAGAGCACCAGCAGAGATTTAAAAGCACAAACATGCAGCAAAGTAAAGCAAGGAAATATAGACTATTAGACTTTTAAAATATCCCCTTCCAAGTTGCCTCCAAAGCCCCCCATTTCCCTTAGCATAGAAAGAGACCACATGTTTGGTAAGTTAAAAAATGATTTACTTACCAACTTTTCAAAGGTCAGATTCATGTGTTTTTCCATACAGCAGCAAGAAAAGACAGGCGGTATAACTTAGGCTGCTGAATGGTAAATGTTTCTAAATTATTTGTATAGAAACACAAAGATGGCTTGCTTAAGCCATGCGGTCTAAGCTTGGACCTCCTCACTAGTCAGATTTACAGAGTGGAAGAGAGAGAACAGAGTTTGGTAACCTTTTCTCCCAAGGTGAAGGGGTTTGACCCAGTTAAGCTGGGCAGGACAGCTTATCCTATGGTAATCTTATAATTATACAATAATAATAACTAGTGATGCATTGCAATGACCAATGCAGACCCCATGTGTTGCTTTGCAGCTAGATCTACTGCTGTGCACGTATGCGGCAAATGGTTTGGTATACTCCAGTATCTTCTTTCAAAGTGACTTAAGTTGTGTTTCCCATGAAATTCCATTGTATGTAGCAGAACTTGCATATCATTCTCTTGAAACTGAAGCAGCTGGAGTTTCATTCCTAAATGCTTAGGTTTGGGGACATACAGAACAACTCTGAGCTCATCAAGACTTCGTTCAGCTCCGAGGGCCTTCTGGCGGTTCCCTCACTGCGAGAAGTAAGGTGACAGGGAACCAGGCAGAGGGTCTTCTCGGTGGTGGTACCCGCCGTGTGGAACGGCCTCCCATCAGATGTCAAAGAAATAAACAACTATCTGACTTTTAGAAGACATCTGAAGGCAGCCCTGTTTAGGGAAGCTTTTAATGTTCAATGTTTTATCGTGTTTTTAATATTCTGTTGGGAGCTGGCCAGAGTGGCTGGGGAAACCCAGTCAGATGGGCGGGGTATAAATAAATGATGATGATGATGATGATGTGAAAGCAAGCATATTTGTGAAACCCCAAACTATGGACTTCTCATTCAGAAACCGCTAGAAGAGACCGGAAACATCCTGTTATTTGACGTTGCCATTGACGTATCCTATGTGTGTGTGTGTGTGTGTGTGTGTGTGTGTGTGTGACAAAATTAGTAAAACATATCACACGCTGATATACTGGCCATTTGCACTACACAAGGTACACAGTGCACAGCAATTTCCCACCCACCCCCTTGGGCTTCTGCAACTCTGTCTGCATTGCAAAACAAGTCTATACATTTCCAGCCACTTGCCATCCATCATGTCCTCGAGATAGAAATCAGCTCCAGTGATGTAAAATGACACTCAGCAATTATCAGTGGTCCAGGAGGTCCTTAGGCTGCTGAATAAGACCAAGATGAGGGTTATGTTTCCTCCATCATTTGGCCTGGGAATTCCCACCATACATAAACAAGTAAACTTGCATGAATCAGCCCATATTCTGCCCTCATGCATTTAAAGGGCATATGCACTGTGGCTTATTCACTTGCATTTCGAATCTGGCCCATCCCTAAGAAATGGAACATGAATCACTGGGCTAAGCATATTCCTGTTCAGAATGGAAAGAAGCAGAAGTCCCAGCAAAGGACGAATGGATACAAAAACTTATAGAATATGCAGAAATGGCGAAAATCACCGGAAGAATAAGAAATCAAGATAGCAAACTTTTTAAAATAAAATAATGGAAATGGTTTATTGAATATTTACAGATGAACTGCAAACAGATAAAAGTGTTGGCAGGATTATTGTAATAACCTGCAGTTTCGTAAGAGTTTATATTTAAAGTAGATAATTAAATGAGCAAATTAAATGAATTTGGATATGCAGAAGATATTAAAAAATAAATTTAAGGAACTGCAGAAAGAGCAGGGGGGAAGTCAAACTTTGAAATGTTAAAATAATTGTAAAATTTATGAAATGTATAAATTTGAAAAGTATAAATAAAAACTTTTTTAAAGGGAATGGGTACACAGCTGGCAAACCAGATGAAAAAGGTAAAAAGCACACACTCTGTGCCCCCAAGATCATATGTGCTTCTTCTTCCATGGAGGATTTAATGGTGGGAATTGGTAAAAGGATATATTAATCATATTTAATCCTACAGAGACCTGTGTGGGTGTGTTAATAACAAAGAAAAGTGGCAGCAAGCCTGTATTCCAAAGTGTGGGGCTTCAGCAGTCTCTCTGATGGGGAGAAAACCCCTAACAGAATTTCATTCTTATTCTTAGGCAGAATAGCGATGCATGGGAATATGCTGTTAAACCTTATTTATTCCGTTTAGCTGTATAAAGCAGCTGACGCCCCTTTCTATCCCTCCTGCAATGAAGCAGACCACACACTGAAGTAAGTTTAAAATACTTTACTTACGTATTTGATGTCACAGTCCTGCATTATTCTATGCAGCAACGATAAGAAATTCAGGCATATGGGTAAAAAGGAAGCAGCAAGATAGCTTCAGACAGGTGTCTAGAGCTGGAAGCTATTGAGAGACACATGCTGCTTCCATAGCTACATCGTAAAGAAAGGAGAAGGGGAAAAGAAGATAAGATATACAGCATTTCCTTCCTCACTGGGGGTGAGGGGACATGACCTAACTGAACCTTCTCTAGCAATTAGAACTCTGTGGTCCTTGACCCTTTTCATATACTAACAATCATGCAGTTGTGGCTGACTACAAAATCTCCCAGAGATCTGGTCAAGTAGGATCTGGAGCCCTCAGAAACAGCCCAGAACAGTAAAGGGGGAGTCAGGCCTTTATGGGAGACTAGCAGGGATCTCTCCCCCAGAAAGGGAACTTGGCCTCTGAAGCAGAGGTGTAACAACCCCTAAGACCCCGGAAGTGATGGCACCAATGCCCTATCTATCCCAGCATCCTGTTCTCACAGTGACCAACTCCCACTGGATGCCCATGGGAAATACTCAGGCAGGATCTGAGCAGAAGATCCCTCTCCCCTCCAGTGGTTTCCAGCAACTGGTATTCAGAAGCATCACAAAAAGTATATGAAAGATGTACCTCAAGGCTGTCAGAGGAAGGGCAAGGGGTTGTTCAATGAATCCCATAAAATCTTGCTTTGTTTTCACTAATGTTTGCTTCTGCTACCAGACAGGCTGGATCTACCAATGTATTTAGAGAAGCCTTGTCAAAGTTAACCTGCAGAGGTGGAAAGGATGGTAGCAGGACCAAGCAGGATTGAATTCCCCAAGAGCATCGGTAGGCAAACTAAGGCCCAGGGGTCGGATCCAGCCCAATCGCCTTCTAAATCCAGCCCACGGACGGTCCGGGAATCAGCATGTTTTTACATGAGTAGAATGTGTCCTTTTATTTAAAACGCATCTCTGGGTTATTTGTGGGGCATGGGAATTCGTTCTTTTCTTTCAAAATATAGTCCCGGCCCCCCACAAGGTCTGAGGGACATTGGACCGGCCCCCTGCTGAAAAAGTTTGCTGACCCCTGCTCAAGAGGATTAAAAACTTTCTAAAAGAATGGGGGAAATTTACAAGTTATCTAGGAGACCACTGTAAGCTGATGGAAGCAAGAGCAGGATTTTGACACACTTGTAGTGTAAAAAACATTATGGCAATATGGTTCGATATAAAAACTGGACTACAGACTAATGTGCAGTTGTAGATGTTTTGAAACAAGACCCCATGGACAGGATGAGGGAAAGACGTGAGATTCAGGGAATCTCCACATATAGTATTACTTTATTGATGTGTGTTTATTTGTATTTTATATTTGTAAAATTAATAAAATGGTGTGTTTTTTAAAAAAAGAATTTCCCATTCATTAGTTGATGGGCAGTGGGAGCCGACCAGCTTTCTTCAGGTACATGAAAGATTTCCACACAGGGAGCTCTCTCATACACCCAGACCCAACAGCACTGGACTCCCCACAAGGTGGTACAGTCCTTTCTGCAGGGATTGGCTGTGTAAGGCAATCCAGCCACTTTTCCAGCGGTCCCACACTTGATGTAACATTTGAAGCCAACAGCTGGGATAGTTCCGTCGATAGAGCTTGAGACTCTTAATCTTAGGTTTGTGAGTTCAAGCCCCACGTTGCACAAAAGATTCCTGCATAACAAGGGGTTGGATTAGATGACCCTGGTGTTCAATTCCAACTCTACAATTCTATGAATCTATGAACAGTCATGGCACCCCCTCTTCATGAGGAGGGGGAAACTTCCTGGGATTGCTTTGGGAACTCGTGTGATTCAGAGGCAAAGTTAAAATGTGTCAGCTAAATTTCAAGTTAGTACAATAAGTACAGAAAGAATAAAGTAAGCACTGTCTGGTCTCCTAGAATACAAAGGAATGTTAATCCTATGCAAAAGTGGAGGAGGAAAGAGATAAAATTGCACGTCAATAGGAAACAGGATTGTCCAGTTCAGATTGTATCCCTTAACCGACACAAATGAAGAACTTTGGCAGCTGAGTCAATCATAACCAACATGTTCTATCCCTAATATAATATATTCATGTCGACTCCCAGAAGGAGAAAATGTTGTAACGCTACTACTGCCACCGGTAGAGGAAGTTTAATGATTAAACAGTGTCTGGCTTAATCCAGGCTTTCTACTGATGTGAGGGTGAGACTGAGCAGCTAAGCTTTCCAGGGACTGAGGGAACTAGCCGAGATTCTCATCTCAAACTCGTGTTTAATGAAGTGAGGTGTTTTGTTTATGAAACCCAAGTGAAGAGCGTGTGATTTTCCCCAAGCACGTCGCGTCGGAACTCTGTTAATATCAATGCCACTGTAAAAGTCTTGGGTGACTGGGAGCATTTGGGAGAGGCTGCATAATAGAGAAAAAACAAAACACCCAGGCTTTGCCATACTCCCAAAGTGGTGGCAGTTCGTGAATGAGGAAGACATCCAGTGACATCACACCCAGCTGAAATTAAGTAAGGTTACCATCTGCACCATACGTTTAAAGCAGTAGCATACCACTTTAAGCAGTCATAGCTTCTCACAGAGAATCCTGGGAAAGGTAGTTTGTTCAAGGGTGCTGAGAGTTGCAGTCCTCGAGAGTGGTTTAACAATCACTCCCTCTTCCCAGGGAACTCTGGGAAATGTAGGCCATTTCCTTCAAGGGTACAGTACTTGGAACTGCAGCTCTTTGAAGGGTAATCCACAGTTCCCAGGGTTCTTTAGGGGAAGCTATGTGTTTTCTATGCATGGTGTGGAATGCGTGTGACCTCAAAAAACAGGGTGCCTCTGAGCAGATGCTTAGACTTGTAATTTGTTTCCACTACCAGAACTGAACTAAGCTTACGGTCTATTCACACAAAATTCCACTCCTGGTTACAGTGGTACCTCGGGTTACATACACTTCAGGTTACATTCGCTTCAGGTTACAGACTCCGCTAACCCAGAAATATTACCTCGGGTTAAAAACTTTGCTTCAGGATGAGAACAGAAATTGGGCTCCGGCGGCACGGCAGCAGCAGGATGCCCCATTAGCTGAAGTGGTGCTTCAGGCTAAGAACAGTTTCAGGTTAAGAACGGACATCCGGAACGAATTAAGTACTTAACCCGAGGTACCACTGTGTCTTTCTTCCGTTCAGCAGCCTACTTTAGGTGGAAAAAGTCAGCTTGTTGTTGCTACTGTTAAACAACTGAGAGTCAGAAATCCTGGCTCAGGAAAAGCTAACATGCTGCTCTACAGATGTTGTGTGGACTATAATTCCCATCAGCCACAGCCAGCATGGTGAATGATCAGGGATGATGGGAGTTCCAGTCCACAACAGCTCGAAGGCGCCACATTGCCCACCACTGTCCTTGCCAATCTCCTTCAAATTAGCCAGGGATCCCAGTTGACTTTAAAGCAAACTAGTTGGCCCAACCAAAAGATCTAATGACTCCTTTTCAGTCCCTTCATATTCTGTGGAATCCACAGGGTTGCAAAGACCAACAACAATACTAGTCAGTGCTATAAAAAAGAGGTGCCATGAACTACTGCATATAATGCATGTTTGCATGTATTTGAGAAAGGGTGGTAGTAATTCTTTCCTTGAAACCTGAGAAACAGCGCACAGTTTCTCCCCAATCCTGTGACTGCTTTTCTCCTCCAGCCTATACCGCTTGAAGTGAGTCAGGCTTCACCATCTCTCTGTTTGGCACCTATCCAAATCGGGCAAAACAACACACATCCTGATACACCCATTAACCTCCATCCCCACATGGTTGTATACAGGGAAGAACCAGGCACAAGAACCAAGACAGGTAAGATGAGAAGGAATAGAGAGGATGGGCTGCTCAGGGGCGATGGGCACAGAATGGGGAAAGCGCTCCAAACATTACAAAGAGGGATGGGAGAGGAATTTGCTTTCCTTTGCAATTTAAGTTGAAACTACCCAATTCATGGTGGGATGCGGGTGACGCTGTGGGTTAAACCACAGAGCCTAGGGCTTGCCGATCAGAAGGTCGGCGGTTCGAATCCCCACGACGGGGTGAGATCCCATTGCTTGGTCCCTGCTCCTGCCAACCTAGCAGTTTGAAAGCACAAAGTGCAAGTAGCACAGTGTTTCCGTGCACTGCTCTAGTTTGCCAGAAGCGACTTAGTCATGCTGGCCACATGACCCGGAAGCTGTATGCTGGCTCCCTCAGCCAATAAAGCGAGATGAGCGCCACAACCCCCAGAGTCATCTGTGATTGGACCTAATGGTCAGGGGTCCCTTTACCCAATTCACACCTCTTGAACCGATAAAGGTAAAGGTAAAGGGACCCATGACCATTAGGTCCAGTCATGACCGACTCTGGGGTTGCAGCGCTCATCTCGCTTTATTGGCCGAGGGAGCCGGCGTTTGTCTGCAGACAGCTTCCAGGTCATGTGGTCAGCATGACTATGCCACTTCTGGTGAACCAGAGCAGCACACGGAAATGCCGTTTACCTTCCCGCCGGAGCGGTGCTTTCGAACTGCTAGGTTGGCAGGAGCAGGGACCGAGCAAAGGGAGCTCACCCCGTCGTGGGGATTCGAACTGCCGACCTTCTGATCAGCAAATCATAGGCTCTGTGGTTTAACCCCCAGCGCCACCGCGTCCCTCCTCGAACCGATACATGAATGTAAAAGACATTTATCCTTTGTAAGGTCCACTTTTCAGAATTCTGCAGTGCAATTCTCCAACCAAGCTGCATATATTAGAGGGAGGTGTGCATACAAATGCATATATTAGTAAAAAAAAACCAACAACCATGCACATTCTGCTTGCCCAAATGAGCAAATGTTAGTCAAAACTGCCTGCAAAAACATATCATTAGGAGAAATTAGTGCTAGAACGTTGACAGATTTTCATTAGCTTTTCTTAATAATTGCAAACTGCTATGGAAATGTAGATAACTTGAGTTTAAGATTTGAAAAAATTGAGAAACTTAAATGGACAGTTTCTCCGATAATGGAGTTGTTCAACACATGTGGAGAATAGCTGCACTGCCTAAGATTTATCTTGAGGCTTGCTAATGGTGGCCAGTTTTTCTCTGCTCTTTTCTTCCCTATTCTCCCAAGGGACCAGGGTATTCCTTTTGGCATTGGCAAAAGAAACAAAGACTTGCTGACATTTAGGCTTGACATTTCCTTTCCCCCATAGCCTTTGGTTCAAATGGAAATCTTGTTTTGCTGACCCCAGTCTGATCAAATTCAGTATTCATTTCCATGTGCATTTACCTGAAGGGAAGCCCCTTGAACTCAGTGAGCTTGACAGTGCAATCCTACCCATGTCAAAGCAAGACCCATTGATTTACTCTCTGGTAAGAGATTCAGAGTTCTGTGGAACTCAGAAGCTTACTCATTTGTTGATCACTTGTTGAAATTTTTCTTTGCACAAGTATTGCACTGTTGTGGATTTCCACCCCACCCAGCCCCTTACCCATTACATATGGCAGTGTTAAGGCACCCAGACTGTAGTACATGAATAGGAAACCTGTGGCCTTTCAGATGTTGTTGGACTTCAACTCCCAGCATCCTTGGCCAGCGTGACCAATGGCCAGGTAATGATGGGAGTTGTAGTTCATCAACATCTGAAAAACCACCCTGGTCTTTCCTCTTAGTGCTTAAACTGGTGAAACCATCATTCTCTCCCCACATGGATTTCTAAGAGCTGTGGTCCTATGTGAGTTGCATACAGATTTATAAGAGAATTCTCAGCATCCCCACCAAGCTACAGTTCACAGGATTTATTTTTATTTTTTTAGAGCCATGCCTGCTAAGCTGATACAAAACCAATATAAATTAGAAATGCAGATGTTCCTGAATTCTCCATTAGAGTGTAATCAATACAGATCACAAATTTAAAGCCCAAGGCTGCCCCCCAAAGAATCTTGGGAACTGTAGTTTACCCCCACACAGAGCTATAGTCTACAGTTTCCAGGGAACTACAGTTCCCAGGATTCTTTGGGGAGAGTCACATGCTTTAAATTTATGGCATGGATGTGTCGATTGCACATTAAACCAATTCACACATTTGGCTGCTGCTGAAGCAGAGATCTGGATCCCACTCCAAACTCCTAGCTTGTCCATTTTCCAATTTGTGTGAAACTTACTTAATAAGTGGCTGTTGGAAGATTTCTGCCTTAGGCTGCTACTGTTTTAGCTCTCTCGAAGTGGGTTGTTAGTCTTTTGCAGCAATAGACAACAAAGACCTGGGGCACCTTAAAAGATGAACCAATTTATTATCGCATAAGCTTTCGTGGACTCAAGGCCACTTTGTAAGATGTGCAAAGTGAAATCTTAGTTGGCAGGGAGAAAACTGGGAGTTGGGCGACAATGAGATACAACCCCACTTCAACAAATCAGTTGTAACTAAAGCACAAATCTATGTTGAAAAGGCACACCCTTCAGTGTAGCAGATTGGTGATCACATACTCAGCATTGCTAAGATGATTGTATCAACACCTGTATTGTGGCAGGAACCAATACAGATAACCATTGATAACAACAGATATCCTGGCATTGGTCAACTAATTAGGCTTACAAAGACAATCAAGAACGCATCTTTCCTTAACAGTTAGCTGATTTCTGATTTTAACATTTTTATATGGTTCTATCGTATGATTTTATGCATAATTGTTGTAACCCACTCTGCTATTTTTTTTTATGAACCGTGGGATACAATTTTTAAATACAAATAACAATGCAAAGTTAGTATACATAGGGTGGTTTTTAAAAACCTTTACCTCAATGAGTTGTAATTCTGTTTATAGGTAGGTAGCTATGTTGGTCTGCTGTAGTCGAAACAAAATAAAAAAAATCCTTCCAGTAGCACCTTAGAGACCAACTAAGTTTGTTATTGGCATGAGCTTTCGTGTACTGGAAGGAATTTTTGTAATTCTGTTGTTTCACATTGAAACAGTATTCGCACTGAACACAGATACATGCTGGTTCTACACATGTGCAAGTGTTTGTGAGAAAGAGTGTACATTTATTGATTTGCACAGCTTGTGTACACAGGTACTCAGACCATATACTTTGTGAATATTACATGTGAATAACTGCGCATGAGTACAGCTCAGGGTCTGTGTACCCAGGCAGAGGGATTGCAACCCATTGAATATGAACACCCCTATTGTATTCTTGCTTTGTGATCCTTTTATTTCTGAATGGCAACCTTGAGGTCAGTTACAGAGTGTCCTGGGAGTTTGAAAGATTCTCCCACTGGTTCATGAATAGTGCAATCTCATTACATAAATGTAACATTTTTTCCTTTGTTTCAGCTTGTTAGCTGTTTTCACATTTTGGCTGGGGGGATGGGGAGGAATGTCGAGATTTGTGCCCGCTTATTCTTCTACATAGAGACTGGCACATCTGTCCTATGTAGAATACCGATGGGCATTGCTACTAGATGACGGCACAAGGGAGAGAGAAAAATCAGCATCCCAAAACCCCTTTGCCAGGGAGGTTTTTAATGTTTGACATTTTATCATGTTTTAATATTCCGTTGGAAGCTGCCCAGATTACTACTACTACTACTACTACTACTATTATTATTACAGTTGCCACTAGGATTGTTTAAGCAGAAGAACTTGTGGAGGCCCAGTGTGGTGTCCTGAACAGAGTATTCACTTGAACTGAGAAGGAAGCGTGTTTTGCCATGAAAGGTCATTGCATAACCTTTGGACAGAAACTACCACCTCAGCCCAACATTCCTCATAGGATTCCCATTTAGACATAATGGTAAAGCCAGTGAATGGTACAATCAGTGAGGGGTCTGAATGAGGAGAGTTTTGAGGGCCATAAATAGAGGCCTAGAGGTCCACATTTGGTCCTCAGGCTTGAGGTTCTTCACTGTTGTCCATAGAGGTTCTTACTTGGCTCAGGCTCCATCCACACTCAACACTGAAAGCCCATGACTTCCCCCAAAGAATAATAACTGAATTTTTAAAGGGGGCTGGGAAATGGTAAGCAAACCACAGTTCCCAGGATTCTCAGGGGGCAGCCATGACTGTTGAAGTGCTATAAATGTGCTTTAAATGTAGTGTGGATGTGACCTCATCCTCTTAACTTGGTTTTATTTAGTTAGTTGGTTGCATTTATATCTGAGGGAGCGTCTCCACCCCCATCGTTCAGCCTGGACACTGAGGTCCAGCTCCGAGGGCCTTCTGATGGTTCCCTCATTGCAAGAAGTGAGGTTACAGGGAACCAGGCAGAGGGCCTTCTCAGTAGTGGTGCCCACCCTGTGGACCGCCCTTCCACCAGATGTCAAGGAAATAAACAACTATCTGACTTTTAGAAGACATCTGAAGGCAGCCCTGTTTAGGGAAGTTTTTAATGTTTGATGTTTTATCGTGTTTTTAATACTCTGTTGGGAGCCTCCCAGAGTGACTGGGGAAACCCTACCACATGATCAGGGTATAAATAATAAATTTTCATCATCATCATCATCATCATCAGTGCTTTTTTCTGGGGGTACGCAGGGGTACACAAACCCCTAAACATTTTGTGAATCTAACTTTGTCCTCATTGAGAGACAGTATTTCAATATAAGTAGGAAAAGGAGAGTACCCCTAAACATTTTTTAAGGAAAAAAAAAAGCACTGATGATGATGATGATATCCCACTTTTTTCTCCCAGGAGCTCACAAGGTGGGGTACATGGTTTTCCCCTTCCTCACTGAATCCACACAACAACCCTGTTAAGTAAGTTAAGCTGAGAGGCAAGGTGAGCTTCCTGGCAAAGTTAGGCTTTGAATCCTGGTCTCTCAGGTTTGGTCCTAGTTCAACATCTCTTCCCTAAGCAGGGTCATCTATTCCTTTCTCAAGCTGCCCTTGCCCTCCAATATGCACACTTAGCTGCAGTGATGCCTGTAGGGCAGGAGTCTAGCCCCCACTTCAGCAGAAGGAGCAGAAGGACCCTCAAAAGTCAGTTGGGTGGGCTTACCATGGTCTCCCATCCAAAGAGCACTATCCCATAAGAACACCAAGTCCACAGTTCTATCTAACCTAACCATACCAATTGTTCAACCGAATAAGCTCAAGGATGGTCACTGGTTCAGAATGCTTCCGTAAATCAGGTGTGAAGGTAGCTCAGTCTGTAAAGCATGAGGCTCTTAATTTCAAGGTTGTTGGTTCGAGCCCCACGTTAGGCAAAAAGAGTCCTACATTGCAGGGGGTTGGACTAGATGCCCCACGTGGCCCCTTCCAACTCTACAATTCTGTGAACCTTTAGCCCTCCAGATGTTGCTGAACTACATCTCCCATCAGTCCCAGCAAGCATGGCCAATGAACAAGGATGATGGGAGCTGCAGTTCAGCAACATCTGAGGGAGAGAACTAAAGGTTCCTCACACCTGCAGAAAAGGCTTTGCTCTCTGCATTTAACTATATCAAGACTCCTTTGTGCAAAACTGCATTAAAGTTACGTTTTTGCTGCTAGAAATAGTTTATTTCTGTATCAGAATGCCTGAGCACACTGCCCACCCCTTCCCCTAAGTGAGGAGGAAACTAGTCTTGTCTAAAGCTAGGACTGGCCCAAAATTCTTTTTGGCCTGAAGCAGAACAGAAAACAGAAAACCTCTCCCCAAGTCACGGTATGCAGTATTTTGGCACCTGAGAAAAATCCCTGCCTCAAAATAGAATAAAAAATAGATACTTGATCATTGTTGCCCTTTCACAGCATCTAAGATCAGCTGCCTGAAACAGCCACGGCACTTTGTCCAATGGTAGGGCTGGCTGTATATGACCAGAACACTGAAATTAAACTGATCTGGGACTGAAATCATTCCTCTGTGATAACTTGCCTCACCAATGCAGGATCATGATTCCTGATTAACCCCTTTCCTTTGGGTGCTTGCAAACACCCAGTGTGCAGTGGTTGGGGTCCCAAGGTCTACATATAAATGGTGCCCCATGGATGGGGTCCAATGGGAGAAATAAAGAACCACTGGGCTCCTCTGGATCACCTGTTTACTGAGCAGCTATCCTGATTCCCTTGCGTAAAGCTTATACAGAGGCTAGTTTATACCTGGTGTTTCTTGAGCATTGATTTTGATTTGTTTGCAGGAATTTTATACAACAATGAGCATTCATCCTGATTTTCTTGCAGGGGTTTTATGCAGCTTTCTGCTAAACCATTCGTGCACCCCTCACTTTCGAACACCGTCAACTCTCCCGTCACTTTCCTAACTGCAAACAGTCTGTTTCTTTTCTTTAAAAAGTGCCTTTGTTGCACCAGAGTGACAGAATGCTTTGATCCTCATCAGTCACCCAAACCTAAATTTCCTGGTATGCAGTAAGAACCCCTCCTTCAAAAATCCCGACAATCTGGAAAGGCCCCCGTAACGTTAATGGCCAAATGTCAACATTACTTACACGGGTATCTGAAGTAGAAGTCATTCTCGGCGTCGCTCGTGATGTTCTTCTCCTGCTTCGCCTTCTCCCAGCCGGCTATATCGGATTCTGCATTGAAGCGCACGAAGACGCCAAAAAGGATGATCATGGCAAGCTCCCAGAGGAGGCAAACCAGCGGCAGACGCCAGCGCATGTCGGTGTTCCTCGCCATCATAGTCCTCGCAATCAGTTTGTCATTTGCCTGCTTGTTTGGTGAAGGGGAAAGAGGAGCTGTGTGTGAGCTGGGAGGTGCGAAGTTACAGTCCCAACTGCTGGGGGAAGTTCATTCATTTTATGTCATCTGGGGAGAAGTGGGTGTGACCGTGCGGCTGTCAGTCATCACTTCAGACACTCAAGGACACTGGCAACCAGTCCCATTTTAGAGCTTGCTTAATAGATCAGGGCACTCTCTCATATAACCAGCCACAAACAAAGGGGCGAGGCACATGTGTCAGGCCGCCTTAAGAAACTGAGTGCATTCTGTGTGCTCAGCATCACAGATGAATAGATTCAGCATCACGGCTGGATGGATTCCATGATTAGCATCACAGCATCCTAAGGTGGGAGCGGCCAGAGGTTGATAAGCCAGGGTTATCTGTGGGGTACACACAGTGGCTGAGTTTGTGCTGGTGCGGGGAGGCAGCCGCAGTGCCATCACAGCTAAGAAAATGACCACTCTATGTATCTCATCTACATTTGCACTCTGCTTAGGAACCATACCTGTTGCACTGCGTTCTCATGTGGACTCACTGTTTCAGTTTGCGAGTTGGATCAAGACCGTGAGTGTAGGAGGAGTGACAATCTTTACCTCCCCAGGTGAGCGATGGGGAAGGGACTTAGCAGGTGAGAGAGTCGGGAGGGAAGGCTCACATTCAAGGGATGTAAGTTAACTGTGGTGAATCTATGCGGACTGGTTTTTTGAAACGGAGATCCCCCCCCCCTTTTGGCCTTATATACTGCTGTTTTATTTCTGCGCTAAGCTTGATCCTCGCATCTGTTTAGTTTCAAGCTGTTAAAACAGTCTATTGATTTGTACAAAGTTGCTTGCACAGGTTGATTTTTTAATGATATATTTAAAGACTGACATTATGGGTTATTTGTAATGGTTCCTAACATGGTTTCTGAATTGTGGTTGTCCTTTGTGCGGTGCAGTGTGAGCTGCTTCGGGCACATGTGTGTGTGTGTGTGTTTGTGTGCGTGTGTATTGACAGCATACATTTAAAGCACTACGACACCATTTTAAATGTATGAAAGAACCAAGGCCAGAGCAGGGAATGATTTAGAGAAGCAGTGGGTAGCCTCCCCTGTGTATCTGTATTTTGAGTCCACAGGATCCTTCATTGATTTCATTCTTTCATCTCCTGCACTACACTAAGAGCTATTTACTTATTACATTTCTGACCTTTCAAGATGGTGTACATGGTTTCCCCCCTCCCCTACCAGTCATCAGCACAACAACCCTGTGAGGTAGGCTAGGTTAAAGAGAAGTGTTCAGTTCAAATATCCCCCAATGATTTTATGGCTGGGTATGGAGATATGGATTTTGCTTTCTCCTGGGCCTAGTCTGAAACTCTAGCTGTTACACAGGAGTTTTCTTGTGGCATATAAAATGCAGAACTAGCACCTTATTATATATTACTCTCTAATTCTAGATGGGTGGAAGCTGGCTGTAGTTGTTAAGTGTAGCATGGGGAAATAGACTCTGCATGTGCTCAGAGGAATTCTCTTCTAATGCAGCTTTTAAACTCCTAGGACTTGATCCTGTCATTAAAAGCCACCATTTTATTTTATTTTTTATATATAATTTTTATTAATGTTTTTTGTTTTACAATATAGAATACTCATTTAAACATCAAAATATCAATGACTTCTCTTTCCATAGTTCATTTTACATATCATAAATCCCTGCATATTTTACATAAACTAAACCATTCAGTATTCCATTACAGTGGTACCTCGGGTTACATACGCTTCAGGTTACAGACTTCGCTAACCCAGAAATAGTACCTCGGGTTAAGAACTTTGCTTCAGGATGAGAACAGAAATCGTGCTCCGGCGGTGCGGAAGCAGCAGGAGGCCCCATTAGCTAAAGTGGTGCTTCAGGTTAAGAACAGTTTCAGGTTAAGAACGGACCTCCGGAACGAACCTCCAAGTACTTAACCCGAAGTACCACTGTATTACGTCCATCAAAACTTATTTACACTGTTGAATTTATCTTAATGCTGCCAGCGTTTTCAAGTCTACACAATCCCCCCCCCCATATTCAATAAACATTTTCCAGTCTTCTCTAAAAGTACCGTATGTTCTTCTTCTTTTTCTCTTATTCTATATGTTAAATCCGCAAGCTGTGCATATTCCATCATTTTAAAACCTTACCTCTTGCTGCTCTCAGCAATGAAGCTGAACGTTCGAAGATTCAGGACAGATAAAAAAACATACTTCTTCATGCAGTGCATAGTTGAACTGTGGAACTCTGTCCCACTGGAGGCAGTGATGACCACTAACTTAAAGGTAAAGGGACCCCTGACCATTAGGTCCAGTCACAGACGACTCTGGGGTTGTGGCGCTCTTCTCGCTTTATTGTCCGAGGGAGCCGGCGTACAGCTTCTGGGTCATGTGGCCAGCATGACTAAGCCACTTCTGGTGAACCAGAGCAGCGCACGGAAACGCTGTTTACCTTCCTGCCGGAGCGGTACCTATTTATCTACTTGCACTGGTGTGTTTTCGAACTGCTAGGTTGGCAGGAGCTGGGACCAAGCAACGGGAGCTCACCCTGTCGCGGGGATTCGAACTGCCAACCTTCTGATCGGCAAGTCCTAGGCTCTGTGGTTTAACCCACAGCGCCACCCGCGTCCCCACCACTAACTTAGATGGCTTTAAAAGAGAATGAGTCAGATTCATGAAGGTCATGACCCATGATGGCTATGCTTGGTCTTCCCCAGGAGGCGCGAGTGGTCTTGTGCTTGAGTCCTCCATGCTGGTTTCCCACAGGCATCTGGTTAGCGTCTATGAGAACAAGATGCTGGACTAGATGGGCCATTCAGCAGGCTCTTCTTATCTTCTTCTGGCCTCTTGGTTTTCCTCCAACTCACAGCAGGCCTTGCTGCCCTTCCCTTTCACCTCTTCCCCACTCCCGTTTTCTTCCCTAACCTCCTAAGGAACACAGAAGGCCATTCCAGAATTGCCTGCAGCTATCTCTATGGGGATGGCATGTAAACCATCTGGCTTGGTCACTGGGTGTAAAAAAAACCCCAACTGCCACTGGGGCACTGCGGTGTACATTGTTAGCCGTTATCTAACTTATACTCATCATTAGAACTACTAATGCAGGTTTTTAAGTTGCCGTTCACCTGGGGGCAAGTTTTAATTGACTCCTTGGCAATCGTTCTCAAGTAGCAAGTTGCACAGTGCTGTTTTGCTTTATATTTTTGTTACTTATTTTATTTTATTTTAAATGCATTATCTGCCCTTTACCACCAGGTCCCAGGGCAAGTTACAACAGTTTAAGATTAAGAACAGTTAAAACAAATTACAGTAACAGGGAAAAGTGCACCCCCCAACCCCCAACCCCCCACATCTCAGGTATCAAAGGCCAAAGTAAAGAGATATGCCCTCAGTATTTGCCAAAAGCAGCAAAAAAGGTAAAAATGTAAAGGACCTCTTGACGGTTAAGTCCAGTCAAAGCCGACTGTGGGGTGCGGAGCTCGTCTCGCTTTCAGGCCGAGGTAGCTGGTGTTTGTCCACAGACAGCTTTCTGGGTCATGTGGCCAGCATGACTAAACTGCTTCTGGTGCAACAGAACACCGTGACGGAAACCAGAGTGCACAGAAACGCCGTTTACCTTCCCACCAGAGCGGTACCTATTTATCTACTTGCAATGGTGTGCTTTCAAACTGTTAGGTTATCAGGAGCTGGGACTAAGCAAATCTCACCCCATCGTGGGATTCAAACCGCTGACCTTCTGATCGGCAAGCCCAAGAGGCTCGGTGGTTTAGACCACAGCGCCACCCCTGCAAGTGTCCTGGAAAAAATGGGACAGCCCCTCCCCCCTTGAGAGCACGGCGGCCCCAAAGAAAGTGCTTTTTCAGGGCCACAATCCTGTGCTTTTTCGGGGCCGCCTGTCTCCTTACTTACATCCAGTCCAGGGATCCAGTCCTCTTTAGACATAGCGTCGCCAATGTCATTCTAGATCTCTGCAGAGGCTAAAGTAGAAGTATTTGCCTCTTCCTGTCATTGGCTCTGACTCTACCCTTGGGGTTTTTGTCTCTCTCCCCCCACCCCATGAGTCTCTATGGGCACCAGACTTCATTCATCCCATTTGGGACTTATGTAGCTCTGGGAGTGATCTTGCTCTGCCTCTGTTTTACCATCCAGCGGTGGCCGATCAGAATTGTAACCCAAAACATCTGTAGGGTGGCTGAGATCGAGTTAAGCAAATACTTTTTTTTCCACTGGAAAGAAAGCAGAGAGTCTTTCTTTCCTTGTTTGCACCCATTATGGAAACCAAATAACGTCTTTTCCACTGAAGCAATAGACTCTCTCACCTTGCCTTATTTTCCACCATTTCTCACCTTATCGGTCTTTGGGATCAGAACTTTGTGGGCAGTCTTCCAAACCATGAAGTTGCCTGCATGGTCCAGTGATTCTCCTCTAGTCTAAACACAACCTCTCTCCCATTTCTCACCCCACTGTGAGGATCACAGTTGGCTGCTAAAAATCATGGCCCAACTGCACTGGCTGCCAATTAGTTTCCGGGTCCAATTCACAGGGCTGGTTTTGACCTACAAAGCCTTAAATGGCTATACTTCAAGGACTGCCTCTCCTCACGTGAACAGACCTGGACCCTGCAATCATCATTCACGCGTGCCCTCTCCACAAGAGGTCTGGAAGGTGGCAACACGAGAACAGGCTTTTCTGCAGTGACTCCCCGTTTGTGGAATGCTCTCCCCAAGGAGGTTTGGCTGGCGCCTTCATTATACACCTTTAGGTGCCAGGCAAAAATGCTCCTCTTATTTTAAATGTGTTTATGGGAGTGGGTGGAGGGAGAGGGTTATTGGTCTGTGTTTGCTGTTGTTTTGTTCTTTTTATCATCTTTTAATTTTATGTTGTGAATTGCCCTGAGATCTGCGGAGGATGAGTGGTATACACATTTAATAAATAATAATATTTCCGGTCATCAGCTAAGGCACAGAAGGGGAACCCATCTGGATATTTGTCGGACTACAACTCCCATCGTCCCAGGCCATTGGTCATGATGGGAGTTGGAGTCCAACAATGTCTGGAGGGCAACAGGTTCACCGCCATTACTTGCAACACTATCTTCAGATGCTTTGTTTTCTTCCCAACAACCTATGGGGAAACCCAGCCAGATGGGTGGAGGAGGAGGAGGAGGAGGAGGAGGAGGAGGAGGAGGAGGAGAAGAAGAAGAAGAAGAAGAAGAAGAAGAAGAAGAAGTCACAATATGTTTGCACAGGCTTCCAGGGTGGTTAGACAATGTCAGCCATTTTATCAAGCATTCCCTCTTATTTCCTTACAGGGTAGTTATACAATGCCGTGTCAAGCAGGTGTATCCCACATTTCCCCTGTCACTTTCCTTATTGCAAAAAGTCTTGATTTGTGGGGTGGGGGAAAGCATGTTTGCTGTGCATGTTGTGGAAGCATCCTACAACCCCCTATCTTTCCCGGTTGTCAGCCATTGTTGGCTAGTGTTGATGGGATTTGGATTACAACAACATCCAGAAGGCCACAGGGTCCTCCATCCCTGATCTAAGGGAACGACAAACGCTGCTGGAAATGGTTGAAACAGAACAGCTGAAATTTGAAATGGTTACAAGGAGATCCTGGTAGAATGAATGGAAGTCTGGGTAACATGAAAGGACAGTCATCTAAGGGACAAGTGCTTTGTTTTTCCTGTACGCAGTGTTTTGAAAGACATCTTGACATTGTTTTCATTTGAAAGCATTGTATCACCAAGGAATGGGACAATGCAAATGCCAATCAAGGTGTGGTTAAAGGAAAACATGTTGCTCACTGCTTCACTTGTAAGGAAGAGGGAAAAAACCAGGGCTGTCTCTAGACCACATTGTGCCCCGGGCGAGGATAGCCTTTGCCACTCCCTTCTCTTTGTTCAACTTTTGAATAGCTTCTTTTTCATTTCCTTGGCATCCCAGTTCCTGGCTTTTGCAGATGATTGTCGTGCAGGACTTCTCCCTGTCATCAACCACTATCAAGTTCAGGGCCGGATTTAGGTTTGATGAGGCCCTAAGCCAGGGGTCAGCAAACTTTTTCAGCAGGAGGCCAGTCCACTGTCCCTCAGACCTTGTGGGGAGCCAGACTATAATTTTTATGGGGGAAATGAACAAATTCCTATGCCCCACAAATAACCCAGAGATGTGTTTTAAATAAAAGGACACATTCTACTCATGGGGACACGGGTGGTGATATGGGTTAAACCACAGAGCCTAGGACTTGCCGATCAGAAGGTCGGCGGTTCGAATCCCCGCGACGGGGTGAGCTCCCGTTGCTTGGTCCCTGCTCCTGCCAACCTAGCAGTTCGAAAGCACATCAAAGTGCAAGTAGATAAATAGGAACTGCTCCGGCAGGAAGGTAAACGGCGTTTCCGTGCGCTGCTCTGGTTCGCCAGAAGCGGCTTAGTCATGCTGGCCACATGACCCGGAAGCTGTACGCCGGCTCCCTCGGCCAATAAAGCAAGATGAGTGCCGCAACCCCAGAGTCAGCCATGACTGGACCTAATGGTCAGGGGTCCCTTTACCTTTATTCTACTCATATAAAAACACGCTGATTCCTGGACCATCCATGGGCCGGATTTAGAAGGCCCCCAGGCCTTAGTTTGCCTACCCATGCCCTAAGCTACTGAAGGTAATGGGGCCTTTTATATGTCCAGCTGTCCTTTGTCAACAACAAATTGTACCTCTTTTTTGTGTTGAATATATGCTATATGGTAATTTATGGACCTAATAGCTATCTAAAGCCATTTGCACATAACAAATAGGAGCCTACGCAACACAAAACACTGTTGCTGTATGTAGGTTTTATTTTATTTGTTTTTTATCTTATATTTTGGAAATGTGCATCCAGGTTTTTTCCCCTATAATTTTTTTGGGGGCCCCCAAGAAGTGGGGCCTTAAGCTATAGCTTGTTTAGCTTATACGTAAATCTGGCACTGATCAAGTTGTATCCCTGGATATGAGCATAATCTCTCTCACTCTCACTCTCTCACATATATACACCTTTATTCTTGAATGGACACATGTCAACCTTTCCACGAAATAAAAGCAAGTTTGTGGGCATCAGGTCATAAAAGGATCTTCTCTGTGGTGGCCCCTGAGATGTGGAATAATCTCCTTTCCAAGGTTTTTCTCGCCCTGTTGTACACATTTCATTGCATACCCTCTAACATTCCTCAGATGAAAATAGGGACATTTCTCAGTCTCCCCCAACTGACACTTCTCGACCTTCCCCCCATTTTTCTCTCCTCCCCGCCCCTTACAGAGCATTTCCTATCTGAAGAAGGGTAAGTGTCACCAATGGGACAAAGCACACAGGCCCTCCACCGTCCTGAGAAAACCCATTAATATGTTTTTAATATTCTGTTAGGAGCTGCCCAGAGTGGCTGGGGAAACCCATCCAGATAGGCGGGGTATAATAATAATAATAATAATAATAATAATAATTTATTTATACCCCACCCATCTGGCCAGGCTTCCCCAGCCACTCTGGGCGGCTTCCAAAAAAATATTAAAATACTGTAATACATCAAACATTAAAAGCTTCCCTAAACAGGGCTGCCTTCAGATGTCTTCTAAAAGTCTGGTAGTTGTTGTCCTCTTTGACATCTGGTGGGAGGGCGTTCCACAGGGCGGGTGCCACTACCGAGAAGGCCCTCTGCCTGGTTCCCTGTAACTTGGCTTCTCACAGTGAGGGAACCGCCAGAAGGCCCTCAGTGCTGGACCTCAGTGTCCGGGTAGAACGATGGGGGTGGAGACGCTCCTTCAGATATACTGGACCGAGGCCGTTTAGGAGTTTGGAGTTTGGATTTGAAGGGCTTTAAATGTCAGCAGCAACACTTTGAATTGTGCTCGGAAACGTACTGGGAGCCAATGTAGGTCTTTCAAGACTGGTGTTATATGGTCTCGGCGGCTGCTCCCAGTCACCAGTCTGGCTGCTGCATTCTGGATTAGTTGTAGTTTCCGGGTCACCTTCAAAGGTAGCCCCACGTAGAGCGCATTGCAGTAGTCCAAGCGGGAGATAACCAGAGCATGCACCACTCTGGCGAGGCAGTCCGCAGGCAGATAGGGTCTCAGCCTGCATACCAGATGGAGCTGGTAAACAGCTGCCCTGGACACGAATTTGGCCTGTGCCTCCATGGACAGCTGTGAGTCCAAAATGACTCCCAGGCTGCACACCTGGTCCTTCAGGGGCACAGTTACCCCATTCAGGACCAGGGAATCCTCCACACCTCCCTGCCTCCTGTCCCCCAAAAACAGTACTTCTGTCTTGTCAGGATTCAATCTCAATCTGTTAGCCGCCATCCATCCTCCAACCACCTCCAGACACTCACACAGGACCTTCACTGCCTTCACTGGTTCTGATTTGAAAGAGAGGCTGCATATAGCGGCTGCATATAGATGTTGAAAAGCATGGGGGAGAGGACAGAACCCTGAGGCACCCCGCAAGTGAGAGCCCAGGGGTCTAAACACTCATCCCCTCCTACCACTTTCTGAACATGGTCCAGGAGGAAGGAGCGGAACCACTGTATGACAGTGCCCCCAGCTCCCAGCCTCTCAAGACGGTCCAGAAGGATGCTATGGTCGATGGTATCAAATGCCGCTGAGAGATCCAGCAGAACTAGGAAATAGCTCTCACCTTTGTCCCTAGCCCGTCGGAGATCATCAACCAGTGCGACCAAGGCAGTTTCAGTCCCATGATGAGGCCTGAATCCCGCCTGGAAGGGATCCAAATGGTCCGCTTCTTCCAGGCGTGCCTGGAGTTGTTCAGCAACCACTCGCTCAATCACCTTGCCCAAGAATGGAAGAGTTGAGACTGGGCGATAGTTGGCCATCGTGGCCGCATCTAAAGATGGTTTTTTAAGAAGCGGTTTAATAACCGCCTCTTTCAGCGGGTCTGGGAAGGCTCCCTCACAGAGGGAAGCATTCACCACCCCACAAAGCCCATCGCCCAGCCCTTCCCGGCTAGCTTTTATAAGCCAGGATGGGCAAGGATCAAGGAGACAGGTGGTTGGTTTCACTCGTCCAAGCAGCCTGTCCACATCCTCGGAGGTAACAGATTGGAATTGATCCCACGCAACTTGACTAGACAGGTCTCTAGCACTCTCCCGCCCCGGCCCTGCTCCCACGGTGGCGTCTACCTCTTCCCGAATCTGAGCGACTTTATCTGCAAAAAACTTTGCAAAATCATTGCGGGAGATCATTATTATTATTAATAATGATGATGATAATAATGCTCTCAGACTAAGCAAAACTCCTCACTGCCACTGCTTCATACCCTCCTCAAGTGTTTTTGCCTGTCTGGAACATGTCCTTGAACTCTTGTTTGCCTGGGTGGAGACTACTGAAGGGTTTGGGAGTGTGTGTGGAAAGCAGCCTACTGCACAAGGGTAAGATGGACATTCGTTGCTCCACCCAACACTGGCATGAGGCCCTCAGGCTGAAAAATATCCCCCATTCCTGGGTTAAGCTAAAGTCTCCTCAGTCTAGGTGGGTTTTGAGCTGAAGTCTGAAGGAAGGGTGAGTTGACAGAAGACAGGTCAGGGCTGGACAACATTTCGCCCTCCAGATATTCCTGAAACTCCAACTCCAACCATTCCTGGTCACTGACCATGCTTGCTGGGGCTGATGGGAGTTGTAGTTCAGGAGCATCTGGAGGGCCAATGGTCCCCGCACCTGGCATAGGTGTTCTGGAAGGGACAAAAAGGAAAAATAAACACTGCCCTTTTAAGAGAGCAAAGTAGCAGCTTATGGGGGTAGAGTGAAGAGCTTTTGACATGGGATCTGTTCATAGAATTGTAGAGATGGAAGGGGCTATGAGGGTCATCTAGTCCAACCCCCTGCAATGCAGGAATCTTTTGCCCAGCATGGGGCTTGAACCCTCAGATTAAGGGTTCTCATGAAGAACCCTGAGATTAAGAGTCTCATGCTCTACCGATTAAGCTATCCTTTAATGGTTTTATCTTCTGCTTCTTAGCCTTATGATGGTGCTTTTAGTAATTTTGGGTCATTTGTTTTGGGTCAGAAGGCATTAGTTATTTATTTGTTTCAGTGTTTGTTAGTACAGCTGCATCTGCATTTGCTTATAAAGAAAGCAAGGAGGAAACGTGCAAAGTAAAAATATATGCTTCATAGTGTTTGCAATGTGCAGTCTTCAAGCAAAACTTAGAAATGTGATTTCTATTTTTAAAAAATCAGCAACTGTGCTTATAAATGATAACAACACCCAGAGTTCTTCCCACTGTGTAAAAATGATATAAAAAGTAGAGTATAAAAAGTAGCAACAGTGCAAGGGAGATATGACCATTTCCACCCACCTCTGTCCTCTGATAAGGCAAGTGAAGGAGGTCACTCTGGTATCAATTTCAGTTTCAGAAGAATGGGGTGTTGTTTGGTGGTTTGAATACAATAGCACATCAGTTCAGGGAGCGCAAATGTTGCAGGTTTCCATTCGCTTCAGGCAATGCCAAGAAAGGTTTCAAGAGCATATCAGTCTTACAGCTTGTAGCATTACATTCTCGATTGCCAGCCTTTGGCAAACCCCCCAAAATTAAATGTATGATTTTGATTTTTCTCCATGGCAAAATGATGCCCCACCACTGACATCCTCAGCAAGGAGTTTTCCTGCAGAAAGAATACTTTTCATTGTGTTTATATCCTACTTTTTCCTCCAAGGAGCTGAAGGTATTGTACATGGTTCCTTATGCATTTTATTTAATGAGACTCAGCTAATTAAGTGAGACATAACACGGCCTGAGGACTAAGCTTCATGAATGATAACGGTCTGAGAAATCACACTCCCTGTTCTCTAGACTTCCCAGCATAATTGTGCTTATTAGGGAAGATGGCCTACAAAAAAATGTGTATGTGTATGTTAGGTGTTATTCACAATAAAGTGCTGATGAATTTTCAGAAAGCATTAAAAAACAACAACACAAGGGAACATTCTTTCATATGTGGTGGACCTGTAAAAGGGTAAAAGAACATTGGGGGGAAATCCATAATGAATTGAAAAAAATGTTTAAAAGTACTTTCCCCCCCAAAAACAGAGTCCATTGGGTTGGGGATAATTCAGATGGAAATTCCCAGGTGTCAAAAAAGGTTATTTGTGTATGCCACTACTGTGGCTGGTGTTTTGTTAGCCCCAAAATGGAAAACGAGTGAGGTCCTAACTAAAGAAGAATGGCAACTTAAACTGATGGAATATGCACAGCTTGCAGATCTATCTTACAGAATAAGAGAACAAGAAGAATATACATTTAAAGAAGACTGGGAAATGTTTGTTGAATATATGGGGGGGAATCGTGTACACTTGAAAATGTTGGCAGCATTAAGATAAATTCAACAGTGTAAATAAGTTTTGGTGGATGTAATAATGGAATACTGAATGCTTTAGTTTATGTAAAATATGCAGGAATTTATGATATGTAAAATGAAACATGTAAAGAGAAGAAGGGAAGTCACTGATATTTTAAGATTGTTTAATTGAATATTCTAAATTGTAAAACAGAAAACACACACACACGTAAACTGCAAACTGATGTGGAAATGCAGAGAACTGAACTTAAGATTGGAAAAATGAGAAACCGTAATTTAGAGCTGATAACGTCAAAGCCTTGGGGTTGGAAGCTGATCTGATTGGGTCACCCATCCCTACTTGCCAGCTTAGATCCATGCTAATGCTGGACTCCTGGCTGACAAGAGTGAGCAAAAAGGTGACACTGGCAGCAAGATGCATTGCTGACGAAGGAGTGAAGGAAGGAGACTGCAAAGAGCAAGGGAGGAACGAAAGAGCCACAGCAACTTGCCTGGAGCAGGACAACCCAGTTGGATCAGCTTCCAACCCTAAGGCTTTGACGTTATCAGCTCTTAACCTGGCGGTTGTCAACCAACAGATTTTTATGGATCCTATCTTTCCATCAGAAGTCAGTTAGAAAACTCCGCTAGGCTCTTTGTTGTTTTCTGTTCTCTTGCCACTGCTGATAAGGCAGGTTGTGACTTCACCTTTCCTACATGTCCCTTTCAGGTCGCTTCGACAGGTACATTCTGGCATGGGCCATTCAAACACCTATAAGAACACAGGAAGCCCGTCTTGCACCATGGCTGGCCATTGGTCCATCTAAGTCAATCAACCAAATATGTATTACGGTCATAGAACAGCATAAGTAGGGTGGGGTACAATCATGTGTAAAATGTTTTGGAAAGCTAAAAAGTATTAAAACAGAAGGTATATCTAAAAGGAGAGATGCGGCTGGCGCTGTGGGTTAAACCACAGAGCCTAGGACTTGCCGATCAGAAGGTCGGCGGTTCGAATCCCTGTGACCAGGTGAGCTCCCATTGTTCGGTCCCTGCTCCTGCCAACCTAGCAGTTCGAAAGCACGTCAAAGTGCAAGTAGATAAATAGGTACCACTCCAGCGGGAAGGTGAACAGTGTTTCCGCGCGCTGCTCTGGTTTGCCAGAAGTGGCTTAGTCATGCTGGCCACATGACCCGGAAGCTGTACGCTGGCTCCCTCAGCCAATAAAGCGAGATGAGCACCGCAACCCCAGAGTCGGTCACAACTGGACCTAATGGTCCGGGGTCCCTTTACCTTTACCTATATCTAAAAGACTATAGGAAAAATCTAAAAGAAACTAAAAGAATCTAAAAGAAGGGTTAGGAAGAAGAAGAAGAGTTTGGATTTGATATCCCGCTTTGTCACTACCCGAAGCAGTCTCAAAGAGGCTAACATTCTCCTTTCCCTTCCTCCCCCACAATAAACACTCTGTGAGGTGAGTGAGGCTGAGAGACTTCAAGGAAGTGTGACTAGCCCAAGGTCACCCAGCAGCTCTTGCCACATTAAACGGATATGAAAGAGCATAAAAGGTTAGTATATAAAAGACTACAACTATCAGTGCAGAGAGCACTCTGATGTGAGTGTTCATTCAATCTAGTTTGTGGCACAGGTCATCATCTGACAAATTTTGAATGCTGCTGTGCAGAATCTGGCAGCAATGTATGTTGTAGCAGGATTGGTATCTGACAGCAGCTGGGAGGTATAAAATAAAATTGTCCTGTGTGCCCTGGGTACAGTGGTACCTCAGGTTAAGTACTTAATTCGTTCCAGAGGTCCGTTCTTAACCTGAAACTGTTCTTAACCTGAAGCACCACTTTAGCTTATGGGGCCTCCTGCTGCCGCCGCGCCACCGCTGCACGATTTCTGTTCTCATCCTGAAGCAAAGTTCTTAACCTGAAGCACTATTTCTGGGTTAGCGGAGTCTGTAACCTGAAGCATATGTAACCTGAAGCGTATGTAACCTGAGGTACCACTGTACTTATGGAGTAGTGGGGAGATGAGGCTAATATGAGTGTCTCCATACAGTATAGGCACTGGAGAAGCACATGCTCTATTGTTTCTATCTGACCAGAGTCACAGGGGCATTGTCTCTCCGAGTAAGCAATCTTCCTGTAACGACCTACAATGACAGCCGAGGGGAGGGCGTGACATCGTGCCAGGGTAAAAGCTCTCCGGAGCTTAGGGACTTTGAGTTTAGCTAGATATGCTATGGGGGAGGCAGAGTACCTGGTGGATTCATTGGCAGTTAAAGTTGACATCCTGGCTAAATCCAATCAGCGCTCCGTGTCTGCTACATGTTGTTCAATGAGTCCATCCAGTGGCGTAGCGTGGGTTGTCAGCACCCGGGGCAAGGCAAGTAATTTGCGCCCCCTAACCCGTGGATTTGCACCCCCTAACCCTAACCCCCAGATGTTGCGCCCGGTGCAGCCGGCCCTCCCTGCACCCCCCACGCTACGCCACTGAGTCCATCTATCTCAGTATTACCTGCACTGACTGGCAGAGGCTCTTCAGGGTTTCAGGCTGGATTCTCTTCCCAGCCCTACCAAGAGCCAGTGTGGTGTAGTGGTTAAGAGCGGTGGACTCGTAATTTGGTGAACCAGGTTCGCCTCCCTGCTCCTCCACATGCAGCTGCTGGGTGACCTTGGGCCAGTCACACTTCTTTGAAGTCTCTCAGCCCCACTCACCTCACAGAGTGTTTGTTGTGGGGAAGGAAGGGAAAGGAGAATGTTAGCCGCTTTGAGACTCCCTAGGGTAGTGATAAAGCGGGATATCAAATCCAAACTCTTCTTCTACCAGGAGATTGAACCTTGGACTGTCTGTATGCAGAGCATGTGCTCTCTCACTGAACTACGGCTCTTTCTGAGTCATCAAGTGGCCATCAAGTAAGCATCCTTCTGAAAGCAGATAGTCTAATGCTCAAGGCCCGTGCGTTCATTCTGGTTTTCTCTTATCTGTTAGTACCAGGTTCTGAAGGCCACTGGCTATTGCTGTTTTCATGTTACATTTTAGCTTCATTGGATTTCTGGGTTATAAACTCATTTGGTTATCTGCCATAAGGAAAGCCAGTGTAGTAATTTAAAAATAAATAAATGTGCATGGATGATCCAGGAAGAGTTCTACAGTGGAACCTTGGTTGTCAAACAGTTTGGCTCCTGAACAAATTGCCTCCCAAATGTCGCAAACCCAGAAGTGTTCTGGTTTGCAAACGTTTTCTGAAAGCCAAACGTCCGACGCAGCTTCTAATTGAGTGCAAGAAGCTCCTGCACCCAATCAGAAGTCACGCCTTGGTTTTCAAATGGTTCTGGGAGTCGAATGGACTCCCGGAACGGATTAAGGTCGACAACCAATGTACCACTGTATTTATCTTTGACATAATCAAGAGGGTATAGGATGAAAGTTGCCTTCTAATAATAATATACCGTATTTTTTGCTCTATAAGACACACCAGACTACAAGACGCACCTAGTTTTTGGAGGAGGAAAACAAGAAAAAAAATATTCTGAATCTCAGAAGCCAGAACAGCAAGAGGGATCGCTGCGCAGTGAAAGCAGCAATCCCTCTTGCTGTTCTGGCTTCTGGGATAGTTGCGCAGCCTGCATTCGCTCCATAAGACGCACACACATTTCCCCTTACTTTTTAGGAGGGGAAAAGTGAGTCTTATAGAGCAAAAAATATGGTAAATAGTCCACCTGTCCAGCCATGCACAGCTATACTCACCTCTATCCAGAAGTCTGTTTCCAAAACTTCTCTCATTTGTTGCTCTGAATATACAGCTTCCTCCCTTAAATCTCATCTCTTCACCAGCTCCCTGTCTATTCGGAGATCATTGCAAAACTCCTTATCCTGACCTTTAATACAGTGGTACCTCGGGTTACATATGCTTCAGGTTACATACGCTTCAGGTTACAGACTCCGCTAACCCAGAAATAGTACCTCGGGTTAAGAACTTTGCTTCAGGATGAGAACAGAAATTGTGCAGTGGCAGCGGGAGGCCCCATTAGCTAAAGTGGTGCTTCAGGTTAAGAACAGTTTCAGGTTAAGAACGGACCTCCGGAACGAAGTAAGTACGTAACCAGAGGTACCACTGTATTCCCCTCCCTGTTTTATCTCTGGTCCCATATCATGATAAATGATATATATATCATGATATATATATCAGCAGGAAATGCAGCCCCACCTACCTCTGATCTACATGGTGACTAAGGGCTCTCCCCTTAGTCACTACCCATCCCATTCCTCTATCACATAGGTAGGATCCGCTACCCCACTATGGCTACATTACTTTAGGTGGCTTCAACCATTCCTGAGAAAACAGCCATTCATAAGAACTTACATGTTTCATCTCCCATTAACTGAGACAACTTTGTGGCAGGGTTACCTCCATTCATCAACATGATCTCTGTGGACGCTATCAGTTGTGCTGATATATTCCTTTCCCTTATATTAATCTGTAATTGGCAGACAGGGTTTTTTTGTTTTTAATGATTATGCCTTGTTTCTTATTGACAACACAATTATGAAAACTCAGTAAACACTTTATTAAGTGCAATAGGTTATCTTTCAGAAAGGAGAGGGCAGCTGATAGGGTGAAAGTTTTATTTGTCAAGACGAGGGGCTCCAGGTATTGCTTTTCTTCATCTCTGGCCATCGGCTATGTTGGCTGGGGCTGATGAGAGTTGGAGTCCAACAACATCTAGGGAGCCACAGATTCCCCACTCCAAAGCTCTAAGAAGAAGAAGAAGAAGAAGAGTTTGGATTTGATATCCCGCTTTATCACTACCCGAAGGAGTCTCAAAGTGGCTAACATTCTCCTTTCCCTTCCTCCCCCCCCCCCAACAAACACTCTGTGAGGTGAGTGGGGCTGAGAGACTTCAAAGAAGTGTGACTGGCCCAAGGTCACCCAGCAGCTGCATGTGAAGGAGCAGGGAAGCGAACCCAGTTCACCAGATTACGAGTCCACCGCTCTTATCCACTACACCACACTGGCTCTCTAAGGAAGAAACTGTACCAGTATTTCTAATTTGCTAAACAATTAACAAAAATCAACGTCAAAAATAGATACTTATAAATTGCCTTTGCATCCCAGGAGCACAGAACTGCATAGCTGACCCCACCCCACCCCATTTTACCCTCACAACAATCCTTTAGGCTAAGAGGTAGTGATTGCTCCAAGATCACCCAGGAGCCCCATGGCTGAGTGAAAAATTTAAGCCAGATCATCCCAGCCTTAGTCCACAAGTCTAAATGCTACATGTGTAATTGGGGTGATTTAAAAAATAAATAAACCAGTGACTTGTTTTTAGAAAATGCAACTCTAAAAGGTTTAAAGGTTCAATTTCCAGTCATGAAACTCCCATTTCATGTGTTGCTGGACTTATGTCCCACTAAGTTCAATGGGACTGTCAGTCTCACGCAAGTGTTGAAAGCCAGTGTTATAAGAAAAAACTGCTCCTTTTCGCTTATCAGGTATCCAAGAGCCCGTATAGTCCTTAATTGGGTTCTCTATCAGCAGGAGAAAATAACAGAGGCCAACCAGAGTATACTGAGAAGCAAAGCAGCTAGTAAGCCTGATCTTTATTGCAATAAAAAAGTACTGTTGCAACAGGGTCCCCACTCCCCACACAAAGGAGGGAGGAAAGAATCCAGAACAATGGTGCACAAGCCCTTATATAGACTTTTGAAATTGCCCACCCTGTAGCTCAAGACCACCCCCCAAAACATCATATATACATCACAGAAGGAGGCTGTCTACAGCAGAAATCCTGTCTGCCAGGATACCTGATAATGGTCACTGATTGCTTTACCTGGGCAGCCTAGCCCTTCTTTTGTGTTGGGAAATACTTTAGTTCCTGAATTCAGGTCACAGGCTCACCCTATTAATACACAAATACACCCTTTATGACAGGATTTGCAAGCAAAAGACAATGTGAAGGCTTTCCCCATTTTCCTCCCTTACTGCAGAGGAATATTTGAGGTCACTGGGAGAGTCAAAATGGCTTCAGGATGGCTCTCCTGTACTATTTCAGACACGTGGTTTATATACTTATGTATGTGTTTGCCTCGTCCATTTCTGAACATTTAATTTATGTTTGAGACCTTAGAATTCTTATATCACCAGTGTGGCATAGTGGTTGGAGTGTTGAACTAGGACCTAGGTGACCAGGGTTCAAATGCCCACTCGGCCATGAAGCTCACCTGGGTGAGCTTAGGCAAATATCTCACCCTCAGGCTAGCCTACCTTACAGGGATGTTGTTGAGGATAAAAATGGCAAAGAGAAGTAGAAGTATGTAAGCTACCTTGAGCTCCTTAGAAGAAAGGTGGGATATAAATCAAATAAATAATTTATTACAATTAGCATGCAGCCTTACTTGGGTGGAAAATAACCTAGCTCTATCGGAACAAGCAATCATTTCCTTATAAGTGAGCCTATATTGACATCTAGTGGTAAAAAAGAGAAAGAAACAGTAAGGCTTATTATCTCAAGGCTTATTTGCCTGACAAACTTGTATCGGTTTCATAACCGTCTTAACAGTTCTGGCATTGCTGTTCCCCCGAGATTCCTGGAAATTGATGAGAGATTAGTGAACTGACTGGCCAGGACCAAGAAATCGGTTTCACAATAGGAAACACCATCATTTAACTTTAAAACAAAAACAAAACAAAAAACATATTCAGGACGATTATTATTATTATTATTTTACTAAGAGAAGGGAGAGGGACCCAAAAAGTGGAAGGGAAAAGAGGAAGATTGTAGAAGACAGGAAGAGATGAATATGCACTATTCAAAAATTAAAATTTGCTATAATGTTGTAGGTTCAGGTTATAGGCGAGTCTCTGGTCCAAACAGACGGAAAACTACTGCATCCAGTCCATCAAAGCTTATCCTACAATGCAACCCCTCCCAGAATTACAATACTAAGCACACTTGTCTAAACGTAAGTCCAATGGAACTCGGTGGGGCTTTCTCCTGAGTAAACATTTTACAAGATTGCACTGTAATCTGCCAAGGTGGTGCAAGACCCTGTTTGTCCATTGCACACAGCTCTGAAGATTACAGCACTTTATCTTGGCTTTCCTGCCTTATAGGCTAACAGAGATGCTCCTTTGAATACCAGTATTTGTGTGTTCTGTTTAACAAACTATCACTCTCCTTACTAGGTCAGGGTTCCTTTCCAAGAGCTTATTATTAACAGACTCTGCTATTACTCCCCACCCACCAGTCACCTCCTTTCCCCTCCAATGCAAACTCTTTAACATTTAAATTCAAAATAACTCCGCCCACAGTCCAATCTGTGCCTCCCAATTGCCAGCCAATGGGAGCTCGCGTCCCAGAGCTACTGGCCAATGAAAGTGAAGCAGGAAGCTGGCCTGGGGGAGAAAAACCAAAGAAATATAATGGCTAGAACAGCCTAGAGGCAAACCATAGCTAAGCAAACCGACGACCCAGTAATCTGGAGGGCCAATAACAGGGATAGAAAATTATACAGATCTTCAGTGAGGTTTGCTCCTAGGTAAGCGTGCAACTGGCACAGGCAAAAACCCCAGGACACTTCCGGCCTAAGAACTGATTTTCCATAGAGAGAAGTCCAGAGCGGCAGGATTACTTTTTAGCCGGAAGTTCGGCCTCCACGTCTTCCTAGATGAAGGGGAGAGGGAATCCGCTCTTCCGCCACTCAAGCAGTTAGCCAATCAGAAGAAGCCCAGCGCTGTTTTGTAAAAGGAACAGGAGTCCGAAGGAGCTCGCGAGAGCGGGGCGGAGCCTAGGAAGCCACCCGGGCCAATGGCGAGGGCGGCTGCGAGGCGCCTTGAAGCCAATCAGAAGAGCGGAGAGGGGAGCGCGCCAGCAGTTCGACTGAGGGATGCGCGCAGGAGATAATGGCGGCGGCGACATAAGAAACGGGGGCCTGTTTTTATTCTGAAGCTGTGGTGCGGTTGATCCCGAGGGGGCTTAGAGAAGCTAGTGGGGCCCTTTTAAGACTTGAAAATAGCAGTTAACCGAGTGCTCCCTTAGTATTAAGCTGTTACTCTTATTAAGAGCCCCCTTTTAGGGAGGGTTGGGGGGAGAAGGTGGCAGTGAGGGGCGTGAGAGGAATTCGCTGGGGAGGTTTGTTAATGCAGGGGGTGGGGGAGGGGCAATAGGACTTAAATCTTAAGGGAAACGTATTTTTGGCGTCCCAGGCAGAATAGAAAATTCAGTTTGTTTACAAGCCTGGCCCTAAGAATGCTTGCTTGGAAGTAAGTTCCCCCAGTTGCCTCTTCAGTGGGGCTACTCTTTCTTAAGGAAGTGTATCCAGGAGCAGCCTTGGGATGCTAAGGCAAGGAGGCTGAGCTGGGTTTGTCCTTAGATTGCCGGCTGGTTTATGTAATCTGCATTTTTGTGAGCGCCGCCCTGGACTGCCGGACCGCAGGCACCATACCAAAAAAAAAAGCACTTTCTGTAGCGTCATGACTTGCTCCTACAATGTGGTTTTCCTGTTGGACACTGCCAGTTCTGAGCGGAAGATTCACCTTCACCTGGGCACCTTGAGGATCTTGAACTACTTGGGCTGCAAGTTTGGCCTAGCTAAAATCCGGTGGGGCTTCAAGTTCTTTGACTCCTCAGGCGCCCGGGGCAGAACTTCGCGAGTGGGCAATTTCCGTGAGCTTGGATCCCGCAGTTGGGAAGAATTCGAGGAGGAGCTGGATGCAAAGTTTGGAAACCAGGACTGCAACCCAAAGTCATCTGGCTCGGTACCCCGAGCCACACTCACTCAGAACATACTGAAAGAATCGTTACTTGACTATCAGTGGGACCGGCCTGAAATTGCTTCGCCATCCAAACCAGTGTTGAGGAACCAGAAAAGCAAGTTAACTGTGACCCTGAACAAACCTCCAGGGAGTTATATTCCTTCTGAGGGCTTCGTGAATGCTATTTTCCTCTTCTCTCCTTGCCCTCATTCCCAGAGGGAGCTGCTGCAATTTGTTTCTGGAAGTCCTACTCATTTCTCTGATGAACTGCTTGCTTCATGTGATCTGACAGAAAAGTTCATCCCTAAGAGAATCCGGGAAATGATGGCTAGCCAGAAAATCTCATTGTATTGGGTGGACACTGCTGACTGGATCAAGGTAATATGAGAGAATTAATCATTATGGATGCTGCATCACAAATGATTACCCTGCCATCTTATGTGGCATGTTGCTAGTTTTGTTTGTTTCCCTCTCTTCCCCAAAGAAGCACATGGTGTCAAATGCTGGGCTTGCCATTTTATCCTCCCCCAAACTTGTTAATGTAGGTTAGGCAGAGAGAGAGATTGGTGGTTCAACCAGCACTGAACAGTTGTTTTCATAGCAATATTTAATAACAAAAATTGCATAATTGAAATCTCTCAGACCATAATATTTCTTTTCCCTCTGCTTGTAGGCAGAATACATTGTATCATTAGCCTTTGGTCATCCTACTAATATCACTAACCTGAGCCTTTCTGTTGCCTTGTTTCAGCTTCTTGGAACGTCAGACCACATTGGCTACTGGATGTTGGTTGAACTGATGCGCTTATTGGGAGGCAACATCTTGCCATCTGAGACTTTAATTCAGTGTTTGAGTCACCAATGTACAGGGGCTACCCCTGACTTTCCTATGGAGCCTGTGTCCTCTGGGCAACCATTCACACCATTGACTACAACCCTGCCTTTTGATTCAACTTTGAACTGCCTGTTTACCTCGCCTTCCTCATTGCAAGCGTCCTTCCCTCATGTAGAAGGAGTGTTGTACCTCAAATCTGATGGTAATGAAAGTCTGTTTTGGCAATCATTCGTAGCCGAGTAAGATTGTCTTCCATAAACACGGCTTTAACAGTGAGGCCGTAAGTGACTGTGGAGGCCAATTCTGGATCCACACGTCCTTCCACAGTGGGGAGATAGGTTTCCGGGTGGGTGTTGGTCACGGTGAGGGTTTGCCAAACATGCCTTCCTCTTAGCACGTTTTCCCCTTTCATCCTGAGTTCGAGCATCTTCAAAGCCCATGACACCTTTGGTAAAGGCTGTCCTGGTCCAGCTGGAGCGCTCACAGGCCAGTATTTCCCAGTTGTTCACCACCAGCATGACACTTTCCATTTTTAAGTTCGGAATAGAGTCATTACCATCAATAATGATGGTAATGAAAGTAATGCCTGGATATAGCCAGCAAGTACTTCTTTTCGCTTTTCTGTACAGCTCAAGTGCTGTGAAAAGGATACATTATTCCAGCGCTGGGTAACTTGTGGTCCTCCAGAAGTTGTTGGATACCAACTTGCAACAGCCCCAACCAGCATGACAAGCGGCCAGAGATGAGCTGTAGGATCTCCATCCCTGTTTTGTTCTTTTAAGTAGTTGTACTTTCAAACTGACCAATTAAATTGTTTCCCAATTGCAGATGTTTCTAAATTCTTCAGCAAACAATTAGGGTAACAATGAAGTTGTTCTCTGGAAAGCTGCTGTCTTGAGTCTTAACTTAAATGTGAGATTGTTAATCTTTTAGCTAAAACATGTAGCTTGTTGCTGAGAGCATCCTTATAAGAAGACTGAGAGACAGCAAATGTAATACCTGCGTTAGTATTATTACTAACATCTGTCTCAACTAAACTTGTAAGAAGCTATAAGGATCAGTTCTATGCTTCTCAACCTAGTAAATAAAGTGTAAATCTCTTTATTTTTTCCATAGTCGCTGAGTTCTCAGTTAATTAATAATTTATTTCCTGCTTTAATTAACTATTTCTATTCCATTTTAAAAGCTCTTAAACCTTAACTCTTGTGTTTTCCCTTAAACAGGAGTTGAAGAGGCACAAAGCTGTGGTGTAGTCTTGGAGCCTCTAACTCTAAGCCAGAGGCACCTCAAAAGTCCAGTCAATATTACTCTGAAATGCACTATGACCAGCTGGAATGCAGTGCATGCTGGGAGCTTTCACACACAGAGCTGGATACTGCGAAGCACATTGTCAGGACTGTCAGTCCAAGAGACTTCATTGTTTCAGCAGTTTGTAAAATCCCTCCAAGCACAAGGGCTACACATGGTAAGGATTGTGTCTGTTCAAAATAGCAACTCTCATTTAGCTGTGAAGAGCTAGCTAGTTTTCAATATTTATTTGTCACATTTATGACTCATTCTACTTGTTGAGCGTTCAGTAGTACATGTATCACTTTTTCCAGGGGAGATCTTATATTAGCCTGAGTTGCACCTTTCAAAACCTCAGATATAGAGCTGAATCAGATATTTTGGCACCATTCTCTAGTCCAGGGATTACCATACTGTGGTCTGTGAACTGCTAGTGGTCCAAGACCTTCATTCAGGTAGTCTGTGGTGTATCTATAAAAATACATTTACATATCCTACAGCATCTAGCACAGAGTGCAATACCCTTTCCACAACAGGCAGAAAAGTCATTAAGTGATTTACCAAGATTCTGAGCAGTTTTCAAGTGGTCCATGTCTATGCACTACAAATACTGAGGGTTGTCCTGAATACTGAATAGTGTTTCCTTTCTGAGCAAAGGTAGAGCTGCCTACATGATTTTTTTTTTCTTCCTTACCTTTTTGAAAGGTTGCTGAAGTGTCTCCATCTGGGGCCTATTGTCCCTGTACTGGGATTTTCTCTCCCACCTCGAATACCACTGCAGTTCTTTCTTTACTCTGTGCCGAGAGAGCACCAGAAGTTGAGAGAGCCTTCCTTCAAACAGCTCTAGAAGGGAATCTTTCGAAAGAGGAGTCTAGCCTTCCAGAAATCGTGAGCGGCGTGGTAAATCAAGTTGGTGATGACTTTGATCTGGCAAGTTCTGGTACGTTTACATGCTTGCTTGCTTAGAACTTTCCAGTGAACCCCACCCATGTTGTTTCGTCTGCTGAGGAATCCTCAGGCCTGCTGTGCCTCTTGTTTTATTTATTTATTTAGATTTTTAGCCTCCCTTTCAATCAACTGGTTTACAATGGATTATAACCACACATAACAGACACACAACTTTTCAGCCCTGAATTCTCTTTGGTTGGAGCCAAGGCACACTTCCATTCAGCTGTTCAGTTGGAGCTAAGTGATTTCCAGGAGAGTGTGGGTGGGGAGAGAGCAAGCTCCCTACAGCTGCTCCTTCTCGTCAGTGGATGAGGCCAGAGTGGTCTTCCCCTTGCCATGATGTTCTTCCTGGGTGATGCAGGAAGAACATCATGGGGGATGCATCAAGGGGATGCAGTTTCCCAATGGCCCTTGGTTCCATAGTTCCAACAGAAATCAACCAGAGTTGCTTCCCTTCAGTTCTCCACTAACAGTGCCCTACTTGAATTGAGAAACATGCCCTTAAAACATAACCCACCTTCTCTTGCAGCTGCACATTGCAGGGGAAAGTTGGTAACGAGGAGAAAGGCATCTTTAATCAGAGCATCTCATTGAGAAACCCCAGATAACTATCCAAGAAACTCCAGTGTTTGCTGGAATATAGCTTTAAAGCCACTGGTCTAAAAGAGTGATGCCCTGCCTGTTTAAAGCAGTTTTGTGGGCAAAATGTATCTAATGTCTGTGGTGTGTTGGGGAGGACGGGGTGTTTGAATCTTTGCTCTGGTTAGTTTGCTATAGACTCATCCATATTGTTGGAAAGTAGAATTGTACGCAGATGACTTGGAAAATGAACTCTGGGGAATTAATTTCTAAGTAATTGAAATAAAATATCACCTTGAAGTATTTTTTTAAAAGAAAAGTATGGCATAATAAATAGTTAAATAACTAAATAAACATGCATAACATTTGCAGCAACTTCATTCCTAACTGTGGGATAGACTGCAGTCGTTACAATTCTTGGATGTTTTTATTCTGTCTTTGCAGACCCAGCAGAAACTCTGATTCCAGAGTGGGCACAGCAGGAGCTGTCCTGCACCCACCCCTGGAGTCCTGCCGTGATTGAAGGCTGGTACTCTTTCTCAAACCTCTGTGGAGCAAGTTCTCACTTGATGGAATCATTCAGGTGATTCTTTTTTGCTCTGCCTTCAAAGCCAGTCTAATTTTGGGAAGAGCAGGTCTGTGATGTGGAGGGTTCTATAATCAGCCTTACAAAATATACAGTCGTACCTTGGAAGCTGAATGGAATCCATTCCGGAAGTCCGTTCGACTTCCAAAACATTCGGCTTCCAAGCGCAGCTTCCAATTGGCTGCAAGAAGCACCGCCAGACATTCAGCTTCCAAAAGAACGTTCACAAACCAGAACACTCACTTCCGGGTTTGCGGTGTTCAGGAGCCAAAACGTTCAACTGCTAAGGCGTTTGTCAACCAACGTAGGACTGTATTTGTATTGGCTATGCCTTATCAGTTTTTTTTTCTTCTTCACATGGTATTTCCATGTTATTTCCATGGTATTTCCATGTTAAATAAATGCAAAATTAGAATTATATAAGATATGGTTTTCAGAGCTTCACATTTCAACATGAATGAATATGTCCTATTCGGACAAGAGATTGGCCTCAGGTCTAGGATGACTAGGAAGACTTGCAGAGTTCAGCGGAGCTGGTTAGACATGCTACATATTGCAAGCTTTCAACTGTAGTGGAAAGGAAAATCTTTGCTTTTGCTGTCAAAATAAGATTTATAAACAGAAGCAATCTTTCCCTACACAGGTTGCTGCAGGCAGGGTCTTCTACTGAGGAAAAGGAGGCTCCAAAGCATGAAAGGGAACTTACCCACTGTCTGTCTGAATTTTACCAGAAGAAAGCCTCTGGCATCTCTGCTACATCCCAACAGCGGGATCACAGGAAGAGACGTATGCACATTCCACTGTCACTTGTCTACCCTCTTCCATTCTTCAAGATAGCTGCCTCTCTTGTGCTTTAATAAACACTCTGCTTCTACTTTCATTTTTTAAAAAGCTACTTTATATGCATGTGGTATTCTTTTCTTCTGTTGGATGTGGTTCACTATGATTTCTCTAACTCCAAGTTATGCCTATGTCTATTGATTTGAGCAGGCGAAGTTCCCCGGACTCCTGTTAGGCAAAAAATGAAGACCATGCCTCGCTCCCTTCAAATGCTAAACGCTGCAAGGCTGAATGTAAAGGCTCAAAAGTTCCAGCCAGATGGAGAGCTGCCAGTCAGTGAGAATGTTTCCCAAAAGTTATTACCGAGAAGATTGAATGATAAAGTGGAAGAAAGGGGGGAAGCAAAGAAAACCAAGATAGGTATGTACAAAATGAAGTCCTCTGCCCATCCTGTGTTTTGGAGAGTGCAAGAGAGAGGCTTTGTAGGAGAAGCAATGGGTTTTGCAATGGCTTCGGAAGTAGAGGGGGAAGGAAAATGTTTAGAATATTCTAGCTACAAGAGCATGAGTAGAAGGCACTGTGCTAAATGTAGTAGAATTGTGGAGTATTTCTTGCTACTGTTGGCACCAGTATGGGGACTAGTGCAATCTGTGAGCCAAGGTATGAGAAACCTGCAATGGTAGAATTGCTTTTTTATTGCTCCCTCACTGGAAAAAGCATTTATGAAAGAACGTTCTTTCATGTGTGGTGGACCTGTAAAAGGGTAAAAGAGTATTGGGAAATCATTTATAATGAATTGGAAAAAAAATGTTTAAAAGCACCTTTCCAAAAAAGCCTTTCCAAAAAACCCCAGAGTCCTTTTTGTTGGGGATAATTCAGACTTAAATTCCCAAATGTCAAAAAATGTTTTGTTAGCCCCAAAATGGAAAACGAGCGAGGTCCCAACCAAAGAAGAATGGCAGCTTAAACTGATGGAATATGTGCAGCTTGCGGACCTAACATACAGAATAAGAGAACAAGAAGAACATGAATTTAGAAAAGATTGGAAAATGTTTATTGAATATACGGGGGGAAATTGTGTACACTTGAAAACACTGGCAGCAATAAGAAATATTCAACAGTGTAAACAAGTTTTGATGGAAGTAATAATCGAATACTGAATGGTTTAGTTTATATAAAATCTGCAGGGATTTATGCTGTGTAAAATGAACCATGGAAAGAGAAGGGAAGTCACTTATATTTTAAGGTTGTATAAATGAATACTCCAAATTGTAAAACAGAAACTTTAATAATTTTTTTTTTTATAAAAAAAGGAAAAAGCATTTATGGTTGCCTACCTCGTGGGTAGTCAACACGGTGTCCTCCCGCTGTGGTCATACTTGAATTCCCTTAGCCCCAGCCATCATGGCCCAGTGGTTGGGGTAATGGAAGTTCAAGTCCTGTCTACACCTGGAGGACACCATGTGGCTACCCCTGGCCATTCCTTTCTTTTACCTAATAAGGTATGTGTTTCAAATAATCCTTTAACACTATTCCTTAAGTGTTTGATTGCATGAACTGTTCATGGCAAGTTCCTGATTCCCCCTTCCCACTTTGGTTTACCTATGTGTGCATTTGTTTTGTAGGCTTCAGGACTGAGGAGGAGATGCTTTCTTTTATATCTACAAACTACCAGAAGGCGGTGACAAGCGGAGATAATTTGTTTGCGTATGCCCAGGAGACGGTGGCAGCTGTTAATGCGTTGCAGAAATCAAATGAGGTAGGGTAGCTAGACATGCCTGCTTTTCCATTTAAATATAAACATATAGGAAGGTGTTTGGGGGTAGGAAGAATGTACAACAGGTTCTTAAAACAGGAGGCGATTTCATGCCATTTTAGAGTTGGAATGAAAATGGAAGAAAATGCTGGATATTCAGGCAGCAGCACCAATGAGGCCTTTCTTTACAGATCTCTGTCTGCCTGCAATGAGCACAACTTTGTGGGACACAGATGTCTTTTGCTGTAAAACATACCATCCATTGACCTCTTTTGGCAACATGCTTTGGGGAAATTTCGCTGGGGTTTTTTTCTTTTTTGCCGGTTTATATTCCTCCCTCCAGCCCCTCTAATAATCAGAACAAGGATTCTGTTCTTGCACAAACCAAGATACTTCATCACAAAAAGGAGGTCCCTTTCAGCTCAGTCCTAGATTATTCATCCAGAGCAGAGTTTTGGAACCTGTTGCTGGACTACAACTCACATCAGCACCAACCAGTATGGCTCGCGGTTGGGGGTGATGGGATCTGTGATCCGCCGACATCTGCAGGGTCAAAGGTTCCCCACCCTAATCCAGAGCAATAAATTGCAGGAATTGTGCTTCAAGCACAGTAGCAACATTCCCAGTGTTGGGATATATTTCCTGGTGAGAATCAGTGTGTTTGCTAAGGTCAAATTAGATGGCATGTTACATGCATGGTTGTGCTTAATGTCTCATCTGGTTTGGTGCTAAATCTTGCTGGCAGTGGCAAATACACATTTTTGTGTTGTACATGCCCTTTTCTTAATAAATCAATTAAAAACCTTTAATCCTTGAACCTAGTTGTTTGTCCACTGCTATTTGAGTTTACATGCTGGGTGTAACTGCACTGAACCTAGGAAATACTTAAAAAAACTGAAGTTGGTAGGAAGCCTGAAGGTAAAGAGCCAGTGTTAACATTTTATATCCTAACACAAAACCCCCTAGAAGTCTTAACCCTGTTGCTCCTGAATGTCTCCTTGACACTGATCATTCTGTCCGCTCAAATATTTCATTTTGCCCTTGCAATTAAACAGTTCAGCTGTTATTTCATTGCATTTCTTCTAAAGTTGCTGTCTGTCCTCGGAGCGTTACATGCTTTCTGATTTTAAATCTACAGGCAGCTGGTGTGGATACAATCCGAAGCAATCTCCTGAAAACCAGCAAAGCCCTCCGTCAGCAGCTTGGGAACGATCCTGATAAGGAAATCAAAGTCAGAGAGTACGAGATGCTATTACTTTCCCAGATAGGTTGTTCTGATAATTGTGGAATAGATTGCTGTAGTGCTGAAGAGATTGCCTTACCAAATTCTCTTGTGCAGTAGTGGAGGAATTCACTAGTGAACGCTACAAAAATAACAATTGCCCTTTGTTTTAATTTTCAAGGATATCTTTGTGTAGTGGTGTGTACCATCTAGATAATATGCTGAATGTGTAAACAACCTTGCAAAATCACTTTATGTTAATCTGTTTTACAATGTTTGTATACTGCTTTTGATAGGCAGCTATCACCCTTGCACTAACAAACCAGAATACCAGTCAATATCCATGGTATCTTAACAATAACGTGTGGCTCCTTGCTCAGCTTTTTGGAAGATGGTGGCAGCAAGGAAGGCACTGGGTGGAAACATTTGTAGCTCTTCCTGCTGCTAATGTCGCTACTACTCTCAGCAGGTGTTATAAAATTGGCAGCAGGGCATACCTTCTCTTCCATTCATATTTCCCTCTCCCTCTCTTTAACAGGTGTCAGCTTCAGGTCTATCTGCGCCTTGAAATGTGCCTGCAGTGCCCTTCTTTGCAAAATAGCACAGATGAGATGGAACAGCTTGTGGAAGAGGTAGATGAACAAGCCTTGCCTCTGGGTTCCAGAAGTTGAAAACAGCAATTCTCAGCCAGCATGTGAAATCTTCACATCTCAATTGCTGTTGAGCAGCAACTATGGTCTTGGTGACCCGGCCAGCATATAATGTGGAACCAAACAATAACTTAGCACAAATGAACAAACGTGCTACTTCCTGGTGTGAAGATCACTGCCGTTGCACTCTTCCCCTGGTCTTGCTACTGATGGACTATGCAGGGCTAAGCTATTGTTTGTCTCAGGGTTAATGTCCAAACCCGGGTTTGTGGTTTATCTCATTCCAGACAAGTCACAAGCTTGTAACCAAAGTTTGTTCTTAGTGTACCACTCCTTGTGTGTCTGCTAGGTTTGAGATGCACTGCTAATTTAAACATTGACGTAACCATGCCAATCGATTAAACATGTCAGTTGACATGTTTAATCAGAAAAAAGTCATTGTTAACATTTGTTAAAGACTTTTTTGCATGAAAAAGAAAATGAATTACCGGTAATTAAATTTGGATTTGAGGAATGAAGATAAGGTTTGTTTTTTAGAAAGTGGCTTTGTTGGGTGTTATATTGGAGTAGATGAAGTGAATATTGTTTATATATAGCTGACAGACGAAGTCCCCTACCTTCTGATTTATTTCTTTTCCTTTATTTCTCTCTTTCTCTTTCTTTATTCCTTTCTCCCCTTCCCTCGCCATTTCTCTTTATGTTTTTTATTGCAAGATTAAAGTCTTAGTTTGGATAAAAAGAAAAAAAATGATACTAAGTTTTCTATTTTTCTCCATAAGCCTCGAAAAAATGTATTCAAACAAACATTGACTTAACCCTGGATTGCATGGGTCTAGGAAAGGAGCACAGCAGCCCTAGTGTTCACCCCAGGAACCTGCATGTTTGCTCATGTGCGCTTAAGTCGAGGTTTGGCTTTATGTTATATCTGAACAAAGGTCAATGAGGCCATAGTGGAAACAGTAGAGCTTCACATTTGTCTGTTCATGCTAAATCATGCTTTGGCCTGGCATTACATGTGAACTGGCCTGCTATCATTAACCCTTGACCAATTTTTTGCCGCTCAACTTGCTTGCAGATGACAGAGATGCTGCGGATTTTGTGTTTGACTGAAGACCCAGGATACCTTGCCAGGTTTTTGGAAGAAGTTGTAGAAACGTAAGTGCTCTTGTGTGCTGGCTAATTTTATTCATTCATTTACAAAACGATGAGTGGAGCAGGGAAGGCTGAACAAATTCTGTTATGCAGAGGACTTGAGAGCTGCATGACTATTAATGCAGAACGTGAGCTAAAGAGCTGGTTATCTGAATTGCCAGTATTTTATATTTACCATTCTTTTTTTTTCTTTTTTATAATAATTTTTATTCATTTTTCCATTATACAAGTTTACCATAACAAATCATTTTCATAAATTTCAACTTTTTGACTTCCATCAGCTTCTCTGTCAATCATCCATATTTAAGTTTTTGTTACGCATTCCCTAAATTTAATATTGCCTTTTAGTATACCTCTCCTAACCTGTTTTCCTTTTTTACAATACTCCTCTAACTTTCACAGAGCTTCTTTAAATCTCACTAGCGTTGTTTGTTCATCACATATACTTTCCAGATATTCTGTGAATTTCCCCCAGTCCTCAGTGAACTTGTGCTCTCGTTGATATCTAATCTTCCCAGTTAGTTTGTCCAGTTCTGCATAGTCCATAAGTTTCATTCTCCATTCTTCCACAATTGGTAAATCCTCCTGCTTCCATTCTTGGGCCATTAATATTCTTGCTGCTGTTACAGCATATTGGAAAAGTTTACAGTCCCTTCTATTTATCTCTCTTCCTGTTATTCCTAGAAGAAAAGCTTCTGGTTTCTTTACAAATGTATATCTCAACATCTTCTTCAATCCATTATAAATCATCTCCCAGAAACCCTTCACTTTCTTACACTCCCACCACATATGATAAAATGACCCTTCTTTTTCTTTACATTTCCAACGCTTATTACATGTTTTAAACATTTTTGCTAATTTAACCGGTGTAATATACCATCTATATAGCATTTTCATAACATTTTCCTTTAACGTAATACATGCTGTAAATTTTATATTTTCTTCCATATTTTTTTCCCAATCTTCCAATTGTATATTATATCCAAAATCTCTGGCCCAATGTATCATAACCGATTTGACTTCCTCATCCATCGTATGCCATTCCAACAGTATTTTGTACATTTTTGACAGTATCTTATAATTATTTATTATTTCAGTTTGGAATTTCGATTCTTTTTCTAAATATCCACTCTCTTTAAGATTTTTTTTAAACATTTCATTTACTTGGAAATAATGCAACCAGCCAAACACGTATTCTTTTACTTGTTCATATGGTTTCATTTTCCATTTTCCTCCTTCTTTAATTATCAGTTCTCTATATGTAACCCAACTCCCTCTCATATTAATTTTCTTTATACTCCTAACCTCTAATGGTGACAGCCAGTGTGGAACTTTTGGTTCTAATAGATTTCTATACCTATCCCATATTTCTATTAAAGATCTCCTGAAGATATGGTTCTCAAATCCTTTGACTTTTCTTCTTTTCTAACCATAAATACGCATGCCATCCAAATCTGTTATCAAATCCTTCTAAATCTAGCAATTTTGTATTTTTAAATTTTATCCATTCTTTTAACCAACAGAGACACGATGCTTCGTAATATAATTTCAAGTCTGGCAGGGCAAAGCCTCCTTTTTCCTTCGCATCTGTTAATAACTTGAATTTTATTCTCAGCTTTTTGCCCTGCCATATATACCTTGAAATTACTCTTTGCCACTCTTTAAAGATCGTTGTCCCTTTAATTATTGGAATCATTTGGAATAAAAATAACATCTTTGGAAGCACACTCATTTTAATCGTTGAAATTCTACCCCAAAAGGAAAATTTCATCCTTCCCCACACCTCCAGATATATTTACCATTCTTAGGCTCATTGCAGCCTTCCTGAACCAGAATTAAAACAAAATTGACTGTATTTCAACTTATCACTATTTAAATAGTTGGGGATGTTTCAAATTAAGTCTAGGGTGTTTTTTTCTTCTCTAGCTGCTACAAATTTATTTGGGGTTGCATCCAACGTTAGTCTTACTCAGAGTAGGTCCACTGAAATTAAGAGACAAGACCAACTTAGGTCCATGAATTTCACCGAGTTTAATCTAAAGAACACTTTGGTTTCTTTTGGTTGATGTTTGTTTGTTTAAAGTTTCCAAATATAGACCAGAGTACTTGGGTAGTACTGTTGCTTGATGGAGTGTAGTAAATTTATTTATTCACTTGTAGGCATACTTATGGTAAAGGTAAAGGGACCCCTGACCATTAGGTCCAGTCGTGGCCGACTCTGGGGTTGTGGCGCTCATCTCGCTTTATTGGCCAAGGGAGCCGGTGTACAGCTTCCAGGTCATGTGGCCAGCATGACTAAGCCGCTTCTGGCGAACCAGAGCAGCGCATGGAAACGCTGTTTACCTTCCCACCGGAGCGGTACCTATTTATCTACTTGCACTTTGACGTGCTTTCGAACTGCTAGGTTGGCAGGAGCAGGAACCGAGCAACGGGAGCTCACCCCATCGCGGGGATTCAAACTGCCAACCTTCTGATTGGCAAGTCCTAGGCTCTGTGGTTTAACCGACAGCGCCACCCGTGTCCCTTTGTAAGCATACTTATATACCATCAATTCATTAGCGATATCAGAACAGTGTGTAACAAATCTGTAGGTGGTATATTGCTTTATTTCACTGGTTAAGATTTCTACCCATCGATTTCAATTGGCCCTACTTTTGAGCAAACATACAGAAGATCTCAGGTGGCACAATGGGTCAGTGATTCTGGCTCTTAGCCAGAAGGTTGGTGGTTCGAGCCCACCCAGGGGGTTGGACTCAATGACCCTCAGGGTCCCTTCCAACTCTACGGTTCTATGATTCTAAGATTGCACTGTGAATCCACTGAAGGCACAACAAGTATTTTGGTTGCTCAGCTGGATACCTGGTTGTGTGAAAACTTTCTGGCTGGGCTAAATCGTCAAATGAAGGAAACATAACTCAGTTGGGAAAGAGGGATAATTGGGCTAGTAGTGAGTGAACATGCCTTCTGATTAATTTATTTTTATGGCAGATTTGTATGCTTTCCATTATTGCCACAACCACCCCTCTTCTTCAACTGAAACCATAGGCATACTCTTAAAAGCAAGAGCTTGCAAGTTTAATAATAAAGTTGGGTGCAGAATCAGGTAACAAAATCTCACAAAGGTTAGAGTCCTTGGTAAGTAGCATGTCTGATGCATGCTTGTGTTACGATGTCTCTGTAGGTATCTGGAATCTATGCCAAAGACCCTTGGGGATTTGTACTACAGTCTGGGGACACAGATTCCCCCAAAGCTGGCCTCTGTCCTGCCAGCAGACTTCTTCAGTGACGATTCCCTCAGTCAGGAGAGCCAAACCCCATCCCTGCCTCCTTCTGCATCCTCAGTTCCTGTTTCCAGAACAGCTTCCTTAAGTACCGATGCAGAACAACTGGAAGAACTACGCACCAGATCTGCCAAGAAAAGGTGACTGCAAGGCGTAAATGGCATTGGATTAAAATTAGACTGGGTTGCAATTTCTTTCTGAATAAGGAAATTCCTTCTGAAGTTTATCAAAGGATATTGCAAACATTTCAAAGGTGTGCCCATGTGGGCTTCCTGTTGGTGTTAGATTACCTTGAGGGCAGCATGGGAGAATGTCACTTTGTGTTGAAAACAATGAACCTTATTTCAAGGTGGCTGCATGAAAAGCCCCTACTTTTTTAAAAAAATGTTGAAATGTAATTGTGCGCCTTGCTCAAGATTTTACTTGGTACTTCTAGAAAGAACACGCTGGGCAGACACCGGAGTGTAACAGAAGCATCACAGAACTTGCGCCAAATAGAGATTCCTCAAGTACCCAGAAACCGTACTAGGAAGGTAACGTTTCCTCCCCCCCCCCCCCCGCAATATCTTTCTGGAAAACCAGAAAATGCATGTAGCAGCTGTAAAACTCCTGTGTCTCTATGCCTGTTTGAATAGTCTTTCTGATGTTAAAACACCTTTATATGGAAAGCTGTTACACTGATTTAGTTTTCACTGGAACAAAGGGAAGTCCTTTTCTAAATAAATGGATTTCAGTTTCCGGCATTATTTTTTCCAAATTACCTATAAATAGATGTAATTCCGAAATCATTCTAATACTATATTCTAATAATTCAGGACAGCTCTCATGTGTGCCTTGGTGTGAAATCAGTACCATCTGTACAGAAAGTGGCAGTGCAAGGTAAACTTCTTCCTTCCTTCCTTATTAGAGAACTAGATGGTAGGGCTGTGTGATGATTCAGATTAATCCCTTGGAGGGATTTTGGGGCTTCTCAAGAGGTGAAGCAAGAGGTCTGTATAAAGTGGCATTTATCCACCTACTAGTGGACCTATTAGTTTGCAATTTGGCGAGTTTCTTCCCCAGGGGCATCTCTCCTGTCCTCAATTTTCAGACCAATTGCCCACAATACACTAGGAGAAATTCAATAATTCCTTTTTTTTATCCATCCCAAAACTGTAACCACTGCAGCTGACTTTCTCAAATTTGGCACAGTGCTTGGTTTATTTAAAGAATATCCATATATATGTTTTAAAAGCTTTGTCCAGGCTTATGAGGATGGAAATAATTTTATATTTACCAAACTTTTCTCTTTTGATCCAACAATAAGTGCCATGAAATGTGCATTTATTGCCAGAGTCCCTAGTGTCTATCGATAGTAATCCAGAATGTATCACTGAATTCAGGTTGTGCATTGTGGAGAGAAGCAATTCGTATCTCCACTGCGTTCAACAGGATACGTGATTCAGTTCAGCAGCAATGCATTTGGGCTCTATGTGATTCATATTCTGGATCTTCTTAATTTCTTGAGAGTTAGATCCAGTGGTAATCCTACTCAGAGTAGAGCCACTGAAATTGATGGACATGACTAACTAAGCCCATTAATTTCAATGGGTCTACTTGGGATAGAAATTAGTTGGATACAACCCAGTGTCTTCCTTTTGGTTCTCTGTGTGTCCAGGATTTAAAAGAAAGAAAAAAATACATAATTATGAAAAAAATTAATCTGACACTTTATATTAATTCTCGGATTTTGAACTGCACAGAAAGATAATATTTTCTCCAGAGTGCTTTGTCTTGTGAACAGCAATCAAAACTCAGTTCCTTCTTTTGGCTTTTTGATGCTTCCAGAAGTGACAAAGGTACGAAGGAACCTCTTCAATGAAGAAATGCTTCCTCCAGGCAAAAGATCCCTATCAAAGATTCCTCGAAGCCAGTCAGTATCAGCTGTAGAAGGTTTAAAAAACAGGCGGAACCAAGCTAAGGAGTGTGCAAGAGGTGAGAGGTTAGATAGATAGATAATTTACTACGGTCGGAGACCAGCTTATAAAACACACTTGGGGTACAGTCACAGAAGGAAAACAAGCAATTGAAACAATGTACAACAATAAATTTAAAAACAATGTACAACAACAAACTACCGCAGGGAGCTGACCCAGAGTCACCCATAGAACCAAGTTTGGGGATTTTCTTAACAAACTAGTTTGAGATGGGAGATGGTCTCCACCTACAGATCTGTACACAGAATCTGGTGACCACCTGGGTCGTCTTCTGATCTTTGCCTAACAGGAGAAGGTCGCATTTTTGCTTTTCCGGGAGGTCAGGGAGCCTCACCAGTAGGAGATCAGTGGTCTTACTACGTGCCTCTTCATAAAAGGGACATCTAAAGAACAGGTTCTCTGGGCTTCCTATCTCCCCCAATGAACAGGCGCAAAGTCTCTGAGCATATGGGACTTTTTTAAAGGCTCCTTCCAGGAACGGCGAGCTATATATCTCTCGATTGTCCCATTGTCTCTCGGTCTCAATGATTGTTTAGGTGAGAGGTTACTTAAATGAGTGCTTTGCTGTACAGGCAGCGACTGTTGTGCGTGCGTCCGATCTGTGCGCAACACATGCATTGCTCCAAACCCAGAAGTGACCCAAAAACATCACAAAAGGGGATGAGGCGGGGGCAGAACAGGGGGTTTGCAGGCTTTTTCAATAGTGTTTCAGATATACACAATTTCACTTAAATGTGTGGTGCCTTGGAACGTAACTCCCACTGCTTGTCTTGGCTTATGTAGGATGGCTGACGCAAAAGCAGTAAGTGGGAAAATATGGAACACCAGGGAAGGTGTCTACTATGGAAGGGATTAAGTGAATGTGGAGCCAGGAGGACTTCCCACCCCAGAGAGTCAAAGGGTATTTTGGAAGGGAAGGGAAGGGAAAACCTTAGATGCGGGGGCTGAAGCCGTTTGCAATCTGAAAAAGTACTTGCTTCTAAACTTCAAAACGTCAAATATGTTATCCTCACCTGGCTTACACAATGCAAGTCATTGTGCAGACTTGCTACCTTGCGATAATTATTCTTTGGTCCTTTTCAGATAATCTCAAACTGCTGACCAAGAGTGTGGCAGAAACACCGTTGCACAAGCAGATCTCCAGGCGGCTGCTGCACAAGCAGATTAAAGGCCGGTGAGTGAAGGCACCAGATTCACTGATCAAGCAACTTACTGTTTTTGGTAGAAAGTGGAACTTTTCTGGATACCTTTCTGCACTTGGATGCCCTTTGCCATTGTGCTTGAACTTCTAAAGCAATGTTTCCTTCATAGGAATTCAGACCCTGGATCTGAAGTTGGCATTGTAGAAGAATCTCCTGAAAAAGCCATACCATGTAGGTGTTGATTTTATGTGACCTTTTTATTTGCATGTTTGGGGAGCTCCAGCTCTTTGGCTATAGCTTAAATTCATTTGTTAACAGAGCAGAAGGTGGCAAAAATTCCGATTTTTATTTCATTTTTATCCTACCTTTCGTTCAAGGAGTTCCGGACAGTTTACAGTGGGTATGGGGAACATGTTGGATTCCAACATCAGTCACGGCCATCCAGCATGGTCAATGGTAGTCCAGCAATATCTGGGAAGATCACTGGTTCTCCCTCCATTTTATCATCTCAACACTCGGACACGACTAAATGACTAAACAACAGCAACAAAATGCTGAGTTGCAGCACCAGTTCTTAGATTCCCCTTTATTGGTGGCACTGACTTGGTACTATATGGCTGTGAGTTTAAAGACGAACCTTGTTTCTTCCACATACAAACCCAAAGGTGGATTAAGAAGAAGTCCACGGATCAAGCAACTTTTACAGGATAGAGCAGTCTCTGGTTCCTTCTACTGCTCTCAACCCAGCAAGAAGAGTGTACAGCAAATGCAGTCGGAAGCACCTGATGTACAAGACAGTTTAACAGGTATGGAAGCAAGCAACGGATTGCTTTTGGTTCCAGGGATTGATTACAAGATTGGCTTGAACACATGAGAGTTCAGTCAGAGGCAAAGTAGATGCTGCTTTATTTTACCTGGGTCTTCCTACTGTGCTGTTTGCTCCACCTGCAACTTTTCTATTGTTTATTTGCTTGGGAGATTTTGTACTTTTCTTCTAATGCTTGTTTGATGTTGTACTGTCATGAAAAACTCTATAAATGAAAGGTATTTTTTTTAGGCAAAGTAGACGTTAATCTACATCTGCTGGATGTTCAAGCTCCCTTATCTTTCCCCATCAAAACAAATTGATTAGCCAGTAATAATAAAAAATGATAGATACTCGTTTCTCAAACAGACTGATTTTCACACAAAATCAGCAACACACGACGACGTGTGGTGAGCTTGCTGCATCCTTTCTTTCAGAACATTGAAGGGAGAGGTAAGCCAGCCTCCTTGGGTAAGGTATTCCACAGGTACGGTACCACAACCTAAAACTACTCTCCCTATATTTCCTTGGAGGTGGACAGCCCCACTTCTCAGTGGTAGATGGATTGGCACAGAAAACTACTGTCTAACAAACAATCACCTGGGTCCTACTCCTACTTTCATTCATTCCTTCTACAGGCCTCATAGTCCGCTAGTGATATTCATATATCTGCCATAAGTAAAGTTGTACCTCAGGTTAAGAACTTAATTCGTTCTGGAGGTCCGTTCTTAACCTGAAACTGTTCTTAACTTGAGGTACCACTTTAGCTAATGGGGCCTCCTGCCGCTGCGCAGTTTCTGTTCTCATCCTGAAGCAAAGTTCTTAACCTGAGGTACTATTTTTGGGTTAGCGGAGTCTGTAACCTGAAGCGTCTGTAACCTGAGGTACCACTGTACATGATAGAGGGCAATTTGAAGCAGATAGTAAAAGGGAGGTCTAACCTGTCCCTGCATGCTAACTTGTCCCTCCAGTTGCAGTTGTAGGCGATACCTGCCACTTGTTGCTGCTGAAAGTAATTATTCCACTTTGTCACTGCAGAGACCAAGGTTTGTATGGCACGGTCTCTCAGCGTAGCAAGTCAGTCATACATTTAGTCAGACATCTACAAGTTGGAAATGTTTGGTTTGTAGTTACTAACTAGTTCATGCCAATGTGGGTAGCCAGGAACATGCTGCCTTAAAAGCTTGAGCCTACAGCAGCTGACACTTGTGTGGACTGTTTGCTATCTTTTTGTTTTACAGGCTTAGCATCTCCTCTTGTGAAAAAAGCCACCCAGTCCCCAAAGAGCCTTCTCTTTGGAGCAGTTCTTGATGTGTTTGGTTCTGAAGGGATGGACTCACCCAGAACAAGAAGAAAAACTTTAGCCTCCAGTGAGCTTGTTTATCAGGTAAAATTGCTGTCTTATGTTTCTTTCCATACCTACTTATCTAGTCTACATGCCACCTTAATTTCCCACTTCTAGTGTACAGCCTTAATATGTAACGTCAATAGTCAAATACATAAGTGATTCTGTAAGTAGAAATGATATTAAGCGCCATATGTAGTCTGTTCTGTTGCTGTAGTCCTAGACAAAAGCAGTTACCCATTTTCACTCTCCTTCCACAGACACCAAGGAAAGCATCCCTTCGGTCTTCTCCAAAGCTCTTAAGTCCCCCTAATAACACACCAGGAAGAACTATTCTGGAGAAGCTACAGCAGACACCCCAAAAGAGCCGAGCCCCAAAGCATAGTGCAGCCAAAAGTTTGGGAAATCTCTTCTCACCTTGTAGACAGAAGAGCAAGTCCTTGCCTGAAGCCACTGAAAAGAAAGGGGATTGTTTTGCACGCACGGCTCTGATGAAGGAAATATTTTCTTCCCCGCACAAGGCAGCACAGCTGCAAACATCTGGAATGCAGGCAGGGGATGAGGTGCCTGATGATGTATTTGCTTCGCCTGCAAGTGGCTCCTGTTCGGCAGCTGCTCTGCTCTCTCCAGTCCCATCAAATTCACCAGGAACATGGCTCTCACAACTGCAGTCCCCAAGGCGCTCCTTGAGGGTTGCCTGGAGAATTGCCTCTCCAGCTTCTGCTCAGAAACAGCCTCTTGAGGCAGAACAACTTACAGAGCCACTTTCAGCATTGGAGCTGGACTCTGCGGTGTCAGAAGTGACACCTACAGTATCCAGAGGCAGACTCTCAGAACCATCTTCGAGTCCAAAGAACACCAAGCTTAGTGAAGCCTTTTCCCCACCTGGTGATCCTGTTTTGATGCCTGATGTTAACTCATTGCCATATAGCCCACCCCCAAATGCCATAGCCACATCCACACTTTCTCCTACTGGGACTTGGGATCTGCGCAGGAAGTCTTGTACTCCCCAAAAGACTCCTTTGAAACGCCAGAGGGTCACAAACATGTACCCAGCCAAAGCCCTCCAGTCACCTGCCTGCCTGTCTGCCGAGCAGCATCCCTGCTATACAGACTTGAATCTTTCTGCTAAAACTAAAGCAGAGAGCACCCCCTCCGTGAAGAGACATAGAGTGAGGACTCCAAGTAAGAGGAGGGGGTTAGAAAGACACCTGCCTCCTGAGCTCTCCACAAAGGACCACACGCTTCTCCCAGATGCTGTGGTTCTGTGCGAGCGCCTAGATGCTTCCTCCCTAACCAATGTCTTCGCCACTGGCAGTTCTGAAGCAGAAGGTGGTCCAGGTACAGTTGTGCCAGGGGAGAAGGCAGTAAGTCTCCAGCCTCTGCTCCTCCAGAACCCTCCTGTGTGTGACCAGGCCTCCTTGCCCGAAACCCCAAAGTCTGGCTCGAGTGCCTATTCACTGCGTCACACCCCAGACAGAAGGCAGCGGGAGGCTGCAGCGCGGCTGGGGAAGCCCGAGAAGGGGGCAACATTCAGCACACCTAGGACTGCTCACACTCTGCCTCTGGCAACGAGCCCACGAACTTACGAGATTGAGCTCGAGATGCAAGCTTCTGGCCTGCCCAAGCTCCGAATTAAAAGGGTTGGCTCTGGGCCAGCTTTGGATCCTCAGTCTCATTTGCAGTCTGGAAGGCCCAAAGGAGATGAAAGCGATTTTGCTGCAGGGGATCTTTCCGTGACCTGGTGCGGCAGGCACTCTGGGAAACTGGAAACCCTCTCCATCTCGCCATCTTGTAATCGATCTGCTCACAGTACCCCTGCGAAGTTCGGGGGTGGGGGGCAGACCTATATATGTCAGTCGTACACTCCAACTCATTGCACCCCCAACTCCACTTCCCCATCCCAGGGCAATGTTGGCCTTCCCTGGACACCTTCTCCAAAGCATAAAGGGAAAGTGACCCCTGAAGCAATCAAGGACTGGCCGCGAAGGAAAAGGGCCACTGTGGGCTGCAGCAAAAGCGAGAGGCACGTGGAGGTGGCTGGGGAAACTAGAGCTTCTGACCTTCTTGGCGTCAATAAAGCACTGCCTTTGGGGGACTTTGAACTTGAAGGCATCTGTAGGCTTCAGGACCAGTCGCCTTGCAGCGATGCAGAGCCCAGTGGAGACGAGAGCACCTGCAGAGGGACCCCTGGCCTAAAGTTCAGAAAAAGGCCCTTTGGCCACATGTCTCCTGAGGAGGAAGTCAGCCAGGAAGTGAAAAAAAGGCACTGCGCAAAGAGAGGCAACCCAAACGCGGCAGTGTATGCAGCCGAACTGAGTACAGGAAAAGGTGTAGCGTCCTTAAACAAGACAATACTGGAAGAGGAAGAGGAGGTCTTCAGCATTTCAGGTAATCTTGGACTGAAATTCAGCTACAGTGAAAAGGAACAGAGTAGAGGATACAAACAGAGAAAAGGCTCCTTTGCGTCTTTCCGCACACCCCTTTATTGCTCTAGAATTACCCTCTGGCCAGCCCTACCAACACACCAAGCAAGGCTCAGTCTTTAAAAAATCCCAGCTGTAGGAACCGTTCTACAGTGTACCTGCTTGATTGTGGCATGGTAGATCCAAAGGTCATGCCTTTGAGAAGGGCCTTGAATCAAAACTTAATCTCTTCCAGCTCTGCTTTTATGAACTTTCAATTTACTACTGTCTTTTTTAAATTAATACTCCCAAATTAATAAATTAATATGCCAAATTTATACAGCACCATTAATCTGCATTGCAATTTACAGGGTTAACAAACAAGTCTAATTGCTTCCCTAATGAGCTAGTGGTATTTCTTTCCCCCCAGCAGTTTTGGGGCAACACACATCTTGTGTCAAGGGCTATCAGTGGATCAGATGTTTTTAAGATGCAGTCCTATGCACACCATTGGAAGTAGACTCCATTGAGCATAGTGGGACTTATGAGTAAATTTGCATAGGATTGTTCTGTTAATTTATTAAAGGCAGATAACTAAACAGTCAATTTGCATATTACCAAAATGTCGACCAGTCGTTTAGATATGTCTTAACTTTCCTTCAGTATTTTAGAATTTAGTAAACAGAAGGTTGCACTTGCATGCTCAAAGGATCAAGCTGTAGTTGATTAATCTATTCACCTTAACCCAAGCCCTATTTTTGCCATTTTGCACATATGAATACTACATAGCTACCAGAAGTGTTGGAACCTCCAACCAGGGTTTGTGTCTAATATCTTTTGTCACGTCTCCTAGGTATGACTCCACCAACGTCTTCAGGGAAGAGCACAATCTCTGCTACTGGACTTCGGGCACTGACGCAGTCCCCACTGCTCTATCAAGGCCACACCACATCCCTGAGGAAATGGCCCACAGGTAAATGCAGTTTATTTGAACCCGAGTGGTGTTCAGAAGAAGCCTGAACTGCAAAGAGCCAAATTGCAAACACATATATAGTCCAATGGTTCTTGTAAGACCTTCCTGTAGCAATAAAATACCCAGTTCCCTTTAGGTTCTCGCAGAACAGGATATGAAGGCTATATTCTTAAACTGCTTTGGGTTCTTTCACCAGCTATTCGATATTTTGCTCTCTCATGGAAAGTTGCTGTTCCACGGAGGGAAATAGCTGACTTACAACTGCTTGCCTCTCCTGTCTATGCCTGCCAGTATTTTTCATATTATTGCTTTCCTACACAGGAGACAACAATGATGCATTTGGAGCTGCAGAGGAAGAACTCTCCCCCTTTCACAGTACAACCATGAGACAACATTCCATCAGGAGGACCTACTCACGGAAAAGGCTGCTCAGCTGAACCTGGGAAAAAGATGGTGAACATACTTGGGAGCCTGATGACAAAGCCATTTTGGATGACTTTAAAACCAAAATGAAGATGATATTGCCAGCCACAATGGAAGCACCTCTTGCTCATGAACTCACAGTTGTGTTCTGTGAGGAAAAGCTGTAGTGTCTCCATATAAATTTAAGCTATGAGCGTGTCATCATAGGGCTCCTCTCAGGGTTTCAGCACTAAAGGGTATAAATGATGGGTGAAACTGACTGCTTTTAAAAAGTACTTTTGTAAAATAAATTAATATGGTAAGTTGCTCTTATGGTACTGAAAGAATGTTCTTTATTTGTGCTAGCTAAATACTAGGGAACTGGATATCTCTTACGTACCATGCAAAAAACAATTTCACATCTTCCTTGCCAAGAAACGAAGGAAACTAATATTTATTGTTAGGTTTTAAAGCTCATAAATTAACTGAAATTAGCATCAGTCTACCCTCCAAAGCTGTATGGTACTTGAATACTGCTAGGAAGGGAGTATAAATAGTAATACTTTTGGTTAAATTGTGAACAGGAAGGAAACAATGTATTTCAAGCCCTTATAAAAGTTACTCATTTATTAGAAGCTACAGTATAAAAGGCTAGTTAAACTATTTACATGTCTCTAGGCCTACAGCAAAAAATATTTCTGACTTTCCTATCTCTCCAGAGACAGGCGTTTTGCCAGAGGTAGTGGTCTTCCCTCTGGGAGGTACTGCAGCTAAATACAAAGGTCACTGCTGTAGAGGAAAAAGTCTGACATACTGCTTTTCTGCCCTCCAAAAAAAATCCTCTCTAGTGTATGACAGAAGGCTAATTTGCACCTTAAGTTAAGCATAGCCATCAATTACTACTTGTAGCAACTTGTAACAATACACTTGTTCTGTAGGCAATACCCCTCAAGCTTTGAGCAAGAGTAGCAGGGAGAAGCTGGGACCTAGAATGGGTTTTTCCTGACATCAATGATTTCTGGATATGACAGCCCAGTCCTGTACAGCTCCATGTGAGACTTCAGCAGAGGAGCTAGGCTCAGTGGCAGAGATGCTTCCTTGATCTGGCCACCTCTGGATAAGAAGTCTGTCTCTTTCTGGCAAAAGTCTTCCTGTACTAAGGTGTTGGCACTGGATAATGAAGACCGCCTCCAGGTGGATGGCAAGGCTGCATGCACCAGGTCCCGGGGTTCATCCCCGCTTCTGTGGGTTCTTTCAGAGAGCTCTATCTGCACGGTATCCAACATGCTACTCGCACTAAAGTCACCATGTATTCTAATCGAACCAGGTCTGTCCTCGGCTGCACAAGTGATTCTTTCCATACCTGTATGAGAAGAGGAGAACATTTTAGAAAGTAATTTCCTAGGGTCTGTGCTGTGTAATGAACAAAAATGGACCGAAAAATCGGCAATTCCCTGTACAGAGAAAACCAACAGGAGTATAGTAAAATTAAGCCATTTGGTCATTGAGCTCAACACTGCCTGCTTTCTGCCCAACTTTGGTATTGCAGGAGAGACCTCTGGGTGATTTGAAGTAGATCAGCAAGGGTTTCCAAATCCCACTTGTTTTGTTACTACCATTAAACAACACACCCAAATTATACTACTAAAGCGAAGAAAGCTTGACCTAACCAGGGACAATCATCGTGCCCGGGTATGGGGGACCATTCCTGGGCTTAGAATTCTTTTGATTTTTAGTGCATGTCTTTTTGCATTTGCCTATGGATTGTGGATCTTGGGAGCTAATAGAAGACCCTAAGTAAGCCTGAAGTCTGTCCACCTCTGCAATCTCTGTTCACATGCTCAGAGAAAAAGCTGTGGAGGAAACAAAAGCATACATATATTTTTTTCTGATGGCAGAGATTGATAATGTGGCCCTGGTCAATATAGCTTCAGAGAGACTGGGCCCTATCTCTTTCAGAAATACAGTGCTGGTGAGCTCAACTGGTTTCCCCCTGCAATTGGCTTTCATAACAATGCCGGTTTTGAGAATGCCAGGGCTGAAAAAATATATTAAAATGGGCTGTGTTGATTTCACCTTTTACCTACCTGGAGATTAAAGCTGAGCATTTTTCCATGCTGGGCATATGTGCTACAGCCCTTCCAACATCAGTGTACATCTCTCCACAAAGCAGGTTCCAAAACATTTTAAGACTGATGGCCCACAACAACCACGTAGAGCCACTGTCTGAGCAACTTCCCTTCAAATGCTGCTCCAGTCCATAACTCCCTTGTTCTCCAAAGCCTAATTATCATTTCCAACTGTAACCAAGTAGGTGTAACAACAATGGTCCCCATTCATTCACCTCTACTTCCCTGTTTTCAGGTTTAAATTTTTTTTGGCAGCAAGCACCAGTCTATTTTGGCCTCTGTTACTTTTAAGGCGCGGGTAGGTCTAAGGTTCAAATACAGCCCTCCCAAGCCACACCACTCCCAATGCCCGGCTGGCGTGTGTCCTTGAATTCTGATAATGTATATCGTTTGGATGGAGAGCAGAAAATGCCTGCAAAAACTAGTTTACAGTGTTAAGGTGAAATTTACTCCAAATGCCCTGCCCACTTTTGCCTGACCCCACTCAGCACAGGAATTTGGACCTCTGAATGAAAAAGGTTGCTCATCCCTGTTCTAAGGAACCCAGTCCACCGCTTTGCCTTTCAAGACGTGGTTGGGACTGTGTGCTTGGGCTTGCTGTGTAGAATAGCCACATCTGAACTGTCATCAGTGGCGGTGATAAAAAGACTTAAGCCTCCAGAGCCGAGGTTATCCTCACCTTTGCCTTGTCCCTCCAAATCGCTCATGCTCAGCTTCTGAGTCAGCTCGTGGTTGGCCCACTTGTAATGCGCCAATTCTTTTTCCAGTGCCTGGATCCTTCCTTGGTACTGAAGCCTGCTGTTTGCCTGCCCCTCTTCCATGTGCTCTGTGAGAGAAGGGAATTAAATACGCAGTCTGCTGAGGACTGGCAAACTTTGTCCAACTGAAGATTTAACATGCCATGTAATTCACCAATGACTACAAAGGCCCTTTGTTACCCCGGCTCTGCTGGAGCAGAAGCTGAATGTTCTGCTCATGCTCCTTCTGCTGCAAGGTGAGCTGGCGGTCCATCTCCAAGCACTGGCGCTCCAGTGCTACTTCCAGCCAAAATACCAGCTGCAGCTGCTCCTCCAGTTGCATCTCCAGTTCGGAAAAGGCAATGTGCTGCCTGTGTTGATCCTCTCGCAGAGTCACCACCTGGCCAAAAACACAAACTTTCTGCATGGTCTTCTCACAACTAAGGCATCATCTTGTTAACAGAACTGAAACAATGTATGCGTATGACACTGACAGATTCATGAAGTGAGAGATTCCCAGTGATAATGTGGGAAGCCATCGCTTGGGTCTGGATTGGACAGTCACTGCAGATGGAGGCTGGGAGCTCCTCTGTGCAAAACATAAATGAAAAATCCCCTCACACAGAGAATGGGTATTTCAGGGAGAAGGGTTCCAATCTAACCCCAGACATCCTAGTTTTCTATGTGTAGGGATGCCTTTTTGCTCCCTTCCTATGCAACCTACTGCCCAAAATGGTGGCAGTCCAAATGCGGGTTTAAGGTATTGTGCTTGTTTTTACTTCTACCTCCCTGAAGCTCAGCACTGGCACCCCACAGGGATGTGTGCTGAGTCCCTACCTGTACTCATTGTAGACATATGACTATTTCATCTGATCCATCTACTGCAATTATTAAGTCTGCAGATGATACTACCACAATGGGTCTAATTACAGGTGGAGATGAATCAGCGTACAGAGGGGAGGTTCAGAAAGTATTTACATGGTGCCTAGAGAATAACTTGCACCTAAATATTAGCAAGACAAAGGAGACAGTGTTGGACTTTCGGAGGAAGAGAGGGGAACTAGCCCTGTTGTATATTGGGGGAGTTGTATGGAGAGAGTCTCTTCCTTTAAAGTCCTTCCTTAGTGAAGACCTCACTTGGAAAATCAACATAACTCAGGTGGTCAGAAAGGCCCAACAGAGACTCCATTTGCTCAGGGTCTTGCGAAAGAGCAATGTTAAACAACAATTGATGACCTCCTTCTACCAGTCCACAATAGAAAGTGTCCTCTCATACTGTATCACATTGTGGTACGTTGGCTTGACAGCCACGGATAGAAAGTCTTTACAGAGGGTGGTGAATACAGCACATGATATCATGGGCTGTCCCCTGACTCTGCTAGATAACATCACAAGGGATTGTTGCCTTAGGAGAGCGAGAAAAATTCTCAGGGGCGATTCACACCCCAGCCAGCACCTCTTTAATCTTCTACCCTCGGGCAGGAGATATAGAAGTATAATCAGTCATACCAACAGGCTAAAAAACAGTTTCTATCCATGGGGCTGTTAGGCTGCTGAACGGAAAATAATATAGTGCAACTGACTTTCGGGGTTGGTGTGTTGTGCGACAAGCACACAGAGTGCAATGAGATTGAGTGTTTGTGGGAGGGGGGAGGAGGCTCGGTTAATTTCATTGTACACAGGTTGTACATTGACAATAAAGGTATTATATTTATTATATTTTAAGAACCAGGAAAACCATTGAGGGAGCTTTGCTCTGAAAGCTGCAGGGAGGAGCTGGCTTGGAGGGAAAGAGAGAGACCAAAGCTTGACTAAAAGTTTTGCACCCCTGGGTAAGGGCCTGGGCCTCTCATGTGCTCATACTGGACAGTGCATTGCTCCATGGAGCAGAGCCACAATTCAACACCTGCCTTATCAAAATACTTGCAAAGCAGAGCCCGGGTCTCGGAGGATGAGAGGTAGCTGAGTTTGGCCATCAGGTTCATCTCGCATTGGGATAGGAGACTGGCTGAGGACCGCAAAACACGTTGCCGGCAAGTGATTGACTCGTTTTTGTATTCAATGGCAGCATCTAGAGCCTCAATGGCTTCATCTAGCTGGAAAAGGATTCGTTCCTCCTGAATGGAGAGGAAGAAAGCAAGAAAACTTTTGAGAGGGAAAGGATAACTTTAGTTGTTTTGCAACTAATAACGTTTAGTTCTGCTGGGCAGAGAGGTTCCCAGTCCTTACATTTAGCTGCTCAAATCACAGAAAAAGAAACAAATCATCTCTAGTACATCAACTATACTTGCAACAAGAAAGACTGCCAATTAACCTCTGGGGACAGCAAGGTGCCCTGGCGTAGCTTGTTGTCTATCTCCAGCCTTTGTTTGAGCAACTGGTCCTTCTCTTGCCGCAAGTTGTTAATTTCTTGCCGGATCTGTTGTTGATCATGCGTGCTGCTGTGGCAAAGCTGCCCATTCTTCTGCGTCAGTTCCTTTTCCAGGTACTCCAGGCGGCTGGACACCCGCATGATGTCATCATTCAGGGCCTAAGCCAGAAAGAATCAAGGGACAGGGAAGGGAGAGAGATCCTTAGGATGGCAAGTCTGCCGGTTGCAGCTTATGTCCTTGTGGTTTACCAACCATCGCTTGGTTTTAATTCCTCAGGGGAGGGAGCTAACAGAGCTAATTCTATTCAAAGAAGGAATAGCATAGCAACTATAAGGGAAAAGAGGGGACACATCTTGGCATAGCATAAAACAATTATAGTGGTACCTCAGTTTACGAACTTAATCCGTTCCGGAAGTCCGTTCTTAAACCGTAACTGTTCTTAAACTGAGGCGCGCTTTCCCTAATGAGGCCTCCTGCCACCGGTGCCCTTCCACTGTTCGGATTCCGTTCTTAGACAGAGGTAAAGTTCGCAAACCGGGACACTACTTCCGGTTTTGCAGAGGTCATAAACCGAATCGTTTGTAAACAGTACTGTTCTTAAACCGAGGTCCCCCTCTATATCTTTGAAGGGAGGATGGCAGCTAGCCTTGATCGAGTCCCCTGTTCATGAAGGAGGACCCTATTCATTTATCCTAAGGGGGAGAGGCACCTCCCTTCAACCCTCAGGCAACTTTCTGCCTTCATGAAGATTTCAGCGGAGAATTCTGTGTCGTCGTCCTCCCCCCGCCCCGCAAGTGGAATGAGTTGTGAAAGGCGAAAACCAAGAAGGAACTCTCTCCTCAGGTCTTGTCCCCAGCAGCCACTATACACTGTATAGTGGTACCTCAGGTTACATACTCTTCAGGTTACAGACTCCACTAACCCAGAAATATTACCTCAGGTTAAGAACTTTGCTTCAGGATAGGAACAAAAATTGTGCTCTGGCGGCGCGGCGGCAGTGGGAGGCCCCATTAACTAAAGTGGTGCTTCAGGTTAAGAACAGTTTCAGGTTAAGAACGGACCTCCGGAACGAATTAAGTACTTAACCCGAGGTTCCACTGTAATGGGGAGGAGTCTCTGCACAGGCCACATTCTCCTAGGTGGGCACCAAACAATGAACAAGGGAGTGAACTGGGCTGCTGCCACCACATAGCCACCTTTCCCCACTGCATCTCTCCTAAGCAGCAACCCCCACCCCTCTCTTCCTTCAGCTTCCTTCTGCCATCAGCATATTTTGGTCATTACGGCCAAATCCTATATATATTTACTTGTAAATTAAGCCAAAAAAAATTCAATGAAGTGTTTCTTCCTCATTTTCGTTTACACCTTCTCCATGAACAGATTCATTAATGTAAGCTTCGTTTTTGTACTCCCCCACCCCAGGTTTACTAAAAAAAACACCATTCAGAATGGATTACGTTATACTTGCCACAAAGAAAATAATGGCAACGAGCAGCTCACCTTCCACACCCAAAGCTCACCTGGCTAGAGCGGAGTCTCTTGTTTTCAAGGCCATTCTTCTCCTGAAGGAGCGCTTCCTTTTTGGCCACTATGGCTTCCCGTTTGGTCAGCTCGTCTTCCAGCTCATCCAAGGCACGGCGTTGCTCAAGGACTTTTTCCATCTCAAGGTCCAGCCATTTCTTCTGCTCTTCGATTTTCTGATGGGAAGGCAAGGCAGAGGGAGAGGCTGTCGGAGGGACTCAGGCTGTCAGAGACTCCGATCCCTGGCATCTCCCAAAAGGGCTGGGAAAGGGGGACTCCTGCCTGAAGCCCTAAACAGCCACTGCCAGCCAGAGTAGACAATACTAAATGAAGCTATGGTCTGACTCAGTGTAATACAGCTTCCTATGTTCCCCCAATTTCAGGACATAACACAACTGAATAAAATAAAGACAAGACTTGTAAACCCAGGAAACGATTTAACTATTATACAGTCGTACCTTGGAAGTCGAAGGGAATCCATTGTGGAAGTATGTTCGACTTCCAAAACGTTTGAAAACCAAAGCAGGGCTTCTTCATTGGCTGCAGGAGCTTCCTGCAGCCAATCGGAAGCCCCGTTGGACGTTCGGCTTCCAAAAATAGTTCGCAAACCGAAGCAGTCACTTCCGGGGTTTGCGGTGTTTAGGAGCCAAACCGTTCTACTCACAAGGTGTTCGTCAACTAAGGTACAACTGTATTAACCCTTCAAAAAGCACTTATTGCTCCCAATCCTGCCCTTTTGAAGGGGCATTTCACACTCCAACCTCGAGCCCCATTACCTGCTGCTGTTCTAAACTGATCATTGAGTCGTTGCTGCCACTCCTGCGCTTCCTTTGGAATGCTGCTATCTCCTCGGTCTTGATGCGCAAGATCTTCTGGTGCTGCTCATGCTGCAGCTCCAACTCCTGAAGATGAGTGGAGAGGAAACTGTCAGACCCGCAAGGTATCATTTATTTAAAGGCATTTCTATGCACAACCCTTCATAGCAACATCAAAACATATTCAGAAAGCCAAATGGGTAACTCAGTTCCCGGTAGTTATATTTATTATGTATATTGTTCTCCAGTGCTGTTTTTCTAGAAAAAGAGGTGCCAGAAAAAGCCCTGTTCTTCTCCATTAAAATTAGAACTTCAATTCATTTAAAATGCCCCAGAGAATAAAAAAAGACTTAACCTGGTGACAAAGTTAATATGGGTACCAAATTATAATTGGGTACCAAATGGGACGCAGGTAGAGCTGTGATCTAGACTACTGAGTCTTTTGGGCTTGCCAATTGGAAGGTCAGCGGTTCAAATTTGTGTGACAGGGTGAGCTCCCATTGCTCTGTCCCAGCTTCTGCCAACCTAGCAGTTCGAAAGCACACCAGTGCAAGTAGATAAATAAGTACCGCTGCAGCAGGAAGGTAAACGGTGTTTCTGTGCCCTCTAGCACTCGTCTCGGTCCTCCGTGTGCCAGTAGTGGTTTACTCATGACCTGGCCACATGACCTGGAAAGCTGTCTGTGGACAAATGCCAGCTCCCACAGCCTGAAGCGCTGCACCCCACAGTTGCCTTTGACTGGACATAACCATCCAGGGGGTCCTTCACCGTACCTTTATATTACCTTTTATGGGTACCAAATGAATGGATTACATAGCAAGAGTGTCGCCAATGAAGGAGACTTCTTTTGTTTCCACCTGCTTGATTACTGGTTGTGGCAGTCAGAGGAGCCTCAGTGGAAAATGTTATTCTCTCACAGGTTGATACAAGGGGTCCCTGGATCCCAAAGCCTTGAAGGGCTTTTAAGGTTAAAACTAGCTTCTTTAACCCGAGGTCAGAATATGGCAGCAACCAGTGTTGTTCTCTTTAAAACGGTCCCTTCCGACTCTACAATTCTGTGAATGGCTAGGGCCATCACTGCTCCTGAATACTCTCTGGCCTTGGCACTGAAGCCCAGCCACCCCTACCTTGACACGGTGCTGCCCTTTGTGCATCTCTGTCTCCAGGCGCCGCTTCTGGTCCACCTCCTCCCGCAGCCGCCTCTGCAGCTGCCCCTGTTGCTGCCGCATCAGCTGCACGTTCCTCTCCAGCTCCTGCAAGCGCTTCTCGTTCTGAGCGGAGAGAGAGGCCAGCTTCTCAGTCACTCGCTTCTTCTCTTGCAGGATCTGTTGCAGGACGGACAATAAGGCAGGACAGCTAATGCCAGGGACCGAAAGGAGGCTCTCAAAATGGAAGAGGCCTTTTTGAGACACCCTGGCACTCTGCCACCCCCCACCCCCCAATATAGTAGTGCTCCAGGGCTCACCTTTGCCTTGCTCTGAGCTGCTGCCACTTTGGTACGGTATTCCTGGAGCTTCCGCTTCTCTGCGGGGTTTCGGGACTCCTTGCCCTCCAGCTCCCAAAGCTGCCTCTGGCCGTCGTTTAATTCCACTCGCACCAGCTCTGCTTCCTGCTCCAAGTCGCGGATTTTCTGACAATACTGCTTGTTCATCGTCTGCGCATGCTTCCCTGAAAGACACAGACGCTTGGCATCACCACCAAAGGCCAGTCTGGCACCTGGGGTGGGCTTTTGTGGGGAGGGGGGTCAGTGGAGCAGCATAAACAAAATCATTTTAAGGAGGGGAAGGGAAACTTCATGGAGATCAATTGCAGGTCAAAATCAAGACACTCTAAGACAGACTCCTATCTCTGCTTCCACCAGCAATTAGGAAGAGGAAGACGTGACAGCAGCAGTCTTATCAGCTCAGTGTTTGGTAAGGATGTAATCGTAACTGTAAACCAGGATGGGAATAATAGAGAAGGAATAACTCTTGCAATGTTACAAAGACTTTGGATACTTTGGAGGATTGTAATTTGGATGAACTATAATATGCAGTTGATTAAGCTATACAAAGGACCCATGGAGTGGAGGAGGGAAGTCCTACAATTCGGAAGAATCTTATTTGATTTTATAATTTAATTTTGTTAAACCAATAAAAATCATTTTTTTTAAAAAAAGGGAATAGAGAAGGAAAGTTAGACCAGGAAAAAGAGAGGACAAGCAGAAGTTGTGATGGGGAACAGGAATGGAAAGAAAAGGAATAAGAAGGCTGAATGGCAGTAAATATTTGTTATTGCAGCATGACACAGATAAGAATTAATTATCCCTTTACCACAGGGGGTTGGCAACCTTTTTTTCTTATGGGGGCTGCAGGCTGGAAGGGGCAGAGCTAGAGACAATGACTGGCAGAGCCAGAGACAAAAGTGTTCTGGATAAAACCAGAGTATTTTAAAAACTTGCAGACCACTTTTCACGTATAAAATATTGACACACACACAAAAAAACACTTTGTCTTGCTTCAATTTTCACTAAGAATACCTCAGATAAGAATTTCCAGTTCAATGCAAGCCTGTTCAGAAGTTAGTCCCTCTGGGTTTGATGGAGATGCTCTCAAGTAAGTATACAGAGGCTGCATTTATTTTGGGAACACAAAACAATACAGCTACTACTCTTGAAAGAAAACCAAAGTAATTCCTTTCTGGCTTTATGTGCTGTACACATACACATGGCAGAAGACTGCCAAATGGCTCTCATTCAGCTTGGAGAGAGGTGAATGCTTTTCCTCAAGCCATACAACCAAGATTTTTTATATATATATATATATATATATATATATATATATATACACACACACACACACACACACACACACACATATATACACATACATACACACACACACACACACACACACACACACACACATACATACACACACACACACACACACACACACACCCCTTCCAGTTGTTCTGAGAATATATAAAGGGGGAAGCTCCCCTATCCTCAAGTCAATCACCCAAGCTACATCTCTACTTAAGAGTGCTCCTCACCTGTCTTGATGAGTTCCACAATCAGGTCTTCCTTCATGCGGATGTTGATTGCCAGTTCACGGATCTTCTGGTGGGCTTGAAGCAGCCGCCACTCTGAATCCTTCCCTGAAAAGCCTTCTCCAAGGCTGCTCAGCTCTGGTCTCCTGCAGTCCTCTGCGGAAAAAAGAAGCAAAATATAGAAGTGCCCTGGCAAGAATCCAATCCAAATAGGTGAAGGGACAGAAGGCACCAAGGCAAGAGTTGCCTAAAAGAGATATTGGGCATAATATTCAATTTTCATATTGGGAAAAGTTATGAAAGAAGGACTTAAAATTTTCGTTGAAAGAGAACTATATTAAAATGATGTATCGTTGGTATTTAATTTATGCTGGAGAAGGAAGGCACGTTCTACCTTATGCAGTGGATGTGCAAAATAACAAAGCTTTCTGGGAAATGATATATAATGAGTTGAAAGAAATGTTTAAAATAACGTTGGGGGGGGGGAGAAGAAGCATTTTTTACTAGGAATTTTAGATGCAGAGATACCGAAGGGGCAGAAACTATTATTTATGCATGCGACGACAGCAGCGCTGATACTACTGGCCAGAGATGTGTCAGGGAACTGCCATCGGAGCTAGAGGCGGAGGGAAGGCTCCAGAGGGATGCAGGAGAGGGTCCCAGTAGGGAGAGAGACAGCCCATCTGCTGGGGAAGGAAATCAGCGTAACACCAGTGGAGAAGGGGGGCAGATGGGGGAATCGGAGAGGAGGCTCCAAGACTCCTCGCCGGAGACCAGCGGAGAGAGTACGGGTACTCCGCTGCCCACACCCTCCCTGCGCGGAAGTCTTCTGCGCAGGGAGGGTAGGAGGAGACTTGGCGTCAAACAACTTTTATGCTGGAAAAGGTTCAAGAAACGCCCACTGACGGATTCTGCCAGCGACTGAGACAGTCACGATGCTGGAGGCTGTTCAGTCAGAAAGGGTTTAACCAGGTAACCTCGCCAGCAGTGGCGGCAACTTACGCACGAGCAACCCCTAAATCCATTACAAGATGGAAAGAAGATAAAGTCCCGACCAGAGACGAATGGTTGATGAAGATGATGGACTATGCCGAAATGGCAAAAATTGCCGGGGAAATCAGAAATCAGGTAGAAACCTTAATAAGGATTGGGAAAAATTTAGAATTTACTTAAGAGAACACTGTAAACAACTAAAAACTTTGGCAGGATTTGAGTAAAACTTGTAATGTATTGAAAACTAAGGTAAATACGGATTATTTTAAGAAAAATGGAGAAAATATACGATGCAGCAGAAAAAGTTTCATATTGGAAACCATGAAAGGGTGGAGGGAAGTCTAAGGATTCGGGGAATCCTAAATGTTGATGATTTTGATTAAGGTTTGAAGTCAAATGTATAGTGTAAAATTGAATATAATAATAAATAATAAAAATATTTTTTTTTAAAAAAAGAGTTGCCCAGTCCAGGTATAGCTTGAGGCATTCAGGGTGTCCTGTCATTGAGAGTTCTGAGAGGGGCAACTCAATCTCCTCTTACCTCTAGAGGGTTCTGGAGGCTCCTCCTGGATCTGTGCTGGATTGCTCTTATTCCATTGTCTGCTGCTCCTCTTATCCGAAACCTCCTCCTGGCTGCAGCTGTAGATCCCGTTTCTAGAACGGCAACCAAATTGGTCACTTTATCCAGAGGGCTTGCATAAACAATGCGGGAGAGAAAAGTTGAAATTATAAAGCACACACCCCACCCTGAGTCCAGACAGAAGTAAAGCTGGTGGCATCTCAGTCAGTTTCCCCTTCGTTGTACGGAATTCATCACCTTTGATGAATTAAAGTTAAGGGATCACACAAGAAATAGAATCAGGTAGGTAGCCGTGTTGGTCCGACACAGTCGATACACACACACACACACACACACACACACACACACATATAGCCCAGTGGCACCTTAGAGACCAAATAAGTTTGTTCTTGGTATAAGCTTCCGTGTGCATGGACACAAAAGCTTATAACAAGAACAAACTTAGTTGGTCTCTAAGGTGCCACTGGACATTTTTTATATATATTTCAACAAGAAATAGAAGATTTTGTGCACAGAGCAGCATCCTTTCTGCAACAGGGCTAATGTTCTATTTTATTATCTGAACTGCCCTGTTCCAAGCTGGCAGCATCTGCATGCCTGCTCAGCCAGTCAGTAACATTCCCCTATATTGTTAAGGGCAGTTCATGCATAAAATGTTCTCCCACTTGTGTTAGCTGGGTGTTTGCAAGAGCTGGGCCTCAGACATTCCAATTTCAGCCACTGACAATTTCAGACCTGACAAGGAAGTCGCTGAGTCTGGCAGAAAGGCAAGGTATTTCACACAATCAGTATCCCTCCAAAACAGTGTTTCCCAAACTTAGGTCTCCAGCTTTTTGAACTACATTTCCTTTACATATATTTATTAAATTCTGTTTTACAATTTAGAATACTCATTTAAACATCCTTAAAATATCAATGACTTCCCTTCGTCTCTTTCCATAGTTCATTTTGCATATCATAGCTCCCTGCATATTTTACAAACTAAACCATTCAGTAGTCCATTATCACATCCATCATAACAAATTTACACGGTTGAATTTATCTTAATGCTGCCAACATTTTCAAGTGTACACAATTTCCCCCCATATAGTCAAGAAACATTTTTCAATCTTCTCTAAATGTATGTTCTTTTTGTTCTCTTATTCTATATGTTAAGTCTGCAAGCTGTGCATATCCCAAGTTGCCATTCTTCTTTAGTTGGGACCTCGCTCGTTTTCCATTTAGGGGCTGCAGTAGTGGCATAACCTTTTTTGACACCTGGGAATTTCCATCTGGAAAAAAGGACTCGTTTTTTTTATTAAAAAAGTACTTTTAAACATTTCCCCCCCAATTCATTATGGATTATTTCCAATTCATTATGGATTATTTCCCAAAACTCTTTTACCCTTTTACAGGTACAACACATATGAAAGAAGGTTCCCTCAACCTCATCGCATCTCCTAGAAATGAACTACAATTCCCATCATCCCTGACCACTGGTCCTGCTAGCTAGGGATGATGGGAGTTGGTAGTCCAAAAACCACTGGGGACCCAAGTTTGGGAAACACTGCTCCAAAGTCTCAGGAAGAGATAGCCAGGTGGAGTGCTAGAGACTGAACCAGAGTTATGCGAAGTAGGTGGGTCTGTAAGTCCAGCATCAGGGCTCTTCACTCACCTGCGTCGGTAAAGGGACCTTATCTGTTCACGGTCTCCCTTCTCTACAGATGGCTCCGCTGCCTGCTCTGAAGTCCTGTCAATCTCCTGTGTTTGTATTGTACTGCTAGCTTCCAAGCTGCTCGTCAAGCCACAAGGCAGTCTTTGGCGGTACACCAACAAGTTCTTCCCATTGAGGGTTGGGGCACTGCACAGCTGTTTAGAGGGAGAGAAAGGGATAAGAAGTGAAATGTCCCTGACGTGATGCCTGCACCCTGAAATTATTTGTCCTCTGAAGGGGAAACTTCAGATCTTTAGCTCTAACTCCTTCAAGGAAGTCTGAAAGAGTAACAGGTTCACCAGATTATCTAACCCGTTTTCTACCCCGACACTCCCTTACCTGAAAATGTAATTGTGGCAGATATATCCAGTAAAAGCACACACAAGATACCTGTGATCCGCAAACAGCTTCTTAATATTTCTAGGCAAAAAAGTAAAAGGTAAAGGACCACTGGATGGTTAAGTCCAGTCAGTGGCGACTATGGGGTTGCGGCGCTCATCTCGCTTTCAGGCCGAGGGAGCCGGCGTTTGTCCACAGACAGATTTCAGGGTCATGTGACCAGCATGACTAAACCGCTTCTGGCACAACGGGACACCGTGACGGAAACCAGAGTGCATGGAAACGCCGTTTACCTTCCCGCCACAGAAGTACTTATTTATCTACTTGCACTGGCGTGCTTTTGAACTGCTAGGCTGCCAGGAGCTGGGATAGAGCAACGGGAGCTTAGCCCGTCGCGGGGATTTAAATCGCCAACCTTCAGATCAGCAAACCCAAGAGGCTCAGTGGTTTAGACTACAGCATGGTCTTGCATTAGACTTACTGTGCTGTTAATTCTTTTCAGTGGGTGGACAAATGATATACTGGGAGGCTCCTCCCACTCACTCCAGAGTTATGCTAAAACTGTGTGAGGAAGCACCTCCCAATTTTACACGAAAAGTTGTCGAGAGAAGAAAAGAAATGAAGGAAAAGCCCTCACAAAAACTTTGCATCAGAAGTATTTTCTACACACAAAGTCTATGTTGTCTTCTCTGCCTCACCTCGAATAAAAGCAATATGGTATTTACATCTCTCACCACTTTAAATTCAAATCTCCAGGACATCCAACTCTATTGTTGCAGAATTTGCTTAAATTGATGGGCTGGTGGGAGGTGAAATAGGTTGTTCCTAGACAACACTCAAGAGGAAGCAAAACTCAATGTATCATGATAGAATACCCCAAGGTAGCTCACAAACCTTGCTGTGCTTATCACGGGCAAGCCTAAGCCGGTGGTGAGACTGGGCAGCATCCACAGGAGCTGTGTGAGGCCTTTGGTCAAGCTGTACCAAGAAGACGTTCTGCAGCAATTCAGGAACACCAAGTCTGGGCATCTCCGTCTGCAGGTATGTCTGTAGTTTGCAGATGATGTCATGTTGTTCCTGCAGCTTGTCACTCTGTGGGGGAAGGGCGAAACAAGTTTTGGTGGCCTCATAGGGTAGTCAATGTGGTGCCCTCCAGAAGATGTTGAACTGCAGCTCTCATCATCCTGGACTGCTGGCTAGGCTGGATTCTAACAGCATCTGGATAGACCTACCTTAGAGTAAAGGGACCCCTGACCATTAGGTCCAATCATGGCCGACTCTGGGGTTGTGGCACTCATCTTACTTTATCGGCCAAGGGAGCCAGCGTACAGCTTCTGGGTCATGTAGCCAGCATGACTAAGCCGCTTCTGGCGAACCAGAGAAGCACACAGAAACGCTGTTTACCTTCCCGCTGGAGCGGTACCTATTTATCTACTTGCACTTTGACATGCTTTCAAACTGCTAGGTTGGCAGGAGCAGGGACCGAGCAATGGGAGCTCACCCCGTCGTGGGGATTCGAACCGCCGACCTTCTGATCGGCAAGTCCTAGGCTCTGTGGTTTAACCCACAGCGCCACCCACGTCCCTTTACCTTAGAGTAACAATACGCAAGATGATGGAAGATGGACTCTTCCATGTATTAAGAGCCCAGCAGATACTGCTGGGTACCCCATCCAGTGACAGCTTAGCTGAACGAAGACTGCAAGCAAAAATCCCGAAACTCAAAGGTTGGAAAGGTGACCTGTAAAAATGCTGGTGTGGGCTCATTTTCAAAAGATGAACCAATTGTCTTCCTAGTGGAGTGAAGGAAAGAAGAGAGCACGAAACCTTAATGAAAGTAAAAGGGAGGACAAGAAGAATCTGGCTGCAAATATGGATTTCTCTGTCTGAAGATCACCATTGTGCCCACAAGAGAGGAAGTCTGCACATGGCCTAAGTGATACCTGCAGCTTGTACTGTTCCATGGCATCCTCAAGGGCGGCTAGAAAATCCCGATTCTCCTCCTCTAAACGCTCCACCTGCCTCTCCAACCTTGCCATGTGTTCTTCTCTCACAGCTTCAGATCCTTCCATGTGGTCTTCTTGCTTCTGCCAAAGAGAAAGGAGGGTGACACTTGCTACCTAAGATACTGGAGTCCTGAGGTTTTATAGGTCAAAAACAGTACTTCAAATTGAATCAGGAAATTCGAAGGCAGCCACCATAGTTGGGGTTATATGATTGTTGTTATACAGTGGTACCTCGGGTTAAGTACTTAATTTGTTCCGGAGGTCCGTACTTAACCTGAAACTGTTCTTAACCTGAAGCACCACTTTAGCTAATGGGGCCACCTGCTGCTGCTGCGCCGCCAGAGCACGATTTCTGTTCTCATCCTGAAGCAAAGTTCTTAACCTGAAGCACTATTTCTGGGTTAGTGGAGTCTGTAACCTGAAGCGTATGTAACCTGAAGCGTACGTAACCCGAGGTACCACTGTATTTTAAAGTGTGTGGGGGGTTTTTTTTTAAATGGGATTTTAAAAAATGGTTGTGGCTCACCCTTGTGGCTAAGAAATCTGAAAAAATAATAGCAGCAAATAATAGTACCTGAGACTTAGTTGGCTTGGAACTTGCCGCCTTATGGTTTTGATCTTCCACTGAAGTGCTCTCAATGCCACTGTCTAAGCCAGAGGCTGAGCTCAGCTCGCTCCTCTCATTCTCCACAGCACACAACCACTCCTTCACCCGCAGGATCTGGTCCACAGTCAGATTGCCTTCCCCTTGCAATTCCATGAAGAGCTGGTACGCGGCGTCCGTACAGGTCCTGTAACGGCTACACTCTGCATGCAAGCGGGTGGCATTATCCTGTGAAGGCCGCTTGATGGGAGCTTCGGAACGGTTGATGATGCGTGTCTCGGAGCGGTGTCGCTGCTCTAGCGCCCTCTGCAGGCTCTTTATCTGCAACTGCAGCTGCTCCATGTGCTCCGTCTCCTTGCAGCAGTTCACCACCGCCCGGTTCTTGATATTCTGTGCACGGTTGGCATAATTCAGCGTGGTCAAGCTTTCGTCAAAGTCAGAGGAGGAAGGGCTGAGGCAGGCAATCATCACAGTCTTGGCATTCCCACCAAGAGAATCTTTCAGGATCCTGAAGAATATGACAGGAATCAGTACAGTGGTACCTTGGTTGTCAAATGGCTTGGCTCCTGAACAAATCGGCTCCCGGACGCCACAAACCCAGAAGTAAGTGTTCCGGTTTGCAAACATTTTTTGGAAGCCGAATGTCTGACGCGGCTTCTGATTGAGTGCAGGAAGCTCCTGCAGCCAATCGGAAGCTGCACCTTGGTTTTCAAATGGTTTCGAGAGTTGAACAGACTCCCGGAATGGATTAAGTTTGAGAACCAAGGTACCACTGTACATCCATTAGCAAGGCTGAAGCTGAACAGACAAGGAGGACAATAAAATTGAACATTCCGACTACTGAGCCTGCCTCAGAAGCAGAATCGGGACAAAACTAGCAGAGATTCCAAGCGGCAAGTCCAAGTTAGGAAACACAGAAAGAGAAGAACCCCCCCCCCCAAGTGGAACGACAGCACAGTCAAGACATGAGAAAACAGGACTGTGCCCTAATGCATGCCACTGTGGATAAAAAGAACAGCATACTACTTACCTGGTAATTTTGGAATCCCGGTAAGAAATGTGGCTGCCTTTCCGGCGGGGGTCTCCTAATGCGCTAATTACATTGCCCAGAGCCAGAAGACTGCTGTTGATCTGGATGCTCTCCTTGAGCCTCTCCCCAGTGTTCCCCGTCTTCACCACCCGCTCAGAGCCTGCCAGATCCACAAAGTGAAATTTGGAGGAAAGAACCTGGCCAGAGGCTGGAACCAAGACCTTCTCTTGAAGGGTGAGGCGAGTAAGACGCCCGGCGCTGCGGCGCTGCTCCATGGTCACGGTGAAGATGGAGTGCGAGCGGCTTGACTTTCTGTTGATGTGGGTGGCCCCAGTGTGCTTGGCCATGTTGCCCATTTCCAGTAGGCTCAGGACCTCATCCAGGCCTTCCACTTCGGTCTCCTTCACCCCATGCAGCACTGCAACAAGAGGGATAGCAAAGAGGGAAAATCAAGAGCTAAAGGGAGCTCCAGCTGATGAAGCTTTTCTGCCCCAGCTGATGAAAGCATCAAGGTGAGTTAAACAGCTGAGCAACAAGAGGGTAAGTAAAACCCATTTAATTAATTAAGTAATGAAAGCAATAACTCGGGCTAATAATGGCACAGCAAGGTCACTGTGTACAGGGAGCCAAATCCTGAAATAATGTATGATTCAAGAGGTAAATCCTGGGGCAAGAAGCCTGTACAAGCCTAGTTTTCAGCCATGCCAGGGAAGCTGGAGGGAACTAAACTCCAGTTTGGGAGAAGAGGTAAAAAGGGAAGTGCTAGATTGTTAAATCCACAAAATGCAGACCAGGCAAACCAAAGTGCTACCTGCTCAATTTGCCACCTAGCAATGGCAAGGAAAAGGAGCAATGCCAATTGAAACTACAACGAGAAGTCAGGCTTTTAAAGATGCAGGAAGCAATAGCAGCAACCGTTTGTTCGCTTTTACCAATATTGCCCTTGTCATCTTCCCGGATCTGTATGTCCTTGCTAGCTGTCTCCACCTGCAGCAGGTCCCGAAATTCCTCCTTATACACTTCTAGATAAGAAATGCGGACCGTGTAATCCAGCAAGTCATTCTCATCCATGATCTTGAAGGCTTCAGCCATGGCCCGTGGGATTATGCCCTGCTCATCTTCATTGATGGAAGCTGGAAGCAACAAAGAAAACACGTTTGTTGGGGGGAAATTGCAAGCTGTAATGGATGTGTGGGGAACTAATTTAATCATCAGGAAGAAAGTTATTATACTCAAGGGGGTTATTGTTTGCTTTTAACCAAACTGATTCAGAAGGCAACTTGGCTGCAGAACACAGGCTTCAATAACAGTTCAGCATGAATTTAGCAGTCCACTCCTTAAAGTGTGTCCCGCACACTTTAAGGGGACACACGTCTACTCAATAAATCAGACAGCCAAATCCCAGCAGATATTACACTGATTATCCAAGAGTCCCCAGTTGTCTCAAGTAAGGCATGAAGCTGAAAAATGTTTCTGTCCCCACCTGAGACTGTACAGCAGCCTTGCAAAAGGAATCCACAAAAGTTACTAACCCACAAAGCACAGTCATACCTTGGATCTCAAACGCCTTGGCTCCCAAACAAATCGGCTCCCGAACGATCAAAACCCGGAAGTGAGTGTTTGTTTCTGAAAAATTTTCAGAAGCCAAAAGTCCGACGGGGCTTCCTGCAGCCAATCAGAAGCTGCATTTTGGTTTCCAAACATTTTGGAAGACAAACGGACTTCTGAAACGGATTCCGTTTGACTTCAAAGGTACAACTGTACTTTATTAGCCCACTTGCCACAAACACACATATGATAGAGCTAGTGGCACAGTGGTATGGGTGTCAAGGAACCAAGCTTCCTCCAAAGTTTACCCTCTTAGCTCCCTTGGAGTGAATCATTCTTACAAAAGCTTTTTTAGAAACCTGATTGAAAAATTTCCTCAAAACATTTAAATCGGCTTCACATTTTTGGAGAGAGTAAATCGGCTACACTGGGTGCTTTAAAGTCTCAACTTCCTTACTTGAAAGCACACAGTCACTTGCCACCACTGTGTCATCAAGTGATTGACAGATGGGCAGCTCCACCCACCTATGAAATCAGGCCCTTGAGGCTGGATCCTTTTGTGAACTACAGTCCACTTGCTCAGATGCAGGCTATGGTTTATCTTATTTGTTTAAAGAGTGGCTTACATACAATACAGTCCCTGCCTTTACAATAAAAAGTAATAGGGCTACATGTACCCTGGGTAGAGAGGAAAGAAGAATGCAGGACATGCTATTCATGCAAAAGATGGAACTCACAGACACTAGCTTCTCCAATGGTGTAGGTCTTCCCTGAGCCTGTCTGGCCATAGGCAAACACAGTAACATTGAAACCTTCAAAGAAAGCTTCCACCAGCGGCTGTACACAAGCAGCATACACAGACTCCTGGTCCGAGGATTCGGTGAAGACTGTGTCAAAGTGGAAATGGCGGCTGCGCCCAAGAGTAACTTCCTTAGTCTCTGGGTCACCTTGTAGGCAAGTTTGGTGCCCATGCAGTCGTTCCTTGGGAAGTAAAGGTCGAATGCGTACAGCCACCCTGACAGGAACCTCCACAGTTGGTGGTTGGAGTTTGGCTTTCAGACCCATGGCTGGTAGCAAATGAAGAGTCAGGACATCTGAAAACTAAGTAGGAGTGTCATCTCTATGCCTGACATGCAATGAGAAGAGGAAAAGGCAAGTTAGAATAGACAGCACAAGCAATAAATAAATAAATACATACATACATACTGGTTAAGGCATATGTTATGTATTTTGGGATATCTAGGTCACCTTTCAGCTAAAGTTTCCAAAGCAGTTAACAATACAAATACAATACAGAAAATAAAACGAGCCCTGCTGGATCAGGCCGAAGATTTAAATAGTCCAGAACCGTGTTCTGAGTGGCCAATCAGATGCCTGTGGGAAGGCTGCAAGCAGGACCCAAATGCAACAGAAATCTCCCCACTTGCTATTCCCAGAAACTGGTTGAATAACATTGCACCAAAGCAAGTGTTATCATCCCACACCTTCCAGTGCATCTTCCTGTCACTTTTCCTACTGCAAAATGTCAAGACCTCTCAATCAACTAAAATTGCGCAACCTAAATTGGCCAGTACATGATTGAATTCCACCTGAAAATAGTGACAGCTTGAAAGCACCCATAAACAGCAGCCAGTTTCAAAGAAATCTAACAGGTTTTTAAATAAATCTCATCATTTTAACCCTTCTCCCTTAACCCAGCTTTGCCCATCTGCAGCTCAGCACCTGTTTTTAAAGAAGGGCTAGACAACATTATAGTCAGTGTGATGTAATGGTTAGTGTGTCGTACCAGGACCCTAGGAGACCAGGGTTCAAATCCCCATGCGGCCGTGAAGCTCACAGGCTGAACTTGGGACAGACAGCCTAACCTACCTCACAGGGTTGTTGTGGGGACTAAATGAGGGGGCAGGAACAACATATGCCTCATTTGGAGAAAAAAGGTGGGATAGAAACACAATAAATGAATAATAATAAGAGGCAACTTTAATTGCCCGATAAAAAAGTTGCACTAGCAGCAGAGCACGTAGAAATTATAGGCGTAACTTTTTCCGAATAACTTGGCTCCGAAGTCCCAAAGACTTTCCCAAAGAGAAGCATCAGGCGCGTGGCTAGCTGGAGTCACCCTTGAGCACCCCACGAGAAAATGTGGGGTGGGCATAGGTCGCATAGGCAAAAAAGGGGGGGCGTTGAGGGGGGTTTTTGGAGGGGGAGACAGTCAGGGACCGAGAAATCCCCCTACAATGGGAGGGTCGAGGAAATTAAGAGGGGGGGACCTGCATGGGAGATGCAGCGGGACAAACGGCTCCATGCCCCCCGCAGGGAAATAAGCCTTGAGCACACCAAGCCCGAGAGAGCGGGACACCGGAACTCCCTGCACATGCTCAGAGGCACCCTTCCCAGGGAAGCCGCTGACGAAGCGCTGGGCGCTTTCCCACCTCACCTCGCCGCCGCCGCCTCCTTTTGAGCCTTGGCGCGGCGATACCTACCCAGAGTCGAGGCGTCGGCGCTGGGCGGGCCCGACTAGGCCGGCGCGGGGAAATGGCGTCGGCAGGAGACCCCGCCTCTTTCCTTGGCGAGGGAGCCGTCGAGTGAGGGAGGATTTTGGAGAGGAGAAGGAGGCGGCGGCGGGGGGAAGATGTGGCTTTTAAAAATGAGGGAGGAGGAGCCGCCGCTGCCGCCTTCGCCTTCTTTCTCCTCAGGGCGCCGTCGAGGAGGCCTCGTTTGAGGCCCTGCCAGGGAAGCTGCTGCTCCCTGCGTGGTTTTGTTTTTTTCTCCAGAGGATGCTGTGTTGTGTGGATGTCTGCAACCCACAGAAGCCCAACGACCCACGCACCAGAAATAGTTAAAAAAAATAAAATCAGTCAATACACGCTTTGCAGAAAAAGAGACATAACATTTTGCAAGCACAGGAAGAAACACCCCAGACAGAATAAATGTCACACACAGGAAGAACAAGGATATATAGTTCGAGATCTTCACTCCTTGTTATGTACTGAGTTGAATAGGATCCAAACTGCAGCAGTCTGATTGGTCCTAGAACAATAGGATCCAAAATGCTGCAGTCTGATTGGTCCTAGAACAATAGGATTCAGAATGCAGCAGTCTGATTGGTCCTAGAACAATGCAGCAGTATGATTGGTTGGCAGGAACCACCCAATCCTGCTCCAGATAGAAGTGAATCCACAACCTGATTGGCTTACAGTAGAATTCCGGAATTAGCCAATCATGTGCAGCCCATTGTGTAAATAATGTATATAAAGCAGATACTTTGAGGGGACATTCATTCATTCCTCCTCACCACTATGAGCTGAATAAAGAGCATGAAATCACTCTGCGACTCAGAGTATATTTCACTCCTAAAATCATAAATCCAGTCCTTTTTTTCTAAAAAAAAAATGTTTGGAGAAAAATTCCTTTTGACTCAAGGAAATCACATTTTTATAGTTCAAATCGGGGGAAATAAATAGTTAATGGATGGACAAAAGTATAAAGATTCACAAAATGTTTAGGGGTATGCGTACCCCTGCATCCTCCCCCCCCCAAAAAAGCCCTGCATAAATCACTTAATGTGTCAACACGAATAGAAGTTGTAAATATTGCAGCTGTTGCATAAGGGATTATGATGATGACTGGAGCGTAATTGAAATCAATACGGCTTTGGAACACAGAAACAGAAAATCAGTTCTTGCACGTGGGGGTGGGCCAGCTTATCTAAATTATATAATTTGGTTCAATGATTGATATTGGTAATTGTATTATAAATTGGTATTGTTATAATGAGGCTATTATTGGATTATAATTGAAAATAAAGATTATTATATAAATAAAGAAGTTGCATCATTTTGCACTCAAGGTGACGCCTGCTTCAACATCCCAAACAACGAAAGAGCCTTGTTCACCTCTTGAATGCATTTTCTTTTATTCTTTATGAATGGTAATCAAAGTTCTGACATGCCAACCACATGTTTTCGGTTGCACCTTGAAGCCTTATTTTACAGAGTCTTGTGGTTCCTTAAATACTGTTTTAGAGCCAAAAAACAGCAAAGTGGGGTTTTTGTGATACCGCAAAAAAGACTTTGTTTTAAAAAAGCAACTGGAAAGTGCTTGTTTTTATTGCATCACATTTGCTTACGAAAAAAGACACTGTCTTTCCAGCGGCATGTTAAACAAAGCAAATCCAGCAGCAGCATGATTTCAAAATGAGAAAGCAACAATATAGCAGCAGCAGAGATGAAAATCATTGGTGCTTCCAGATAGGGACTTAATAGTGCAAATGGGTCATTCAGATATATTTGATGTTGCAAGCAGGTCATTGGCAATAGTTTTTTTTAATGTGTCCCCCCCCCAAAAAAAGTTTCCAGTCTAGAGGAGCTAGTACACCAAAGGGGGACAAAAATAAATCAGAACATTTGTAGCATTAGAAGTTATGGGATTTAAGTGGGAAGTTTTGGAATATGCACTAATTGGAAATGAAGCTGCGTGATTGCCCCAAAACTTTTGCGGGTGCAAATGGTATTAAAAGCAGGATCATATATGGCTGCCCCATAGCAAAATAGAAAAATGTGACCCATGGAGCCAGGATTTTGAAAATGCACTAATATGTGGCATGCGGCTCAAGATTCTAGAAATGCCAAAGTGGGAAAAAATTGCACAATAACTTGAACTGTGGGGTCAGGATTCTGAACAATGCAGAAAAAATGGTCCATTGTTAAAGATTCTGAAAAACACATAAAACTGTGACTAACAAATTGGGTTTAAAAAAAAATGCAAAAAAGGGTCAAGATTCAGAGTGGTACAGATTGTGAATACAAGATGGCCTGTTGGAATTGCATGCAGATGAGAAGAAACAGCACCACAAGAGAAACAAATTTGCTGTATCGCTAACAGCCTGCAAATAAGTACTTGGTGGTGATAATGGGCAATAATTAACAGTAGCAGAACTGTAAGTAGTGCTACCCATTGCACAAGGGGTTCTGGCAAGCCAGTCTAAAGAACCAGAACCAATTATGGGATTCTCACAAGCGGAGAGGACAGGCCGAGCTCACATAGGTTTATGAACAATTTTACTTAACTAATTGATTTTGTGCTTGGGAATTGTGGAAAACAAGTGACTGGGTCAGTTCCTGCAAAGCCCATCCCTAATCACCCGCTGAAGACTCATTTGCTTTCACAGGTCTTTGTAAAGGCAGGGATAGGTAACCTTTATTCAGCCTGACGGTCACATTGTCCGATGTCCCCTTCTAGGGTCCGCATGCCAGGGTTGAGGCGATCATAAATGGAGCAACAGATTTGACTCCTACCTTTGTACATTAGATTACATTCCAGCCACACAAAAGCCAGAAGTTTCTGCACACCCCTCTCTCCAGTTGCTTTGAGACGACCTGTTTCATGAACATACATCTTGATTTGCTTGTGGGGAGATTAGTCAACATCGTGTCAAACAAATGTCATCTCACACTTTCTAGTTCACAACGCCATCTTTTTTCTTATCGCCCAAAGTCCTGTCTGTGCCGGGAAGTTGGCTTGTTTCGTAAGAGCTCTGCATTAGCTTGAATTGTGCAGCCCAAGTTTGCTGGGATGCGATTAAATCTCACCTGAAAATAATGATGGTATAGGAGTGCCCTCCATCCTGATGAGCGTGTGCTTCCAAACTGAATTCAAAATAAAGGCTACTGCAGCTATTTCAATCCATCCTTTTTCGATATAGTTTTCTGTATTGCTATGAGCAATTTTGCAAAGGCAATAGGTAACATTTTGTTAATAAGAAAGTAACACCATAACCTTGTAGCTTCTGGGGAAGGTGCTATTCTGGATGCGAGTGGCGCTGTGGTCTAAACCACTGAGCCTCTTGAACTTGCCAATCAAAAGGTCGGCAATTCGAATCCCAGCGACAGGGTGAGCTCCTGTTGCTCTGTCCCTGCTCCTGCCAACCTAGCAGTTCGAAAGCATGCCGATGCAAGTAGATAAATAGGTACCGCTGCAGCAGGAAGGTAAATGGTGTTTCTGTCATGGTGTCCTGTTGCGCCAGAAATGGTATAGTCATGCTGGCCACATGACCAGGAAAGCTGTCTGTGGACACACACTGGCTCCTTCAGCCTGAAAGCAAGATGAGTGCTGCAACCCCATAGTCGCCTTTGACTGGACTCAAGCATCCAGGGGTCATTTACCTTTACTTTTTTACCTATTCTGGAACATGCCATGCTTAAAGTGGCCTGCGACATGTTGTCGAAAAAGAGGACATAATTTGCAAATATTATAATTATAATTAATTATAATTAATTATATTTATAATTATAATCATAAATTTGCATAGCCTAATTTATATGTTGAGATGCAGATTTAGAAATAATTACTGTCATTTAAACAGAAATACAACAGATTATACCAGAGTGCAAAACAAGACTGTGCCCAGCTGACCTGGGTGCCGGCCTGCTCAGTCTACTGTTAGGTGCTGTTAACTGTTGATGGGCAACTTCAAGTCGCCTGCTCTCCCTTCTTAAGATTCATTGGGTGGTGTCCAGTGCTAGTTCTACTCAGAGTAAACCCATTGGTGTTAACAAACACCATGGTTAGGTTCATTCATTTCAATAGGTCCACTCTGAGAAGAACTTAGATGGACACACAACCCTAATTTTTTTTAAACCACAAGTGGTTCGCAAACTTTCCCCACCATGGACCACGTGAAAATGGTTGAAGACCCCGGAGGACCACTTTACAATTTTCCTGCCTGTTGCAACAACTGTAATTCACTGTGCTAGATGCTGTGCGATTTTTGATTGAAATGTTATTGGTTCTCTTCTTCCTTGTATTGCAGTATGATTTGAATTCTGTAGAATTCATATTGTAAATGTTCTTCACAGGGGGTCACCTGAATGAAGTTTGTGAACCTCTGCTTGGAAACCCCTGGAACAGACAGCTCTTCAAACAGAAAACACCTTCAAACAGAGGCCTTCATATGCACTTTGTTTTTGTTTTTTATAATTTTTATTGGGTTTTTAATAATTTTATACATATAAAACATAACCATTTCAAACATTAAAATACAAGGTTCTTTTGAACCTTCGAACCCCCTTCCCTCCCTCCATGGGTTCCATGTTTAGCTTTAAAATTGCTGCATCTTTTACCATTATCCACCTATTTTATTATCATAATTACCATAAGTAATTCCACATTACAAGTATCATTACATCCCTGCCAAAGGTTTTAACTGTTTACAGTGGCCTTTTAAATAAATTACAAATTTACTCCAGTCTTTAGAAAATACTTGATCTTCCTGGTTTCGGATCTTCCCCTTCAGTTTCGCCATCTCCGCATACTCCCACCAGTTTCATTTGCCATTCTTCTTTTGTTGGTATTTCTCCTTCCTTCCATCTCTGGGCTAGTCGCATTCTCACTGCCGTCATTGCATACATAAAAAGTCTTTTATCCTCTCTTGGTATGTCTTCACCTATTATTCCTAACAAAAAGGCTTCTGGGTTTTTTTAAAACAAATGTATTTTTAATCATTTTCTTTAGTTCATTATATATCATTTCCCAGAAAGCCTTTACCCATGTACATGTCCACCACATATGGTAAAAAGTACCCTCCTTCTCTTTACATTTCCAACACAATTTTGAACTTGTTTTGCACATTTTTACTCAATTTTACTCAGTGTTAGATACCAATCATATGCACTTTGAAGACATGATGGGGTTCATCTTATCCCATATTGGGCTTTGTGTATAATAAATGGAAAATACTGGAGGTGAAATCTATATAGAAAGAATGAGCCCCACCTGGACTCTCCCACTACTCCAATGCAGGGAGGGTCAATCTCACCACTAGTTCCTCTTGACAATTTTATTGTGAATAAAATTAGCCTGCTACATTGCTGTCATGGTCTGTTTTTTAATAGCTGGGGATCTGTTCACCTAGCAGCTCCCCTGAGCGAAACCCCTCCCGTTCATTAGGAATGGTATGATCCATGCAAATCACTCCTCCAGCTGCAGTGAGAAAGGGAGTCATTCTCTTTCTGACTGAACAGAGAGAGGAAAGCAGCAAAGAGACAAGTCAGTGGTTGACAGATTGGGTGGGAACAGATCCACCAATGGTCCTCCGAATCCCTCTGCGTAGAAGTGCCAGCTTCACCCCAGACCACCAGTCTGGGGTGGAGGCACCCACTCCTTCACCACTGAAAGTGGAAGCCAATGTGGTGGTCCTTGGAGCAGACAGCGTGGGAAAATCAGGTGAGTTCTGTCACTGGGCGAAAGTAAACGAAAGGTGAGCCAAACGATGGAAACCTGGAAACTAGATGCTGCGAAACACCCCCTCAAAGACAGAAACCCTCTATTTTGGGGACTTCTCAACTTGATCTGCATGCAAAACTTAAATTTAACGTGTGGAGAGTTCTCTTTTGCCTTTCAGAAAAGGTAGCTAGGGTGGAACACAACTCAGCAATGTTTTGTGAGTTCGATATTTACAGTACACAAGAAAAGTTGCATGATCCACTATGATCCAGTTGTATGAGTCAATTGCTAACCTCTCATCAGATTTGCTAAATGATGTGAAGTGCAGAGGGAAGATTGCAGTATTTCACAGCTCACTCAAATGTCTTCTTTTTAAAAATTATTTTTTGTTTCTTAACTCTTTCTCAGTATATATTTCCAGTGGACTTCTGTGCATGTTTGCTCAGAAGTAGATCCGGCTGATTTCAATGGGACTTACTCTCAAGTAGACGTACAAATGATTGCAGCCTTACTTTAAAGAAACTCTAATCTGAAGCATAATGATTGCATCCATACATGAAATATATTCTGTAATTTGTCAATAGCTGCATCTTTTTTTGTGAGTTTTTGCATACTAACTTGGATGTTAATTGAGGCATTGCTAGCAAGTGGCCTGTAGGCAAACAAAGTGACCATCTTGTCATAGCTAAGCAGGCTTGAGTCTGGTTAATGCCTGGATGGGTAACTGTGTGGGAACTATATTTATGTCACCTTGGGTTCTATGGTGGAAGAAAGGTGGAGCAGAAATGTAAGAAATAAAGAAAAAATAACAGCCCAGTCATATGCTCCCCAAGTGTTACGGAACTCGGTATGAAGGAAATTCCACAAAAATTCAATTGAACTTAGAAATAAGGCTGCTATCCTGAATACAATTATTAGGGAGCAAGCTCCACAGAATGCAGTGAACTGGTGTGCATGTAACGCTAAACCAAACCATGGTTTAGTGCAAATGCACAAGTGTGAAGGTTCCCAGAAAGAAGATTGTGTGTGCTCCTTGCCCCGTTCTCCTCCTGCTGCATTTATGTGAGCGACGCCATAATTTGGCTGACTGTATCATTTGAGCCCCGGTTCTTGATTTGTCTCCTCCAAACAAACCGTGAGCTGCAAAAGAGTGAACAAACCTTAGCTATAAATGGTTTGTCTAGAATGAGACAAACCACAAGCTCGGGTTCAAATGGAATGCTAAACCAAGCCATGGCTTAGGCCCAGGTCGTATGCTGGCAACAATACCAGGAGAGGAGTTCAGCAGGATGCAATTCTCCTCGTGTTCATGCTAAGCCATGGTTTGGCACAGCATTACATGCAAACCAGCACAGTGGAACTAAACATGATTGGGATTGTTCTATAATTATAGATGTTTACAGGGGTAGCGACCTACAACTGTGCAAACATCTTTAATTGGAAATGGCCATAAGCACATAGTTATAAACCATGTGCAAAATTACGCTTTCGGCTCTGTAAAACTTAATATTTTCTCATCGGGGGGAAAAAATAGCTGTCAGATCAGCTACAAATCCAGCAAACTTAATTTTGATAACTTTCATATTTGCAGGTTTGAGTTTATGTCTGTGGTGGTGTGGTTTTGTTCTGTTTTTCTGAGAATAGAACAAAGGTCCCCCCCCCCATCTCAATATCTGTCCTACATAACAGTTACAACTCCCACTCTTTTTCACAGCTTTGACAGTGCGCTTCCTCACTAGAAGGTTCATCGGGGAATATGGAGACATGGGTGAGTGTCATAATTGCATCATTGCACGGACAGATTTGTGCCTGTTAATTTCATGTCACCCTTGGGGAGGCTGGATGGTTTGAAAAAACAAGAAAAAAAATCCCGCTTGCAAAAATGGATGGTGTGCAAAGGGCTGGGTTGTTTCCTTCTGCCGTGAAATGTGGAGCAGGAAGGGATGGGTAGATCGGAATACCATCCAGTGAGGGGATTCTAGGAAAAACCAGTGCCAGCATATGGGATTCTCAGGCAGCTGCCAGAGTCTGTCTCTGCGCTGATGCCTGCTTCTCCAAATCTGAAACCAGCCCTGGGACCTCCGTCCTGTAGTGGATCTGCTTTGCATGCAGAAAGTGCCAGATTCAATCTTCTGACATCTCTAGGTAGGGCTTGGACACCCTAGTCCAGGGGTCAGCAACCTTTTTCAGCTGTGGGCCAGTCCACCGTCCCTCGGACCATGTGGTGGGCCAGACTATATTTTGAAAAAATAATAATGAATGAATTCCTATGCCCACAAATAACCCAGAGATGCTTTTTAAATAAAAGGACACATTCTACTCATGTAAAAACACGCTGATTCCTGGATCGTCCGTGGGCTGTGTTGAGAAAGCGATTGGGCCACATCCGGCCCACGAGCCTTAGGTTGTCTACCCCTGCCCTAGTCTGCCAGTCAGTGTGGGCAGTACTGAGCTAGGTGAGCCAATAAGGGAACTTCCTATGACCTCTGCCATTTTAGCATCATATGGTGGCTCCAACAGAGCACTACTCCTGGGCACTATGGAAAATTAAAATGGCAGCTCTAAGCTATCCGGCACTGGCTGTAGCACCATCAACAAGGCCAGATAAGCCCATCCAGATCCACCAGAACCTGGAGGCTGCTTTCCCCAGGACCTGTTCAGTCCTCCAGCTGGTCCAGATTCTTAGCCTTCTGCTCAGCTGCCACAAGGAAGCCACTTATAACTAACACTGCATAGTAGCTGCCTCCACACAGTGTGCCATTTTGTGTGTACAATCAAACCTTGGTTGTTGAATGTAATCCGTTCTGGAAGCCCATTCAGCTTCCGAAATGTTCGACAACCGAGGCACGGCTTCCGATTGGCTGCAAGAGCTTCCTGCACTCAAGCAGAAGCTGTGCCAGATGTTCGGCTTCCGAAAAACGTTAGAAAACCGGAACACTTACTTCTGGGTTTTTGTCTTTCGGGAGCCGAAACATTCCAAAATGGAGGTGTTTGGGAACTGAGGTTTGGCTGTATAAAGTTGCCACTAAGGAGGAAGGAGAAATCTTGATTCATAGAATTGTTGAGTTAGAAGGTACCCTGAGGATTATCTCGCCCAACCGCCTGCAGTGCAGGAATATTGCTGCTGTCCCATCCACGGATTGAAACTGTATAAAACTTTTCAGTTCTCGTTTCTTGCTTTACGAGGCTGCCAGTTGCTAACACCTGGAGAGGTTGGAAAGGGAGTGGCAGAGGAGCAGACACACAGAGGGGAAGTGAGAGAACAGAACTATCGGGAGTGGCTTTTTGGCAAACCTGAACTGTATGCTTTTCCCCCACCCAGAGTCTATCTACACCCACACTTTGGCAGCGGAAGGCAGAGAGATCCTCTTCCACATCTGGGATTTCCCTTGCTCGCAGGTGAGGGGGTTATCCTACGCTATCACTGATCAGAAGGTTGGTGTTTCAAATCCCTGCAACGGGGTGAGCTCCCGTTGCTCTGTCCCAGCTCCTGCCAACCTAGCAGTTTGAAAGCATGGCAGTGCAAGTAGATAAACAGGTACCGCTGTGGCGGGAAGGTAAACGGTGTTTCCGTGCGCTCTGGTTTCTGCCACAGTGTTCCGTTACACCAGAAGCAGTTTAGTCTTGCTGGCCACTTGACCTGGAAAGCTGTCTGTGGACAAACGCTGGCTCCCTCAACCTGAAAGCAAGATGAGTGCTGCAATCCCATAGTCACCTTTGACTGGACTTAACCATCCACACTATCACCTTCATTTGACTTCCAGTACTTATACTCCACCTTTGAACAGCTATGACAAAAGGTTGACAAGAGATTCATGGGCAGTGCCATGATTGTGGGGGGTGGGGATTTTTTTTTTAATAAGAAAGTAAACTATTTAAAACAAATGCAAAGCGAGCAACAGTTAAGAATATAAATATTTCCAGTTGATCTCAGTTAGTTCCCAAAGGTCTGGCAGAAGATCAGTACCTTTAAATTACAAGCTTCGTGCCAAATTCCTCTGTGTGTGTGTGTGTGTGTGTGTGTGTGTGTGTGTGTAAAACTCCACTTTCTGAGGCCCCATCTGCCCTCTTATATCACTTTAAACAGCCGTGGCTTTCCACGAAGAATTCTGGGAACTATCGTTTGTTAAGGGTGCTGAGAGTTGTTCCCCTTCACGGAGCTACAATTCCCAGAGTGGTTTAACAATCAATCCCTCTTCCCAGGGAGCTCAGGGAATTATTGCTGTACAAGGGGAATAGGAGTCTCCTCTTGACGAGAGTGCAGCAAGTTTAAAAGCTGTGTGTGAGACTGTTGCACAGGATTAGTCTCTTGAGAAGTACCTGACTACCGTAACTATGGGAATTCCGGCCAATGGCGTTTGTTTCTTGACTTGAGCTGATATGGGATCTCAACCAAACTGAGGATGTAGATGATATGATTCTATGGTGCTCCTCTGAAACACCAGCCTTGTTAATGTTATTTTATTGCATCTCCTGGGTTCTCAACTTATTTGTCATCTGATTAAATTAGATTACATTTTAGTCACATGAGCTTCAGTCAATAAACTGAATAAATCTGCATATGTGAAAAACAATAATTGTGATGAAGAAGATATTATTATTATTTCTTTCATATTGGGTTGGAAGGGCTCAATATGTTGCTGCAACTCCCATCATTCCTGACCATTGGCAATCCTGCTTGAGGCTGAGTCCAACAGCATTGCAGAACTGCAGGTTCTCCAATCCAGCTTAGAAGATACATCTTTCCTTCTCTCTCCCCGCCAAGGGAATGCTTTATATTTGCAGACCAACTGTTTAATAAGGGCATTGCTTTTATCAATAAAAAAGAGCAACCAATCAATAGACTAAACATGGGAACCCTTACATTTTCCTTCCTTTTCAGGAGCGGACAGATGAGAGCTCTTCTGAGGACAAGCGCATCCAGTGGGCTGATGGCTTTGTCTTGGTCTACAGCATCTGTGACCGAGCCAGCTTTAACAGTGTGCAACCCAAAATCCAGTTCATCAAGGCAGCCAAGGAAGGACCAGCCCAGGAGAAAGTGCCCATTGTCATTGTGGGCAACAAGCGAGACTTGCATCACCGGCGCACGGTCTCCAGCGAGGAGGGCAGGCTCCTGGCTCTCTCCTTAGACTGTGAGTTCTATGAGGTGTCAGCAGCAGAGGCCTACCACGGGGCCCTCGTGGTCTTCAACAGCCTGGCGGAACGCATCTGCGAGGCCAAACTCGCCGTGAAGAAGGGCACTGGTATCCGTAGCATCGTGAAGAGCGTGTCTGCTGTGTTTGCCCGGAAGAGAACAGACTCCATGTGAGACATGGTGGAAGCTGGTCCGCCAGGGCGAACAGGGCACTGCCCCACTAACCTCAGTCTGCTCTCAGCCAGCTCCCGCCTGCCTGCCTGCCTGCCTGCCTTCTTATGTACGACCCATCAGTACAGGCTCGGACTGTCAGTGGCTGTGGCGCCACCTACTGTTGGTCTCCTTGCCTTCTGCCCTTCCAGTCCCAATGGGCACCCACCACCACTAGTGAGATGGACTGAGAATATGAGAAACACCATGGCATCCAGCCTTCACTGCCTGGAGTAGGGTATCTCATTCTTCTAACCCTGCTCCAGAGGCAAGAGTCTGCAGGGCAATGCGACTCAATAGGCAATAAAGTGATTCCTTGTGGTGTTGAAATACAAGAGGTGCCAGGCTGCCCTTAAGGGGGGATGAACGTTCCCTTCCCCCTGAACTTTCACACAGTAGGAATTGGGTCAGGGGCAGCTAGCTTCTTGCCCAAGACCCTTGATTTAAGCTGGAGGGGGGGGGTCTGCATTTCAATCTCCTGTATTGATGCACGAGAGCTGCTATAAAACCTTGGTTTTTGCACAGGGCCATATCTCTAGACCAGCCATTCTCAACCTTGGATTCCTAGATGTTGTTGGACTACAACTCCTATCATTCCTAGCCAGCATGGCCAGTGTTCAGGGATGATGGGGGAGGTAGTTCAAGAGCCCCTGAGAACCCAAGATTGAAAAAAAGGCTGTTTTGGACCGATGGCCCAAAGAGACAATGGTTGCATCCACACCATATTTTTAATTCATATTTAAAGTGTGCCCTCGCCCTGCAAAGAATACTGGGAACTGTAGTTTGCTTGGGGTATTGGGAATTGTAGCTTTTTGAGGGGTAAATGACAACTCCCATGATTATTTGGGTTTGGGCCATAAACATGCTTTAAATGTGTGGATGCGACCGTCCAACATCTTCATTTTACACCCCATGGCACAGATGGGAATTTCACTCAATGTATGGGATTGCAAATCTCATTGTCAGCTCTGGAATAGGAATAACTCTGTACAGAGCTATCTTACACTGAGTCACCCACCTGGCCCAGTACATCCTAATTTGGCTTGCTGGCAACAACTCTTACAGAGGATTCCCCAGGTCTGCTACCCAAGAGCCTTTAACTGGAGAGGCCAGGGATTCAGGTGACTTCAGCATGGTCCCCTCTGGTGGTCCTTCCTCTGCACTGGTGGCCACCAACAGGCTTATCAGCGCTGCTGCAGGCCCTGGGGCAGGGGTTGGGTGTGCCCCGCCATTTTAATTTCCAGTCGTGCCCCTGAGCAACGTTATGGGGCGTTGTGGGAAATTAAAACCCAGCTGCGGTCTCCAACACTGGTGGGGCTGCTTGGTGATGCTGGACCTGAACAGTAGAATCTGGGACTTTATTCATGCAAAGCATTCCCATCTCTTAAGCTCCGTGGAGGCTGAATGGGGCAAGCTTATATGGTATGATCTTAGCCTCTCCCTGTTCACGTTGGTGTCGAGTCCTCGCTCCTCCCGCCTTGGTAACAGCAGCTTGGAAGAAGCATACTGTCAGCTGTGTGTTCTGAGCAAAGAGGCAAGAATCTTTGCCAAGTCTTCCTCCAGCCTCCGGTTCTGTCTTGCTTGCTTTCGACTTGACTGCTTTACTGCTGAGCTACAGCGATGTGAGTAGGTGCCTGGAACTCCATGTCCTAATCAGCCACCCCTCCCTCCCGATCCGTTGGCTGGCAGCAGGCAGCTGCTGTTCTTAAGTGATGTACAGCACACGCCTGTGCAAAGGGAGACATGGCTTCCTTCCAGGGCCTTGTGTGGGTGTGGTAGGTCTTAAATAGCCCGATCCCAGAGAGGAGCTGGAGCTTGTCTTCTGCTGGAAAATTGTCCCCGGGGCCCCTAAGAAGCGATGGAAAGTGCAAGGAATTGGGAGCAGTCGACTCCTCTGGCAGAGAAAGGAGGTTGCAAGGAGATGATCTGCCCTTTCACCCTAGATGCACAGATTGGGTTGGGCAGTGGCTGTTCAGTGCAGAGGGAGAAGCACTCGATATGCGCTATTGAAAACAATCCTTTGCATGCAAAGGAAACCAATTCCCAGTTAGCAGCCTAGTGGAGAGAAGTTACAAGGTCTACCTGGAGTTGGTTTCTTTGGAATGAGATCGCGGTATACATGGTGTTGAACTTCAGCTCCCATCAGCTCCATCGGCCGGTCATCACGAACTGGAGCTTTTGTCCAGCAATACCTGGGGGGCGGGCAGGATTCTCCACTTCTGTTCTAGTGTTGCAGCCTACAACTGTTGTTTCCACAAAGCATAGCCACTTCCTGAATATATGTGTGTAATTTCAAGTCACTACCATGTGCTCCTCTTTCTACGGTGAGCTGAGAAGGCTGAGTGTGTAAATAAGACGGATGTGGCTGTTTCTAGACTCATTTCTGTGCTGGTACTTTGCTTTTGTGCACAAGGGAGTAAAATAAACACAGATGCACCTCTTGTTCAGGCAGTTTTGGGGTCATCTTTTGTTCTCAACAGGGTGAGGGAAAGGGAACATTCCTGGAGCCAGGTGACAAGGAGCAGGGCAGCTGTCATATGGCCCAGAAAATGGGCAGAGAACAAGATGTTTATTTGTTTACTTGGATTTCTGTTTTTGTCCACGCTAGAAGGAATACGCTGTAGGGCAGGGATGGGGAACCCTCTAGGTGTCTCTATCTGGCCCTTGAGATTCTCCCCCTCCTAAGCCCACACTCGATCACACCCTCCTTGGATGTTTTTGTACTCTGGTGCATGCCTGGATGAGGGACACGGGTGGCGCTGTGGGTTAAACCACAGAGCCTAGGACTTGCCGATCAGAAGGTCGGCGGTTTGAATCCCCGCAACGGGGTGAGCTCCCGTTGCTCGGTCTCTGCTCCTGCCAACCTTGCAGTTTGAAAGCACGTCAAAGTGCAAGTAGATAAATAGGTACCGCTCTGGCGGGAAGCTAAACGGCGTTTCCCTGCGCTGCTCTGGTTCGCCAGAAGCGGCTTAGTCATGCTGGCCACATGACCCAGAAGCTGTACGCCAGCTCCCTCGGCCAATAAAGTGAGATGAGTGCCGCAACCCCAGAGTCGGTCACGACTGGACCTAATGGTCAGGGGTCCCTTTACCTTTACATGCCTGGATGAAAGATAAGAGAGGGTTGTGTGTAGTAATCAGCCTCCTACATAATGTAGGTAACACTGACATTTGGTGCTCCTCCCACTTTTGCCTCTGGCCCTGCCCACCACTGGCATGAGGCCCCTGGAAGGTTGCACAGAAGCTAAGGTGGCCCCAGGCTGAAAAAAGGCTCCCTGCTGTAGAATTAAACTACACGGGGGAGGGGAGCAGGAGGGGCTCTTCACCAGCCTGACTCACCTCTGCCTCTTGGCCTCCCTCTTCCCCTGCTTCAGCTTCTGCCTCTGAATGTGGACTGCTCTCTACCACGGACTCACCCCCGCTCACTAAGCCCTGTTGCCCCTTCAGCTTCTGACACCAACTCCTCCCAGTCTTCTCCCTTTTCTTCCTCTGACCACTCATCGTCATCCCACCACCCATCCCCAGGCTTTGAGCCTGCTTCCCTTGGGGGTTCCCCAGCTGGTTTCTCCCACCATTCCTCTGCGTCCAAGCAGTCCATCACACTGGCTCATCCATGTTGCACAAGTATACTGTAGTTCATTGGGAGGTATTGTACAACAAACTTTCCCCCCAAAGCTAATTGCAGTAAGGAAAGTGACAGGAAAATGCACTGGAACCTGTGAGATAATGCATGCTTTGGCGCAATGGCATCTAACCTCCCCACAAACGAATCAGAGTGAATGTTCAGTAAGTAGCCAACATTTGATCTCCCTCCAAGTGTATCAGGATGAATGCTCAATGACAACTCATCTAGAAGTGCCTTCCGTCTTCAACTCTGTCCCCCTCCCTTGCTGCAGAACTCCCAGAGATATGAGGTCTGCTTCTGCTACTGTGATTCCAGGCAGGAATGTTCCCTGTTTTGCCCATTTGTTTTCATCAGCACCCGTCGCTTTGCTAAGGTGGCTGTTTATGTAGCTTTCCGCTTCTCCCTGGATAAACTGTTCTTTCCAGTCACTGACCACATACGAGGTGAGCCCTGGCTTAGATCAGAGCAAAGAAGACCTGCCAAGCACGTGTACACAAACACAACACACGCTTTGCTGCTGTAACAGTAAGTTTGTGCCAGATGCTGAAGACCCCCTTATTCAGAAATTAAAAATGGTTTTAGATGCAACATCACTTGTAGGTGGTTTCCAAAGCAAAGCAGCGATATGCCGAGAGATCAAAACAACCCTAATTATTTGATGCATCATTCTGTCAGCCCTTTCAAAGATGGCCCAGCGCTCAAATCAATGTGAGTCAGAAGTAGGGGTGGATGAAGCTGTCCATTCCTCTCTTTTTTTTCATTTTTCCACATCATATACAATCATACCTTGGTTGACGAACGCCTTGCGGCTTGAATGTTTTGGCTCCCGAATGCTGCAAACTCGGAAGTGAGTGTTCCGGTTTGCGAACGTTCTTTGGAACCTGAACACCTGACACGGCTTCCGCGGCTTCCAATTGGCTGCAGGAGCTTCCTGCAGCCAATCGGAAGCCGCGCCTTGGTTTCTGAATGCTTTGGAAGTTGAACGGACTTCCAGAACAGATTCTGTTCAGCTTCCGAGGTGCCACTGTGTATGTGTGTGTGTGTGTGTGTGTGTGTGTGTGTGTATTCTCTTGCATCTTTTGCTAATGATTTTTCTCTTTGTTTTCTTTATCTCACTCTTCTCTCATTCTCTTTATCCTTTATTTCTAGCATCTGTTTCTCTTCTTTGTTTATCTCCATATTTACTCTATTATGTTTTAATTATAAATGTTTTAATAACAACAACAAATACCGGCCGTTTGGCTTTCTTGGGCTGGGTGTGCTCACGATGCTCTCTTAGTGTCACATTTGTCCAGCTTTACAGGGGACAGTCTTCTGTTTGAAAGAGTCTTCTATTTGAAAGGCTGACCACATACTGAACCATCGGAAGGGAGAAGAGGCAGCGCCGGATTTAGGGCAGTGTGGGTGGTTCCCACATACAGGGCACTGAGCTGAGGGGGCACAGAATGGAAGGCAAGAGGGAGGAGGGCATGAAAATAAATAAATATATTTGGGGAGGGGTGCCAAATTTTGTCCTTGCTTAAAGCATCATATTACCAAAGTCCACCTGAAGGAGCATCTCCACCCCCATTATTCAGCACAGACACTGAGGTCCAGCTCTGAGGGCCTTCTGGTGGTTCCCTCAGTGCAAGATGTGAGGTTACAGGGAACCAGGCAGAGGGCCTTCTCAGTGGTGGCGCCCACCCTGTGGAACACCCTCCCATTGGGTGTCAAGGAAATAAACAACTATCTGATTTTTAGAAGACATCTGAAGGCAGCCCTGTTCAGGGAAGTTTTTAATGTTTGATGTTCTATCGTGTTTTTAATACTCTGTTGGGAGCCACCCAGAGTGGCTGAGGAAACCTAGCCAGATGGGCAGAGTATAAATAATAAATTATTATTATTACTGGAAGAGGGGCCCCAGAAGAGCCCATCAACTGTTATCAGCACATGAATGACAGTCAGGCACAGAGGTGACCTGATCACATTACTTCATTCACACAGCTGCCCACCCAGATCCACTCTTGTTCAGAGTTAGAATTACAGGAGTTGGGGGAGTGGGGTGGTAGGTGGCCTCAACAGGCAGGAATTGAACAGGTGACTTTTCTTCCCACGCACTGATGGGAAAAAGCTTTATCAGTCGGATTTCCATTTGTCACAAAGCCACAGCAGCCTCTTACTAGGGGAAAGATTGGTAGCCCCAGTGGAGACAGCTTTCTGACTTATCTCATGAAATCTGGGAGAAGCCAGTAATTAGACCAAGCCAAGCAGAAACCTCACATAGATGTCGGCAGTTATTATTTATTCCAGTTCGAGGGTTCCTTCCTCGCTGCTGCTGTCATCAAGTGACCTGCTGGCTCCAAAGGCTTAGATGCTAATTTCTCTGCCAGGACCATGCAAAGCACAAATCAGCCCTATTTATAGGCATGGAGACAGGAAAGTGCAACAGAGCAACTCAGAGATTCAAAGGCTGTATAACAGACTGGGCAGAATGCACAAAATGATAGAACGTGTTACTTAAGAGTGTCCACTTACACATAACTAAAAGAAATGAGAATGAAAGCAGTTCTGCGTACAATTTGCAAGTGCTAAAGGGCGTGTTACAAACTGAGAAAAAAATACTATAATTTAAATAGGAAAAACAATACATCTCACCTGGTGGAAAGGCAGCCACCAGGTAACTTCCTCCTTCAAGACTCCCCCGATCCCTTCCTATGTTTTTTATCCTTATTTGAATGTGTTCCCTATTTAAAGGGCAGTTTGGTCCAAGTCTGGTCTAAACTACCCTTTAAATAGGGACATTTTCGAATAAAGGATAGTGCTCTGAATAATGGGATACATAGCTACCATACTAACCTGTTGGTATTCTTTTCTGGACTTTTGGGGAATGTACCACATACGTTCCTAAGTCCAACCGAGAAATGATTTACCTGTACTAGACCATCTTACATCTTACATAGACAGTCTTACATAGATTGAGACCGGCATTTCTATGCCTTTCTTGGCAGCTTGATGTGCTGCAAATTTCTGTCTGCCTGGGGGCCAATAGAACACTGAAAGAGGGCAATTAATATATATATTTTTTAAAAAGTGACAATCCTACTGGCTTTTAGATTTGTTCTGTCCGGAGACATGCACTATATTTACCTTGACATTCCCAAAGGCAGAGGCCACAGCATCTCCCACACATCAACCCTGTATCCTGCCTGTTGTGTGGCATCTCTGCATTTCTGCTCATTACAGCAAGTGTGTGCATGTAGGGGAGCGGCAGGATAACAGTTAAAGAGAAATTCCAGCTGGCAAGGATTCATAAAGCTGGAGAAGGACTTGTTGGCTTAGTGCAGAAAGTCTACAGCAGGAACCTGTGGCCTCCCAGATGTTGCTTAACTACAATTCTCTTTTATAAATATTTTTATTAAATTTTACATAACAAATTTCAGTTTAAGCACATCATTCACCATCACATTTAGGATTCTCAGAATCCCTTGACTTCCCACTGCCTTTCCCTGGTTTCCACTATCAGTCTCCTTTTCCTTCAGCTTATCCTATTTTCTCTATCTTGTTAGAAATATTATTAACCATTTTCCCATTGTATTTTGTACCTTACAAGTTTTAATCTAATACTGCCAAAGTTTTTAGTTGTTTACAGTGTTCTCTTAAATACATTATGTCCTCCCATTCTTTCTTGAATTTCTTCTCTTCCTGGTCTCTCCAGAGCGACCCAGACCCAGCAAAAAGTTATTAACAGTAACTCACTCCCACACCGCCCTCGACAATACCAGAAAAGCAGCCCTCGTGGAAACCTGTCCCAAGCAGCCTCAGCCCATTTCAACCCGACCAAGCCTTGGAAACCTTCCAGGCAGCTGAAACCTGGCAAGAATATCCCCGCCGCCCCTCTTGACCTCCAGAGGGAGCCTCGCTCTCTTCCCAGCTGGCTGCGCCGGAACTCTCCTGGTTCCATGGAGACTTACTGTACCAAAGCGAGCAGGTGAGGAAGATGGAGAGGTGAGGGTTGTTGAACGCTACTAGCCATAAAGGCTACCATAAAGGCTGTGCTCTGCCTGCAAAGTTGGAGGCAGAAATGCTTCTAGTTTCTGAAAACTAGAGGGGAGACTGCTCCTGCTGTGGCGTAGGAAGGGGCGTATGGTGGGTGAGGGAGTTATTTTTTGTCACCCTCCTCAGTGATGACACCCGGGGCTGCCCACACCTCTCTTCCTATGCCACTGCTCCAGAGCGTAGGACTTGACCCAAGTTACAAGAAAGAATGTTCTGACCAAACACCAGGAAGAACTTTCTGACTGAAAGAGCTGCTTGACAGGTGGAACAGAATAAGAGAACAAGAAGAACACACGTTTAGAGAAGGTTGGAAAATGTTTATTGAATACATGGGAAATAACTGTGTACAGCTGAAAACGCCGGCAGCATTAAGATAAATTCAACAGTGTAAATAAGTTATGATGGATGTAATAATGGAACTCTGAATGGTATAGTTTCTGTAAAATATGCAGGGATTGTAAAATGAACCATGGAATGAGAAGAAGGGAAGTCACGGATATTTTAAGGATGTAAAAATGAGTACTTTAAATTGTAAAACAGAAAACACTCTCTCTCTCTCTTTCTCTTTCTCTCTCTTTCTCTCTTTCCTTTTAGCCGCTCTGATGGGGTAGTGAAATGCTTAAAAGGGAATAATGTCTAGCAAATTATTTTATTTATGGAAAGTAGATAAAAGCTTCCAAATATAAAATCACTGTTCATATTATACATTTCTGACACTAACAATTCATAGACACTAAAAACACACAGACACACCTGAGCTTGATGGTGGGGTTTAAGATGATCGAAGGAGGCGTGTTTGCTGGCCAGGGATAGCTCAGTTTGGTAGAGAATGAGGGTCTTAATCTCAGGGTTGTAGCTTCGAGCCCCACATTGGGCAAAATATCCCTGCATTGTAAGGGATTGGACTAGATGACCTTTGTGGTCCCTTTCAACTCTACAATTCTATGGTTCCATGTTTCTGTCGGCTAGGAGGAAATCACTGATTTGCCATTCATTTAAAGCCCCAACTGGGAATGTAAGTAGCCCAACCAAGTAAGGAAGGTTGTCTTTAGCTATGGTTCTTAAGGTCAAACAAGGCGTTATGTTAAGCATGTCAATGCGTTTGGCAGGGCTGAGGAATCTGTGGCCCTCCAATGTTCATCATTCACGACCACTGACTGTACTAGTGTCCAACAAAACTCAAGAGGGTAGGAATGGGGAGAAATTAAATTCAGTTCGCATTTAAAGGTGAACCTGCCTTATTCACACTTTCCGAAACAACACGTGAGCCAAAACTAAACCGTCCCTCGAGATTTGCACATGTTCAAACTTTGCTGTGTCGTTCTCCAGCCAATTAGAGTGTTCAAAAAATGCATGCGCTTGGGTAAAGTGTGCCTAGAAATGAGTATGTTAGTGAAATTAGCTTACAAAAATGCATTGTATTTGGGGAAATTCCTTGACAAAAAAATGTGCATATTAGGCAAAAATCATGCATTTGTTCAGAGAAATTAGCCCTGAAATGTCGGTTAATTTTCACAAGGTTTTTTTTTTTAAAAAAAAAGAAAAATTGAAAACTAATACGGAACTAAAAAAAACCTGAGAGAAACGAAATTGACAGAGTCACCCATCCCTACCAGAGGGTCACAGGTTCCCCATTCCTTATTTAACATGTCTGGAGGTTTGTTTTGTTTGTTTTAAATACAAGATTAGGACTGTGACACAGTGTGGGGTGATAACACATAACTCCTCGGGTTGTGGCCCTGATAAGAATTGTCAAAGCTATTTCTATTCATCACTGGATGAGGAATAGAAGGTTTGGAGGAGAATATTTTTTCTCTGGTGTGGGGAAATGGATTACTAGCCTCACGTACTGTGGTCCTTATCCTGATCACACACTCCTAGGGGTTGAATCAGTTCCTCACCCCACAATGTTATTTTTGAGGAGGCCGGGCTCTACCTGATATATTCTAATGTTATACAGCTTGCAAAGCCAGCAAGGGCAGTAGACTCAAGAGACTGAACAAGTTATTAAGCAGAGGGTTTGGGCCTCTTACTGGCTTAGTCTTTCTTGAAGGTGGTGCTATGGAGGCTTGCATGAGCCCTGGTGTACACAACCTGCGAACTGGGGCGGCACAGCCCTTCGCTCATTCTCCTGCTGCCAGCCCAATCCTTGTAAGGGGAGAAGGCAGATTTGCGGGATCCTGCATACTCAGCTTCAAAGGCTGGGCTCCGATGTTGGGAGGCGGCTGGCTGAGGAGGAAGGGGCCCATCCAGATTGAGGAAGGAGAGGGGATGGTGACCTCGGCTAGACCGCCGAATTCCTAGGAGCTGATACGCCAGTCCCCTCTTCTCCTCCTCAGCATCTGTGCTCACAGGCTGGGTACCTTCCTGGTCTTGACTTGACTCAGAATTAGCCACAGGCACGCTTGCAGTCTCCTCTTGTTTCACTGAGATCTTTGGAACCTAAACCAGGGATGGGAGAGAGTGGATATGGAAAGAGAGAGAGGTGTGAATTTCGGATGGGTAAACCCAGACCCTATAATTTTTCAGGAAATTCCTCCCAACTCAACCTTTGGAGATTGGTTTCTGCAGGATGGGTTCAAGCACTTACGACAGAACTTTGCACAAACATTCTTACTATTGGCAAAACCTATTGGTGTTTCACAACTTTTCTGACTAGTTGCAGGACCTTAGCCAGACCTAGCAGAGTACACGCAGAATCCACGGAAGCAATTGGCAACTTGGCTGCAGACAGGATTAGACGAAGCAGGAAGCAGGAACTTGTAGTTAGGTGTTTATTATATACAGTGGACTATTTACAGGAAGAGAACACGGATCTTTTGCTAGCTCTCTCATACACTACTCACAACTCCTGCACTGACACACAGAACTCTAAACCTCTGAACACTGAACTCCCAGTTAGTAGGCCATTAATTATCACTCCCTTGAGAGAGCTTGACCAATCAGGGAGTTGTCCCCATGTCTCTGTTATCATCAGGCAGACTTACTCCTTCAGACTGCCTTCTGGCTGTCTGCCAAACCTTAACTTGACTCTGTGTGAGTAGCTGCACATACACAGTTTCCCAACACTTACGATACTGGAGCACACTACTGATGCCAAGAACAGGTGTGGCTTCTGAGCAGGAGTGAGGAAGTGTGGCCCTCCAGATTTTGGTGGACTACAGCTCCCATCATCCTTGACCACTGGCCATGCTGGCTGAGGATGATGGGAACTGGAGTCCAACAAGATCTGTAGGGCTACAGGTTCCCCACCACTTTAGACATCTCTGCAAAGGCAGCAGCCCACACAGATATAGGCCACATCATACAGTCTTCAACTTTTGGCATTGTGCTGTATGTGCATGACCATTGCACCTGCATGAGCAGTGCCTTTCTACCCAGTATGTCCCTGGCCCAAAGAGGGTGTGTGTGTCAGCAGCGTGGGAAAGACCCATTCAATGAGCTACATCCAGGTGGTTGTGGTATTTACATCCACATAGGGTAGAATCACAGGAAAGCTACTCCCATGTGGCCTGGGCACACAGGGAAAAGACCTAAGGCAACCACCAAGTCTGTGTGTGTGTGTTTGTGAGAGAGATGGATAGAGAATGGTGACTATGTCAATTTCAGTTTCTCATTCTTTCAATTCAGTTCTCCATGTTACAACATCAGTCTGTATTTTTAAAAAACAAACAGAAGTCCTCATGAAAATTCATCAGCATTTTCGCACAAATGTCTCCCCAAAGACAATTTTTTGTATGCAATTTTGCCTAGTATATACATTTTGGCAAAGCAATTTCCCCTGATATGTTTTTGTACGTATAATATACATCATTGCTGTATGCTAGAGATGCATTTATCTGCATTTTTGTACCTATTACCTGGCTGTAGAGCTGCACTGCAACATTCGGAGGGTTGCAAACTTCAAATGATGGTTGTGTTTTGGTTCATACATTGCTTTGGAAAAATGCCAGTTAGAGGTAGGTCCACTTTGAAATGTGAAATGAATCGGATTTCGCCTCCCCATTCTAAATGACAAGCTAGTTTGTGCATAGGCAAATGGTTCACAAAGATTCAAGCTGCAACACACCCCACTCCAATTATGCAGATCCAAACTCCAAATATGCCCACCACTCCACCTCTTATCCCACAGGAGGGAGATGTGACTTACAGGTACATAGGAGGAGAATGTTCCCAGCAGGTTGCCTGTGATATTATGAAAGGTCTCTTTCAACAGGTCCACTTTGTCTCCTGCCTCAGACATGGCCCTTTGTGGAGAAACCTGCAGAAGCTGCCCAGCTGCATTCCAGACAGTAGCAGGGGCATCCTTCACCCTTGAGGCGATGGAGAAGCACGACGTCTGCAGGTTCTGAGACACACTGCCCACCAAGCTCTGTGCCTCGACTTGCTTTGCTGTCTAGAAGCAGAAAATAAAGCCAAGGATCTTGGTTGAGCAAGCATGACTTTCCCATATGAGTACCCGTGACCACATCTGCACCATTCATTTGAAGTGGTTTCATATCACTTTAAATACTACTACTACTATATTGACACCCCACACATCTGGCTGGGCCTCCCCAGCCACTCTGGGCAGCTCCCAACAGAATACTAAAAACACTATAAAACATCAAACATTAAAAACTTCCCTAAACAGGGCTGCCTTCAGATGTCTTCTAAAAGTCAGATAGTTGTTTATTTCCTTGACATCTGATGGGAGGGCATTCCACAGGGTGGGCACCACTACCGAGAAGGCCCTCTGTCTGGTTCCCTGCAACCTCACTTCTCGCAGGGAGGGAACTGCCAGAAGGCTCCCAGAGGTGGACTTCAGTATCTGGGCTGTATGATGGGGGTGGAGACGCTCCTTCCGGTATACTGGGCAGAGGCCATTTAGGGCTTTAAAAGTCAGCACCAACGTTTTGAATTGTGCTCGGAAACATACTGGGAGCCAATGTAGGTCTTTCAGGACTGGTGTTATGTGGTCTCGGTGACCACTCCCAGTCACCAGTCTAGCTGCTGCGTTCTCGATTAGTTGTAGTTTCCGGGTCACCAGTTCCCCATAGAATCCTGGGAACTGTAGTTTGTTGAGGGTGCTAAGCATCATTAGGTCTGGTTTGTGGAGCAATAGGACCAGAAGCAGGGTGAGCCATGTGTGAATCTGAGAACATCTTGGATCTGATGGATCCCAAACTCTACTGTACCCCTGACATAACCCCAAGAAGGATGAAAAACTAGTGTCAACGGGACCCAGTTAGTATCAATGAGGATTTAAACTTTTTTTTTTTTAAGGCTGAACCAGGTCAGAGTGTGCTACAAATAAAATTATCCCCCTCACCAACTCTTTGCCCTGGCTGGTGTGATCTCACAGACTTTAGGGGAAGTGATGGCTTCTCTCCCACAGAATCTCTCCCACCACTAGGGATGGAGAATTCTGGCAATTTTAATTTCTCTCAGTTTCACATTTCCCCAATATTACCATGTTTCTGCAGTAATTTGAAAATGTTCCAGCATTTCTGTGCAAATTTCTCTTAACCAACACATTTCTTAATTCTGTTTTGAGTAATATGCAATTTTTTTCAAGCATTTTTTCCTGCTACGATGCATTCTTGTATGCTGTTTCCACTAACCTATGCATTTTTACACAGGTTTCCGCTCAATATGTGCGTTTTTGTACATATTGGTTTGTTGGCAAACTGAATTGCAGAATTCAGAGCAGTACAAATTTAAAAGCATAACTGTGTGTCAGCTCACATCCTGGGTTTGCAGAAGAGTGAATTAGGTAGTTTTTCATTAAAATGCAAACAAAAATAAAATCACATTTCTCCCACATCCCAACCCTTCTGCTCCCAATACACAGTAGCACATTCAATTTTCTCTGGGTAAACATGTCAAATCAGAACTCCATCAATTTAGGACAATGGAAAAATTGTAAATTTAAAGTTTTCCTGAAAGTCCCCACCACAGAACAGAGGTCATAATAGTAATAACATCAGAATTTCCAGGGTCTTTGATATAATCAAAGACCCCGTGCTTGGCTTTTTAATGCCATGTCCCCTTGGGAAAGAGCTCCCGCCATTTCCTTCCCCTGGCTGTTTGGATAGAGGATGAATTTCCTGTGGAAATTTGGCCTCTGGTTTGACTCCCCCAGTTGCACCCAATGGAGGAAAAAAGCAAAATGCCTGGCTGCCTCAAACCCAAAACAGCTGGATTCAACAGGTTAACACCATTTATTTACATGCCAAAGCTAATCTCCTAAAAAGCTAATTCTGCTTCTCCAGTGCAGAACAGAACTCTGCTGGATACAGTGGTACCTCGGGTTAAGTACTTAATTCATTCCGGAGGTCCGTTCTTAACCTGAAACTGTTCTTAACCTGAAGCACCACTTTAGCTAATGGGGCCTCCTACCACTGGAGCACGATTTCTGTTCTCATCCTGAAGCAAAGTTCTTAACCTGAGGTACAACTTCCAGGTTAGCGGAGTCTGTAACCAGAAGCGTATGTAACCTGAAGCGTATGTAACCCGAGGTACCACTGTATTAAATATCTCCACATTTTAAGTTTTCTCTGTGAGTTTGAAAGATTTGGAAAGCTGCTCCCCTTTTGCATAACACTAAAAACTACTCTTCTTTGTTCCTGAGGTTTTCTTTTAAGCAAGATGAAAGTCTTGGTGGGGAGTAATTATTCTACGTAAGGGTGGAAGGATCTGTTCATTTCAGTTCTCTAAGTTTCTCATTTCCCCAACATTAAATTCAATCCACCACATATCTGCAGCATTTTGTGCTTAAAAATAACCCCCATGAAAACTCACCAGCATTTTAGTGCAAATTTATCTTAAACACATTTTTCTATGCAGTTTCCTATAGGCCTACCTGGACATGGCAAGGATTGAACCTGGGACCCTCTGCGTGCGAAGGATAGTTTCTGTCATTGATCTATGTTCTACACACGCACCACGCACATGGTCCAAGAATAATGATTTCAAAAGTTGTACCTTTCTCCCAGTGTCATCTTTCTTGGTTTCCTCTTCTTCCTTTGGCACCTTCTGAACCTTCTTGCTTAGCCAGCCGGTTTCTGCGCTCTGAACACCAGTGATGATCTTCAGGACCTTCTTTGAGCTCTGCCGGGCCAAGACAACCTGCACAGAAGAAGATGGTGAAGAGTCCATGCGTTTCCAGGACCAAAGAAGGCATGCGGATTAAAATTAATTGGACATGGGTGAGAAATGATTTCTTTGTCCCTTTGGGCACATCAAAGTGTAAATTTCAAAGGGTCTGTCAGACGCTGATGGTGGTTGCTCGTGAATAACCAGGCAGGACTCCGACTTGTCTTTTACGGGTTTTATTGTGCAAACTATTTACAGTGCATATCTACAAAATTCATGTCTGTCTTAGTCACTTGCAGAATCCGGGAGTGGCCGCTTCCGGCTTCTCCCCCAACATAAGAACTTCGGCACCCCAAGCCTCCTCCTCCCCTCCTTGCGTTTCACCCCTCTGCGCAAGCTGGGTGACGGAAGTGGCGTGCGTCCCTCCTGGCCAGCATGGCGAGGTGAGGCGCTGGGGCTCTCAGCAGCATCCTCGAGCCCTTTCCTCGTTTGGCTGGCCCCTTCCCTCTCTTCTCCACTGGAGGTGTGGCTTTTCCCACCACTGGAAGAGGAACTGCTCCTCAGGAGTTTCGGAGACTCTCTGTATCCCAACAGCCCCCCTGCCTCCTTCCCCTGTTCTGATGGCAGTCCCCTGACAGGGTCAGTGATTTCTATGTATTGGTGTAAGTGTAGAAATCAGAGAATCATAGAATTGTAGAGTTGGAAGGGACCACAAGGATCATCTAATCCAACTCTCTGCAATGAAGGAAAGTTGCCCAGCGTGTGACTCAAACCCATGACCCTGAGACTTAGAGCCTCATGCTCTACAAACTGAGCTATCCCTGGCTGGCAAACACGCCTCATTCAAGCATCTAGAACCCCATCATCAAGCTCACGTGTCTCTCTGTGTTTTAACGGTCTATAAATTGTTAGAGTCATGAATGTATAAATTGAATATGAAGAGTTATTATTATATTTGAAAGCTTTTATGTACTCATAATGAACACGTTCCATAAATAAAATAATCTGCTACACATTATTCACTTTTAAGCATTTCGCTACCCCAACAGAGCAGCTAAAAGGAGTTCTTCCCCACCTCCCAGTATGGCTCATGCTACAGGAAAAGGTCACCAGGTACAAAGGTTGGTGGTTAAGTACTGTATCTTATGTAGGAATACAATACACCTCACCTTAATGGGGAAAACTTGTGCCCAGGTGGCCGATGTTTTTGTGAACTTCAAGATCCCTCCTGCTCTCCCTTCTTAGAGTTCTTTATCTTTTAACCCAGCTTGGCTTGGGCAGCCCTTCAAACAGAAGACTCCTAAATAACATGCAGACCTTCAAACAGAGGATTCTCCTCTGTAAAGTAGGTCATGTGGCCGCTCTACTTTATCTTCTCATCAACCTTATCAAGTAGATTAGGCCAAGAGATAGCAAATGACCTAAGTCCAGTGGTTTTTCCCCCTGGGGGGTACGCAGGGATACGCATACCCCTAAACATGTTGTGAATCTAACGGGAGAAAAAACTAAAGTTGTTAAAAATTTTAGTTTCTTCTCTAGCACGGTGAATTGTCCGTTCCATTGCTACCCCATGTTGGATTGTAAAACTTGGCCAGATAATCTGCCTTTAACCTTTGGCAAAACAGAAACAATGAACTGGTGCGACAGAGTTGGACTTCTTGATAGATAAATCCTCAGGGGTTTTTGAGAGTACTCTTCAGAAAAGAAGATTCTATCATCTCTTATGCCTCTTTTAAACATAATCAAGAACATTCCAATTTCAACAAGTGAGTGTGAACATGGCTTCTCTCAGATGAATTTAATACTGACTCCAACAAGAGCTTCATTGCATTTAAACCCTGTAGCCAACTTAATGTTTATAAAACTGGTAGGCCCTCCTTTGAGCCTTCAAGTGTATGTAAATTCATGGTTTTTGAAAGGACGACATCTGGCGACGGACATCAACAGCAAGCAGAGGAATCGGGAAGATGTTAGTGCACACAACCTCATGCCAATGTGGAAGTTACTGTGAGCTGGCAGCTGTGTAATATGAGGTAACGCATGTTCTTTGTACTTTTGTCCATTTGATGTATTTATTTTCCCAGATTTGAACTATAAAATGGTGGTTTTCTTGAGTCAAAATGAGAGAACCCCTAAACATTTTTTAGGGGGGGAAAACAAAACCACTGCCTAAGCCCATCAACTGAGTGTGGCAGAGGGGCAATTTGAACCCGGGTTTCCCTCTCTGCAGTCCTAGTCCAACACCCTAAACTACTGCACCACATGAGCTCTCAAGAGTGAAAACACTCTTCAGAGTATTTGGTAGCTTCCTCCAGAAGCTGCACATGCAAATCCCAGCTCAAGGGAACCACAACATGTTCTGCTTAATCTTGGGCACCCAAGACATCTCTCTATATTGGGACTGGAGCCAGGAGGACCCAATCCTTGGGAGATATACATGGGGAGTGGGGGGAAAGAAGACCTTGGGAGGGGAAGTAGCTATGTGATGGTTCCCAGGCACAAACTCAACAGGATGTTGGAAAGGAGGTACCAAGGGGGATAATTTGTGTGTCTTCCTCCTCCTGTTCAAAACCCATGCTCCCATGACTCCACGAGGGAGAGTTCATGGCTTTAGGAAGGATGTTAATCAAAGTCATGAATCAATACAGAGCCAGTTAAAAATAAACCAGCCTTTTCATCTTCATTTGTGAACCTAGTGCCCAGAGATAAAGTCTTTACTAGAGATCAGAACCCCACACTAAAAGGAAACACAGGAAACTATTATATAATCCTAAAAATAAATTAGGAACAGAGTTAGGAATTGGCTGACTTAGAAACGTAGGTCAAATTATTTCTCTATGCAGGCCAATAGTGTAGTGCAATGGTTAGAGCAAGGGTGGAGAACCTAAGGTCCAGGGTCCCCAGGCCTCTCTATCAGGCCCTCGGAATCTCCTGATGTCACTCTTGCCAGAAAGCATCTCCAAAAGAGACCAAGGACCAAACTATGGCCCTTTTAACTGTGTGTGGATGGGTTATTTTGTTTGTTTGTTATTATGTTGCATATTTTTGTATTCTTATATTGTAAACCGTCCTGTGATACTAGGATGAGGAGCAGTAAAATAATAATAATAATAATAATAATAATAGTAAGTTCTGAGTGTTTTGGTTCTTTCTTAAAGTTCCACGCTTGACATGCACCAGATGGGCTTCATGGCATTTCTGTTTACTTCTTGTTTGTTTACTTTATTTTTATTTTTCCAGTCCTCATGAGCACAGTGAGAGCATTAAGAATCGAGAAGGAAATATGGTCTAAAGAAACAAAGGCGTTATGATTTTTACGACTGTGTCCTGACGATGGCTCGTTTAATTTTGGGCAGGGAATTCAAACGGTCCTAGAACAGTGGGAGCCATGGGGAAAGTTATTATGAGTGATGCTTAAAATAGAAAATGAATGTGTAGCTAAGCCCTAAATTAAACTATTACATGCTAAGCCCTAAATTAAACTTTTACGTGCTAATCCAGCACTTGGTACAACAGCCACGCTCACTTTAGCCAAGGGAATTCCAGGCAGAGACACTTACCAGACCTGGGATCCACGTTGCCAAATCCTGCCCTTTGTCTCTTACGTGCTGGATGTTTTGGGTGGTCTTTTTGTATGCACGGTGGAAAGCAGTAACAGCTAAAGATCGTATCCTCCCAAAGGTGCTCAACTCACACCTCCCCGGAGGCTTGTGCACTAGAAAAGAAAAATGTGGGGAGGTGAGAATATACATGCAATCAAGGAGCAAGACCAGCGATATTAGACAAAGAGGTTAAATGCCTCTGCACTTTCTATAAGACATCAGAGCATCCCTACTAATAAACAGGAACCCAGGTGGCGCTGTGGTTTAAACCACTGAGCCGCTTGGGCTTGCCGATCAGAAGGTTGGCGGTTCGAAACCCCAAGACGGGGTGAGCTCCCGATGCTCTGTCCCTGCTCCTGCCAAACCAGCAGTTCAAAAGCACACCAGTGCAAGTAGATAAATAGGTACTGCTGCAGCAGGAAGGTAAACAGCGTTTCCGTGTGCTCTGGCTTCGGTCGTGGTGTCCCATTGTGCCAGAAGTGGTTTAGTCCTGCTGGCCACATGACCCAGAAAGCTGTCTGTGGACAAACGCCAGCTCCCTCGGCCTGAAAGCGAGATGGGCGCCACACCCCATAGCTGCCTTTGACTGGACTTAACCATCCAGGGGTCCTTTACCTTTACCTACTAATAAACAGGCCGGGTGATAGGCAGCTGATGACTAACAAATCCATTAGTTCCATCTTTATAAATATAAGTAAGATCATCTCTCCTCTTTTTGCTTCAATTTTCTTTCAAGTAGCAGACTCAGGCCTACTTTCTCAAAAATTAAATAGAATGGCAAGACAGTTTGGTGCGAGTACAGTGGTGCCTCGCAAGACGAAATTAATCCGTTCCGCGAGAGTCTTCGTCTAGCGGTTTTTTCGTCTTGCGAAGCAAGCCCATTGACGGATTAGCGCTATTAGCGCTATTAGCGGTTTAGCGGCTATTAAAGGCTTAAAGGCTTAGGGGATTAGCTGCTAAAAGGCTATTAAAGGCTATTAAAGGCTTAGCAGATTAGATAAAGGGGGGGAAAAGCGAAAAAAAAATATCAAGACTCGCAAGACATTTTCGTCTTGCGAAGCAAGCCCATAGGGGAATTCGTCCTGCGAAGCAACTCCAAAACGGAAAACCCTTTCGTCTAGCGGTTTTTCCGTCTTGCGAGGCATTCGTCTTGCGGGGCACCACTGTATAAGCTACACCTTACACTTCCACAGTAGCTGTCAAAGGTGACAGTTTTAAATTAAGGTTAAAGAAATTTTAGGCTGCAATCCTATACACGCTTTCTTGGGAATAAGTCCTATTGAACTTGAAAGAATTGACTTCTAGCTGGACATGCATAAGGTTGCATAGTTAACCAATCCATCAGACTAGTTTTAATGAACTAATCAAAGAATGACATCTGCATAATCTTGCCCATTCATTAATTCCCCCAGCTTTTTAGGGCAGTTCACATAAAAACTGGCATAGGGCATACAGTCTCATTCCCTCTGGTTCCCTTTGGACAATCTGTTTATTGCACAAAGCTTCCATAGAGGTTAGAATATGTCCATTCTTTATTGAGCATCCATCTTTATTTGTTTGCTTGGAAGTTCTACATCTTTCTGTCAATCGATTGTTTATCTCACACTTCTTTTTTTCGTTCATTTCCCAGTTACTTTCCTTTCTGCAAAAAGTCTGTTGTAGATGTTGTCAAAAGTGTATTTGTTGTGGCAGAGCACCAGAGCCTTGTTTCAGAAACTGTGAATTAGGCAGGTTCACCATTAAATGTGAATGGAATCAAATTTATCCCGCATCCTTACCGTCACCCACAGTTTTAAAAACAACTGATGTTAAAAATAATTAATATTTTAGATCATATGCTGCTGGTTAATCAAGATTGTCTTTTTTGGTATTCCATTTATAAGGGATTGTCTTGAAATCAATGATGTTCTTGTACTGGCAGAAAGGTTCCTTTGATTCTGTGGAGGGTTCCATCAGTGGAACACGGAGGGCAGCTATTTTTCCTGACTCACCCTCCCCTCTACAGCCCTCTGCCAACTCCCATGATGCCCTGAAGGGTAAACTCCCCCTCTCTGGAGAAGGTTGGAGGAAATCGGGGTGATGGAGGGGGTACAGAGGGGAGAGTGAATATGGAAACATTGCCTGCCTTCCCCATTCTGCTGATAGAAGGTTCCACGATCAAAGACCCTTCCATCATCCAAGTGATAATATTGGATAGAACTCCCAGTTTTTAATTAGTTTAAGGGTTTAACCCAGTCTTAATGACTTGCTGCTAAGCAGAAAAAAATGGTGCTTGTAATTTCAGCTAACAATACTCTGTCTCAATGGCCATGTTACCTCAGTTTTTTTTATTATTAATTTCAGATGGGACATGTTAAGCAATTTGCAGTATGAGTTTCTGTTAAAAAGAAATAATCAACTGTGGTTTGAATCCAAATAGTTCCATGAAGTAACCCCCGAGTACTGGAAACAGAAGCACCTCCAGTGCCACCTTGTGGAAATTACTGAATTCCCATATGCAATACATAGTAGGAAAGGGCTGTAGCCCAGTGATAAGAGCCTCTGCTTTGCATGCAGAAGGCCTCCGGTTCAATACCTGACATCTACAGGAAGGGCTGGGAGAGACCCCTGCAGGAACCCCTAGTAAAAGTCATTGCAAGCTAGGTGAACTTTCTAGACAGTAGAAAGCAGTTTTCTTTGTTTCTATTTGGGGATTGGCAACATTGGGGACATGGGTGGCATTGTGGGTTAAACCACAGAGCCTAGGACTTGCCGATCAGAAGGTCGGTGGTTCGAATCCCCACGATGGGGTGAGCTCCCACACGTCAAAGTGCAAGTAGATAAATAGGTACCACTCCGGCGGGAAGGTAAACGGCATTTCCGTGCGCTGCTCTGGTTTGCCAGAAGCGGCTTAGTCATGCTGGCCACATGAATCAGAAAGCTGTACACCGGCTCCCTCGGCCAATAAAGCAAGATGAGCGCCGCAACCCCAGAGTCGGTCACGACTGGACCTAATGGTCAGGGGTCCCTTTACCTTTAACATTGGGGAACATGTGTGGATAATCCACCACAAATTCACCACCTCCGTTTTTGCAACACCAGGGCTGCTTTGTTATCTTTTGGCATTTCTGCGACCTAACCTCAGCTAGGGTTGCCATATGTCCTCTTTTTTCTAAGACACGTCCTCTTTTTCAGGGGCATGTAAAATGAGAATCATCCTAGTGATCCATAGTTCAAAGTAAAAGTTGGCAAACGCGTCCTCTTTTTTGCTCTTCAAAATAGGGCAACCCTATGACCCACCCATAAAATCAGGTACAGTGGTACCTCAGGTTACAAACACCTCAGGTTACAGACTCTGCTAACCTGGAAGTAGTACCTCGGGTTGAGAACTTTACCTCAGGATGGGAACAGAAATCATGCGGTGGCAGCGGGAGGCCCCATTAGCTAAAGTGGTACCTCAGATTAAGAACGGTTTCAGGTTAAGAACGGACCTCCGGAACGAATTAAGTTCGTAACCATAGGTACCACTGTAATGGTATTAAGCAGCGCCAGATTTAGAGTGATGCAGACAGTTTCCCCTCACAGGGCGTCAAGCCGACGGAGTTGCAAGACTGAGAAGATCTCTAATTGAGAAGATCTCAAATTTTGGCCTGGCACAGGGCGCCATATTACGAAAGATTACCAAAGTCTGTCCCTGTATTAACTAACCTGACTCATGCTCAGTTTTTGGTAGGAAGAAGTCCACCAGCTTCTCCAGTTTGCCAATGGCCGCGTCTACTCCAGCTTCAGCCAGCTGGCTCACTCGACTGGTCCTGGCATACTCTGCTGCGTCCTTCAAGCTACCCTTGGGCTGCTTGCAGCTTTTGACACCCAGTCCCATGACTCGGTCTAAGGTGTGCATAACTGAGCGCATAGCACTTTGCATGTAAGTTACGATGGAGTCCTTTAGATCAGATGTAACCTAAAGCAGAAGGAGATAACAGAGAAGAAGATTGTTATTTTACTTTTTTTTAAAGGGTGCTTACCTGTCTGTCACTATAACGTTTCAGGGCAGGTTACAACAACATAATGTATACTGATATGAAATCAAATAAAACTATTACAGTTATAAAGGTAAAACACAAAACTCTTATAATGGCTGAAACACGACAGAATAGATTCAACTGAAGAAGTGTGTCCCTGATCTACACACATGCAAGATGAAAACAAAGAGAGAATTAGTACAGAAACAACAAGTAAGGATTTAAAGGGGAGAGGCAAGGAACTGGGAGACCACATTTGTTTTTGCTTTTGCTGTATCAGATATTGCTAAGTATACAGGCAGGAATTGAAAACTAGACAGCTGAGGGAGAAGGAGAAAGAATTAAATTGGAAGATGTGAAGTTCAAGATTAGATATAAGGGTTGAAATGTGAATTGGAATATAAAGCAGTAAATAGGAAATTATAGGGACAGAACTACCGAAAATGTATAGTAACTTATTCATGTATGCAATTACAGTGGCAAGAATGTTACTTGTCCCCAGATGGAAAGAAGCAGAAGTCCCAGCAAAGGAAGAATGGATACAAAAACTTATGGAATATGCAAAAATGGCAAAACTTACCAGAATAAGAAGAAATCAAGATAACAATTTTTTATATACAAAAGAATGGAAATTGTTTATTGAATATTTAAATTATAAACCGATAAAAAATTGGCAGGATTATTGTAATAACCTGCAGTTTTATAAGAGTATATATTTAAGAAGATGAACAAATGAGTAAATCAAGTCACCGTATTTTTCACTCTGTTAGACGCACCGGACCATAAGACGCACCGCCCGCAAAAGCCAGGGATAGCCACGCGAAGCCTCCGCAGGGCAGCGGGATGAAGGCTCCCCGCTGCCCTGTGGAGGCTTCGCGCCGCTAAGGCAGAAGCTAGAACAGCTAGAGGGAGCACTGCACAGCGCTCCCTGTAGCTGTTCTGGCTTCGCAGGCTGCCCCAGAGCTGCTCAGGAGCACAGGGCATCTGAGCACAGCCTGCCTGCTGCTCCCAGGGCTGGAGGGGGAAGCCTGCGTTTCCCCCGCCAGCCCCAAAGAGCAGCTCAGGAGCGTGCCACACTCTGGCAATTTAGCTCCAGGGCCCCCACATTCACTCCATAAGATGCACAGACATTTCCTCTTAGTTTTTAAGAGGAAAAAAGTGAGTCTTACGGAGCAAAAAATACAGTAATTTGGATATGCAGAAGGTATTAAAAACAAATTTAAGGAACTGCAGAAAGAGGGGGAAGTCAAGTTTTGAAATGTCAAAATGATTGTAAAGTTAGTGAAATGTATAAAACGAGTGAAATGTATAAACTTGAAAAGTATAAACAAACAAACAAACAAATAAAAATGGAAAAAAGCAGTAAATAGGGAGAAGTAGGGACACACCTAGGAAGAAGAATGGGAAGTCATCTTATTTGAAAAAAATGTAGTACATTTGATGTAATATGGTATTGATTGGTTGAAATCTGGAAAACGATTAAAAACTATTTGGGAAAAGATGAAGTGGGTCCCACACAACAAAATATCTTAAAAGTCAAAGGCTGGGCAAAGAGGTGCATCTTAACAACATTTGAATGAGCTGGCTTTCTACATTTTTACCTAGACTTTAGGCCTCATCCAGCAAAGCAGTCTCATAACTTACTTTCTCCACTGGCTGGTTGAGGGCAGGAATCTTCTGTTCCAAATGGTCCAGACCTCGACAAGTCAGGATGTTGGCTGCTGCAACTGAATCAAGGAGGATACAGATACTAACACAGTTCTAGGGCAGAGCCAGGGTGAAGGAGCAAGCTGTAAATTGGTTGATTCAATCAGTCCATGCACAACACACACTTAACGATTTCTAAACAAGTCAAATTCCAAGTCCAGCATCCAAATTCTCCATCTCTGCATCATACCCTCCAACATTTCTCCAATGAAAACAGGGACGTCCCATTCCATAAAGATAATTTTACTGTTTACACCCCACACATCTTACTGGGTTGCCCCAGCTACTCTGTGCAGCTTCCAGCATATATAAAAATGTAATAAAACATTTAGCATTTAAAAACACCTTCCCTATACAGGATTGCCTTGAGACGGCTTGGGAGTTGAATAACTCCATACGCTCCAACATTTCTCCAATGAAAATAGGGACATCCTAAGAAAAAGTGGGACATTCCGGGATCAAATCAGAAACATGGAAAATAGGAACACTTGGAGCGTCTGTTGCATATTGTGAACAGGAGGCTTTTGTTTGACCCTGGTAAAGGTAAAGGTAAAGGTACCCCTGCCCGTACGGGCCAGTCTTGACAGACTCTAGGGTTGTGCGCTCATCTCACTCTAGAGGCCGGGAGCCAGCGCTGTCCGCAGACACTTCCGGGTCACGTGGCCAGCGTGATGAAGCTACTCTGGCGAGCCAGAGCCACACACGGAAACGCCGTTTACCTTCCCGCTAGTAAGCGGTCCCTATTTATCTACTTGCACCCGGGGGTGCTTTCGAACTGCTAGGTTGGCAGGCGCTGGGACCGAGCAGTGGGAGCGCACCCTGCCGCGGGGATTCGAACTGCCGACCATGGTGGTTTGACCCTGGTGCCTGGCTATAATTGCTATATCTCATAAAGGTAAAGGGACCCCTTACCATTAGGTCCAGTTGTGGCTGACTCTGGGATTGTGGCACTCACCTCGCTTTATTGGCCGAGGGAGCCGGCGTACAGCTTCCAGGTCATGTGGCCAGCAGGACTAAGCTGCTTCTGGCAAACCAGAGCAGCACACGGAAACGCCGTTAACCTTCCCGCTGGAGTGGTACCTATTTATCTACTTGCACTGTTACGTGCTTTTGAACTGCTAGGTGGGCAGGAGCAGGGACCGAACAACGGGAGCTCACCCTGGCGCGGGGATTCGAACCGCCAACCTTCTGATCAGCAAGTCCTAGGCTCTGTGGTTTAACCCACAGTGCCACCCGCGTCCCTTCCTATATCTAATACTTGCTTGTTAAAGTTGAAAGCACAAAGGAGGTGTGTGTGTTGTAGTGGGACGGGGACCCTGCACACAATTCCTCACTCCCAGGGTCTTCCTTCCACATCCTCGGAGCTATATAAGAAACATGTGGCAGAGAAGCCATCTTTGTTTTATTATGTGTTTTCCTGGTTCATGTACAAAGCAAGGTGGCAGGGGAAGATCTAATTTTATAATGAAAAGAGAGAAGTGAAAAGCACAATCCTTCTGTTCTGCTGCCTGACCTTCCATGACACATTTCATCCAAAAGCATTTCAATTATAGCTGAGCCGACAGAGCCGGCCCTATCATTAGGAACAGAGAGGCGAATGCCTCGGGCTGCTGGTTTTGGGAGTCCTGAAAGGAGAGAAATGTTTATTTCATTTATTATTTGTGTGTGTGTGTGTGTTTGTTTGTTTGTTTGTGTGTGTGTGTTTTAGTGTGAGACATGTGAAGAGGTGCTTGTAGGACATTTTCCCTCAAAAGAAACTTAGCTGAAACTTATGCACCTTGATTTGAGCAGATGTTTGTCTGCACACATGTGTATCACTGTTGCGCTAACCCAGGCAGCAAAATTTGTGGGCCTGCTGCCCTTAGTTACAGTGGAGGAAGCTGTTCCCTCACCATTGTGGAAACTGGATTCAACTGCCATTCCTGTTGGCTTCTGTCATGGCGCCATATTTCCCTTTCCCTGGCCTTGTCATGGTGAACCCACACAGGATTTTGTGGTCCCATTATCCGCCTGAGAATGTATGGGGCCAATCCAGGCCAGGAATTAAACAAATGCACTTGTTTCCTTTGTGTCATTTCCAGCCCTCAAACAATACAGTATTTACATCAGGGGTGGGGAACACTTTTTTGCCTGAGGGCCAAGTTCCCTCCAGGGTAACCTTCCAAGGGCCACATCCTGGTGGTGGAAAAGGCCAGAAGCAAAAATGGGTGATGATGTGAATGTAAATTTCACCTTTGTAAAAGGTAAAGGGACCCCTGACCATTAGGTCCAGTCATGGCCGACTCTGGGGTTGCGGCGCTCATCTCGCTTTATTGGCTGAGGGAGCCGGTGTACAGCTTCCAGGTCATGTGGCCAGCATGACTAAGCCACTTCTGGCAAACCAGAGCAGCGCACGGAAACGCCGTTTACCTTCCCGCCAGAGCGGTACCTATTTATCTACTTGCACTTTGACGTGCTTTCGAACTGCTAGGTTGGCAGGAGCAGGGACCGAGCAACGGGAGCTCACCCCGTCGTGGGGATTCGAACCACTAACCTTCTGATCAGCAAGTCCTAGGCTCTGTGGTTTAACCCACAGCGCCACCCACATCCCTTCCCCCTTTGTACAGTAGGGCTAGTTTCTACACCCAACCATACACTCCTCTCCATCCTCTACCCAAACAAGCAAGAGGTGTTAGAAAGGTTCAAGGCCAAATTACAGCCAGGCAAGAAGCGTCAGGGTGCAAAGCTGTGGGTGTGGCTGAGGGAGAGTTCCGGGGGCCAGATAGAGATGCCTGGAGAGCCACATTCCCCCCCCCCCGGCCAGAGATCCCCCACTTTTGACTTACGTTGAGGTTCCAGCTTCTTCACCACAGGCTTCACGCTCGATGCAGCTATGGAGCCGGCATTCTGGAGGCCTCGCTCATAAGCCCCACACACGGACGCCATCAGGGGATGAACTTCTTTGGTGACGGAATATGCCTTCTGGAGGTTGCTGCATGCTGAATTGACCACCGGTAGGTGCAAGACCCTCTGCAATGCATTATCATTTCCCTGTTGGGGAAGGAAGGTAAGGGACTAAGACTGGGAAGGCTTCCAGGTTCAATTCCTCAAACACTCATCCTGGCCTACCTCACAGGGTTGTTGTGAAGCAGTCATATACAATGAGTTCATTGGAGAAAAGGCAGTAAATACAGTATTGACCTGAATATAAGCCTCATTCCTCCCCAAATTCCAACCGTGAAAAGTTAAAGTGCGGCTTATATTTGCGACCTTGATGTATGCGTCCAGGAGCGCTGGGCAAACAGTGCCAGGAGCTCAGCAAAGCGGCGCCCGCCCCACATGTAGTCTCCCATCCTTTCCCCCAAGGCAGGGAAGGGAGAGAGCGAGGAAGGGGAAAGGCCGCCGGCAACACAGCGTGGCTCCCCCCACCCCAAGTATGCAGCCAGGAGCAGCAAGGAATAAAGTGGCTTCTATTTGGGTATTATTATTATTTTCTCTCTCCCCCTCCCTTAATTTGTGGCTTATATTCGGGTGCGGCTTATATTTGGGCCAATACAGTAAACACAATGAATGAATGAATGTAGAAGGTTGAGGGCAATTTAAAAGGTAAAGGTAAAGGGACCCCATTAGCTCCAGTCGTGGCCGACTCTGGGGTTGTGGCACTCATCTCGCTTTATTGGCCGAGGGAGCTGGCTTACAGCTTCTGGCTCATGTGGCCAGCAGGACTAAGCTGCTTCTGGTGAACCAGAGCAGCGCACGGAAATGCTGTTTACCTTCCCGCCAGAGCGGTACCTATTTATCTACTTGCACTTTGACGTGTTTTCGAACTGCTAGGTTGGCAGGAGCAGAGACCGAGCAACGGGAGCTCTCACCGTCGCAGGGATTTGAACCGCCAACCTTCTGATCGGCAAGTCCTAGGCTCTGTGGTTTAACCCACCCGAGGGCAGTTTAGGAACAACATTTGTCCCACAAGTGACTGGAGCTTTGTCAGGCCAGCAGTAACATTTGTGCAAGCTGCTTCAATCATTCTGCAGACTTGGAAAGTTCAAGGTTGCTTCTGAAGGAGCCTGTGTTTCAAAATGCACTGAGCCGTCATAAATCCTCTCTCTTTAGGGAACAAGTTTCTCCATCTTGATTTCTACCCACGCACTTACCTTAGGGGTTCCGTTCTGCATTAGCTGCTTGCTTTTGGCTGCCATCCTTGCATTAGCCTGTAAACTAAAGTGCAAAGAACAAATTAATCCGCAGCGCAAAGGCAAGAGATTCTTCCCGTGTGGTTTCTTCGGAAGCCCTCGGAAGAGTCTAAGCTTGTACAATCCTGGAACTTCAACCCTGACACAGGAAAAGCGGCTTTGGGTGCCAGGACTCAGTGAGGAAAACAGCTGTCTTGGGGATCTTTACATATAATTACACATGCAATAAACGTGCAATTATCCCTCGAACAATGTGGGAAACACAGTTTATTTTTTTCTCATGCTCTCAAGTACACATTACATATGCATTAAGAAATTTAAAGTTGCAGTTATTCCCTGTTAATAGAATCAAAAGCAGCCCTTGGGGAGGGACAGGTTTGTTTATTTCTTTCTTTTTAAAAATAAATAAATATAGCTTTATTGATTTCCAGTATATAACAACAATTACAAAATACATGCATTTTAATTCTATCTTAATAGATATATATTTTTGCACCCATTACTTGCACTGCAAAATACAGAGCAGTGAGAACGCTGAAGGAAAGCTGTGTTTCGTTTTGCATGTTATTTCAGTAAGTGAAATGCAATGCAAAGCGAATAAAAAATTCTCACCCATTCCTGCTCACAATTTTTGCTTCCTTCCTGAATTTTGGTACAATCAACATTTTACCTTTCTTTTCTTTTTTTAACCACTCAGTGCTGAATTTGTGACAGGCTAAGTTCTCAAACATCTTTTTTTTTATTTTAGTGGAATATCTAAATAAAAAGATGCATCTGAGCATAAGAAAGTAAGACAATTCTGCTGGATCAGACCACAGCCACATATGGTCCAGTATCCGGTTTTCATAGTGGACCACCAAATGCCTCTGGGGAGCCTGAAAAGATTGCAGCCTTAATCTACATTGCTCCAGGAAAGAGTCTCCAGAAGTCACATATATCAGCATCTCCTCTATATAGGTGTCTTTTTGCAATAACTAAATTAGAACGGTACTCACCGGCTTCACAAGTCAAACCGCCTTTAGCAAGGTGCCAGAAGTGGAGAACATGCAGCAGTGCTGTCTCAACTCTGACAGAGACAAGTCTTGCCCCAGACAGTAACGCAAGCAAGCCCCACCTTCCAGCTAATAGGGTCAGGGGTCTTGCCAAGCTGCTGTGGAAATTGGGCAAAAGAGCTTCCTTGTATTCTGTAAAACTCAGGCGGATGCCCGAAACATTGCCCAACTGTGATCTTCAAATGGCCAAATCTGCAAGAGGCAAATCATACATCCAAAGGGACAAATTATATCCCCTTGGGTCAGAGTCTCCAGATCTTCAGAAAGCACCTAAACCTTTTTTAAAAAAAAAAATTCAGGTGCTTTCAGGGAATGCACTGCCAGTTCCCCTTCTGGGATATCTTTCTGTCTCTGGCTTCCTTGCTTAAAAAGTGCTCAAGTTAATGTGTACATTTTTGGTTACATTCCATAAGCACCTGAAGCTCAAATTGCATTCTAATTGTGCCTTGTAATATATCAACGGCTGACAGTGTGATTATGAATATACGTAGGAGTAGTAAGAGCTGAATTATATTGTTGCTGTTGAGCACAGGGGTGGTCCGTGCTTAAGGCAAGGTGAAGCCATTTGCTTCAGGGGGCGGATCTGAGCCCTGCTCTTGCTGTTGTGCTGCCAGCCCTGCTGGGGATTCGTCCAAACCAAGCATAGGCAAACTCGGCCCTCCAGATGTTTTGGGACTACAATTTCCATGATCCCTGACCACTGGTCCTGTTAGCTAGGGATGATGGGATGACATCCTGTGTGCCCTGGGTACTTATGGAGTAGTTGGGAGATGAGGCTAATATGAATGTCTCTATAGTATAGGCACTGGAGAAAATTAATAATAATAATAATAATAATAATAATAATAATAATAATATATTCCCTGCCCATCTGGCTGGGTTTCCCCAGCAACTCTGGGTGGCTTCCAACAAAATATTAAAAATACAATAAAGCATCAGATGCTAAAAACTTCCCTAAACAAAGCTGTCTTCAGAAGCACATGCTCTAGCCAGTGTTTCTATTTGTATAACAATTTAAACAGCCATGGCTTCCTCCCTCTCAAAATCCTGGGGAATGCAGTTTGCTCCAGGTTCTGAGAACTGGTAGGAGACCCCCTATTGCCCTCCTAGAGCTCCAGTTCCCAGAGTTTCCTGTGAAAATGGATTGTTAAATCACTCTGCAAATGGTAGCATAGGGGTTTCTTACCAGTTCTCCGGAATCCATAACGAACTACAGTCCCCCATTTTTTTGCAGGGAAGCCAAAACTGTTTCAAGTGGTATGATACTGCTTTAAATGCATAGTGCAGATGGGACCCACCAGTGGTCTCAGACCAGGCATTTTGGTAACAGGGCCTAGACTTTATTTCCAGCGTCAACTGGCCCTTCAAACCAGCCCGTGTCTCTGCATGACTTTCTCCTCCTCCTCCTCCTTCCTCAAATCCATTGTTGCCACAAATATAGGTGAAGAAGCAAAGCTGCTGCAACCAAGTGGAAATTATTTCCTTAGGTCTGGGAATTAATCATTCGTCTCCACAGACAGAAGTCCAAAGTGCAGCAGTTGCTCCCCAACAGCGGGCTGGGCACTTGGCAAAGGAAACTCTGCTTGGCATAGATGACAAGAGAGAGAGAGAGAGAGAGAGAGAGAGAGAGAGAGAGAGAGAGAGACCAGCCACCGTCCCACAGCACAAGTGCTCCTTGTCCTAGACTGAAATGGGGTTAAATCAGACCACTTGGTTTTCAGCCCAATGAAACACATGCACAGAAAGAAAATGCACAGCAGCCGTAAATCCTGGCTTTGCACTTTGAAGCAAGTAGCTCCCATTCCCCACCTTGTTACACTTTCAGACTCCCATCCACAGACCCACACAGGATAGTTATTTCCAGTGCTTTTTTCGGGGGTGGGGAGAGACTCAAGGGTACGCATACCCTTAGTATGAATAGTATGAACATAGTATGAATCTTTGTACTTTTGTCCATTCACTGTACAGTGATACCTTGGTTTACAACTGTAATCTGTTCCGGAGGTCCGGTTGTAAACCAAAACAGGTTGTAACCCAAGTCGCGTTTTCGCCAATGGGGCCTCCAAAAGAAAATATAATGGATTGTAATCCCAAAAAAATGGGTTGTAATCTAAAAAAAGGGACACCCACTTCAGGGTTTGACGTGGTTGTAATCCAAAATGGTTGTAATCCAAAATGGTTGCAAACCAAGGTACCACTGTATTTATTCCCTCCGATTTGAACTATAAAATGGTGATTTTCTTGAGTCAAAATGAGAGTACCCCTAAACATTTCTTTAAAGAAAAAAAGAAAGCGCACTGGCTATTTCTGATTTAAAATAGCTACCATAAGATCAAAGCGTTGTGGGTGATTGTATCTTCAGGACTGCCATTAAGGAAGTGTCAAGTGCAGGGTTGAGGGCTCCTGTTCAGCATTTCTGCCAGCCCTGCCCGTTTCCAGGATACGCCATTCTTCCTCCCTCTTGTTATTCCATTCCCATTGAACCGTTGGTCAGTATTGTATGGCCACTGAGCATTCTCAGCCCTCCATGGGCTGCTGCTTCATCTTTTGGAGTGCGGGGAGAGGTTGCACCCTTAATCTTTTCCCCTGAAGATGTTCTGCATTTCAGAGTTCACCAGGGCAAGCTGTCACCTCTCTCTCGTTTCTCCCTTTTGGCCACAATCCTGTCAGACAACCAGCCGCAAAAGCGGGAAAGTACAAATGGCAGGCAAATGAATAAAATAAACTAGGGGCTGAAAACAAAATTTATTCTGGGCTCAACATGGTTCAGAACAAGTCCTTCCTCAGGGAGACATTTGGACCTGGAATAAATTTCGTGCCAAGCACATGAGAGTTACCCCTTCACTGTCTCTGTCTCTCCTTGCCTACAGTCCTGCCAGTGCTCGCCAGCTAAGTTTACAGGAACACCAGAAGAAGCTGCAGGTCTCAGCCAGGGAGTTTTATCCCAACCCTACCTGGAGATAGGGATGCGGGTGGCGCTGTGGGTTAAACCACAGAGCCTAGGACTTGCCGATCAGAAGGTCGGTGGTTCGAATCCCCGCGACGGGGTTGCTTCGTCCCTACTCATGCCAACCTAGCAGTTCGAAAGCACATCAAAGTGCAAGTAGACAAATAGGTGCCACTCCGGTAGGAAGGTTCTCCAGAAGTGGCTTAGTCATGCTGGCCACATGACCCGGAAGCTGTACGCCGGCTCCCTCAGCCAATAAAGCAAGATGAGTGCCGCAACCCCAGAATCGGTCACGACTGGACCTAATGGTCAGGGGTCCCTTTACCTTTACCTTTACCTGGAGGTACTGGGGATTGAACCTGCAACCTTCTGCATGCAAGGCAGACGCGCTTCCACTGAGCCATGGCCCTTTCATGTGAAGGGAACTATTCAAATGAATGATGTGCTGCTTCTTCCCCTTCCAACATGCAAACACTGGCTGTTATACCGTTCTCTTGTTCTGTTTGAGACAAGAGCAGAACACTTGATTGACTCGTCTTATTGTACAACACTGCCGTCCTACACATTCTTGCCTGCAATTAGGTCTGCGAGATGGATGCAGTGAGACCCGCTAAACTCAAATAGTGGAATATAAACAGCTGAAGAATAGGCTTTAAAATTCAAGAGCTTCACAGGAGCGCTGCTAGGTGCCACATCACGGTTTATCAATGAAGCTGCAGAACAGTTAGGATGGGGAACCTGTGGCCCCTCCAGATGTTGCTGGACTCCAACTCCCATCAGACCCAGCAAACATGGTCACTGGTCAGCAGTGATGGAAGTTGTAGTTCAAGAACATCTGGAAGACCACAGGTTCTCCATCCCTGTTCCAAGGCCTGAATTCATAGGGGTGAGCTGGTGCTTAAACCACATTTTACCACCTAAAGTAGCCTTACACAACCTTGGGTCCCCAGATCTTGTTGGACTACAACTCCCATCATCTGTAGCTAGCAGGACCAGTGGGGAGGGATGATGGGAGTTGTAGTCCAACAAGATCTGGGAACTCAAGGTTGAGAAAGGCGGACCTACATTATTCAGTTCCAACCACCTTTGAATGTATGTTGCAAAGCTGAAAGAAGGCTGAAATGTCCTCTAAGATGGTTTTACAAGAAGCAATAAAAAATTGGAAGCAGCAGGGGATCTGCTTTTTGATGTGACAATCTGGAGGCTGACAGACATCTTGCTGAATCAGATTGTTCTTGAGAGATTCCACAGGAATTCATTCCTCTTAAGGTCTGGTTAGGCTGCAAAGCCAGCAGCTGGGTGAAGTTTTATAGCTGAACAGTGAAGTACACATTGCAAGGCTCCATTCTTGTATTCCATTTTTAGAAAGGAACAAACACCAATTTCTCTATCAGTGACTTTTTTCACCTACCATGTGCAAACCAAACACAAGACTCAAATTCAAACTCAGAAGTTTACAATTGCTTTTCTTTTTTTTCTGGAAAAAATGAAAGTACAGTATAGCAGCTTTTATTCCAGATAATGTGATATTCAAGGTGATGGGTGCTCTTTAAAATTCATGTTATTAAACTTGTTAGTTGCTCATTGCAGAAAAAGGTCACAAAGCATCTTACAACATATTCAAAATATTAGCATAAGTTAAAATCTCTTATAATATAAACACCGTTAAAAAATTCCCAATATGCAAGATTAAAAGGCACCAAGAAAAGGATTCCACCCTGTCCCAAGTCACACAAATATGGCTTAATTTCATAGCTTTTAGAAATCCTAATGTGTGAGCTCCCAACAGTTTACTCCCAGATTTTAGTCTTAAAAATGAGCTTTTTCAATACAGTATCTTCTTTTGGAGGGCGATTCTGACGGCACCTGCTAGCATTGCCCAACAGCCCTAATCTCATGAGCCAGAAATACATCTCATTACTTTCATCAGAATTCTGTTGAACACAAGAAGACAATGCATTTCTAGGTCATGAGTTAATGTCTGTTAGGCTTACAGGTGCAGTCAAAAGCATCCTCGGCAAAAGGGAACAGTTACAGAATATTAAGAGAGTAAGAAGCAGGAAAACTAGAATCGTTGGGTTGGAAAGGACCCCAAGGGTCATGCGGGAAGCACAGCTAAAGCATCCCTGATAGATGACCATACAACCTCTATTTAAAATCTTACAACGAAGGGGAGTCCACCACCTTCTGAGACCAGACAACCTAGACTCTTGTTTGCTTATTTCATTTGCCCGTCCCTCCAAGAAGCTGTACACTGGATTGCCTAACAACCACCCTGCAAAGTAGGGGTGTGGTTTTTTTGGCGGCGGGGGGGGGGGAGGGGGAGAATTAATGACTTGCTAAAACTCTGAAACCTGCAGGCTTGTATTAGAAATGGAATTCCATAGTCAACTTGCATCCTCTACACCAAAAGAGCCGGGCTCTTAAAGTATCCAAGGTAAAGGGACCCCTGACCATTAGGTCCAGTCGTGGCCGACTCTGGGGTTGTGGCGCTCATCTTGCTTTGTTGGCCGAGGGAGCTGGCGTACAGCTTCCTGGTCATGTGACTAATCTGCCTGCTTCTGAGCAGCGTAAACCAGAGCAGCGCATAGAAACGCTGTTTACCTTCCCGCCGGAGCAGTACCTATTTATCTACTTGCACTTTGACGTGTTTTCGAATTGCTAGGTTGGCAGGAGCAGGGACCGAGCAACGGGAGCTCACCCCGTCGCGGGGATTCGAACTACCAACCTTCTGATTGGCAAGCCCTAGGCTCTGTGGTTTAACCCACAGCGCCACCTGCGTCCCCTTAATGTATCCTATTACACCCTTAATTTTCAAAACCAAACCAAAACCTACTGCCGCCTGGAAGTTTGTGTGTGTGTGTGTGTGTGTAGGGGAGAACCACGAAGCTCAGATAATGCTAAGATTGCTTGCTCAGAACCTTACAAAATTGCTGGCAACATTGCACAATGTTCTCCCGTCTCAAGCCACCCAGCTTGTTCCTCGGGCCTTTCTCCAACTACAGCTGACCTATGGTTTCCTTTTGTTGCAAAGCAACCCCTTCCTTTTGTTGTAAAGCAAGTTGTGCCTTAACTCAGATTCATCTGTGTGCATACACTGCACCCCCACATGCCCCCCCCACAAGGGGGCAGGGAAACACAAACAAAGCATTCACCCAGTGACATTTGGAAAAAGTGATTTTCCCACTACCATAAGCAACAAGAAAGGCAGTGCTATCTGAGAAAGTAAGGCATATTCTGTGCTAGGCCTGGCATCCCTATATGTTCGGAGGCTGGGAGTGAGAATCTGCAGACTGGCCAGGATAAATATGGGCCAGGAGGTAGCCCTATAAAGAACATGCACAGAATTCCTGGATACCTGCAATTGCATACAGTTGTACCTTGGTTTTCAAACAACTTAGTTCTTGAAAGGTTTGGCTCCTGAATGCCGCAAACTCGGAAGTGACTGTTCCAGTTTGCGAACTATTTTTGGAAACCAAACGTCCGAAGGGGCTTCCGTTTGGCTGCAAGAGATTTCTGCAGCCAATTGGAAGCCGAGCTTTGGTTTCCAAACGTTTTGGAAGTCAAACGGACTTTTGGAACGGCTTCCGTTCGACTTCCAAGGTACAACTGTATTTGGGCAGTCATAGAGTCCATAAAGGGACTCAGGTGGTGCTGTGGGTTAAACCACAGAGCCTAGAGCTTGCCGATCAGAAGGTCGGCGGTTTGAATCCCCGTGACGGGGTGAGCTCCCGTTGCTCGGTCCCTGCTCCTGCCAACCTAGCAGTTCGAAAGCACGAAGTGCAAGTAGATAAATAGGTACTGCTCTGGCGGGAAGGTAAATGGCATTTCCGTGCACTGCTCTGGTTCTCCAGAAGCAGTTTAGTCATGCTGGCCACATGACCCGGAAGCTGTACACCGGCTCCCTCGGCCAGTGAAGCGAGATGAACGCTGCAACCCCAGAGTCGTTCGTGACTGAACCTAACGGTCAGGGGTCCCTTTACCTTTTTTAGAGTCCATATCAAGAGTCAGTAGCCACACTGTTTCCCACAACACATTTTTCTGCCTCCCCCCCATGCCTTCACATCTTTTGGGTGCAGGGAGAAGTTCCCCACTCTCCAAAGAGTCAAATGGTTTCATCATAGTATGCATACTCATGTCATTATACAAAAGGTGAACTAGGTTTTGCACTTTTATATATTCTGTTTGACTGGAAGCAGCATTTGGATAAAATGAAGTTGTACACACAACAGTCTTCTTGTTGTTGGGGTTTTTTTACAAGGCTTTGCTTTCCCACTATAGCCTCTAGTCAAACAGCTTGGCAAGTTTTTGAAGCGATTAAAAAACAAAACAAAAAAACTTGCAAAACTAGATCAGATGTGAAAGCGCCCATAGCCTGAGATGTGACTCCTCTGATAGCTCAGTTGGCAGAGCACAAGACTCTTAATCTCAGGGTCATGGGTTCAAGGGCGAAAGAATCCTGAATTGCAGGGGGTTGGACTTGATGACCCTCATGGTCCCTTCCAACTCTACAATTCCGTGATTCTATGATTCTAAACCAACTTCAGTTCTCCAGCGAAAGATAAACTGGGTGGTATTCAACAAGACTTCAGTGTAAGGATTAGGGCTAGAGGATTCTACACCCCCCCCTCACCATTCCCAAATCTGCTCTGGAAGGTTAGGGAAAGCCCCCAGAATAGGTTTCAAGAGTGAGCAGGGGAGGAGAGGGGGAGATCAGAATATCTGTTTAGTGCTACATTGGACATAACCCGCTGACTGCCCTCAGCCAAAGTCTCTTGAGGGCCACGGGCCATTTTTTTCTACATTCAGACCCAAATCTTGACTGTACAATTTCACATTCTTTGTTACATAGTTCCGAAGTCATTTCCTTCAGTCTTTCCTAGAGCTGGATTTAGGTTTGATGAGGCCCTAAGCTACTGAAGGTAATGGGGCCTTTTATATGTCCAGCTGTCCTTTGTCAACAACAAATTGTCGCTGTTTTTTGTGTCGAATAGATGCTATATGTTAATTTATGGACCTAATAGGTATCTAAAGCTATTTGCACATAACAAAGTATGTATTTTATCAAAGTACACCCAGTGGTTTTTTTTCCTTTCAATTTTTTTGGGGCCCCCAAGAGAGTGGGGCCCTAAGCTATAGCTTGTTTAGCTTGTACATAAATCCGGCACACTCTTTCTGATGCCATCACTGATTGATGCCTTCTCCCATCGAAGGGTGGCAAAACCATATGAGGAAAGATGCGGAAACGAAGGCAGTGGCAGAGAACAAGTCCGCTGACAGGACAGAGGAAGCCCACCCAACTGGGCTTGATATCCAAAGGACTGCTCTGCAAAATGGAAGCCATCAGAGAAGTGTCAAAAGTCAATGCTTCAGTCTCAGTTGTGGGACGGCGATGGTGAGGATCCCCACCAAGGAGGAGATAAGGCCACAGAGCCCAATGATTCCGGGATTGGTTTTGTAGATTCCCAGCACGTCCAACGGACTAGAGAGATCGCAAAGGTTCTTCACCGTGTCCAGAAGCAAAGGAGGATGTTTTTTCAGTGTGATGTAGAGGAGGAAGAGAAATGGCTGCAGGCCACTAGTTGCCAGAGAAGTTAAGCTCTGGAGCCGAGATGAGTCCCCTTGAAGCTTCTCTTTCCGTGCGGCCTGCTCCATGCGCCAGCAGAGCTCGTACAAGTCGTTGACCAGGTTTATCAGCAGGGAATAGTAGTAGTATTTGGTCGCCCGGCTGCGCCACTTCTTCTTGTCGATATCCGAGATGAGCCCCACGCTCTTCACCCACAAGACAGTGTCGCACATGAAGTACAGGACACGGTTGAGGTTGGAGGCAGTCAGGCAGCAGCGGGGAACCAAATCTGGCAACTGGGAGGTGTGTCTGGCAGAAACGAAGGCATGCAGCATGTTACCAAGCCTGAACACTGCAAGAGAACCCACAATTGTTAGAAGGGCCTTGTTTCCAGACAGCCTGTTTACTGAGCTTTCATCCCAATTTGCTTGCTCAAAGTTTGCACAGGAGATTATACGACAGCCACCGTTCACTGAGCATACATTCTGATGTTTTTGTGGGGGTGACTGTACGACATAATGTAAAGCAATCATCTCTACCCCCCCCCACTTTTCAGGGGATTTTCCCATTACTTTCCTTACCACAAATATATGTATCTTGTGTGTGTTTTGTGAATGTACATATGTGTAAGGAAAGTGCTTACAAAAACACACGCACACGAAGCCAGCTGGTTGCACAAGAGTGCCAAATCCACTTTAACTGCACATCTTGAATTTGCTGGTTTGTGAGTGAATCCCACCCACAAAATCCCACCTGGAACTGGCTGGAGTTAATCGCATTTATTATCCCAATTACACTCCATCATTTGGCTGGATGGACAGGGTCCTACAGTCTTCTAAATATCAGCTTCTTGGATATGGTTGCAGGCAAGCAAACAATATATAACAGCAACACATAATGCAAGTTAGGGTCTTTAGAAGAGTAAAGTAAAGGTAAAGGGACCCCTGACCATCAGGTCCAGTCGTGGCCGACTCTGGGGTTGCGGTGCTCATCTCGCTTTATTGGCCGAGGGAGCCGGCGTGCAGCTTCCGGGTCATGTGGCCAGCATGACTAAGCCGCTTCTGGCGAACCAGAGCAGAAGAGTACTTAAAAACAAAACAGATTTACTACATGGCTTCAGCAATACAAAAGGTGATGAGATGGGTAGACTTGCACACCTATTGCACAAAAAGTATTCCGCCAAGGAGAAAGAGGTGAAGAGGCTGGGCAGGCCTCAATTTATCCTCCAGGAGACCACACTTGCTGGCTGGGCACTCCCCACCAAGCCGTCACTGCCAGATTGTGAATGGGGATGAGGCTAGGCCGAAAAGCCGCCTGACCGTTAAAGGTACGGTAAGTGGACGTGTCAACAACAAGCAAATGATAAAGCAGCTTTCATTTTTTGTTTTTCTATTTCATAAAAGTTATACACTGTTTGATTGAAAACAACAACAAAACCCTCAAACCTCATCACCCAGTCAACAGACATGGATGCTTCTGGTATAGGAACTTAATCCAAGATCCATCAATATACCTCACACTGGGTACCAACAGCCCACCAGATAACGCTGGATATTGGAGGAGATAAGACTTATACAGGAAGAATTGGGCTCAGATCTCTGGAACAGGGCACATTTTCATGGCGAGCACAGCATCCCCCTTTCTCACACAGTTTTGGAAGGAAGCTAATGCGCAAGATCTGCCCTTGGGAATCAGTCGTGGGTTTTAAAACTATTTCAACCACTTGGCTCCCCCCCCCCAAGTGTACACTGCTTACTTACATGTTGAGCAATTTATTTATTAAAAGCCAATTAAGGTGACATGCTGAAACTGTGCAAAAGCAAAGGAGGATGTATAGGATTTTATTTGCAAGCATGTCCTCCTCAAATGGAGCATTTCCAGGTATAAGGGTGGATGAAATGCAGCCTGAGTCACTATGTCCATTCATGTCTACATCAATGAAATCACACATATAATTAATGCAAATTACTTAATTTAAAAAACCTTGCAAAAACCTCTGTTGTGTTTGATCTCAGGCCCATTGGCTGAATGCAGTCCTCCAAAATTTTCTATTTAGCCTTTGATACTGTCCCTAGACCATACCCCTCCCTGGTCCTGCTTTGCACCCCCCCTTGGTTGTTTTTGCCTGTCTGGAACGTGTCCTTGAACTCTGATAATGCCTTGTGCTTGGCTGGCTGGAGTGGGGTTGTGTGGGTGTGTACCAACTAGCTTATGGTACAAAGATAACATTTACGTACATTTTGCCTCTAGCCCCACCCACCACTGCCATGTGGCCCCCATAAAGTTGCCCAGAAGGGAATGTGGACCTTGGGCTTTCAAAGGTCCCCCACCCCTACAACAGACCATTTTTGATAGATCTGATGAAGAATTATAAGCATGTGCTCTTCTCATTTCAATTAACAGGACTCCAAACTAGCTCAAGTACAGCAACACAGGCTCTACTGTTTTCATCATCATTTGTGATCTGTTTCAATTATATATTGCTTTTGTGCATTTGCAACTGGTCCTTTTTTCTGCTCCCCATCCCCAGATTATGCCTACAAAAGACGTGCCTCTCTCTCTCTCTCTTTTGGTATTTCCTTACAAGAAAACATACTTACACTTGCGGCCGGAGCGCATGCTCGCCTCCAGGTTTTTGAGCTTCATTATCACTTCCTCTCGGCTGGTCTTATGCTCTAACATATAGCTAAGCAGCATGCATGCATACTGAGTTGCTCTGGAATGGGGAGGAAAAACACGGAGAACCCAATTCACATCACAGGCAAAAGCAGAGGGACAGGACTGTCTCTCCCACAATTAAATTAAGGCAGAAGCATCAAAGGGGCAGAACTATCCTTTTCCTCGGGGCGACTGCTCACAAAATATCCTTACGCACACAATTATGTTTCCTGGTTTAGGAGGCAACTCAAGCAATGTGAACATGCACACAAGGACACACACACTATAATCAAGAATCCATTACTGCAACATGCTGTGTGTGGGGCGACCATTGTGGCTGATCTGGAAATTCCAGCTAGTGCAAAATGCTGCGTTTGATGAGGACAGACTACCGCCAGTACACAGCATTGGTGATTAAAAACTTACACTGGTTGCTCATATGGGTCCAGGATCTATTAAGCCTGGTCCCTTATATCATGGCCCATTCATTGTGATCTTTGTGGAGTCCCTTCATGGTATCCCATGGCTCATAACTTTTAGAAGCCATTCTTTCAGTGCCTGTGGAACTCCTTCCCAACTGAGATCAAACAGCCAGCCTCCTTGCTCAACCTCAGACACACAGTTATTGGTTATAGGCTTGTTGTTCCAGCAAGCATTGAAAGGTGGTCTTTGGTTTCCTTCTAACTTTGTATTGTTTTACTGACCCATTTTCTGTGGGTTGTTTTTTTTTTTTTTATGTCCAGCACCTAGAAATGATTAAGTGGTATGTAAATGAATCAAAATATATAAATTAAAAATATATATTATTAGCAAACACCCAAGAGTAAGAGCAGGTATTCTTGAAATGTGTTGGCTTGGAGCATGCAAGCATCTCCCTGACTCCCATTTCTTTCCTAAAGTCTGGCCCAGTTCACACATTGTGCTAAACCAAGGTTAATGATGTGCCTTCCTGGACTGTTTAGAAAACAAACCATGACCCCCTGATTGAGGTGCGACTCTAAGCCAGGGACTGTGCTTTGTTTCCTCCCAAATATCTGGAGGGCGTCAGGTTGGCAAAGGCTGCCTGGCACCAGTTCTACAGAATTTCAGACAGGAGCATCTTACAGCACCTCCCAAAGATACCAAGGACTGAATCTGGCACCTTCTGTGTGCAAAGAATTTGCCCTATTACTGAGTTATGACTAAGTGAGGCAGCATTCTCCCTTCGGCTGCTTCGCACATCAGCTGCATTCCTGTTTTTCTAGCACTACCAGGGATGGATGAACCTTTTTGACTTCTATTAACTTTCTCATTTTTTCCAGCCTTAGGTTGAGTCCTCCACATTTCTCCGGAAATTTGTGGCTGTTATTTTGTTTTTTGTTTTTTAATCCTCATAAAAATCCACCAGTATTTTTCCACATGAATTTTACCTGTTTTTGTATGCTGTTCCAACCAAGACACACATCTTTGCAAGTGGTTCCCTCCCCCTCCAATATACAGCGGTACCTCGGGTTATATACGCTTCAGGTTACAGACTCCGCTAATCCAGAAATAGTACCTCGGGTTAAGAACTTTGCTTCAGGATGAGAACAGAAATCGTGCTCCGGTGGCGCAGCAGCAGCAGGAGGCCCCCTTAGCTAAAGTGGTGCTTCAGGTTAAGAACAGTTTCAGGTTAAGAACGGACCTCAGGAACGAACTAAGTACTTAACCTGAGGTACCACTGTATTGCATGCTTATGTGTTACTTTCACCAATAAATGTATTTTCATGCACACTTTCCCCCGATATATGCATTGATGTGTACATTTTCTGTTGGGAGACCAGCCTCGCAAAAATCAAAGGAGTGTGAATTTTGAAGAATAGTTGGTAATGGTTTCCATGTTGGTTCAAAAAGCTTCTCATAAAAATGCAATCATAACAGATTTGGTTCCCCACCCTCTCTTGTAGAGTTTTGTTTTAGTAAAGTCTGTGCATGATTTGATGAAATTCGGTCTGGTCTGAGTTCCCGAACCCTTTAATTTTGACCACGCTTTTCGGAGCAAGGGTCATCCACCACACAGGGCAACAAGTCTGCCAAATCAGTTTTTCTAGCTCCAGTGTTACACTCAGTAGAAGGCAGTATTTTATGTTTGTTCTATGAGTCAGACCACTGACCCATCGAGCTCAGTATGTTGGCACAATGGGTCTGGCTGTTAACCAGAAGGCTGGCAGTTTGAACCTACCCAGGGACAGCTGTGGACCACAGATTGTTAAATTTGCCAAAGGCTAGGAAAAGAGGAATGTTTTTGGCTGGCACCTAAAGATATGGAATGAAGGCACCATGCATTGTAGGGGGTTCGGCTAGATGACCCTCGGGTTCCCTTCCAACTCTATGATTCTATAATAATCTACTGCCTACTCGGACTGGTAGCAGCCTCTCCAGGGTTTCAGGCAGGGGACACCCCTTATGGTTTAGAGCAGGCATAGGCAAACTCGACCCTCCAGATGTTTTGGGACTACAACGCCCATCATCCCTGACCACTGGTCAGATCATGGGAGTTGTAGTCCCCAAACATCTGGAGGGTCGAGTTTGCCTATGCCTGGTTCAGAGGGGTGTTCCTGGGTTGCATTTCATTTCTGTGAAGTTGTATGCAATACTTAAGGCAGAGATCCTACAACCTAATTTACCAGGGAGTAAGTCCTTCTGAGTTTAACGGGAGCTACTACCGAGCATAGGGACGCGGGTGGCGCTGTGGGTAAAACCTCAGCGCCTAGGACTTGCTGATTGCATGGTCGGCGGTTCGAATCCCCGCGGCGGGGTGCGCTCCCGTCGTTCGGTCCCAGCGCCTGCCAACCTAGCAGTTCAAAAGCACCTCCGGGTGCTAGTAGATAAATAGGGACCGCTTACCAGCGGGAAGGTAAACGGCGTTCCGTGTGCTGCGCTGGCTCGCCAGATGCAGCTTGTCACGCTGGCCACGTGACCCGGAAGTGTCTGCGGACAGCGCTGGCTCCCGGCCTCTAGAGTGAGATGAGCGCACAACCCTAGAGTCTGGCAAGACTGGCCTGTACGGGCAGGGGTACCTTTACCTTTACCTTTTACTACCAAGCATACAGTGCTTTTTTCCTGGGGGTACACATACCCCCAAACATTTTGTGAATTTTTGTACTTTTGTCCATTTACTGTATTTATTTTCCCCCGATTTGAACTCTAAAATGGTGATTTTCTTGAGTCCAAATGAGTACCCCTAAACTTTTAGAAAAAAAGCACGGCGAGTATATAGGATTGCACAATTGCTTCTCTCTCTCTCTCTGTTTTTGGTGTGGTGGGAAAGGCTTGCGAAATCGACAACTCTATCTGAACACCGCCTTAAAAGTGCCTTTAGCAATAAATGCAAAATAAAGCTAAAACAAAAACAAAACTTTTGGAGGACACCTGCCATTCAGCCCGCCCACCCACTCGCCTCTTTCCTTCCCCCCTCACCGAAAGAGCCGATCTCGACCCTGGGTCTGGTTGGTGAAGTGCACAAACGCTTCCATTTGCAAAGGCGGCGGCAAACCCCACGCCGGACGGCGGCCAAGCAGCTCGGAACCCCGACACGGAACTTCCCGCAACGCGCCACCTGGGCGATCAGCTGGCTCTCGGGGAGTGGGCGTGGTCAGAGTTAGCCCCGCCTCCCCGCCCGTAGATCGCCCAGCCCCTCAAAAACGGCCGGCCTTCCTTCCTTCCGGGTCTGGGTTACTATGGCAACGTGTCAACTTCCGGAAACAGGTGCAGGGTGCTTTTTGTGTGTGTGTGTGCGCGCGCGTGTGTACACGTGTATAGGTGCGGGGCTGGGGTTTGGAAAGCGGAGTAAGGGGTTGTGATTTGTTATTGTGAAATCAATTAATAAGATTCATTAACATGTCTCTAGAGCTCAGCACCGTGTGTGTGTGTGTGTGTGTGTGTGTGAACACACACACACACACACATTTATCTTCCTCACATGCACTTTTTTTTTTAATGGGGCCAGTTGGTTTGAGTGTAAGAGTGGAGATGAGGAACTATATAACCTTTAGAATGGTTTGTTGAATATTTACAGATAAACTGTAAAGAGATTAAAAACATTGGCGGGATTATTGCAATAACCTGCAGTTTCATAAGTGTATATATTTAAAGAAGATGAATAAATGAACAAATTAAGTTAATGTGGATATGCAGAAGATGGTAAAAATAAATTTAAGGAACTGCAGAAGTCAGGGGAGGAAGTCAAGTTTTGAAATCAGTGAAAATGTATAAATCTGAAAAGTATAAATTATATATTACAGTACTTTTTTCTGGGGGGGACACACACAAACCCCTAAACATTTTGTGAATCTTTGTACTTTTGTCCATTTACTGTATTTAATTTTCCCAATTTGAACTATAAAATGGGGGTTTTCTTGTGTCAAAATGAGAGTACCCCTAAACATTTTTTAAGGAAAAAAAAGCTCTCTCTCTCTCTCTCTCTCTCTCTCTCTGTGTGTGTGTGTGTGTGTGTGTAAAACACCTTTAGAAGACATCCCTGTATAGGGAAGTTTTTTTTTAATGTTTAATGTTTTATTTTGTTTTTATATATGTTGGAAGCTGCCCAGAGTGGCTGAGGCAACTCAGTGAGATATGTGGGATACAAATAAATAATAATAATAATTCTTATTATGACACTAGGTCCAGGGAGATCCAGGTTCAAATCCCTCACGTACCCATAAAGCTCGTTGTGTGACCTTGGGCTGCTTACACAGACACACCCAGTGTAATCTACCTCATAGGGTGGTTGTGCAGATTCAACTGGGAGGAGGAACCATCTACACTCTCTGGAGCCCTTTAGTGTATAAGGTGATTATAAAACACACACACCTGCACACAGCCCTGTGAGGTAGGTTAAGCTGAGGGAAAGCAACTGATCCAGGGTTTCACCCAGTTGAGTATCCATTTGGACGATAAAGTCATTAGTCTAGTGTTGGAGACAGCATGCCTTTGAATAACATCTGCTGGGGATCCCTAGTAGGAGAGCACTGTTTTATCTGTTTTATCAAGCAAGACTCTCCTGAACTTTACTTCTGAGGAGTCAGGGGCATATTTGCTTTCTAGTGAGGAACACAGTCACACTGAATTCTATTCTGGTAGAGTAGAACATAAGAAGAGCTATGCTGGATCAGATGAAAGTCCCATTTAGTTAGGCATCTTGTTCTCATGGTGGCTAACTTGATGCCTATGGGAAGCCCAAATGCTGGACCTCAGCACCATAGTGCTGTCCTCACCCTCCCTTTTGGTTGGCGTGGTATGAAGCAGGTATTGCTTCTCAAAATATAATGAACTGCTTTTGAGTGGGGGGAAATACCTGATCAATAATCAGATTATATTTTACTACAGGGCTTTCTTAATATTCAAAGCTGCCAAACTGCTTGTAGAGGGACAATAAAAGTGGCACAAAAATGCCCGTCTTCCTCCGGAAGCAGCCCCTGGACATACCTTCACCCACTGAAAAGGACTGGATTAAGAAAGACGAAGAAGAGGACATATACTTGAAAGATCCATATGAGTACCTTGATTCTTTGCCTCAGCCTTATCGGATGATCAATAAACTGGTGAATCTTTTGCTTGAGCGGACCTGGGAAATTGTTGAGGGGCCGCAACCATTACAGGAAACCAGGCAGCCGAAGGTTCCGCCCCCAAAGTACCCACCTTCATCTGAATTCCAGGTACTCATTCCCGGGCAAATTGTGGGATGGGTACTTCTTACTTAGCCGTAGCTCCCCAATGAATTCAGTAGGATATAACAAAGAGTCTTGTGGCACCTTAAAGGCTAACAAAGTTATTATGGCATAAGCTTTTGTGGACTAGAAACTACTTCACCATATGTATGAAGTGTTTTTCTGAGGTGGTAGGCATATAATATACACATGATTGTTAGTGGGTGGGATGGTGAGGTAAGAGGGAAATGAACTGCAGTAAGCACAGACTGTGGTGGTTATTTAACAGGCTACTAACATGTGTGCAAAATGGCTAGTGTGGTTATTAATATGGCAGCATTGAAAATAACATATTTATCAGCAGTGCATTAATGCATGTAATGGGATTAATTGCTGAGCTGGGCATTGTGCTTTCTTCACTTTCCATATTCCCAGGTTGAGGGAAGGGCAAACTGCATGGTAGCCGCTGGAGAATTCATCTTCATTGGCTTTTCTATGGGACTATCTGTCTTCAGCATACCCACATGTGAAAAGTCCACATGCGAGAAGGTATGTGCTTGGGAGGCAGCCAACGTTGAGATTTGTGCCATCAAGGTTTCAAACTTTGGCAGTAGCTCCTATCTCATTGGTTCAGTGGATGAGCTGGGTAAGTATATTTAACACCCATCTGCAAATTAATTATGTTTTCTACACTATTTTCTATCCCACCTGTCTTATGAGGAGCTCAGGCCTCTGTTATGTTTGTCCTATTTTACAGAAGGGAGAACTAAAGGAAGAAAGTGGCTTGCTCGGGATCACATAGTGGCCCCATGCCTTTTCTCGTTGCCTGGTTGTATTCTGAAAACCTCCCTGTGCTTTAATGACAACTAAGAAGCACAAATCCTGCCTGAGACTATGTTGTTTATTGTCTTTTTCAGCTTAATTTTGGCAACTGAAGCAGCTCTGCAGTCATATGTCTGAGTTGTCCTGCTACTTGGATACCCACATTCAGCCAGTTCTGTGCCAGAACTGGTGCATGACTCGGATTTTCCAAGAAACTGCCCCCACGCTAGCAACCATTCTCTTTTTCAAATAAGAGAGTAAGGTGTGATGAGTACGCTGATGATGCCCAGCTCTACTTTTTTGTGTATCATCTAATTTAGGAAAGCTGTGTAAGCCATGGACCAGCACCTGGGCTTGATGGTAGGCTGGAGGAGGGTCAGCAAATTGAATCTGAATCTTGGCAAGATGGAGGTGCACTGCCTGACCAATTCCAGTCTGGATAATGGATCAATTGCCTACTATAGATATACTTCCCCTGAGGTGCTCCTGGATTTATTTCTGTGACTGGAGCTCAGGTGACCTCAGTGGCTAGGATTCCCTTTTACCAAGATAGTAAGATAGTACAATTACTGTTCTCCATGCTGTAGTAACCTCCCAGCTGGATTACTGCAATTCATTGCAGTGCTTTCTGTGTAGGGTTGTCCTTGAAGTTGGGCTGGTGCAAAATTCAGCAGCTGAACTTGGGACAGGATACCACCAGCATGTTCCCCTGCTGTTGGAAGAATTGCACTGAAATAATGTTTCTTCCCTTATGAAACTGCAGATACCATCTCATCAGGAGGCCTGTTCCATACTATGTTGGAATTGGGATTTTAGCATGCTAGCACCGGTCTTTTCCATTGTGTTTCAAACCAGCACCATCTCTATTGGATCATAGCCAATGTTAGTCCTGCTCAGAGTAAACCCACTGAGATGAATGACCATGGCTAATTTAGATAAGTTGATCTCAGCTGTCGTCAGGGATAGAACCTGGGACCTTCTGCATGCAGAGCAGATTCTCTGCCACTTAACTACAGCGATCCCTTTGCTACATAAAACCCACCCCCTTTTGCTATTGCTTCTCCAGTTGGTGACTTGCTGGATTGCTGATGGTCACAGGTAAGAGATGTTCACAGGTAAGCAGCAAGCCTGGTAGCATGAGATGCTAGGGTTCAAAGGAGCAGGGCTGCTCCTCAGCTATGCAGATGTTATAACTTGCCTTTACTCCAGGGCACTCAAGGCACAGCATCCACGATTCTCCCGCTTCTATTTTACCCTCATCACAACTCTATGAGGTAGGTTAGGCTACAAGATAGTAGCTGGCCCAAGGTCACGAGCGAACTTCATGGATGAGCAGGAATTAGTATTTGCACCTCTCAGAACTCTCCGAAGGGAAAACTGATCATTTATAAGACTTGTCATTTAATGGATAATGGAAAAGAGGAAACCTGATGTGCTAATGAACATGAAAGAAAAGGTATCCTAGTGCAATTTCTTCTGTTGTTGTGTTCCAGGTATTGCTCGTCTTTTTTACTTTTTCAAGGAGAATCTGCTGTCTATAAAAGCCATAAATGAAGTGGTGAGTCCCCACTATATATCTATCTCTTATAGTTACTGGTTATCTGAATCTCAGCTTTTGGAAAACCCAGTTATCCAAATCCATTGTGCCCATATTGTACCCATATTGGTACAATTCTAAGTAAAAGGCACTTCCATCCATCCATATGTATAATTATTCACACACACACACACACACACACACACACATCTTTTCCCCATACTATTTGATATACAGCCTGATAACGGTCATGCTTTACTTGGAAGTAAGACGTATATTTTCAGTGGTGTTTATATTTTCAGTGATGTTTCTAAAACAGTGCCCCAACTTTCTGCATGCTTACTTGGACTTGCTTATTTACAAGTCCCATTTCACTCAGTAGGCCATCTGAGTAAACATGCTTTGGCTTGGTCTGAATGTAAAATGAGGTTAAATGTGAATGACCGACAGCGGCCAAACTTAAACCATAAGAAGTCTCACAGATGCCAGTGGAAGAGATGCATGACTCAGTCCTATGCATCTTTACTCCAAAGTAGGTCTGACTTTGTACAGGATTTGTACAGGAGGGCTTGCTACATGATACATACATGATAAAGCCAATTTTAGCCATTTCACCCCTTGTTTTTTCCTGTAAGACCAATTGCAGTCCTTAACGGTCGTCAACAGGTTTACCACACCTATCAGCCAATCACCCATTCCCACCACCCTTCTGAGTAATACCCCTCCCCACCCTCTCACTATATAGACGGGTCTGGTAACTTCTGTTTCAGTGTATCTGAAGAAGTGTGCATGCACACGAAAGCTCATACCAATAACAAACTTAGTTGGTCTCTAAGGTGCTACTGGAAGGTTTTTTTGTTGTTGCTTGCTACTTAGTATGTGTGTATAAAATTGAACCATTAGCATATCCTTTCCCGTAAATATTAATGGGACTTAATTTTGGTTGTACTATGTCAGCAGTTATTGTTGACTTTATGCATGCATGCTAAAAGTCCCGACTGGTGCTGCTTCAAGGTTTTACATATCTGCTATACTCAGGGCTGGCCCACCTACAAGGCAAGATGAAGCAGCCACTTTGGGCAGCAGAAAGCCTCACCCCATTGCCTCCGCTGCCAATTTCTGGCAATTTTTTGCTGAAATTTTGAAAGATCTCGCAGTGTGAGAGAGATCTCGCCAGATTTTGGTGAGATCTCACTGGAAATCGGCACTGGCTTGCTTCTCCACTAGCAGCGGAGAGGGTGGGGTGCTGCTTTTTCATTTTGCTTCAAGCAGCAAAACTGGATGTGTCAGCCCTGACTATACTTATCCTTCCAAGCCTCTTGCAGCCAGCCTATACTCTGCATTACCTGCATAGAACTGTCACTTCTGGGCTGAGTGTTTTGATGGTCCACCTTCCTGTTGATGCCAGATTTCTTCCTGAATGAGGTCCTCTGCGTTCATCAACCGTCCAGCGGCAGGCGGAAAATCAATAGGCACAGCTTTCCCCACTGTGTAGTCCTTATATGCAGCCAAGTCCAACTGTTAAAATGAGTTACTTCTATTGAACTCTGGAGGCAATGATGAATGTGATAAAGCCACGTATGCTTTATTGTGCATTTCCCTGGCAGAACATCAAGGTTTCTTCATCAGAGTCTTCTAATGGTAGGTGGTGTGCTCAGAGTCAAACACATAAATGACAAAAGAGCTTCTTTTGCAACAAACCTGCCAGATCAGGTTTCCCGACTTGGCATTCCAGCTTCCACAAGCCCAGCCCGCTCTAATTTCAGAATATATATTTACCATCTTCTTATCTCTTTTTTGGCAGGAAGATATTAGTAAGCGAAATACATGTGTTGCACTGGAACTCTCTCGCGGGGCTGATTATGCAGGCTTTCTGCTGCAAGGCAAGTCTCAACATTTGTCAAACTTAGCAAGACAAGTTGCAACCTGCAGGCTGGAGTGTGGCACTTTTTATATTTTTATATCCTTCAGGTTTCCCTTTGGAATCTCTCTTTTTACCACGATGTGTTTTGGGTAGTTCATTTTGTGATACTGCACCCACTCGGTCTAATCTTCCAAATAAAAAATCCAGACCACTCTCCGCAGACAAGTAACTTTTCAAATACATATTTATAGCTTTAAAAAAAGGGGGACCAAGTCCTCAGAAGATAGCTTACAGAAATAGTCATTATAATCACAATAGGTAAAGGTAAAGGGACCCCTGACCATTAGGTCCAGTTGTGGCCGACTCTGGGGTTGCGGCGCTCATCTCGCTTTATTGGCTGAGGGAGCCGGTGATGTGGCCAGCATAACTAAGCTGCTTCTGGCGAACCAGAGCAGTGCATGGAAATGCCGTTTACCTTCCCGCCGGAGCGGTACCTATTTATTTACTTGCACTTTGACGTGCTTTCGAACTGCTAGGTTGGCAGGAGCAGGGACTGAGCAATGGGAGCTCACCCCATCGTGGGGATTCGAACTGCTGACATTCTGATTGGCAAGTCCTAGGCTCTGTGGTTTAACCGACAGCGGCAGCCGGGTCTCTATAATCACAATACATCTCAATAAAAAAGCCTCATCAATTAAAATATGAGGAAGGGACCGGTGGCCTTCAGATGTTCTTGGACTACAACGCTTTTCATCTCTGGCTATTGGCCACACTGGTTGGAGCTAATGGAAGTTGAAGTCCAACAACATATGGGTGGCCACACGTTCCCTGCTGCTGAATTAAAACATATGGCACCTGCATAAAATTGATGTGAAAGGGCTTTATTATTATTATTATTAATAATAATAATAATAATAAGTTTCTAAGCAATCTGGGGCTCTCACTGGTACATCTGCACATGCTTATACTCAGTTCTGCCCTGCCTCAGCCCCTTCAAGGCAAGCTGCAACAATGCTGCTGTTTGGGGGGTGGTTCTGTCCCACCACACTGGCGGCTGGTAGGTCTAACTGAAGACCAGTTAGAGAAAGGGCCTTCATGGAATTCTAGACATATGGGGTCACCACCAATAAGGCCCTACCTCTGGTATATGGATACAACAGGCCTTTCCTGTTCATTCCTTAAGGCTGCAAACCTCTATCCACTTACTGGGAGTAAGTGCCGTTTAACTCAGTGGGGCTTACTTCTGAGTAGACATGTATAGGATTGCACTGTAAGTCAGTCACGCATATGGTGAGGAAGTTGTTTCTGTTCCCTACAGAGGTCGATTCCATTTCCTTTGGCTTTCACCGAGAATATACGACGCTGCTAATATAAAACTATTAGGAGAAGCATCCTCAAAGAGCTTTAGAAAACACCCCTTATCAAACCGTCGGGGTTTCTGACCCTCAGCATAGTTTTTTTTTTACACTGTTGGGTATATTTGTAGAATGTATTTACATGTATGAACTTTATCACAAAAAGAATAAATAAATCTGGATGGTAAAGGACCAGAATTTTGGCAAGTAACTGCATCAGCATATTGCATGACTTAGTTGCAGAGTTTTTGTGGCACAATCCAGGCTATGAAACTGACATGGAAACTTTCTCAATAGGGTTTGAGGTTTCTAAATAGGATGCTTTCAGATATTGGGTAATGGATACTTTGAATGTGTGTGACTTTTTGTGTGCTTTGGTAAGATTCCTCCCCCCTTCCTCATATGCTTCGAAACTTTAAGAGCCACTTACATGCCTATATATATGTATCTCCCGACATACTATGTATAAGTGGCCAAGAGTAAGCATGAATTTGCCTTTTAGGGAGCAAAACTAGAAATATTGCTTGACTAAGAGACCTTTCTTCTCCTTCCCCATTGCTTCATCTGTTTTCTTCTGTTTCCTCACAGCAGGCAGCTCGGAGGCTTGGCTGGAGATCTACCGATTGCCTAAGGATTCTTGGCTAAAAGAAACAGAAAATGCCCAGAATGTCGCACTTACAACTCCAGCAAACACCAAGGACATGAAAGTTAACCAGGCAACCCTGCCAGAGAAGGCTGGGGTAGAGGTGGATAAAAAAAATGTAATTCCTATGGATCATATCTAGCCCCTCAAAAGTTTTTTGTGCCCTTCCCCTCCATGACCTTTCAATTGTCATTGGAATGAATGAATGAATGAATGAACACATGAATAAATGAATGAATGTGGCCTTCCAAATGTTGTTGGACTCCAACTTCCATCAGCCAGCATGACCAATGTTCAGGGACGATGGGAGTTTTAGTCCGACATAATTTGATAATAATTTTTATTAGTTTTCAGTTACAAGAATCCAATAATAGCCTCATTATAACAATGCAAAATTATAATACAATTACTAATAGCAATCATTCAGATGCCAAATTATATAATTTAGGTGCCCCCTCCCCCGCATTCTAGAATTGATGATTTACTTTATTTCTGCATTCCAAAAATCTTATTAATTTCAATTACACTACAGTCAAAATAGCAATGTTAACGACTTCCATTCGTATCAACACATCAAATGATTTATAAACCTGCAGGTGAAGCATTCAAACTATATCCTTGTTCTTCCTGTGTGTGGCAATTATCCTGTCCTTGTAAAATATTATATCTATCTTTTCCCAGTTGTTGCTGTTCTCCATCATGCCTTGGGCGGAGCTAATATCCCATTGTTGTTTCAGAAATTCCCCATTGCTCCGTCCCATGCTTCATTGTTTTGCAACTTTAAAAGCAGCTGCAAAAATCACACCGTCCCATTGAATATCCTGTTTTCGCCATTTTCCCTCTCAGCCTGGGAAGGAGAGTGAGCTGCAAATAACTCAGTAATGAACATTACTGAGTCCAACATCATTTGAAGGGAAATGGGCGCCCTATTTCCACTGTAGTTCTTCAAGAGAGTTTTGTCTTTAGTTCTTTTCTGTCCCGATACCATTTATACACAGGTGTACGTTCCAAACTTTTTCAGAGGCAGAAAATTTGTATTCAGTGAAGCCAAATGACAATGTTTCAGAGTACTCTTCTCACGAGCAAGTAGTCTTTCTATCGTGGATAGGCATGCTTGGAAATTATTTATTTGTATGAACCACTTGATCAAAAAATATTTCTCTTCGACTGGTGTGCAGATAAAATAACAGATAAACCAATGCTGAGATCCACAAACCCATGAATGTGCTGCCCCTTCATTTGTAACGTTAGCACAAGCAAACCTTTCAGAAATGGGCTTGCATGTTCCCCATTTCCTCCTCTTTCAAGGAGGAATTACCACCTGCTCCCTGTGTGTTTTCCTTTTCTTTCACTGGGAGCAGGACTGAGCATGTCTTAAAGGTTTGTTGAGCTGAGGGCGCTGCAGTGGTCCTAGGTGAAATTGGGGTATCCTGGATCACATTGTATGTTACAGGGACTCCAGTGTGTATATAATAATTGCTGCCTTTTCTGGTTCTGTAGAAGAAGGCTCCGGAAATCCAAGGATTGGTTGCTGAAGAGGTGGTAAGTAGTCTAACAGTGGTCTAAACCACTGAGCCTCTTGGGCTCACTGATCTGAAGGGTTGGCGGTTCGAATCCCCGTGACGAGATGAACTCCCGCTGCTCTGTCCCAGCTCCTGCCAACCTAGCAGTTCAAAAGCACACCGGTGCAAGTAGATAAATGGGGAGCGCTGCGGCAGGAAAGCAAATGACATTTCTGTGCGCTCTGGTTTCCATCACAGTGTCCTGTTGCGCCAGAATGTTGCTGGTCACATGACCTGGAAAGCTGTCGGTGGACCAATGCCGGCTCCCTCAGCCTGAAAGTGAGATGAGCGCTGCAACCCCATAGTCGCCTTTGACTGGACTTAACCGTCCAGGGGTCCTTTACCTTTACCTTTTTTTACAGTTCGTAGCATTATTTGGAGGAAACCATGACTGTTAAGGTGATATAACTGTTCTTGAAGTGAAGGGTATTGGTTGATGTGATCAGGGTCCTTTATTTATTTATTTTTTTAAAAAAAGATATTTATTAAGGTTTCCAATAAAAAGAACACATCGATAAAAAATTAAAAATAAAAAAAGAAATACACAACTCAAAAGTACACAATACATAATCCAGAAAAAAAAACAACAAAAAACAAAAGACAAAAAAGAAAACAGTTAAAAACAATACCACCTTTTCATCTCCATTTTTAAATTTACTTATTTTCTGGACCTCCTCATACCTCCCTCTTTTGTATTCCAGTTCAAATTGTTTGTCCAGCAATTTCTTTCCCTCTTTTTTAATCCCAAGTGATCAGGGTCCTTTAACACAGATGAGTTATGCCATAACTATTGAGAGATTCTGAACATGCCATCTTGTTTGAAAAACACAACACACATCGCCGGATCACAGAAATGCTAGTAAACAAAAAAAGTAGACCACGCAAGGTGGAAGTCGGCCAATTCCCACTGCAGTTTATTTGTAAAGGAAGCCTCTTATGAAAGAATTAACAATTTATCTGCTCTGAGACAGGCAGAATTGCAACAAACTTGAAGATCATATTCCTAAATGCTACTCCTTTACACCATTATTGCTTCTTGGTTGACAACTCGTGGGGGGGGGGGGGCGGCAGCCAGCAGCCATTACAGGGCTGGTTTGGACTTTGCAGCCTTAATTTCTGGCCCCTATTTTTGCTTTAGATGAGTGCAACGCTTATACCATGCATTGTCCTGTGTCTTGGACCTGGAGTGGCACTATGAGACACATGCACTATTTTTGGAGTCCAGCCACTTTTATTGTAGGATAGAGGAGGTCCCCCAGTCTTCGTATCAAGTGATTGGTTAACATTCCAAAGAGGATAGCCAGAAATTGCTTGGCTTCGGAAAATCTCAGTGTATGGGGCGAGATGGGAAGTGGACTCTGGAAGTGGAATTGTTTAGAATTGCCTCTCTGCTTCATTACAGGATCCTCAAGTGCTTCTAAGCAGGCTTGAATCGAGGCTGATTCCCCCTGTTCTGTTGCTGAAGATCAGATCACCCAAACCATTTGCACGTATGAACTCTCCTTACCTTCTTCTGTTTACCTGTCTTTTCTGTTTCTGTGTTTTGTTGAAATAGTGCAACAGTAAAAATACAAAATGTAAAAATAGTATGATAAATGCATGTATTAGGACCAACTAAAATGTACATAAATAAAACAACCCTCTCCTGCTGTGGTTCTCAGCAATTGGTGTTCAGTGGCATGCTGTCTCTGGTCCTGGGATTTGAATTTTGCCATTGTGACTAGTTGCCACTGATGCTCTCCATGTATTTGTCCAACCCCCTTCTAAAGCAATTTCTGTGGATGGTCATTCAAATTTCATTGTCTTATCTTTGCACACTGAAGAAATACTCCCTTTTGTCCATTCTGAATGTGCTACTACTGTTCAATTTCATGGGCTGATTGCAGGTTCTAGTATGGTGAGAGAGGGAGAAAAAGTTCTTTCTGTCCACCTTCTTTACACAAAGGATAAGTAAAGCATGTTTGGAGTGGTACAGTTTTATTTTTATTTTTTAAAGAAAGCCCCCGCCTCCAGGCACACAATCTAAAAAAATAAAATAGCAAGGGGAGCTGGAATGAAATGGGAACTTGGGGTGTGCGTGTTGTTTGGCAAGGCATGTTCATTGCACCTCCTTAGCCTGCAGGAGGTGGGGACATAAATATTAAGACTTTTCATGCACTTCCTCCAACTTTCTCAAGTGCCTCTTCCACCATTAACAGGGAGTGTTTCCTTTGTCAGAAATCGAGAGCACTACCAGCATTGACCAGCAGAGACCAGCAGAGCCCAGAGCTGGTCTGTCTTTGCAATCCCTGCAGAACCCGGTCTTCTATACTGAACAACATTTAGTGCACCGAAATAAAATAGAATGTTTTCAATTGATGCCTACTGTTTCTCCTTCCCTGATTAAAGGCCATTAGGAGGGGAGGATTCTCTCTCTAAAAAATGACCAGTGAGAATACAATGTGCAAATTTGCAACAGGTTTCCTGTCTAGGCTAGTAGGACATGACGTAGCCCTTTGTGACTGGCTCCTGCTGCGTATCAGACAAGGATTCTTCATGGCAAGGACTCCATGACCGATTCTAACACTGTCTTGTATACATTTAAACTCAGCAAGCACATTTAAGCATCCTTATGAAGCCTTAATGAAGAGCGATGATGGCAGTGTGATTGGCTTGGGATACAACCATATGCTCAAGGAAAGCCAATGGGAGCGGCAGGAGGCAATATTTAGCAGCACTTTCCAACAGTATCTGGAGACAGAAGATGAGCTAGAGATCAAGGAGGAGAAACCCTGGTGAGTGGGGGTTGAATTACATCTAACATTTACTTCAATCTTCCATCCTTCTCATGCTCCTGGGAGCAGCAAGACCCCCAGAGTTTATTTCTGCTGCAGTAGTAAAGCTGGAAAGATTCACCTCCAGCCCACCCTGGGTTCATGGGACAATATATTAATCAGTGGCTTGATTTCTTTCTATATACATAGGAATGTAAGGCTGTCGTCACGCTGCAGTTCATGTGGCTGCTGATAGGTGGCCACACCAGCTCCAGCGGGACGGCATGCAGGTGAGTGAGAAGTGCAGGCAGCCGGCAGCCCAGGTTAGCCATTTAACGGAGGGGCGGGGGGAGATGATTCACAGAACAGTATGGCAAACCAGTCTGTGAAGTGCCTTCCCCTTCTGTTAAATGCAGCTGCAGCGTAGTTTAATGTAGGGAGGGAGACGCTTCAGAAAACTACTCTCTGAAGTGCCTCCCCCTTCTTTAAAATGTGTGAGGAAAAGTGGGTTGAGCTGTGAGGGGGATAGGTGAGGTGGTAGGTAAGGTGTAAAAGGAATGGGGTTTGGTCAGATGCAAAGGCATCTAGACTGGTGACTGGAAGTGGCTGCCGGAACCACGTAACACCAGTCTTGAAAGAGCTGCATTGGCTCCCAGTACGTTTCTGAGCACAATTCAAAGAGTTGGTGCTGACCTTTAAAGCCCTAAATGGCCTTGGCCCAGTATACCTGAAGGAGCGTCTCCACCCCCATCGTTCAGCCTGAGGTCCAGCTCCAAGGGCCTTCTGGTGCTTTCCTCACTGCGAGAAGTGAGGTTACAGGGAACCAGGCAGAGGGCCTTCTCAATAGTGGCGCCTGCCTGTGGAACGCCCTCCCATCAGATGTCAAGGAAATAAACAACCGTCTGACTTTTAGAAGACATCTGAAGGCAGCCCTGTTTTAGAGAAGTTATTAATGCCTGATGTTTTATTGTATTTTTAATATTTTGTTGGAAGCCGCCCAGGGTAGCTGGGGAAACCCAGCCAGATGGGCAGGGTATAAATAAATTATTATTATTATTATTAGGCAGGAGGAGGTGGCCAGGTGTGGGGGTTGGCAGGTAGGTGGACGGACATGTGGAGTGAGCAGGGGTGGCAGCCCCTAGTATAATGTATACTTTAACAGGAAGTCACATTGCAATGTTTGTTGTTGCTTTTTGTGGTGGTTTAGCACAAACATTACTTATACCAGTGTCATTGACTATCTCCCCCCCACCCCGAACCTTTATATATATCCTATATGTTTTAAAATGATTTATTCTCTCTCTTTCTCTCTCTCCCTCCCCCCCACCCCTGGCCGCCATTTCAGCAATGCTATGTTCCATTTTCACTTGCCTGGCCGCACTTTGCCTGTTGGAACCGAATTCAGAGCTGAGCCAGGTAATTGTACTGCGGAAGTTCCTTCTGCAGAATTAGAGAGGCAAGCCTGAACAAAACTAGGTGGGGAACCTGGAACTTTGTGTCTGGGATTTGAAATTTGCATGGCCCACCCACCTCTGTTTTTGGCTTTCTCATTTTGCTCCCAGAATTGGGGAGAGGGGAGCTGCTGGGGTTCTGAAGTGCCTGTCTTCCCTGTTGGCCCTTTATTTATTTCCTTCGCTTTCTCTTGTTCTCCAGATATGCCCATTGCTCTCAGCATTCACTGGAGCAGGAGCCACAACCTCTGCTACTACTTTCTCAGTCGCCCAGCAAAGGAGAAAATTGGTAATGCAGTGTGCAAGTAACAGCTGCAATTTTATGTGCATTGTCAAACCTCCTCATGATCCATCCCAGAAAGACTCTTCTCGTCATATCTGCAACGGAACTGTGGCATTTTTAAGCTGAGCTTCGGCCTCCTACTCCTGCCACTTGTGGGCTCCCATCCCCTTGCTGCTTTCTCCACTGTAATGTCTAGTGTTCCCATGATACAATATTGCTGTTCAGAGATGCCAGTTTTGGCATAAGCCTAATCTGTCTGGCAGTGTAGTTCTGACCCTTGGCATGATGTAAGAGGGTCCACAATAGCCATTCGGCCCTGTGTACTTGAAGGAAGCTCTCACCTGCCCCACCAGCATTTAGCCTGGACACTGAAGTCCAGCTCGGAGGGCCTTCTGGTGGTTCCCTCATTGCGGGAAGGAAGGTTACAGGGAACCAGGCAGAGGGCCTTCTTGGTGGTGGCATACTGTTGTGTTTTGTATATTCTTTTGGAAGCCACCCAGAGCGGCTGGGGCAACCTAGTCAGATGGGCAGGGTACCCCCTCAGTGTGAAAAAAGATGTAGGGCCAAATAGCAACTCATAGGAGGCTGCATTCTTTTATTTATAATAGTTTTATTAAATTTTTAATTTTACATTTCCAAATAAACATTTTACAAACTTTAAAATATACAATGGCATCCCTTCTTCTCTTTCCATGGTTCATTTTACATATCATACATCCCTGCATATTTTACTATAACCATTCAAATGAGTTTTCCATTTTACATCCACCAAAAATTATTTACTCTGTTGAATTTATCTTAATGCTGCCAGCATTTTCAGTTGCATACAGTTATTTTCCATATATTCAGTAAATGTTTTCCAGTCTTCTTTAAATGTACCATACATTCTTCTTCCTCTCTTATTCTGTATGTTCAATCTGCAAGTTCTGCATATTCTGTCAACTTAAGTTGCCAATCCTTTTTAGTTGGGACCTTGCTCACTTTCCAATATGAGGCTGGGTTCAGCATGCTGGTCACCTTGGTGCTCTGAGGCACAGGGGGGAAACAGTGCATAAATGAAGGGTAGCACTAAGCAAAAGGCACTGTCTCTTTCCTTCCTGCAGGCCCCATCATTCATAAGCTCTTTCATTCCTTTCCAGATTCTGATCCAAAACCGGACATGGTTTGGCCCTGTGCCTCTCCACTCACGTACTCAGCCGTCACACCTTGCTCCTCTTACCTGGCTTTTGCTTGCGAAGATGGAACCATTACGGTTTGGGAAAAATCTATTGGTGAGCCTTGCCAGCTTTCATGAGATTGCCATGGGGCTATTCCCTTGCCAACCATAAGCGAAGGCACTTGGTGAATTTAAAAAAGGGGAGTTCTAGAAATGAGGCACCACAACCAAAAATGTCCTGGTGGGGGTGGCACCCTGAGCATGGTGTCCAAAGATCTTAATGATTGGGCCAATCCATGTGGGAAATGGGGTCCTCCCTTAAAGAGGGCACATGTTGCAGTGAGACCTGGCAACCTAACCCTGTATTGTGGGTGGGTACGCTTGGATAGCCACAACACCCGATTGGTAGGTTCCTTAATGTAGGGTTCAGTCAGGCCAATGGGACGCAGGCTAAACGGATCAAGGGACCTATATATACCTATGCATGTGACCCAGAGCTTCCTCTTTCGGTGCGTTCATCGGAACACCCGCCCACCTCTCCCTATATTTAGGGCTTGTGTGCTTGACCTTGCTATGCCGTCGTGTGTCGTCTGTCATTGAGACAGGAGAACAGCAGGAATTTCCCCACTTGGCTGATTGGCTGTTGCCATTTGGATTTCGCCTGCCGCATAGCAAATAGTCACAGCGTAAGGTTGCGGATAGGCTCTGGTTCAGGTGATAGGGATGGGAGAACGCTCTTGCCATCCCTATGTGAAGGGTATTCCGTTAAAGGAATTCAGGGACTCAATGGTTTGGTCAACCCCTGTGAGCGGGTTGTGCCCGTGCCTCAGTCCAGGGGAGCATTTGGGTGGCGGAGATAGCCTGTTCCTGGCTTTCCACTTATCCAGGTGTTCACCCTTGGCTGACTTATGCTGGTGCCCTGGGTCAGCGCTACCTGCAATGGTGCAGGGAGCTAGTTGAATCAGAGCCTATGCAACCAGTCACTTGCTGCAATCAATAAAGTTGTGGCCTAAATTCTGCCAAAAACCAAACCAAAATTTGAGTCTTGTCTGAATTAATTTAAGGAGGAGGTTTAAAGGTCTAAACACGCAACAGCCATGAACCTCCAAGTACTCTGGACCCAGGTTGTTTAAGGATTTGTAGGTCAGGCTTCATCAGTGTGAGGGGAAAAACAGGGCCATTCCATCAGCTCTGACAGGAGACCAGCTTTGCTTGATTTCTCTTCTCCCTGAACTGTTTCCATTCCAGCTAGCCACTATAATAACTCCTGTGTAACTTTAAGAATTGGCGCGTGGCTTTGTTAGTTTTCTTTTCCCTTTCGTATCATGTATTTTAGATTATTAGACTGTAGGTGAGCACACGTCTTGTTTTTACCGATCTCATGTAACGATAAGCCAGCCACTCTGGGAGCCTTTTTAGCTTAAGAGCAGGATAAAAAACACTTTAAATAAATAAAACCTTGCACTTTGAATTGTGCCTGGAAACAAGTGGGTAAACTAAGAAATATAAAGGAACACATCTTCTAATATGCTACAGCATGTGATAGATGTGGGCTGGCCAGCAAATTGCAAAATCCAAGCATTGGATAAGTGTGGCTCTCAGATGTGAAGAATGGTTGCTGTCAGGTCACACCCACCCACCTATCAGCCAGTCTAGTAGAAACCATCTGTCTTATCTTGGCCAGGAGGATCCTGCTGTCATTCCTGTTCTCCCTCTGTGATGTTTATGCTTTCCTAGGGTTCCCGTTGTCTGTGACTGTGCTCCCTGATGGATACGTTATACGAAGCATCCAGTTCATGCCATGTTTACCCTCACTCTGCGAGAAAGCGCCTGGCTCCAGTGAAGTTCTTGCGAGCACCAAAGTGAAGCTTCTGGTGTTGTGCACAGATGGGTCTCTCCACATGATTACATCGGGGGCCAAAGAATTTGACACCAAGCTGCTGGGGTACGGATAAGGCAGGATCCTGGCTGATTACAGACCCAGAACCTTGTTTGAAGGGTGGGAGAGGTTCTCCTATTGAGAGGACTCTTTAGCCCAGGCTCTCCAAAGACAAATATGGCTGCATACCTTGTCTTCCACTCCTGTACTTCCCGGAAGAAGAGGGTACTTCATTTTCTAGTCCTCTTTTTATTGGAGTTGGTTGAGACTACTCTGGTTCCAAGAGAGTACTGGGAGTTGGAATTCATAGTTGTGGCTGGAAAATACCACCCAGAGGGACAAGGGAAGGCCACTTGGGATACAAGGGGGTATTGTTAGGGAAACAGAGCATAAGTAGGTAAGAGCAGGTGCAGATAAACTAAGTGACCTCTAACAAGATAATCCTGAAGGCCAAGGAACTGGGTGAAATGTGGAAGTCCAGTTTCTCATTAATTAAAATGAATACCTCCACTCCTAGAGTTTTAAAACATTTAGAGGAAGTTCCTGATATATTCTCAGGATTTCACCCAGCAATCCTGACTGACAACATAGTGGGTTTTTTGGGGGGGGGGTGTTTGTTTTTTGAGAAATGAAACCAAAGTGGAAATCTGAGACTTGTGTTGTTTAAAAATGATAATAAAATAAAATAAAAGAACACATCAGGCTATGTCTGCTGGAGGCAATGACTTTTGAACATTGTAGAACACTCTGTTGGCCTCATTTGCAATATGAAGCAAAACCAAACCATTTCCCCAGAATAGTTATGTGAATCCACCTCTCTGCTCTCACTGATGTGCTTTCCCCGCAAGATGCCCAAAGAAGAAATGCACAAAGAGTAACACAAACTTGGGTTTCTTTCTTAGGCCTGAGACTCCCAATCAGACCATCACTGCTATAGCAACCATTTCTTCCTTACCTGATACAGTGAGTGTTTTCTGATTACCTCCCATAATGTCTTCTGCATCTTCTGAATACCAGAATTGTGAAAGCAGTATTGCGGGTGGCCGGTGGGGGGGTGGAGAGAGGAGAGAGGAGATACTGTTTTAGTTAGATTAACACACCAAGATTAAGGTATCTGGGCATGAAATTTTCAGTTAAGACTTACAATTTCTTGTGGGTAGAGTATGGATGCTGTATAGACAGCTAGCCCATAGAAGTGTGCGGGCAGCCATAACACATCTAAACTGGGGCCTAGAGTAGTTGTCAGACTTAAAAAAAACCCCACTATCCACATAAACTATGCTTGTATACTTAAAAGCACACAAAACCAAAAGGTCAGTAGCCCTAACAGGGCCTGTCCAGTCCAACAACAGTAGTGATCATCTGTCTACAGCTTATATTGAGTTGAACTGCTTTTCTCTCCATGTGGAGAACTGAGGCTAAGAAACTGAGTTTTCTCAGCATCAGTTAATACATTTTTGGCTGAAGTGGGATTTGTACTTCTGCCTAGCCCTACATCTTTCATCCTCTGGATTTTGAGGGAAGGACGAAGCCAGACTGGTAGGCTTTGGCCCTGTTACGTTGCACTGTTAAAATCCTGAAAAAATCTTCTGCTCAGCTGTGCCTGCGAATGTGAATCATAACCTACCTGGGAAAAAGCCAAGACCCACTGCTGATCCCATCCAACAAAGTAGCTATGGAAACACTATCAGCTCATTAGGTGGGTTTCTGTCATAAGTGATGAACTTTCATTATTCCAGGTGCTGCTTTTTTTCTGGGATGGCACGGTCATTCTGATGGACACCACCACAGAAGATTATATTTCCCAGTTCATCATGCCTCCCTCCTACAAGGTGGCAACTTCCTGGCAGCCCGTTTTTTCTGTGGATACTCAGGGCCAATACTTGCTCCTCCAAGGTAGGATCTCCTAGATACAAAAGGGAGCAGGCACTCAAAACTCAGAAATAGCACTTGAAGGCATTCAAGCCCTTCCCCTGAAGTGGGAAGACCCCATAACATGCCTCAGGTGGTTAGCAAATGCCTTTCTATTGTGGTCTCTGCAGCATCCCAGAGAAGTCTTTAAGATGCCTACTTGTTGTGCCCTAGCTTGGCTCAATCCAGGAGATGATGGATTAAAGCAAGGGACTTACTGGCATTGCAGGGCCTCATCTGATAGGGCAAAGTTAAAAGAGACTATGCAGGATTACAACAGGCAAGGCAAAGCATGGCCTTTCATGACCCTGGACAGGTAGCTGTGGCAGATGCCGGCTGAAACTTGCCCAAGGAGAGCTGTTACAGTGGTACCTCGGGTTACATACGCTTCGTGTTACATACGCTTCAGGTTACAGACTCCGCTAACCCAGAAATAGTACCTCAGGTTAAGAACTTTGCTTCAGGATGAGAACAGAAATCGTGCTCCGGCGGTGCGGCAGCAGCAGGAGGCCCCATTAGCTAAAGTGGTGCTTCAGGTTAAGAACAGTTTCAGGTTAAGAACAGACCTCCGGAACGCATTAAGTACTTAACCCGCGGTACCACTGTATTTCAGTAGCATGCTGAGGCCCTGTGGTGGAGGCTGACTAGTCTGGACCTGCAGATAACTTGCTACCTCTGAGGTGCTTGTCAGTGTTTCTCAAAAGGGCTGTTGTCCGATTCAGCAGCCACCAACCCCTATTATGCGACTGAGTCTGAGGAGTTAAGTAAAGAGCCACACAATCTGGACCCTATGAGGGCAGAAGGAAAGTTGCTTCTTGGGCGATGCCTCCTCCCACTGAGTCTTCCTCTGACCTGGGAAGATGGGGGAATTGAGGCTGGAGAACATAATACTGTTCGGCAGCCCTGTTTAGGGAACTTTTTAGTGTTTGAAGTTTTATTCTGTTTTTAGTGTTCTGTTGGGAGCTGCCCAGAGTGGCTGGGGAAACCCAGCCAGATGGGCAGGGTATAAATAAAATAATAATAATAATAATAATAATAATAATAATAATAATAATTAATTATTATTTATTAATTATCATCATGCCCTCTCTCCTTTTCCCTTCCCCCACTTCTACCATTCTATTTTTCTTACGTCCTGTTTAAAAGAAAAGGATTGCTTATGTTTTCTTCAGGAATCTCTAGTACAGTGGTACCTCAGGTTATATACGCTTCAGGTTACAGACTCTGCTAACCCAGAAATAGTACCTTGGGTTAAGAACTTTGCTTCAGGATGAGAACAGAAATCATGCTCCGGCGGCACAGCAGCAGCGGGAGGCCCCATTAGCTAAAGTGGTGCTTCAGGTTAAGAACAGTTTCAGGTTAAGAACGGACCTCCAGAACCAATTAAGTACTTAACCCGAGGTACCACTTTATATATCACAACACACATATGGGAAGAAGGCCAAGATCTGATAGACAGATGGGGTGGCCATGTGCCCTACTTTTCAGAGGTCAGACCTCAACTTGAAGGAGTCCTCTATTTGGAAGGCTGCCCAATTAAAGTTTGGTTAATGGTAAAAACAGAAGAAGTGAGGGCAGGAGCTTTGAAGCTGCCCAATCGTGGTTAACACTTGAACAGGAAACAGAGCAAGGACACAGGTCACTTGCCCAGAGTCTTCCCTGATATGATGCAATATATTTCTATTTAAATCACAATAATTGCTTCTAAATTTGCATCTCTCTCTCTCTCTCTCTCTCTCTCTCTCTCTCTCTCTCAATTAGCATTTGAAAATCTTTGCTTTCTTTAGTCCTCTTTTGCTGAAGCATTTCCTCTCTTTTGGCGATTTGGAGTTTTTGAATAATTTTTTAATTGATTGGTGGTTCACAAAAATCAGTTTAAGAACATAAAGCAAGCCTTCTAGATCAGGCCAATGTGCCCATTGAGTTCAGGATCCAGTTCTTACAGTGGCCAACCAGATGCTTCTACTAAAACTTCTGTAATTACAGAACCCCCCTTCCAAAATTTGCAACTTTTTTTGCTTTGTATCTGCACTGCAGACTGTTGTGGTATGTAAAATTTCCTGTGCGGCCCCATTGCCTTGGCCGCCAGGTCACGTAGGAGAAATTAGATTGCCAAGTCAATGGTTTCAGCTGAAATGTGGCCAATTTGGTTCAACAGTGAGCATGCACAAAGCCCAACTCCAGCTGCCTTTGACCATATAGTTCAAGGCTGGAACTTTCATTAGCCCCAACTAGCCAGGACTGCTGAGAATTGTAGGGCAATGGCATCTCAAAGGCCACAGGTTCCCCATCTCTCGATGGAAGACTCATGCCATGCATGTGCAAGATTGTAGTTCATAATATTTCCAGTCAAATTGCAAGTAACCCTCCCACCCTGTTTCTGAGGCAATGGAGCTTGCATGCAGCAATTTACAAGCTGAGTGACTTCCTTTCTGGTCTAATTCCTGGCTAATTAACAGTTCCCACTGTTGTAACCTCATGAACAAATGAAGGTGGCATATACCGTTAAACCCCTGACCCATCTAGTCCAGCAGTGTCTTCTCTGACTTGCAATGGCTCTCCTGAGTCTTAGGCAAAGGCCTTTCTTATTACTGGCTACCTGATCCTTTCAATTGGAGATGCTAGGGATTGTATCTGGGGCCTTCTGTATGCAAAATGTGCTCACTTTGAGACTGCTGGGCTTTTTTGGTTCACAGGAAGTGAAAGTGAGCGTCACATTTGTAAGTGACACAAAAAAGCCTGCCCACCCCCACATGGTTCTTTCCAGTTCTTATCAGGTTCCTTTTAGTTGAGGGAATCTCCAAGGGAGAAATGTATCAATTAGCAGGCAGCGGACTTTCAGATATCCTATTGCAGTGATCCAGCACACCCGCTGTTTAATGTGGAATCTCCCTGTGTCTTCTCTCCTCTCTAGAAGTTTCCTGGTCCTATTTATTGAACTTTGTTGCTTGCACCTGGAGGCAAGAACCAAGAACCACTCTGCCAAGCTGATAAGCTTATCGTATCAATGAATGAATGAGTTTGTCTGTTTGTCACTGTCAACCACAAAGACTCAAATTACTTTCAACAGTAGAATACAGTCATACCTTGGAAGTCAAATGGAATCTGTACCGGAAGTCCATTCGACTTCCAAAACGTTTGGAAGCCCAAGCACGGCTTCTGATTGGTAGCAGGAAGCTCCTGCAGCCAATTGGAAGCCGCGGACGCCCCGTCGGATGTTCGGCTTCCAAAAATAGTTTGCAAACTGGAACAGTTATTTCCTGGTTTGCGACGTTCGGGAGCCAAAACATTTGGGAGCTGAGCTGTTCAACTTCCAAGGCACGACTGTATGTGATTTAAAAACAATAACACATTAGTGGCATGCGACTCCTAACAAATTTCTCCCACGGGGGTACAGCCCCCAAAAGAGAAAAATAGTGCCCATCCCAACTTTGTGTGTGTGTGTGTGTGTGTGTGTGTGTGTGTATTTCTCTCTAAGCAAGTTGTTCTCTTTCTGCCCACAGGGGTCAAGCAGCAAACTGAAATTATTTTCATCTTTGACTTCACGACTTACCCATTCATGGAAGCTTTTGCCTTGAAAGCCGAAGAGCAGCCCGAAGCCTTAGCCGTAGTCCTACCCTGGGACAAGCGCTGTAACATCTTCCTAAAAGATAGGTAAGTTTCTTGAATCGGAAAAAGACCTGGAGCTGGCGAGCCATTTTTGCTCATGTGATTGCGACAGGGGACCGGAGCAGGAATGTTCTCTGGAGAGATCAGCACCCTACCTAACAGCGTTAGACTCTCAAACAAACTCGGTGCATCCCGACTCTCCTCTGGCATAGCACCAAGGACATAAGGAAAACATATATTCTGTTCAGGCTGAGTTCAAGGTGCTGATACAGATATGCACATCTACACACAGCTTGGGGCCCAGGATACCTGGAATATAATCTCACCCATCACATACCCAACCAGTTGCTTCACCAGTCTGCAGGAGGGCAGATACCATATAATCCGGATGTCCGTTCTGGGATTTAGGCATATAGTGTGGCAACAACACTTGCCCTCCCTCCCATTCCATGTCCAACAAGTGCTGTCTCTATTGACTTTTGGGTGCCTCTTGGAGACCTTCCGTTCCCAACAAGCCTTTTATGTGGATACTTTTATCCCAGCTTTTCTTTGCACTGGACTTGAAATTGTTTTCATAAACGATTTTATTGCTGATGTAAAAACTGATGTTAATTGCTTCAGGATGTTTCAGGGGAAGCAATTCGTAAATGAAATAAACAATCCACAGAATAGTGGCCACTGTTAATGGAGCAACGGGGTGTACCCCAGGTCCCAAGATTTCCAGATTTAATAGCAGCCATATGCCTATAGATTAGTACTTGCCTTGACAGTTCAATGCTTTTGGGCGGAGGTGCTGCTGTATACTTTGGGTGCAGTAGAGAAGACTTGTGATCTCCTCGGATAAACTATGTATCAAGCCCCAATTTCAGGGAAGATTATATACTGCGTTTATTGTGATGTGTTCCACAGGGTGCAATTTGTTTGTAATGTCATCAGATGGCAGTACAACATGATCCACACAGATGAGCACCATGAAACTTTATACTGAGTATTCCCTATTCTGAGGGCTAAATTGGCCTAAACTGCTGTCCTGGTCTCCTTTGAGAGGAAAGATATAATTTGAATTCATAATAATAATAGTAATAGTAATTTTATTTACTCATGCTTTTATACTACTTATCCAGTTGTGTCCTCTAGGTGGTTGACAGCATGTTAAAACCAATGCAACAATAATATGAAACAACCAAAACCAGTTAAAATGATACGAGGAGGTGATGAGGATTAATTGCATTATTTATAAAAGTTTTTATATGTCTCGTTTTTACATTTGTCCTGATCACTTACTTTTATGTGGCTGTTATAAAAATGAACAAATGTGAATCACTTTGAGAACTTGAAAGTGAGAACTACGAAGGATAAGCCTTACTTACAGTGTTGGGGAGCACCATTTTGACTTAACTCCTTATCGCTTAACCATCTGGCACTGAGTGAATGAGGCATGGCAAAGTGGGCTCAGGCAGGAGCCCAGGGAGATGGAATCTCTGTCTTTGTCTCGTTGCCAGCTTGCAGCGGCTGTCCACAATTAGCCAACAGATGCCCGAGTGCTGGAGCCTGCTGAAGAACTGTGCAAAATCCTTAGCAAAGGGAGAGTCACAAGAAGTGGTAGAGGAAGAGGAGACTAGGTGAGTTGGTCACTCTCAGAGGCTGATTTTGTGTTGCTGTATCTTTCATCAACCCATGCCTGTCATCTTAATGACAGCTGCTTATCCATCCTTTGCCAGTCCAGACGATTTCCTAAAGCAGGTTATTTTGCTGTCATGAGGAGCTTTTTACCCTTTTGCCTCCTGCTAGGAAGGATGTTATTGACCAGTTAGTGTTAGAAAAATGTCTGTGTCTAATGGTCCTCTGCCTGGTTCCCTGTAACTTCACTTCTTGCAGTGACGGAACCACCAGAAGGCCCTCGGTGCTAGATCTCAGTGTCCAGGCTGAACGGTGGGGGTAGAGATGCTCCTTCAGGGATACTGGGCCAAGGCCGTTTAGGGCAAGCACTTCAGTGATACAAAAGGAAGATAGAGGGACACATTTTTAAAATATTTAAGAACCATCAAAAGCATTTTGAAACAGCAAGCACAGTGAAACATTAAAACTTAAAAACAGAGATAAGGTAAAGGTAAAGGGACCCCTGACCGTTAGGTCCAGTCGTGGACGACTCTGGGGATGCGATGCTCATCTTGCTTTAGTGGCCGAGGGAGCTGGCGTGCAGCTTCCGGGTCATGTGGCCAGCATGACTAAGCCGCTTCTGGCAAACCAGAGCAGTGCACAGAAAGGCCATTTACCTTCCCGCCGGAGCAGTACCTATTTATCTACTTGCATTTTGATGTGCTTTCGAACTGCTTGGTTGGCAGGAGCAGAGACCGAGCAACGGGAGCTCACCCCGTCACGGGGATTCGAACCACCGACCTTCTGATCGGCAAGCCCTAGGCTCTGTGGTTTAGACCACAGCACCACCTGTGTCCCAAAAACAGAGGTGTAGGACTTCAAATGATAAAATCAAAACCTTTGAGCTGAGTCCTGTAGGATAATTGGCAGCTCTTAGGTTACCATGAAGGGTTGTGCTAAACTAGGGTTGCCATATTTCATTAAGTGAAAATCCAGACACAAAAGTTCTGTCCAGATATGTACGGGAAATTCCAGACATATGGCAGCCCTAGCTAAACCCATTTCCTGTCCCTTATGAGCACAGTGCCTAAAAGTGCAGCCAACTTCTAGCTGCAAAACCCTACTCTGGGTTCTTCCTTGCTTCCAGCTCCAATGCACTGCACTTGCTCCAGCCCAGAGACCTCTGGAAAGCTTAAATGGTATAGCGACTGTGGGTGTGCCTGCATACATTTCCCTCCCAGCCTTGCATATGGCAGCTATTAAATCAGCAGTTAATTCTGCTTTCGTGCTCTAACTTCTTTCCCAGGGATACTGAAGAGCCATGACACATCGGCCGGCACACTAGTCAGAGGACTCAGTGATGAGCCAATGAATTACATTCTGCGCTTTGAGGAATTCCGGCTGTGAGCGTAACTTGGCTATTTTGTCCCATAACCTTTTTTTGGATCCTTTCAAAGAGCACCCGATCCACCATCACAAGCCTTCAGGCTCTGAACCCAATAGGTAATGAGTTCCAAAACGGGAATAGACTGTGAAGCTTAAAGGGCAAACCTTGTTAAAATGTAATTAATGTCAGAGAAGGGCAAGGGGGAAGTGGAGCAAAATACAGGAGACATAGGCAAAGATACTGGGAAACTGGAATATGTGGTGCTACAGAATACTGAAGAAATCTCTGCAAGTGCGCTAAGTCTACTGTCTCTTCCATCACCGCCTCCTCATCTGCTCAGAACCTGAACCTATAGATAGCGCCTAGGTTTGATTGCTTTTTAATTCTTGCATGGCACCTACCAGTATTTGACATCTTAAAAATGAACAGTACTGCTACTACAATACAGCAAATAAATATCAGAAGACACTATGTTCACTTTGTTAATATGGGAACCTTACATGCAAATAAATTGCAGAGGAGCAAGAAAATGTGGTCTGTGCTGCTTCTATTTGCAGGTACTTTTAGTGGTGGAGATACAGTCACAATTGTTTCCCACTGGCAGTTACAGTGGTACCTCTGGTTACGTACTTAATCTGTTCCGGAGGTCCGTTCTTAACCTGAAACTGTTCTTAACCTGAAGCACCAGTTTAGCTAATGGGGCTGCCGCGCGATTTCTGTTCTCATCCTGAAGCAAAGTTCTTAACCCAAAGTATTATTTCTGGGTTAGCAGAGTCTGTAACCTGAAGTGTATGTAACCTGAAGCGTATGTAACCCGAGGTACCACTGTAGTTGTATTTCCAAATCACAGTGGAGCGCTCTTCATTGGCCCAGGGTCCCACAGGCTGCAAGGTGGCTCAAACATAATGGCAATCCACGGTTTGTGTGGACAAATGAAGAGGAGCCTTGGAATGATGCACTCATTATTTTCTTTGCATACCTGTCTCTCATCCTGGTTTGAGGCATATTAGAGTTTGGCATTTAGTCTGAGCCTCAGAACAAGGATTTGCACTTAATAGGATGAAATGGCACATCATAGTTTGTTTCAAACCTAGAGTAGAGGGAGAAAGCACGTTATCTCAAGGCTTCTCTATGTTTGTTCACATTGTGCTAAACCATGGTTAGGACTGTAAGTCCGAAACACCCGGCTCTTTGGGATTGCAATAACCGTTCACAAAATGGCTCGGGGGTTCCTTAAAAAGCTAACAAACCTACTGTGGAATAAGCTTTGGTGAACTTGAATCCGCATCTCAGCGATCCAGTTGGGTAGTACTTGTGAGAGCTGGCAATCTTGCTTATGAGTTTAAGCGGTATTTTCCGAGCAGAATGTCAACAGCATAACTTTCCACTAGAGAGCGCTGCATTGCCACAGCCAAAGTAGGCAGCTGATTCAGGAGTCTTCCTTAAAATGCAGACGAACCATCAGCATATTTATCTTGTGTGCTGATGTGGAAATACTCATGACAACCATCTTAAAAGTTTAATCCACAAATGTGAATAAGCCGCAGGCCTCTGGTGTGTTGTTAAGCTGTCTCTTAGGGCGACGCTTTATGGGACAATTTGGCTTCCATCCTAAGGGAGACCCTCCCCCAACATCAGCATATAATTGTAGCAATCAATTATTATTAACCTGGCTTTGGTAGTCCTATGGGTACAGCAAGCCAACAGCCATCATCAATGTGATGCAGGTGTTTTTTGTTTGTGGCTGTGTTCTGCAACATGCAATTGATGCAATAATAGGTGCATCATTAATAGTGGATTTATAAGCATCATTCTGCGATGCTTCCCTGTTACCACATTATTACTGCCTGGAGGGACACTCGTTGCGCTGTAATCCAACAAAAGTGGGACAACCCCTCCACCCCCGAACATTTGTAGCATAAACGTTACAGGATTTTAGCAGGGAGCTACAGGACATGCACTAATTGCAAACGAAGCAGTTCTCAAACAGTATCGACAGCGGAATTGCGGATAACTTCTCTGATACCATCATGCACACAAGTCATCATGAATGCACAATATGAGGACGGTCTGGAAGGGACATACGTTGGGATACTATGCATTTCTAGTGCAGAAGGTGAGGAGAAAACAGAAGTACGCTAAAGCACATGACAAGCAACTGTACCATCCGTACCCAAGTGTCCTTGGAAGCACTGCGAATTCCCACTCTCATGTCAGCCAGGCATGAATGGAGCCAGTCGAAGCATAGGGAGTTGGGAGATGCTTCCACAAAGTCCCTCTACCATGATATACACAGAATACACTATCTGCCAGACGCAGAGATAACAGAGTACCTTGCATTGCATGGACTGCTGCAGAAAGGCAGCAAAAGCCCAGTTTCTGCAAGCTTCTTGCATTCTCTGAACTACTCACGCACACCCATTTGTCAGCAAGACACAAATGGAAGGGATTTTTTGTTATTAAAAAACAGCACAGCTAAACTGAGATCCCAGCATTGCCATTTAAGGTTCTCCAACCCACCTATCCTATTTGGAACAGAATCTGAACTCCTGCTTTGTGATTTGGCTTTTTCAGTGCAGCTTCATTTAAGAGACTTTTAAAATCCATTTCCCCTCTGAACATTATAGAGGAGTCTCCTTGCAGTGTAATTATTTTGTTAGTAGATGCACATGATTTTCTTGTACATTCCAGCCTTTTGAAAAATCTGGTTGTGTTTTCATTTGGATAGCGCATTATTATAGTAGTTGCTTCCGTGTACTGCTAGAACATAGGGTTATTTTCCTTTCTATTGTCATGAGACAAGTGTAAAAGCTAAAGTCATTCTAAATTGTGTTCTACCTCCCAAGAAGGTCATCTGGCAGTTACGAAGCACTGCAGAAATGATTGATGAGATACTTTTTAAAGGGCATTCCTGTAATTGCCAGTCTAAAAGACCTGCAGAGTAGAATTTTAGTGTTCATGATTAGGAAACCTTTATTAACTGATTTAATGTTTCTCTGTACACACAAAAACAGGAACCCATATATTACATCATGTTTGGGGATCTTGAATTTGGAGACACAGTGGCTATTGCACTATGTTAGTATTAATTTAGAATTACCAATACTGTCTTGATTACTTGAAGGATTTGGCGAGAATCAACAAATGTCAAGATAAATGCAAATAAAATATTTAGTTACTCATTGTCTGTCATTTTGTGTAAATCGGCTTTGAAGCTTGAAGTGCCAGTACGGCATGCATAAAACAGGGAGATGGCTAGTTGTTGCAAGCTATTGCACAGGCTACCCAAAACCAGGTGTGTGACCCGTATACTTATACTTGGAACAGTTACTAATGTAGTGATAGAAACAATCGGAGGATGGAGAATTGCCACACATGCAGTGAGATGGATTCTGTAGAACCAGCACTCGATGCTTGAATGCAGATGTTGGTTTGGATAATGCAAGGATTGGAAGACAGCAACATTTTGAGAATGAGATAAGTAAGCGTTGGAGAGAGAAGTGAGATGCTAATGATTACCAGGAAGGGAGTGCAAAAAGAAGCCTTTCCCAAAATTTCACCATGATCTATGGGTGCAAGGTTGAGGCTATATATAGATTCTTGCCAGCAGTTCAATTGTTTGGGTGGCTGGTTCCTCCACCAGAGAGAATCAGCCCCAGCTGCCTCTGTTTTCAGAAAGAAATATACAGCCTTAGGCCAGGATGAAGCGACCAGGAATAGGTTGGCCTTGAACCATAACCAGATTCCTGTTCTAGGTTCCTTCAAACCCTTTTTAATGTGGTTCAGAAATCCAAAGAGCTTTCCTGGCTTGTAATTTCTGCAAGGGCCCCAACTAATTGGAAGAAAATAACAACCGTACCTGAGAGGCAAGGAGAAGGGATCTAGCTAAGTTAAAGAGCGACCAGAAATTGTTTTTATATGCAACAACAGCGGTAAGGTTACTGCTAGCCCAGGTCTGGAAACAACAGCAAATACCAACAGTAGAAGAATGGCGACAGAAGGTAATGGAATATGGAGAAATAGCCAAATTAACTGGGAAAATTAGACAACAGGACGAGGAAACATTTGAAAAAGAATGGGGAAAAATTATGTTGTATATAGGAAAGATAAGATGAAATAGTGAAACCAGTAGAATTGGAAATAAACCTCATAACGGGAAAGATTAAGAAAAGTGATGGATAATGAAAATAATAAGCAAAATGTATAAGGAGATTAATATAACTAACAGTAGTTGTAAATGAATACAGACAGACAACAAGAATTGTATAAACAGGAGGATTTATTTGTTTATGGATATACTATGGACAAATATGGAAAATGAATAACAATATACAAAATGGATGAAAATAATGCGATAAAATTATATGTGATATAAAAAACCAGAAGAAGGAAGGAGGGAAGTCAGCGCTTAGGAGCAAGTATAAATGTAAAATGCAACACATTATGTGTGTGTGGAGTATGTAACCGGAAAACTAATAAAGATTATTTGGAAAAAAGAAAGAGTGTCATCCATGGAGTAAAGCAGGCTTGAAGGAAAATGTGGAGCAGCCTAGCAAGCATTAAACTCATGCAGTGCACACTTTTGGGGACCCCTGAGATTCTCATTTATAGGAAAGAATCTTCCTGACGGGCGTTAGAACTAAGACAATAGATAATAATGTTGGCGATATGGCTGGAAGAGACATTGGCCCATGGACACAGGTAAACTGTCAGCAAGCATAACAATACAGAATAACTGAATGGTCATGGATGGTTCCTTAGCTAATTAGGACACTGATCCAAGTGGCCAAAGTTCCCCACATTGAAGAAAAGTGGTGATGTTACCCCAGGAAATGGAAATTTTGACTCCAAAATTGCTAGTGGAAGATGCTTGCTGGAAGGAAGCCTCTAGTTCTTGTCAGAGTTAATCCATACTCCAAGAGAGGTAAATACTTCCATTAAATATGGCAGAGTTCCAGGGTATAATTGGGCTATCTATCTATCTATCTATCTATGCATTTCAACTGATGTTGCTGTGCAATCCCACACCTAGCTGCTAAAGGAGATTTTCCAGCTTAGACAAATGCTGCTTTGTTGTTTTGCAGTGGCACCACACTAATTGCTCATATCGCAGCCAAAATAACTACATAATTCCAGGGGACGTGCAGAGTTCTAGCCAAACCAAGCTTCTCAGTAACACATCTCACTGGTTCTATGGCATAATATTTACTGAGGTTTTTCCTTGTTAAAGCCATGTAATTGCCTGCAAGGGGATAGCAAACCAAATTATAGCTTTGTCATACTTTAGTTTCCAAATGAGTTCCCTGGGTTAGCAGGAAAAGCAGCTGTGGAGAGGACTTGTTGTGGAGAACCCGGGTGAGGGAAGGGTTTTGAGGGGCTTCCCACAAACCTGCCTAACACAGGTGTTGGGAGCCTTTAGCCCCCCAGTTGTTGCTGAGCTAGATTTTCCATCAGCCTTGGCCATTGGCCATGCTTGCTCAGGCTAATTGAAGCTGTGATTCAGCAAGATCTGGAAGGCCAAAATTTCCCCACTCCTGCCCTAACATCATTTTGCCACATTGAAAGCAAATAGGGGCTTGAGAATCAGCAAGACTGCTAACAAGCTTCTAACTTTGCCTTTGTCACGATTATCCTTTTAAAAAGGCTGTGAAAATCAGCAAAACCTTCTGAAATCTTCATGAACTTAGCCAAATCTTTAAGGACAAGGTACTAAAAGTCTGTAATGGAAGGATCATGTTTGGAATGCCATTGTACACAGAACATTGCACATTGTTCTGTTCTGTTCTGTTCTGTTCACTTACTGCACCCTAAGTATCTTTTGTAATTGCTGTTCAGAAACCACTTAAGCTCAAGTGTATGGTTGTACCTTGGAAGTCAGACAGACTCTGTTCCGGAAGTCCGATCAACTTCCGAAACGTTCAACTTCCAAAGCGTGGCTTCTGATTAGCTGCAGGAAGTTCCTGCAGCCAATCGGAAGCCGTGGAAGCCCCATTGGATGTTTGGCTTCTGAAAAGATGTTCAAAAGCCGGAACACTCACTTCTGGTTTTCGATCATTTGGGAGCCGGAACGTTTGACTCCCAAGGCATTCGGGAGCCGAGGTACGACTGTATGTGCCTTTAGGTTTGATCGCACATTTTCATTTTCCAATTGTCCTGTCTGTTCGGGTAGAAATTCCTTTGTGCTCTCATTTTGACATCAGGGGAGGACCTTTTGGGGGAAAACACACACTTACCTGTTATGTGTATATGTGTTTGTGTGTATGTGTACAATCGTAGCTGCTGCTTTTAATTGTTGTCTTTCAGTGCAATTTGATTTTTTTAATTTATTTTTGTCTCCCCCCCCCCCTTGATTTTAATTCTGTTTTGTACTTTGGGCCAAAGGACGGTGTTGAAATGGTATTAAATTAAATATAAGAAATATTATATAAACAACCTTTCTAGCTATAGCAAATTCCCCTTAACCCTGACTGGGCAGGGATGATTACTTGTGCTAATGCCCTACTCTCTGTTGAACAATATTGAAGCCATATTTAATATGGGAAAGGGTTATTGCAATGCTATCTGCACTGTTATGGCTCACTCTAAACCACATTGCTAAGTTTTTAATTAAACTTGCCAATGTTTTCCTTGGTTCCTGCCGTTCCTGGCTCAAGTAGCAAAACAGTGGGGTATGTTTGGCTTGGTTTCTGTTATGGTTTATTGAGGAATGAAGGGGAAAAGATAAGCATTTTGGCAAGGAGGTGGGATTCACGGTTTTGAAACGACACAGGCAATATGCTATTGTAATGACAGAATGTGAAATTGTGTGTGATCGTTTCAGAAAGGGCAGAAGCAGGGGGAATTGGACAGTTCTGGTGTTATTTATTTCTTGGGCCATTTGTCTTAGGTCAGAATATTATTTCTCAGTTGATATGAAGCATTTTTATCCCACTCTTCAACTAAAGAAGGCTCTTAACAATCATAGAATCACAGAATCATGGAATTATAGAATTGTAGAGTCGGAAGGGACGCTGAGGGTCATCTAGTCGCAACTCCCTGCAATGCAGGAATCTCAACTAAGTCATGCATGACAGGTGGCCATCCAATCTCTGCTTAAAAACCTCCATAGAAAGAGAATCTGTTCCACCGTCAAACAGCTCTTACTTGCCAGAGAGTTCTTCCTGATCTTTAGCCGGAGTCTCCAGTAATAAGATAGTGCTTGCCCTCAGGGTTACAATATAAAAGACACAACAGAAAAGGAAAATTGATTGGGAGAGAGGAGAAAAACATCAAATCAAGCACTGGTTCTCAGTTTTGAAGTTCTTAAAATGATAGAGATGTATCATATTCTGCATGGCACAGAGAAAGTGAAGGAGTAGTTTGTCTCCATCTTTCATAATACCCAGCAAAGCTCACCTGCTGCAGTCCCTTATCTTTTCAGTGTGTTTTAGAAAATATCACCTGGGTTTTGTTGGGACCGATGAGTTTATCTGTGGTTGTTGTTTTAAATGTTTTTCTGTCATGCTTCCCCATTATGCTGCATTAATCCTTTCTTCGTTGATAAGTGTATCGGCATTTTGTAAACCACTTGGGGGGAGGCTGTAAAGCAATATAGCATTCT